GTATATCCCAGCCACATTCCTGTAGTTGAGATGCAGTGCGTGCAATATCACTCAGGATATATTGGCCAGAAGACCTTCCTGGAGCTGAGCATGCTTGTATTGCTGCCTGGTTGTCTGTGAAGATGGTTGCTGTACGGGTCTGATAGGAACATTGTGATTCCAGTCCACTTGAGTTGCGTATTTGGGTAAGCGCCATCTTTATGCCCTGTAATTCTGCTGCATATACAGTGTGGGTAGCTTGAGAGCCAATGCGAACTGCTTGGCGCCCCAGAGGCGAAACTACTGCTGCTCCAACTCCCTGTTCTGTCAAGCTGCCATCTGTGTACACAATGATATCAGCTCTGCTGTGTAAGATGGCATTGTGAGTTGCGAGAGCAGCTTCCCGAGTTTCTGCTATATGGGGTTTCAGACCTGCCCACCAAGGCGGGGTCACATGTGGGTGTATAATCTCCAGCTTGTCCTGAGAAATTGCGGTTCGTCGCTCCCATCGTTCTTGTTGTGTATTATATCTCCAAAGACGGATTATTGTTGTTCTCCCTCAGGGAAGACCAGCATAACTGTAGCATGGCCATCACGGAGTAAAGAGATACGACGGAGGTAAACTAGTCTTAATTGGGCTAGCTAGTTTACCCCGTCAAAAAAAAAAAAAAAAAAAAAAAAAAAAAAAAAAAAACCTTCAAATCAATACTCCTTGCCACATTCGCAGTCATCCGTTTGGCGATATTGATACCGAGGCTTCCGGAGGAATCTGTCATATAGTGAAGAAGAGGCAGACTTGCCCATCGGATGCTGAGAAATGTCCCCACCGGTCGTCCGGCCGCCCTTCCAGAAGGTGTCGACTGAAACAAAGTCGTTGTCTATGGAGGAGTCCAGTGTCTCCTCCGTCGTCATCCGGTGCACCGAGGAGGGTCCCAGTCGTTGATTACGGCTGCTCCTGCCAGATGGCGATGAATACCGCCATCGGTGATAAGGAACCATGATTAGCTCATTCACGTAAAACGCAATTATAATTGATGGGATCGAAACCGCAGCGGCGCATCCAACTGTTCGCATTAGTTTTACATAGCGTTTGTGGTGGACACCTAGTACGTACATATAATGATTCTCGGAAGTTGGATATCCAGGGCTCTTGGATAAGCACCACATGGTAGTCTTGTTCAAAAAGCAAGTTGGAGTGCGGCTTCATGGGGGGAGGGGCTCTGGGCCACATTGACCTGGAAAACCCGCAGCTGTGGGAGAGTTTTGTCGTATCTCACTGGGTAGGAGCAGGACCTGGGGCCCTTTCCAGGGTGGTATCATTATGGGTGGTGTCTGTGTTTCCCTGGTTGGTCCTAATGTTGTCTTCTGTTTCCTTGGATGAATGGCGTTGTCGTTGGGCTGATTCAATCCATCGAATGGTGTGACGGTCTCATGCAACAATAATCCTATTGGTAGACTATCTAGCGAAATTCTAACATGAGAAGAGAAAGGAAAAGAGCAGGGTCTGTCGGCGACGGGCTATCTCATGTGTGCGAGAGGTTCATGCCCTATGCCAAACAGACCAAAATAATCAAACATGCTAAATAACTACTGAGCGTCCATGCTCCGTGACACCATCTATCACAATTGAAGAAGCATACCAGGCCATCTTCAAGGCCAACAGCAGCACACCGGGATAGGATGAGATATCCAATGTAGTCCTGAAAAAGGCCTGGCCTGCCCTTGGTCCCCACATTTCAGCCCTATACACACACTGCCACATCTAGATGGCACCCCATTCCGTTCCACCAAGCCCTACTGGTTAGAGTGTCATATAGATTTAACCGGGCTCAACTTTACTGAAGATTAGTTTTAGACGTGACGCGTCCAAGGCCATATACACTAAAGTAATATTTCTTGTATTTTTACAAAATATTCCATGCGCTATTCCCCTTTATGCTAAGCAAATAATATAAATCTGTGTGGAGAGGATTTTGATTTATAGAAATATCACTTGTTGATTATAAGCTTGGCATATGCTCAGTACGAGTCTTAAATTCACGGAAAAACTCAGAAACCAAGACTCGTACCGAGGCTCGTGCTGAGCAACGCACCCGAAGGTAAGTTTGATTCGTTCTTATCATACGACTCAGGGACAGACTAAACATAATAGGTATATCGTCATGCAAAATAGAGTTCAGGAATGAATCAAAGAGAAATATAGTGGTAGAACTGATTTCAATCCATTTTGCAATACATACATTTGCCTGATATCATGTTCCTGGCTATTTTTCGTAGGTAGTGAGATCAACATAAGCCAGGGACCGGTTTTCTTCTGGAAGGAACAACCTCCCGTGGTCTTGAGCTGCTGCACGATATATTTTTCAAAATCAAAGATCACACACTCCTAGTTTCAACAATGCAAGAGCAGACACGACCACGGAGTGATTCTATTGAGGAAGTCCTTGATGAAACAACACAGTTCATACTGCGTGATCAACACCCCTCAGATGGAGACTTGAAGCAAGAACGACGCGATACATTGCCTTTTCATGGTGATCATGAGGAACATCCACCGCTAGCCTGGTCAATAATATGGCACGGAACCTACAGTAATCTGTTGGGTGGTATGTGAAAGATCCCCTCCGCCTCTGGGGGTATTTTTGATCTAAGAGATGATCTCTTGTAGCGCTTGTTTTTGAGAGGCACAGCTGTACATCTATAGTTTAACCTTAGGGCGTCCATTATCAGTTATCATTACAGCACACTGATCACCATCTATCCAGTATTGGCTTACTGGTTGATTATCTATTTGTTGGATATCCCCTCAGCCGTGTTATTGGGCATCCCGATGTCCATGCGCCGAGTCCGGCCCACATCAGGACGGTGCCGGAGGTTATTGGGTGACCTTGGCACATACAAAGAACTTGATTCAGACAAGTCTCGGCATGATAGAATGCCGTGTCAGAGCCGCAGCCGATGAGCGAGCTTTCTTGGTTGTTCGGTTGATTTCGGCGGTTTTCTGTGTGTACCCCTGAGTCTTTTTTATCTGTTGGGGATCCGGAGGATTCTTGATTTGTGATTTGTGAGTTGTTCAGAGAATAGGATTAGGCAATTCCGATGATGATTGTGTTTTACGAGGACCTACGAAGTACAGAGGACAGCTCTTGGTATGTGTACGCCTGAGTGACATGACACAGCTCAACGTTTAATTCTATAGACTAGGTAGAGTAGAATCCCAGGTTCCATACTATATAAAGTACTCTTACCCAGTCTCTGCAGAGTACCGGTAGATAGGAACACGGGGAGACCACTGTCCACCGGCATTGTTACAATATGGCCTGAGGGGAGGACGAGACAAGAAGAGGAGAAATTCCGTACCGGAGGCCGACGAATCCGAGAAGCTGATTGAACAGTATACTCCGTGACTAGGAACAGGACAAGGATATTTCCTTGAATCATGCTTAATATCCACGCCATAGATCACCTCATACACCAGGGGTGCTACTCATACACAAGAGAGATATCTATGCATCAGACCCGTTCAAGTAGACCGGCCCACCCCCGTGATGTCATACAAAAGTCCCTGAGTAAGACACGAGTGTTACTCCGTACATACAGGGGTAGTTGACCAGTTATCTCAATCATCCAACACGGGCCGAATGCGACGTGATCGAACCAGATTGCCGTGTGCATTTCCGGGATTGATAAATGGACTTCCCGAAATGACAGCCGATGGCGTCAGAGAGCATGGTAGTCCAATTAGAGCCTTTATTGGTATCCGCCGGAATGACCGTTCTGGGTTTAGCATCTCTTGTCGTTTATCCAGCCAATCGAAAGGAGACGTCTGCCGAGGATAAGGTTGTGGCAATATTCAAGTATACAGCAGTCTATACTCCGATGCATGCAGTAGACATAAAGAATGCTGGAAGACGCAGGGAGCAGAGATTAGATATAGAGAATAAGTATAGACAGAGAGATAAAGAGTGTTATTGTACATAGGACAGGGATACCGAAGTAAACAAGACTCCGATAGATTCATATAAGATACACGATTGGCCAACCACCCATCGGTGACGTTGATGGAGCCGAAATCAGGCTCAACCAGAGTACTCTGGAGTATGTCCTTGTATGACTTCTCCTGATCCGGAAGTATGTACTCCTCGGACAGGCACCGGAGTCTGACTTATAAGAATGGCTGCCTTCTTTCTTTTTCTGTTCTCACATTTGCATACTCGCATATTCATTTTGTTAGCATTCTTGCATATCATCTGGTGCCTCGTTCTCCACACTTACATTCTCCATTCTTCTCTCTTTCCCCAGATTTCTCCATAGTACCTTGTCTTATCTACTGCTCGTTACAAGATATCGCCATTGATACTTCACAATGGCACCATACTTTACAGAAAAAGACAAACACCGGGATCCCGTCCAGGGTGAAGGTAACAATCATTACAACGACGCCCGCCAACCCGGCGACTCTCACCATGAACACGCCGTCTCTTCGGATAACGACAGCGATTCCCGGGGAAAGGTCCGTTCCGATGGCAAGAGGGAATTGACCGAAGATGAATGCTACGATAAGCTCGGATTCTCTTTCCCCCGGTACAAGAAATGGGCCATCCTCTCGGTTATCTTCACCGTGCAGATGTCCATGAACTTCAACACCAGTGTCTATCCCAATGCCGTCACGCCGCTTTCCGAGAAATTTGATATTAGTGAACAGGCTGCTCGTGTGGGACAGATGATTTTCTTGGTCGCATATGCTTTTGGATGCGAGCTCTGGGCTCCTTGGAGTGAAGAGTTTGGTCGCTGGCCCATCATGCAGCTCAGTCTGTTCCTGGTCAACATCTGGCAGATTCCATGTGCCCTGGCACCCAACTTCGGCACCATTGTTGTCTGTCGCTTCCTTGGTGGTTTGAGCTCTGCGGGTGGCTCAGTTACTCTGGGTATGACAGCTGACATGTGGGAACCCGACGACCAGGGCTTTGCGGTGGCGTATGTCGTGCTGTCGTCGGTGGGAGGTACCACCGTTGGTCCTCTGTTTGGTGGCATGATTCAACAATGGCTTCCTCTGGAGTGGAATTTCTGGATTCAGCTCATCTTCGGCGGCGTCACCCAGCTTGCCCATCTGCTCTTCGTCAGTGAGACCCGCTCGACTATCCTTGTCGATCGGGAAGCCAAGCGTCGTCGCAAGTCCGGGGCGGATCCCAATGTCTATGGCCCCAACGAACTCAAGGAGAACCGCTTCGAGGCGAAGGAAATCCTGCGCATCTGGCGTCGTCCTTTCGAGATGTTCCTTCGTGAGCCCATCGTTCTGTTCCTGTCATTGCTCTCCGGTTTCTCCGACGCCCTGATCTTCACCTGCATCGAGTCGTTCACTCTCGTCTTCGCACTCTGGAACTTCGACGCCGTCCACACCGGCCTCTGCTTCATCGCCGTCATCATCGGCTACGTTGTCGCCTACCTAATCTTCCTCCCAGACATCGCCCGCCAACGCTGGGTCCGCCAACACCACGGCAACGCATCCCGCCTCCCCGAGCGCCGTCTCCTCCTCCTCCTCTTCATCGCACCCCTCGAAACAATCGGCCTCTTCGGCTTCGCCTGGACCTCCATGGGCCCCGAATACACCCACTGGATCGCGCCCCTAATCTTCGTCTTCCTAATCGCCATCGCCAACTACGGCATCTACATGGCAACCATCGACTACATGGTAGCCGCGTACGGCGCCTACTCTGCCTCAGCCACCGGTGGGAATGGTTTCGCGCGTGACCTGCTCGCTGGTTTGTCCGCCATGTACGCCACGCCCATGTACAAGAACATCGGTGGCAAGTTCCATTTGCAGTGGGCTAGTACTATTCTTGGGTGTTTGGCTATTTTTGTTACGATTCCGATTTACGTGTTTTATTGGAAGGGGCCGCAGATTCGGGCTAGTAGTAAGTTTGCGCAGACACTTGAGGCGGATAGACAGCGGCATGGTGGGAGGAGGGTGAGTTATGAATCGGAGAAGGCGTGAGCATACCTTCTCTTTGCATTTGGCTTGCTTGATTTCGCTTTCTTGCGTAGAGGCGGTTAGATTTGGATTTTAGATACCCTTTACACGATACTACGCATGCCTTGCGATGTACTTGCTATGAATATACGATTTATGATCTACTTCGTGTTATTATAGTTAGTTGTAGTCTTTGAAATAAATATTAGTTACTCATAATTATAAGCTGCTATCGCAATGTAGCCTCTAGGCCATGATGTCTTTACAGATAATGCACACCACTACTCACCCTACAGCAATAGCCAAATCCAGCATAATCCGGGGTATACAATACACCTTCCCCCATTGGCCACCCATCCAGACACAATTAGCTTAATCCACACCCCCGACCATCGCGGCATTTCCTTCCGCCCCACGGAACAACCCCCCCGAAATCCCGCCCTTATACATCGGATAACCAGAGGAGACCCAAAGTACACTGTCATGCCTGTAATCGTCTTGTTCCTTACTGGCCACGGAATAGTCCCGTTGTAACATGATGATAGCCGATATAAAGCGTGCGGCCTCTGCGATTGAGGTGCTATTCTTCTCACAACATTTTCGATCACTACTTGGTATAGTTGTTGCAGCAAAATGACGGCCACAACGATCGGGATCGCGGTCGTTACCGTTGTGTATTTTATCATTCGCTATTTGAATCGCACCGATATCCCCAAAATCAAGAACTTGCCTGAGATTCCTGGTTTGCCGCTGTTCGGGAATCTGTTGCAGTTGGGGGATCAGCATGCTACTGTTGCTGGGAAATGGGCGAAGAAGTATGGGCCTGTGTTTCAAGTGCGCATGGGCAATAAGGTACCTCCCTCCATTCATTCAACGTCCTATGTGAAAAGGTATGGTGCTAACAAACCAGCGCATCATCTTCGCCAACTCCTTCGACTCCGTCCGCCAGCTCTGGATCAAAGACCAATCCGCCCTCGTCTCGCGTCCAACCTTCCACACCTTCCACAGCGTCGTCTCCAGCTCCCAGGGCTTTACCATCGGTACATCCCCCTGGGATGAGTCCTGCAAGCGCCGCCGCAAGGCCGCCGCGACAGCCCTGAACCGCCCCGCCGTGCAATCATACATGCCGATTATCGACTTCGAAGCGACTCAGAGCATCAGCGAACTGCTACATGATTCCAAGGACGGGACGGTAGATGTCAACCCGACAAAGTACTTCCAGCGGTTCGCGCTGAACACGAGTCTCACGCTGAACTACGGGTTCCGGATTACGGGGAATGTCACGGATGAGCTGCTCCAGGAGATTGTGGATGTTGAGCGGGGAGTTTCGAATTTCAGGAGTACGAGTAACAACTGGCAGGATTATATCCCGTTGTTGAGGATTTTGCCGAAGATGAATCGCGAGGCTGATGAGTTTCGGGTGCGCCGGGATAAGTATTTGACTTATTTGTTGAATATCTTGAAGGATCGCATTGCGGAGGGGACTGATAAGCCGTGCATTACGGGGAATATTCTCAAGGATCCTGAGGCCAAGTTGAATGATGATGAGGTCAAGTCTATTTGTTTGACTATGGTTTCTGCGGGATTGGATACGGTTCCTGGGAATCTGGTTATGGGTGTCGCCTATTTCGCCTCGGAAGATGGACAGCGCATTCAGAAGAAGGCCTACGAGGAGATCATGAAGGTGTATCCCGATGGCGATGCGTGGGAGAAGTGCCTGATCGAGGAGAAGGTTCCCTATGTCACGGCCATGGTCAAGGAAACTCTACGCTTCTGGACTGTCATCCCCATCTGTCTGCCCCGCGAGAGCACCAAGGACATTAACTTCAACGGAGCTCACATCCCCGCCGGAACTACTTTCTTCATGGTACGCCCCGCTCCCCCTCCTATTCTACATGCTCGATACTAACAACAGACAGAACGCCTGGGCCGCCGATTACGACGAATCCCACTTCCAAAACGCCAATCAGTTCCTCCCCGAACGCTACCTCAACCTCGGCGAAGGCTCCGGCACCCCACACTACGGCTACGGCGCAGGATCCCGCATGTGCGCTGGCTCGCACCTGGCCAACCGTGAACTGTACACCGCGTACGTCCGCCTGATCATGGCGTTCACGATGCACCCGGCGAAGGACCCGGCTGACCGGCCGATTCTGAACGCGATTGAGTGTAATGCGATTCCGACGGCGCTGACGACGGAGCCGAAGCCGTTCAAGGTGGGGTTTAAGCCTAGGGATGCGGAGTTGGCGAAGAGGTGGATTGCGGAGAGTGATGAGAAGACTAAGGATCTGTGACTGTAGTTTTTTTTTTTTTTTTTATTTATTTATTTATTTTTTTTTTTTTACAGGTAGTGTCTTTTTGTTCGTGTTAGATTCTCTGTGTATGAGTATGAAAAGATGGAGTATGATAGTTATGAATGCAAATATGAATATGCAATGAATAATACACCTATCCTCGTAAGCTCGGTATACATTCCGAACAAGTCTGGCCCGAGGTGTCATCTCCACGTCCGTCCCCGCATTTCTCTACCGAATTTACCGGGATCCTCACAATCCGCACATTTCCTCATATCATATCATATCATATCTCAATTACAAACATGGACGAAGTAAGCGACTATCACGACGACCATATCCGCCCGCAGAAAAAGCGTCGCAAGTATATTGCCAAAGCATGGTATGTCCCAATTGGTCTGATATGGTCTCGGAAATAGCGGGATGTTAACGGGATTTTTTTTACGCACAGCAACGAATGCAAACGTCGCAAGATCAAATGCAATGGCCAGACGCCGTGCCAAAGATGCGACCGGCAGCGCATCGAGTGTGTTTATGCGGATAATCAGCGGAGTATGGGTGATACATTGTACGTTCGCCTACAGCCTGGAAATGTGCCCGGATAATGAATGCGAAGCTAACAAACACTACAATAGAACCCTCGACCGCCTCTCCCGCCAAATGACCACCATGCAAGAACAAATCGCCCTCCTCTCCTCCGCCGTCCACACCCTAACCAACACCGGCGCCATCCCCCGCCCCGATACCAACACCACACACCCACACCCCCAACCCCAAACATGGACCCGCCGCCTCTCCTCCGCCAAAGAAGCACTCACCTTCCAAGGCCCCACGACCTCAACCTTCAGCTTCGACCTCGCGAAATCCAGTCTCCAACAGCGCGGAATAGTGGGTGTCGTCGACGGCGATGACGAAGACGCAGACGGTGATTTGACGCAGGAACCCTCGCCGATGCCGTCGCCTCCTTCGCCGGCGAGAGACTCGGTTGATCCGTTGTGGATGATTGGGAAGAGTGAGGCGCTACGGTTGTGTAGGGTTTATGAGGAGGAGATGGGGATTATGTATCCTGTTTTGGAGGTGGAGGAGTTGTTGGGGCAGGTGCATGTTCTATATGGCGACGGGGGATTGGATGGGGGGATTTTGGAGGAGGGAGATGTGCATATTTTGAGGATTGTGCTTGCTTGTGCGCTTGCGGCTGAGGCGAGTGGGGGGAGTGAGTTGGCTGTGAGGTTGTTTGAGAGTGTACGCGTTGTCGCAGATGATTATGTTTGGGGAGCGCCGGATATCAATCGCATTATCTTCTTGACTTTGGTGGTGAGTTACCTACACTTAATCCTGTTACTCTTGTCTAACAAAAAAAAAAAAAAAAAAAAAAAGTCAATCTTCTACTTCCAAATGGACGAAGAAACACTCGCCTGGCGTACAATCGGCATCGTCGAACGCATGTGTCTCGAAACCGGTCTCCACCGCCGCGAAACCCTAGACCAACCCTCTCTCCTCGCCTCAGCAGGCAGCAAAGACCGACTCTCGCGTCTCTTCTGGTCCGTCTACATCCTCGATCTCCGGTGGAGTTTCGGCACGGGAATGCCCTTCTCCCTCGAAGAAAGCGACATCGACCCCTGGCTTCCTGAACCCGAGGAGAAGAATTTCCCGTATTTACGGGTTATGATAAGGTATAGTCGGATTGCGGCAAAGGTGTGGAAGTTGATCGCGGCGTTTAATAATACGGATGAGATTAAGAAGGATGAGATGAATTATCTGGATTGGCAGGTGTTGAGGTGGGCGGAGACGATGCCGGAGTGTTTGCGGTTGGGTGGGGATCAGGAAGATGAGCCAAGGAGTTTGCGGAGGCTGCGCTCTGTGTTGTATCTTCGCGCGAACCAGCTGCGTATGCTTATCCATCGTCCTGTACTGCACACAGCTGCGCATATCCGTCGCTATCCCGGTGAATCCGCGACAGTGGTTGATTTGGCCAAAGACACGATCCGCTTCATTGCGCATCTGCACGAAACTTCCGACATATACAGTCGCCAACAAGTCACCTTCAACTGGTTCTTGGTGTCCGCATTGGCAGTTCTGTTTCTAGCCGCCGCGCAAGCCCCAGGACAGTTCAATCGCGGGTGCAAAGAGGAGTTCTATATGGCGCTGGAACTGGTGAAGGGGTTCTCGACACAGTCGTATATATCGCAGCGGCTGTGGAAGTCCATTAAGAGTTTGCGGAAACTCGGGCCGCAGTTAGGGTTGTCACATGAGCACCAGCAGCAGCATCAAACTCAAGGGGACGGCTCATTGGGTGATGTACCCGCTTCCTCGACGGTACAAACGACACCACTAGACGGAAATCAGATGACGCAGGAGTTAATGGAGTGGTTTGAAACAGTGGGGAACCTAGATACATTCATGACCATGGGGGTTCCGGGCACGAATACAGGTGTGGAAGATGGATTGGCCATGCTGGATTATGGTGGGGAGTTGTCTAGTGTTATGAAGGATTGTTTTTAGATCCAGTTATATAATACAAGCATCCTCAGTCTGTCAGATCGGTTATCAACATATTTCCAGGCTCATGGGCGAAAACAAGTCCGTCAATCTTATCGCCAGCGGATTCCACTGCTACTTGTGGCGTGACGCCGCAGCCCTAAGTTTCTTAGCATAATAATGAAAGAGGTCAATGAAGGAAAACATACCCAAAAAACCGGAACCTCACCCTCCCTAATAACCGGCTCCTCCCCAAAATCCGGCTTCCCAATATCCTCAATCCCCAACTCCCTCATCCCCTCCCACCCCCAAGCAACCGGCTCCCCATGCGTCGCCAGAAACCTCCTCGTAACACTCCTAACCCTCTCCACATCCTCGGCCCTATACGGCCTCATCGACACAATACACGTAGCACCCGTGAAAACCCCCGCAGGCAACAACGGCAGATTCGTCCGATACATCGGCACAACGGCCCCTGTCTCCTGGTGCCGCGGCTTCAATCCCGCACGGCCCAGCGCGTCTTCGAAACTAAATGAGCAGCCGATTAGGAAGCCCACGTAGTCATCTGTGTCTGTCCAGAGATCGAGGATATCGCGGCGCTGGGCGATGCATTTCCCGTGTTTGTAGATGCGGTAGGCGGGACAGTCTGTGCGGATGTCAAAGTCCGGGGAGTGGATGGTTTGGGGGGGGTTGAGGGTGTGCGGGGAGCCCGGGGGTGTTGTAGCGAGTAAGGGACAGGAGACGGGGTTGCGGCGGCAGAGGTCGTGGAAGGATTTGGCGTGGGCGGAGGGGAGGATCAGGAGGTTTGCTTGGAGGTGGGTGGGGGAGAGGCCGGAGGTGTTTGTGATTTTGTTGGTGCGGGCTAGGAGGCGGGATTCCATACTGTACTGTATTCTGGATGTTCAATTGCTATTCTATTCTGTGGACTTCAATATGTATCTTCTATGCTAATATGTATATGCTTCTACCTCGGTAACCCCTGACAGCCAAATCCGGGGCCCCGCATAGTGGTTATCTCCACTATTTTCAGCTTATCAGATAGTTACATCGGCCCGACAGCATCGGGTGCGCGTTCCGAGATAGGCATGCTGTTGTTGATAACATTCATCCAGATATACAGAAGGGTACAAGTAGATAGCCCATTGCCATTCCTGGCCAGAAGCAACAATGGACACCCTCACCGAGAAAGAGATCCAACCCGTCACCGAGCCCCAAGATGACCAAACCAAAGAACTCCAATCCGTCACCCTCGACCCAGAAAAGGAGAAAACGCTCCTCCTCAAGCTCGATCTAGCCTTCGTCCCAATCATCATGCTCACATACTTATCATGTTTCCTCGACCGCAGCAGTATCGGGAATGTGCAGGTTGCAGGGATGCCCGAGGACATCGGTGCCTCGCCTAGTCAGTTCTCGACGGCGGTGTCGATTTTCTACGTGACTTATGTGCTGCTGGAGTCTATGTGGGCGGTGTTGATGAAGAGGTTGACGCCGAGGAATATTCTCACGGGGCTTTGTATTGTTTGGTCGATTTGTACGATTTTCACGGGGTTTATTCAGAATGTGGCGTCGTTGTATGCTATGCGGTTGATTTTGGGGGCCTGTGAGGCGGGGTTGTTTCCGTGTTTGAATTTGTATCTCACGATGGTTTATCGGAGGGAGGAGCAGGCGAAGCGGGTGTCGTATTTGATGAGTTGTGCGGCTATTTCTGGTGCCGTTGGAGGGTTATTGGCGTATGGGTTGTTGCAGATGGATGGCATTGGAGGGAAGGCTGGATGGAGGTAACTACTCCAAACCACTCTCAATGAGCAAATGCTAATCAAGCAGATGGGTCTACATAATCGAAGGCCTCTTCAGCGCCCTCTGCGCAATCCTAATCTGGTTCGGCCTCCCCAACGACCCAGCAAACGCCTACTTCCTCAACGACGAAGACAAATGGATGATGCGCGTCCGCAACGAGCAGCGCCGGCACTACATGGGCAGCGAAGAGTTCAGCTGGGCCGAGATGCGCATCGCCCTGTGCGATCCCAAGCTTATGTTCAGCAGCGTCACGCAGTTTTGTCAGGATATTCTGTTATACGGGTTCAGCACGTTTCTGCCGGGGATTCTGCAGAGTATTGGGTATGATTCGCTTATGAGTAATGTGTTGACGGTGCCGGTGTATATATGGGCTGCGGTTGTGTTTATTGCGATTGCGGTTTTGGCGGATCGGTTTTCGGTTTTTGCTTGGGTGAATCTTTATTCCTTGAAGTTCATGAGAGAATGCTAATAATTTAGTTCATCCTCGGATCCAACGTCTTCGGAATCATCGGCTATATCCTCCTCCTAGCCGTTTCCAACGATGCAGTGCGATACTTCGCAACATTCCTCTGCGGCATAGCCACATACACCAGCGTTGGCCTAAACATCGCCTGGCTAAACGTCAACGTCGCACCACACTACCGCCGAGCACTAGCAATCGGCATCCAGCAAACTGTAGGAAACTGCGCTGGCATCGTCGCCGGACAGATTTATCGCAGTTCTCCGTATGTTCTTGGGAACTCCTTTTCGCTGGGCTCGTTGATTGTAGCGCAGGGCGTGGTTTCGGCGCATGCGTTGTATGTCCGGGCGAAGAACAAGGAAAAGAGTGAGATTGAACAAGGCAAGGAAGATACCAGACGCGTTACGACGGGTGATGGGGAGTTGGAGTTCCGGTATCATTATTGATTCATCATGTGTTACGACATCTTTTATATGGGAAAGATAAGATTTTATATACTTGGTCATGTGATGCACAAACAGATATATTTCTCCGATTCCTGAGAGATTATCAGATTATCAGATTATCAGCACAATGGACGACCAAAGAGATGCACGAGGTATTCCCTCTTAACAAAACATATGTATAAAAATATGCTAATAAACAGCCATCTGGCTCGGCCATCTCCTGATGCAGTCATTTCTAGCCCGATGGCTGGTCCGATCTGACCTTCCGACGGACGAGCTCCAGGTGTGTCAACACTAACACCTCACCAAACACCAAAAACTAACTACAGAATAACTATTAGAACCGCCTTACAAACCTAGAACCCCGCCTCCCATTCCCCGATCTCTGCTGTAACCTCAGTCTGCAATTCCCATTACCAGGAACCGGCAAAACCGCCCGAGATAACCTGTACCTGTTCCTAGGAACAGCCTACCAGGCCTACCCGGCCACCCAAATGACCCAAATCCAGCAGATATTGGAAGACCATCTACAACAGATCCCAGATCCGCTTGCTCCTTCTAGTCCATCGGAGCAAGAAAAACCGGAAACAGATTCCGATTTAGCGAGGTATACATCGCTGCTGAAAGAAATGGGCGACATTCAAGGCGTGGTCCCGCAGCATGCTGAGACTATGCTCCAGCAGACTCCGCCGGTTTGGCGGGGGACGGCGAGTTATCGGGGTGTCTCGGCTGTCGGCGAAGGGAAGGGCAAGAAGGAGGCGAGGCATCGGGCATCCAAGGAGGTGTATTTACTGTTGCAGCAGTAGGCCATGTTAGAATCAACATTGAGCGGTTTTTTGCTTTCACGCTTTCACGCTTTGATGCATTTATGCTTGCGACAAGACCCCGCATCGAGTAGTATCTCTTGGCGGAAAATTTTCACGACGGGCAATTGACAATCCCCAAAGAACTGAACAGCGAGAAGAAGAAGGGAATCAGATATTTGAAATGTCTGAAAAAGAAATCCTTGTCCAGGCAATCCCTGCCTCCGACGCCCGGGATGCGGAAAAATCCCAGCAGTTTACAATCCATGAGCATTCGACCGGCTTTTGGCAGGCCCTTCGTCTAAACTGGCCGGCTTTTCTCTGGGGGATGTTTATCAATTTTGTATGTTTCGACGAAGAAAAAAATTTTTCAAGCATATACTGACCGGCGCAGGCCACCATCCTCAAAGGCATCGACGGAGGCGTTGTCCGCGGTCTCGTCGGACTCGACGCTTTCAAGCATACATATGGCTACAACTATGATGGCGAGTATGTCATCGCCGCACATTGGATCTCGGCCTTTAACTATGCCAATCTTCTCGGGGCCATTGTTGGCGCGCTATGTTCCGGTCCAGCTTATGACCGGTTCGGTCCGCGGTTGATGATGACGATCTGCTCGTGTCTGTCAATCGCATTTATTTTCCTGCAGTTCTTCAGCCATACACCCGCGCAGCTATTCGTTGGTCAATTGATCAATGGCTGCATCATTGCGTTCTATCCCATTTGCGCATCGGCGTATGTCAGTGAAGTCACGCCGTTGGTGCTGCGCGGATGTGTAGCTTCCATGACAAATCTGGCGTTCTCGATTGGTTCGCTCATCGCATCTGGTATCCTCAAAGGCACCGAGTCAATGGATACCATATGGTCGTATAAAATCCCCATCGCAACGCAATGGATCATGCCCGTCGTCATTCTCTCAAGCGTCGCCTTCTGCCCCGATCCACCATACTGGCTCTGCCGGAAAGGCAAGACAGATGCAGCATTGAACTCACTGCGTCGATTAGCCACGCCGCAAATCGACGTTAGTCTCAAACTAGCGCATATCCAAGAAACACTCCGACTAGAAGCGGATTTCAAAAACCACTCCAATCGACCAAACTACCTGGAATGTTTCCGCGGGCCCGACCTCCGCCGATTGATCATTTGCGTCATGGCATACGACATGCAGGCATTTGCCGGTAACGTCTTCTTCATCAGCTACGCCGTGCAGTTCATGGAAGTTGCCGGTTTGAGCTCATCAGATGCATTCTCTATGAACCTCGGTATGACTGCAATCGGCCTCGTGGGTACCTGTGTCTCATGGATGCTTCTGTCATGGGTTGGTCGTCGACCTGTGTATCTCGTCGGCTGCACTGTTCTTTGTGCGCTGCAGCTCTCCATCGGTCTAGTCGACGCTATCGCCCCGCAAGATGGCAGCGGTAATAAAGGCGCGACTTGGGCGCAGTGCGGTCTTATGATTGTCTGCACGCTAGTCTATGACTTGACTCTGGGACCATTCTGCTACGTGCTGCTAGCGGAGGTATCGTCTGCGCGGCTGCGTGGGGCGACTGTTGCTCTGTCGACGGTTAGCTGCTTCATCTGGTCGATTGTGTTTGCTGTGGCTATTCCGTATGCTATGGATAAAGACGAGGCGAACTGGGGTGGGAAGCTGGGGTTCTTGTTTGCGGGAACGACCCTGTTGTGTCTTGTGTATTGCTTCTTTTGCTTACCGGAGACGAAAGGACGGACATTCGAGGAATTGGATATCCTGTTCGAGAGGAAAGTGCCGAGTTGGAAGTTCAAGAATTATCAGATTGATATGACTATTGAGCGGGAGAGCACTGCTACTTCAGAGTCATAAAAAATAGAAAGCATGCTATTCAATATCAATTCTAGCCCCAAGAAGTCGAAGAGCAATTCATCATCTTCCCATTTCCTAAGAGCCTTGCGCTTCCAAGACTCCCGCCCCTCATCCTCGGAGTTGAAAGTTCGCTGGAGTCCTGTGAACAGATGTGAAAGTGTCTTGTGTATCTCAAAAAGAGCTCTCAGGGCCAAGAGTGAAGAAGAATCTCTGAACCTTTCTGCCATAAATGACACAGTTGGCAAGATCTTCATGGCCCTTTTCCCAAAAGATGGCAGCTAGCTGTAATTCATCCGCGTCTAGCTCATTAGAGACTAGAGCCATTATAGAATTCGGCCACCAGTCACATCATGCATGGGGAACGGAATGCTCCAGCTCTATGACTCCTACAATATCAAAAGAGTCAAGAGTCATTAACCAGAATGTGGTCACCCTTATTGTCTGGGAGCTTGAGGAAGAATTGGTCGCCTGATGGGACATCTTCCCAGAGATAGACCACGTTCCGTTATAATTTCGACTACGGAGCTCTGTTCACGTTGCAAACCTAGAGGCACCGAGAACCCCATCTGACTTGAACCCAGATAAGTTGATGTCATACACATAAAACCAGTAAATTTTCAGCTACAGTGGACAGAACATCCAGCCCGCCAAAATTAACATAATCCTATGGCCTTTCTCAACAAGACCAGGCGCATCTGCAGGCATCTCAGCAACCCCAGGCGACAAGGCACAGCTGAGCGCTATGCTTCCAGGCAAAGTCGCCGACAACTAGGGAAATAATTGGCAACGCATTTTTGCCATTATTTGATATCCGGAACAGCAACAACGGGTCATTGAGCGGCTGAGCCATGCACGTAGCGAGGAAAGGAAAGTGGGACGAGGCGAGGCAGATTCCTGACGATTGGGCAAAAAAAAAAAAAAAAAAAACAATTGACAGCTGTCAATGGTCGGCCGATCGCACCGTTGTTAGCTTTTTATAGAGACACAGGAACATTGAAGGTTCCAAAAGATCGTAGTTCAGTATGGTATAGGTTAATCAAGGGCAGGAAGTTGTATCGCCCGCGTGAAGACCGCCATGTTTCGGTGTCACCTAGATGAATGAGTGACTTGGACTCCGATCACTCTAACCTACTGCGGCGATATACGCACATCAATACTTACAATGTGCTTGTAAACCAGTTGATGGCGCATATTCGGACATGCTCGGGTTCTCTCGTGGATTTCCACAATCTCCGCAAGCTGAACACCAGGTGGAGCCCTTACACAATGTGGACAGCTGAGGGAGGATCATTAGCTGTGTATACATTGTGCGTGAATACGTGGTACCTATAAGGACCTACTCCGTAGGTTGTCCATTTCCCTCAATTCCCATTGACAAGTAAGTTAGCGCTCACTATATACTCTGTACTTACAGTAAATACCCAGGCCAGGATGATTTGGAACTCGATTTCTATGTAATTCAACCCATCCAGCCTTACCCCGGTCCCCGACAGGCAAAGATCAGTTTTCATCCTTCAATTTTGGTTTCTCAAATCCTCCCATATTGACGCAGCACCTCTGTTATAAGTCCTTTTCGCCTAGACTTTTTCATTCTTCTATACAAATTATAATGGCTACTTTTGACATCACGTACCTTGTTACAGTGTCGTTGAAACCAGATGAAGGTTCAACACTGCCGATCCAAGACCAAAAAGTGGTGTGGGTTCCTCCTGAGCATCCAGAAGAATCAGCTTACAGCGCTTGGCCCGAACGCCGTACCGGTACAACCTTTAACCAAGATACGGAAGATCTTTGGTTATTCGACCTTAATGTTGTGCTTGGCTCCAAGTCTAGCCCCACTGTCATGACCTTTACGATCGGGCCATATGTATTCGAGTACTCCTGGGGCTGGGAATTTTTTCGAGACATCCATGACCATAGTTTCGCGATCTCAGATCTGGAGACAAATAACGAGAGTCACAACATCAGAGCCCGAAACCAATGGCTTGCAATTCGGGCTCCAAAGATGAGGAACCCGGCAATCACCATCTCTGCCAAAGGCGAAGGGTATGCTGCAGTTAGGAAGGTCGGGCTGTTTGTGAGGCGAAATGCCAACGCTCTAAACGAGTTCATCTGTGTGAAAACCTCGGGTCGCCTTACCGGAAATTTTATAAAGAGGCACGAACACGAGCAATGGTGGGAAGATAGTCCCTGGATGCATGGCGTGGATGTGAAGAATTGTGCCATCACCATGTTCCCTAAACAGCTGTACGGCACTAATGGCAGCCGCGCGCTGTACAAAAAATTCGTCACAGTCGACGACGACGATAAGGATCGGGCGCTCTCTGAATCTCATCAGCATTGGGCACGAATGTATAGAGACAGGGAAAACACCCATGTCTCGCCGAAGGCGTACATGTGGCTACAGGATTTCGACACCAATTTATACTCAACTACGTCTGGCGAGGAACTGCTCAATTGGTCGAGCATGAAGCCTAGCCCTGAGGGAGACCCAGATAGCGGCATAAAGTGGCTGCTGGGAATTTTCAGCAGCATTACGAAAATCGTTACTGGTCTTGTCACAGGGAATCTGGCCGAGGCCATCGAGGGTACATTCGAATTGGGCGACAAACTGATCGTTGAAAACGCGAACACAAAGGGATTTATCACTGCAGTTGCAGAGGGTATGCCTCAGAAGATGGATATCGGTCTCAACACGAGGAACATTCCCGACTTGCGAGCCGGTGATACAAAGGGTGAAGATTTCGGTTTCACGGTCTCTAAGTAGGTAGTGCAGCAAATCCATTTGGAAACAGGATCTCAGGAATAGTGATTCTGGGCTTGTGCTGTATGGCGAGGCAGTATGTACTGGATGATATTTAGAAGTCTCTTGGATAGCATTCAGGCCACATGTGCTTGCTTGTGTGTTCTTTTTTCCACATGTATCTAGTCAGTCAATCATTCATTTTATGTCCATATCACTCAATATACGCATTTTATGCCCATTCCGTTGTTCAATTTCAGTGTTAGCTGTCATAGAGGTCGTTATCATACTATATAGTACATCGATGGCCATCACATACACATAAGATACGGACTCATGTTCCAATCGGCAAAATGAATGTTTATGCCTAAGGCAATTGGGTTTGATCTGAACTGAAGCCTCAGGCAGCCAGGGCACCTGAGCCCATCAAGTCCCAGGAGGACATTGGAACACGTCAAGGCTTGATGTTCAAGGCTGGTTCCTAATAAGTATGGTGGCCAATTCACCGGCAACACAAGCCACAGGGGAGAGTCAATCAGAGATCCGCTCCGAAGTACAAGAAATGCACGAGCCAGCGCTGGAGGGAAGTGAACCAGACCTGCACTGGCACCTGAGGAACCAAGGGAACTATTTCATGGGTGTACCCGCAGACTGAATAGCCGATATCGGATCTGATAAGATCAATCAGTATATAGACTGCGAATACCCCCGTCCCTTCCTTTCTAGCATACAAAGCCTAAAATGCTCTCTAAAATCATCCTAATCAACAAAATCATCCTCCTCGCCTTCCATCACCTCTTCTCTCGTCTCCGTCTAAAGATAACCTCCCTCGTCCACCGCATCACCTACCGCCCCGTCAGCAACCCCCGCGACATCGTCGTTATCGGCGCGTCCTTCGCCGGCTACCATACAGCCTACTGTCTAGCGCACTCCCTACCCACCGGCTATCGCGTGACGGTGATTGAAAAGAATTCGCATTTCCAGCTTACGTGGGTTTTACCCCGGTTTTGCGCGGTGAAGGGACATGAGTCCAAGGCGTTTATACCGTATGGGCCGTATCTAGCGAAAGCGCCAGGTTCGGTGTATAGGTGGGTGTGTGATGAGGTGGCTGCCATCGTTCCTGACGAAAAGGGAAACGGACAAGGGAGAGTTCTACTACGGTCAGGAGAAGAGATTGACTACGAGTATTTGGTGTTGGCGACGGGGTCGTCGGCTACGTTGCCGTCTCGTGTTGAGGAGGAGAGTAAGGAAGATGGGATACTGGCGTTGCAGGGAGAGCAGCAGCGTTTGGGCGAAGGTCGCGATGTTGTTGTGATTGGGGGCGGGCCGGCTGGGATTGAACTGGCTGCTGATGTGAAGACTGAAGATCCGGAGAAGAATGTCACTCTGATTCATTCGCATGGCGCGCTGTTGAATGGTCATTTTGGGATAGACATGCGTCAGCGCGTATTGAACGAGTTGGAGACGCTGGGTGTCCGAGTCATCCTGGGTGAACGGCCGTCTGTATCGGACGGGACAACGGAATTGACGCTGAGCACGGGCGAGAAGATCCCGTGTGACTGTTTGGTATGCTTCTTTCTTGGTGGTAAGATTAACGGGTACTAATTGCTGCAGGTCAAATGCATCGGTCAGAAACCCAATTCCAAGCTTTTTTCATTCTCGGTCTCTCCCTCGGGATACATCCAAGTCCGACCAACGCTGCAACTAGCCGATTCATCCATGGATAATGTTTACGCAGCGGGCGACATTATCGACAAGGACATCATCAAGAATGGCCGGGCGGCTATCGAACAAGCGCAAATTGTAGCACAGAACATCGTCCGGCGGATCCATGGAAAACAGCTGGTTGCATATCAGTCGCGGTGGTGGGAGGGCGTCACCAAGTTGACTATGGGACTGAGGAAGAACCTGGTGTATGTGAACGATGGCAAGACGGATATGGCTTTCTCGATGAAGAATAAACGAGAGGAATTGGACAGTGCGATGGTCTGGCGGTTTTTCGGGGCGAAGCCGTACGAGGACCCTGAATAACTAGGATTGTGTTACTGGTAGTTAGCATCATAGCAATTAGCAAACATCACCGAACCCACCGATATAAATACCCCGCTTTCACTTCACCTCTCCAATTCCATCAAACACAGCCAAAATGCAGCCCGGCGACTCTTTCCCATCAGACGTTGTCTTCCAGTACATATTCCACTCCCTTAAATCCTTCAGAAAAAAGAAAAAAAAAAAAAAAAAAAAAAAACAAAAAAAAAAAAAAAAAAAAAAAAAAACAAAAAAAAAAAAAAAAAAAAAAAAAAAAAAAAAAAAAAAAAAAAAAAAAAAAAACTCTAACCTGTACGCAATAGACACATCCCCTGGGCTCCCGAGAGCCAGGAGGTCACCTCATGCGGCATCCCGATCGCCTACAACGCCTCCAAGGAATGGGCCGACAAGAAGGTCGTCATTTTCTCTGTTCCCGGTGCATTCACCCCTACTTGCTCTGTTGAGCACCTCCCGGGCTATCTGAAGCGCCTTTCCGAAGTCAAGGGTAAAGGTGTTGATGTGGTGGCCGTGGTGGCTTCCAACGACCCGTTTGTTATGAGTGCTTGGGGGAAGGCTAATGGGGTGAAGGAAGATATGGTATGTCTCGTCATCCTTCTAAAAATGCACTGATAGTATAAATGCCGGTATTAATGAGCAGCTCTTCCTATCCGACCCCGACGCCCGCTTCGCGCAGCAGCTCGGATGGGCGAACAATGGCCGGACCGGACGCTGGGCTATGGTGATTGACCACGGAAAGGTGGTATATGCGGATATTGAGAAGGAGAAGGGTGTCAAGGTTAGTTTCATCAATTGAGTTGCTACCTATAGCATGCTAACTGTGATAGGTCTCGGGTGTCGATGCGGTCCTGGCTCATCTGTAGGATACCGCACTGGGTGTTTATGCCAATTGATAGGCTCAATCTTATCCTTTCAAGGAAATCAAAGCCGATACAAAATCATCATTTCTGAACATGATCACCAGTTTACTCCGAGTACGGGATTCCGATAGAGTAACTCCTTTATGCCGAGAAATACCCGAATTTAAGCTCAATTAATCAGCGTGACTAAGCTCTGCCTCGCGTGACGTCACTATTATCAGGGTCCTGCTTTTCTACAGATACTTCAACCCCTTTACCCCGTAGTTCATACTATTCCCCTACAGCAGTCCAATTAATTGCAATCACTCACAATGGCCCCTAAAGTCCTCATCGTCCTCTCCTCCCACGACCACTTCCCCGCCAATGGCAAGCCCACTGGCTGGTACCTCGTACGTCCACCCACTTAGTAGCCTTGCAGACATTCTAACGAAAACAGCCCGAATTCGCCCACCCCTACCATGTCCTGAAGGACAAGGCCGAGCTGGTGATTGCCTCGCCCAAGGGCGGCGAAGCACCCCTCGACCCTAACTCCGTCGAGATGTTCAAGAACGACCCTGTCTCCGCGGACTTCCTGCAGAATGGCCAGGAGTTGTGGAAAAACACGGTCAAGTTGGCGGATGTGTTGCCGAAGGTTAATGAGTTTGATGCCCTCTTTTACGTTGGCGGTCATGGACGTAAGTTCCCCATTCCTTAAAAAGTGTTGTGTTATGGGATGATGATGGCTGATGTATGAACAGCCATGTACGACCTACACTACGACCCCACCTCCCTCGCCCTCATCCAGTCCTTCTCCGAGGCCAAGAAGCCCGTCTCAGCCGTCTGCCACGGTCCTACCGTCTTCCTCCGCGCGACGTCTGCCGCCGGTCAGCCCTTGCTCACCAACGCCTCTGTTGTGACTGGTTTCTCGAACGTCGAGGAGGACCAGGCTGGTCTCACTCCTCTCATGCCGTACATGCTTGAGGATGAGCTCGTCCGGGTGACGGGTGGTCAGTATGTTAAGGCTGACCAGCCTTGGGGCGAGAAGGTTGTTGTTTCCAAGACGGGTAATGGGGCGGTTTTGATTACGGGTCAGAACCCGGCTAGTGCTACTGGTGTTGGACAGGAGATTCTTAAGGCGCTGGGTGTTAACTAAGCTATGGCTTGTATATACTCAATTTGCAGTATAGGTGTAATTGATACCATTGAAGTATATAATATCTGTCCTAATTTGCCTCCACCTATGGGGTCACAGCTTTGCCCGCACATTCTCCCGTACGACCAAACCACTAACAGGCTTGTTCTTAAGCATCCTTCGTAGAATCTTCCCACTCGCACTCTTAGGTATCTCCTTTACAAACTCCATTTCCGCAACGGCCTTGTGCCGGACCTTGTTATCATGAACGTACTTGATCAACTGTCGTCCAAGCTCCATCAGGGCCGCTTCATCAAGACCAGTCGCTTTTGTAACCACAAACGCCTTCGGCCGTTCTCCGGAATACGCATCGGGAGTTGAAGTAACAGCAGCATCAGCGACAGCCTCATGACCTAGCAGAAGATCTTCCAATTCTGCCGGCGACACGCCAATCCCCTTGACCTTGATCATTTCCTTAATGCGGTCCGTGATCGTGATAAAGCCTTCGTGGTCGATATAGCCCACATCACCCGTATGCAGCCAGCCATCTGCATCAAATGTTTCCCGGGTTGCTTTCTCATTGCTCAGGTAACCCATCGTGATTTGCGGTCCACGCGCGAGAATCTCACCCTGCTCGTTGTAGCCAAGCTCCTTGCCAGTATCAACGTCGATTATCTTGACATCCGTATTAGCGACAATGGTACCCACGCGCGCTGCGTAAGTGTACGACTGCTTGTCCGGGGGATGAGTTGTGATGCAGCTGCAGGATTCTGTCATGCCGTATCCCTGCTTGAAGCCAGTTTGGGGGAATTTGATTTCGAGCTTTTGTATGAGTTCGCCGGAGATAGGCGCGGCGCCTGAGGTAAAACGCGTTATGTGTGAGAGGTCGTACTTTGAGGTAGTGGAGTCATGCACCAATCGGATGACGAGTGGAGGGACAAGGAGAAGGTCTGAGATCTTGTACTCGGAAACGGCTTCCAGCATGCTGTCCATTGTGAAGGAGGGTATCATAACGACCTCGATGTTGAGGAGGACGGGTAGGTGCATTTGGTGTACGAGACCGGTGACTGTCTGGTTAGCTTCGCTATGGAAAGAATGAAGAGGCTAGGCTCACTGTGAAAAAGAGGCAATACGGCGAGTGCTTTCTTATAATCCGACGGCGTCACTTGTTGGACTTGCATGCATTGAGCAATAACGTTATGATGGGCGATCATCACCTAACGAGTCAGAAGTATCCAAGAGCAGTGGGAAGTCGGCCACATACAGCTTTAGGAAGCCCAGTAGTACCACTACTAAAGCTCAAAAACCCACAAACATCACGATTCGTCTTTCCATGGGGAATTTTAAACACCGCTGTCTGATCCGAACCATAGCTTTTGCCCATCTCCAGCAATTGCTGCATGTTCGTATACCCCTCATGGTCACCCTCAAGCAGAAAGATCCGCTCTCTAGGAATACCAGCATTCTGCGCAGCAGGAATAGCCACCGACATGGACGACGGCACCGTCATGAGAATCTTAGCCTGCGCCGTCTTCAGTGCATAGGTCATTTCCTCGATATTGTACGCTGGCGATGCGCCGGAAATGATCCCACCTGCACGGATAGTTCCCAGCATGGCTACCGGATACCAGATGGTGTTGGGACTGAACAAAGCTACCGTTTCGCCGGGCTGGAGGCCATGTTTCTTCACGAGAGCCGTCGAGAGGTAGGTGGTGTAGTCCTTGAGCGCATCGTACCGGACTCGCTCTTTGGTTACAGAATTGGTGAATCCGGCCAGTTCAGCCGCGGGCGTTCGATCAAGGCATGAATACTCCGAGTCGAACAAGAAGTCCCAGATGGAGTGGGTGGTGGGAACTGGTGTACAATTAGCAGCATACCAAGATCTCCATTCATGAGATGACCTACTGTTAAGACGAGGATGGTCCGATGCAAAAATCATCTTGTTAGTGATTGAGAAGAATATGAAACGGATAAACCAATGTAGCGGTTAAAACTCCGTATCGGGGAAGTCGGGGGAGTCGATTATCCGGACTGCACGAGGCTGTAGGCGACGAATTTTAATTACACAAGGAGGATAACATTGATCTCTATCTCTATAGACACAAAGGTGATGGAATGAGTGCTTGGCTATCTTGACCGAATGTGTGTGTGTCCGTATATGAAAGGTCTGTCAACCTCGGTAATCGGACCAACTATTAATCCACCTTGACTTTCATCAGAATATACAACTTCAGCTCCAGGATAAAGCTAAGGTCATGTTCCCCATATTTAACCTCGGGCATGTTGACAATCGCACCGCCACATGCAGAGAAGAAAGGAGATCGGTCAACTTGGGGAAGCAGCGAGGTTGGAAATCGGGCTGATCTCCGGTGGCTGTTCTCCTTGCAGCGGAGACCCGAGGATTACCGGATACGGAAGGCAAGTCACATAACACCCCGTAGACATAGTTAGATAAGATAGATTAGATAAGATAAGCAAATCAACATCAGGTTACAGGTCAGCTCACCGGCGCCCACTAAGCTCGGCTCACCGGTGGCCCACTTTTTATCACATGATGGTCACCTGATATGAGGGTCGACTCACTGGCGCCCACAAATAATTGATTTCACTTTGTTTTGACCTTTACCGCATAATCGTCCCCTTAAACTAGTTCAATACTACTACTTTAACAACGATGAGCGCATTGGTGAGCTGAGCTCACATGGCGCCGGTGAGCTGACCTGTAGTCACCTTTTTCAGTCCGAGACATGTTATTTGACTACCAATCGCAATGAGTCTCTTAGCACTTCCAAATGAAATCCTCTTGTCAGTTGCTAAGTCACTCGATCTCGCTTGGGATATCAGCGCGCTTTCCCAAGTACACTGCCGCCTTTATGCCCTATTGAATCGTCTTTTTTACCGGCATTACAATGTCGGCTATTTTTCGTGTTCAATGCCCGCTTCAATTCTGAAATGGGCAGCAGAGCATAGGAAAGAAGGAATTGCAAAGAAGCTCCTGGATGAAGTTCCCATTCGGGATATCGACCACTATGTGGGTGGAAACCTAATGTTATTAGCGGTAAATGACAGACATGAAGCCATAGTGCGCGTGCTTCTGGATAAGGGAATCGGCCCAGATCCGTCTTCACGGCTCCGGCGCGAACGGCCCTTTTATTATGTAGTGCGAAGAGGGTATGTCGCCGTGGCTAGAATGTTACTCGCAAATGAAACGAACGGAGGATATCGGCGTGTCGATAAGTTGTTTACCGACGCGATAGTATCGGCCGGATCTCTCCCTATGGTCAAGTTCTTGGTGGAGGAGATGCGCTGCGATCCTAAGCTCGAGGAGGCAATGTCTCCATTTATGCTCGCGGCCGAACACGACCGGGTGGATATACTTTAGTATTTGCTCGAACTGGGGTTGAACGTGAACACCGATTATTCTAACGTAACGGGGAACGCGGTGAAAACGGCAATTTGCTATGCTGCTAAAAAGGGCCAAAACAATGCCGTTCGTTTTCTCAGTGAACATGGCGCGGGTTTGAACCCTATGAGGGGAGAGGAGCCAATCACCATGCTACCATTCCGTGAAGCCATGGACGATGAGCGCATAGAAACTGCAAAACTCTTACTGGACCACATGGATCTCAGCACGCTCCCAACGGACCATGATGGACAAGCTACGTTCATATGCATTGCAGCTGCCTCTGGCTCCGAAACACTTGTAGAGCGATTGCTCAAACATGGCTGTGATCCAGAAGCAATTATCAAGACTTGTGGTGACCTTGGTTTGAAATTTGGAGGATGACTGCACGGCGAGTGTGTGGGCAGCTACATTTGGACATGTGAGAGTGTTAGAAATGCTGCTGGATCATGGTGCTGCCCTCAAGTATCCATATCTAGCAGCCGTTTACTCAAGGCAAATGCAAATTGTCAAGTTATTATTGGCAAGAGGGGTAGACCTGAATTGCTGGCGATCCGATGGTGAAAATGATATATTGTCTTCTGCCGCGGCCGATAAGTCTATGTTCAAATTCCTGCTTGAACATGGCGCTGATATCCGGGTCGATAAAGATGGCGACTCTCTGTTGAGGGAGGCAATTCTCCGTAATAATCTAGCGGTCGCTGGGATGGTGTTGGATCGGCGAGTGAAACCAGAAGATGAGCGCAAAGTCCTAGAGAGGGCTGCGACATGGGACACATCCGGCGTGCTTGCGTTGCTTTTCCAGCGTGGAATTGTCTCTGGTCGAACCAAGTACTATCGCTCAACGAAAGCAGTAGAGCTGGCATTAGAGGCACACAATGCCCCTGCCCTCAAAATCCTGCTTGAGAATGGATGGTGCCTTTTTGATTCTGAGTTATACCGCTCACATCAGCGTGATGGAAGCCAGGACATCATTTATCATGCTTTTCAAGCACGCTCCCCTGAGGAAATTGAAAGTATGCTCGACATACTATTCAGCAACGGCGTTCAGATTAATAGGACAGTCTGTAATACGACAAATATATGGTTTCCTATCCTCGAACGGGATGCGTACAGCCTGAAATTACTCCTGGGGAGAGGCGCAGACCCTCTTCATCTCACTGAATACAATGAAATCCCACTGTTTTATGCAGTGAACCGGAACTTCGCTGCAGGAATCAAGCTTCTACTGGAAGCAATTGTCTCTTCTGAGAGGATTTCGCGAAGGAAGCTAGCAGAGGATGTGCATTTTGCTCTGGCATGGGCACTTAATGGCGTTAAGTGGGACGCTGCAAGAGTCTTGCGGCGGTTTTACTACCATGACCTTGACGGCACAGCGCTAATAGCACCTCCATCCCATAGGCAAGTAAAGGACAAGAGGGACATGGACGAACAGGAATGGGCGATGAAGTATTTCGGCCCCGACATCTAGCAATATGATCCAATATATGGTTGCATTTTTGGCGTTTCTGTTTAGTGTGCTGTATCTATCCTATTTCTGTTGTTTTTAAACATGCCCTACTTGCTCCCCGACCATCTACAAATGTCATGTGGAACTGGGCTACCCGACTGAGCATGTCTTTGAAATGTGAAGTGGCACTCAATTCTGGTCGTTTGTTTTCATCCTGTTGACCATGATAGTCTCGAGCTTCGACGTTTGCAGCTTGTCTTTCAGGACGGGTGTTGCACTCTGGAATGCTCATGCCTGAGATCGCCAGTTCCTGGTGGTACACATCCCTTGCAACCTCACTGCCATGGAGCGACAGTTGTAATACCAAGGCATGCCTCCGGTAACATATCTAAAGCTCAACTCATAGCCATTGGACTGATTGGTAAACTCCCACCAGCGTTACCAGGAAACCAATAGGTAGTGTGGGTTTTCAATAATGTCGGCTATTTTCGGTATCAGCAAACGAATGCCAGACAACCATACTTACCAAAATTCCCCGGACTGTCAAACGGGTGAGTCGTACAGGGTGCACCCACTGTGGCTGTTCAATGATATATACAGGTGGGTTTCCTTCGAGATAAAGACTTTCATCCATTTTGGCTCTTGTATATCGTTTTACGGCACAGCATCATGCGCGTTGGTACCGTGATCTCACTTCTAGCTTGCCTCGGCCTGAGCTCCGCCCAGGTCATCACTCGCGATGTGACTGTTATTGGCGGTGGCTCAGCGGGCACATACGCGGCCGTTAATCTGCGCGAGAGGAATCGAACTGTTGCCGTTATCGAGAAAAGCGGTAGGCTGGGCGGCCATACCGACACCTACTTCGACTCAGCTACCGGCACACACGTTGACTTCGGCGTGATCTTCTACGAAAACTTGACGGTCGTTCAAGACTACTTCAACCATTTCGGTATCCCCTTGACCACCGTGCCTCCGTCTGGCGGAGAGCAGCCCCAGCGCATCGATTTCCGTTCCGGGACACCTGTCGACGCTTCGCAGGGTAATGTCTCCGACGCCCTATCCCGGTATGCGGTGCAACTGCTGAAGTACCCCTATTTAGCCGTTGGGTTCGACCTACCGGATCCGGTGCCTGAAGACCTAACGCTACCGTTTGGCGAGTTTGTTCAGAAGCATGACCTTGGCGCAGTGGTGGATATCATCTTCTCCTATGCGCAGGGTGTGGGTGATCTCCTGCAACTACCGACGATTTACGTGATGAAATACGTTTCGTTAGAGGTGCTGGACGCCATTCAGAACGGCTTCCTCCAGACGACTAACCGCAACAACGGCGCGCTGTATGTGGGTGCTGCGGAGCAATTGGCAGCCGACATCTTCTTCAACAGCACCGTAGTTTCCATGGACCGCGACAGCGACCCGGATTGGGTACACATCGACATACAGACACCAGACGGTCACCAGAGCATTCGAACAAAGCAGGTTATTTCCGCCATACCACCCACACTGGAAAACCTGGACGGCTACGATCTGGACGAAGTTGAACAAGGGCTCTTCGGCCTGTTCAGCAGCAGCTGTTACTACACGGCCCTAGCGCGGGTCGACGGCCTGCCTGCTGGGATAACCGCCTTTAACCGCGCAAACGAGACACAGTATAACCTCCCGCCATTGCCGGGCGTGTATGTCTTGACCCCAACCGCCGTGCCGGGTCTTTACAGCATCTTGTATGGGAGTGAGGATTTTATCAGTGAGGACAATGTCAAGGAGGCCATGTCGCAGGCCGTGCAGTATCTGCAGGTGAATAGTAGCAATCCGGAATATGTGGCCTACGAAGCGCATTCGCCGTTTGAACTGAAGGTATCGCCTGAAACTATTGCTATCGGTTTCTATCGGGAGTTGAATGCGTTGCAGGGACATCGGCGGACATATTATACGGGGGCTGCTTTTGATGCGCATGATTCATCACGTATTTGGCGATTTACAGAAACGCTGTTGCAGAGGATGCAAGGGAAGCAATAAATCTATACCAATGTTTTGAGTTGTTTAATAAAACATCTCCAGACCCGGTCTAGACTTATGTGCATAAAATGACACAATCAATATTCAGGGGTCGTCAGCTCTGTGACCTGCGTCCATGGTACATGTAAACTCTGTATGTTCGACAATCGATTCTGGGCTTGTTCGATGATGTCTTAGTTCTATTGCCACTGGGCCTTGATTAGCGAACCACGGGAGAATTCTCCGATAACATTCCTTGCCTCGACAGATTGGGTTATGATGATGTATTCATTTGCTCTTGGTTATTTAAACAGACGACCTTGTCCGTGGTCTGTCAATTGGGCCAGATTCTAACTGTTGCAACCTGGTGAGACTGCCCTCTTAGTCTCTAGAGAACTACATTCGCTAACAAAAAGAAAAGACACTGCTCTGCTCTGCTCTGCAGCTGATCCCGGAGCTACATCCGCAGCCCCAGTCCGTCCAGACCATACCAGTATCTAGACAATGAAGGCCACCACCCTCCTCGCCCTCCTCGGCCTCTTCGGAGCAAGCGCCACAGCAGTCCCAGCAGTCAACTTCCCCCGACAAAACGGCAACAATCACCCGGTATCCTGGGAATTCTTCCTCTTCCAAAACACAAACTGCACAGGACCTCAGGATACATTTTCCGGAAACGGGACCACGGCTTGTCGGAACGATATCCGGCATGGTAGCGCGTTGGGGTTCATTAAGGATGATATTAGCCCGGGGTGTGTGATTGAATTGTTTAGGGGGAAGAATTGTACGCAGAGTGTGAGGAATGTTACTTCGAGGACGGAGAGTTCGTGTCAGGTTTTGCCGGGGTCTGTGTCGAGTTTTGATGTGAAGTGTGCGAGACCGAGGTTTGTTGTGCCTAGGGGATAGTATATTAGATGGGGGCGGGGAGTTCTGCTGTATGTACATGCGACGAATGATGAATCTAGATTAGTTTACTTGTCTAATATAGTTTCTAGAAAGTTAGATGGTCTTACTGTGACTTATCGATGGAATATATCCTACGAAGATGCATACAAACATCACGAATGTTGCCGTCTTAGTAGGTAGGGTGTTGAAGACGGAGATGCTTTCCATGCCGTCCACGGGACTGATGTCCGATGACGCTGACTGGGGATGAATGATGATTAGGGTTTCCTCCCCAGATGCAGTGACAATGGAATCCAGATCATAGAGGACTTCTGAGTCTTTTCCTTCTTGTTTAGTTTTCCCTTGGTGAATGCACTATGTCATGCACTGCCAGTAGCTGATGGTTAAAAGTTTGGGGGTATATAAACGTCTCTTTTCCTCTCGCTCCATCATTCTTCTATATATCCTACTTCATCAGCAAAGCTGATTGATCCTGCTTCTCGTCCTATAGTGTTGTATGCTATATAGTAGTATGCTTTTACTGGGAATACGTTGTATCTCTTTCGGGAATATGCCCTCTACACGGTGGGAGCAGAGCGCCCTTTTCATTCTATAGCCGCCCTCGTTTCATTCTTCAAACGAAACTGATGGATTGTCTCCCTTTATTATACTCACTACTATTTCCACCATTTATACCATTCTTACCATCATTTTACGAACCATCCGTTAGAAGACTTACCACGCATATCAGCAAAATGATATGATAAAGAAGAACAAGAACAAGAACAAGAAAACTAACACTAGCAGACAACGGTTCACAGGCATCCGAAGGCAGCATCGATCAACCATTCGATCTTACTGCAGACACAAAGTCGGGAGTTAAGCCTCGTGGAGAGTCTCAGATACCTAATGCAGAATCTGGAATGGCGAAGACAGTTTCATGATGGTTCGCAGTTTACTGGGAACATCGAGAGCGCCCAATTCATGCTCAACCATCAGGTCGAGCTGAATGTGATGCGCGAACCGCAAACAGAAATAAATGGCACCGTGACTATCCTGGCAGAAAAACTCGCTGTATTGCGGTAACTGGACAAGAAACGGGACGCAGAGGAAACTTGATAGTCCAAAAGCCACTCTCACAGAGGGATCGGAAAGTTCTAGGCGCTAATTTCACTCGAACGATACAGCTCCGTCGACAGAAGCAAGAGGGAGCCAACCTGGTATATGATACAGACGTTTCGAAGTACGCACGCCTCCACAGTACAAGCAAATACAGGCGGCACCGCGTGGATATTTTCCTTCGTCTTCATGGAGCGACTGCAGCTACCGCAATTAATTAATTTGCTGCTTATGCAGAGCATGGCCGAGAAACACACGGTCATCCCTTCCTCGCAGACAGCAACTCAATGGTTGTTACCACCGCGTTGCCTGAACGTCGCCAAAGTATGGATTCGATCTGAAGGTAACAAGACCAAGAATTGAGTAATTCCACCGGGCTTGTGTGAAATATCCAAGCGATATTGACGATCATACGAACTGATCTGGGTGCAAGCTGCCATTTTCCGTGTAAAAGAGCAGAGAATGTTGACTTCCCGGCGGTAATAACTCCAAAGGTTTTGGACAAATACATAGGCTGTCCTTGAAATGCCTTCTTTAGCATTTCTAAACACCATACCCTGGTTATACGTACTGTTCCTTAGTACGCCTACGGGTCATTTTTATACCGACAGGAACATGGTGCTGTTTCTCTCGACCCTTTTCCCAACAAGAAACTAGGCAAGCAACTCTAGTAATCCCAGCTATTATCATCATCACTACCAGCACCATCACTACCGCTTTCACCAATCATTACCACCACGAATGCTTCCACCAATTACAGCGGGTTGGTGAGACCGTTCAAGAGGCAACAAGAAGCAACAATTTAGATCCTGCAGACCGAGATACATTCTATCTTTTACCGAGCCAATTAATAGAAGATTTCTTCAACGAACTCTTTCGAGGTTGAAACGCGAAATTCGGATACAAAACGCAACGAAAGAACGGGGGCCTGACTTACGGCAATCCCTTTCATCTTTCAATTCGAGGACGGAATAAAGTTGGATAGGACTATCCAAGACTTGAAATTTTGGACGAAAAGAAAGTGATTCAAAGCAATGAAGCAGGAGCTCGCTATACGCAAGGATGAAACCAGTTTGTGAACGCTGGGTAGATACATACCTGCGAGACAGAAATTGGAACTTCTACTGAAGTCACCCAATATCTATGGAAACGTCAGCGCTTATATCTGACTACGAAATGAGTGAGCACATTCATCGAAACCCATACATGGGGCGTTCAAATTCTCTCGCAGGATAGCAGAGAAAACCAACTAGTGCATGGCCCAGATGCTGCAAGCATGGAACAGTACACAACACATTTGGACCGACCTGGTCTTTCCAGATGCACTGTCGGTACCTGGAAACATACGCCAGAGACCAGCTTTACTGTTATGAGCCGCATAAAAGATGCCAACAATCTGGTGCACAAACCAGGCGTGATTGAACATGGCAGTCTTTAATCGGGCAAAGTCCCCGAGACGGTTTGACCATGGGACGACACCAGCAAAGACGAAATCCCGAGCCTCAACGGTTGGAATACAATCAACTAATTTGCCGCGATCGCAGAAGGGAAAATCGAGTATCGCGTTGCGTATAGAGCTGGTGTTTGACTTGAGTTAAAGACAGTGAAAGGTGCTAACAAGTGGTAGACCTACTTTTTGGGCTATTGACATCTATAATGAGGAAAAGCTTTCAGCTGAGACTATGACTACTTCGCAAACGAACAGAGATGATGTCTATAAAAAAGACACTGATGGTTACAGCTGTGTCCTCATACCGAAAGCTTTCAACTCAAAAATCGAAGGAAGTTGGAACACTGTACCTCCTATGGAAAAACCTACTTCTGCTAGACGAGCCATTAAAGCTAGGTCCGGAAGATAAATTGGCAAAATTCGGACAGAGCCCTCGAATCATTCAAGCTCATTTCAAAGGCCAAGTGGTCTGACATCGCAGTTCTCACCTCTAAACAGAATCCGTCATAGATGCTTCGAAGGTGATCACAACCGTGAAGGCATTTTTATCAATAAAATGATATGCCATACTTCTTTGCTATCATCGATTTCGTTCGCAGTTACTTCTTAGGTACAAGGTGTATAATAACTATGTCATAATTTTAAGTATGCTTCTCTTTCAGTGCTACTTAAAATGCAACGAACAAAATAATTTGCACTTTCAACCCACTACCAGCGTACATTCAATTTTCTATCGCGACCATGGCAGAAACTAACTATAGACCCACTCCAAGATCTTCAACAGAGTTTCGAAAACCTCAAATCACAATACGTGACATGGAGCGCGGATTTCCATAATGGAATCGAAGAACAGTTACAAACACTCTGTACACTAGATCTCGAGGAAGCACGCATTCATTTACAGAGTTCATCATCCCGAGATGTGCCTGAAGAAAACGCCGAGGGGGAAGTGGGCAGCCCGGCATCCCGAGAGCTGATGCTAATGCTGACATCTCTAAGAATAACGAAGAAGCGATGGATTCAACTACCGACTTCAACACCCGCTTTGAAGAACTATCGCAAAAATTCCATCTGTTGAGATCAAGACGCTAAGAAACGAAGTTGGCCGGCTTGAGGAGCTCTCAGGGAAACAAGGAAAGGAACTGAAGATGAGCCAGAGATTGGCCATATTGGAGGCTAAGAAATCAGAGCTGCGCAGCGCATCAGACTCACCGACGGATCGGCGACGATGGGTGCATGTGTACGGAAGTTTTTCAAAATGAGAATCCGAGCAAGAGCAAGACAACCGGAGTACGTTCTTATGTGAGATATTTATACTGACTCGCCCAGGTGGTGATGGAGGTATGTTTATATTACATGTTGGGATTTGTTACTGTTTCGTTTCCCAACAGTTATAGGTTTATTATATAACATGACAGAATTCCGCTTTGCTATATACACATGCAATAAATCAAACCAAGCTGTTTACTCCTGCTTCTGGATAGTAAACGGACCCGCCGCATTGTAAATCGTAGGCATCTGAGGAGCCGTCGACAACGAACCGCTCAGACGCAGATACCACACACTCTCGTCGTCCACAGTGGGCAGATCCTCGGGGATGGTAATGGACACCTTGCCATCCTTCTCAGAGAAGCCATCTGTGAGCTTAACCTGATGATCGTAGTTGATCGTGTCCAGGTTGCGAACGGGGTTGTTGTACAGCCAGACGCTGTAGTAGTCACCCGGGTACTGGGCCAGGGGGTCCTCGCAGTTAGTGGTAGGGGCACGGTTGAAACGGATGTCGATGGTGGTGCCGGGGGCGACGGTGGAGTTGTCGGGGACGCCTTGGTAGACGTTGACGCAAGAGTAGTCGCGCTTGCCCCAGGCTGTTATGCTTGATTAGTTATGCACGGTATGTATGTTGTGAAGAGTGAGGGACGTACGCAGGTACTTGTCAAAAGCCGTAGCGCCGGCGGCGAGGGCAGCGGTGGCAATGGCAGCGGAAATCTTCATTTTGGAATTGGCTTTTTTGCGATTGAGGATAATGAGATGAGATGATTCTGGTCAGAGCAGACGTGGTACTTATATTCACTCGTTGTCCTCAGGCTATAAATAATATCCGTCCGGATGCCCAGGGTCCAGCATCCGATTGGACCGATTTAAGACATGCGGTCGTTAGTGCCGAATGGGTCACTTACCCGATTAGGAAAGTTGATGTTGGATATCCGGGATCGGGTGAATGTCGGGATGAGGTCACTTTCTTCTTCTTCTTTTTCTTCCTGCTGTCATTTCACTAGCTTCTGGTATTTCCCTTACGGCACTCTGTCGGACACATGTATAGACATCTGCACTTAATATAGGCATATACTGAGCCGGTCTACTTTTTCATAAGGCATTGAGTCCATCCTCAATAGACTTCTACTACTTCCAGTACTACCAGTCTTACAATGGCTACAATAATTCCCAACGTCATTGCCGACCAACACAGCGATAGTACTCAACCAAGAAAAAAAGGTTCCTTTGCTAGCACACCTAGCTTAGCAACAATAAATCAGATGGGTCGGCTCTTCTCAGACATTCAAAGAGGGATGACATGAGAGCACAACAAACGAAGTAAACAAACCCGGGACACCATAAGTGGGTAAACAACTATCAACCTTTTCGCTTGTGGTTTCTGCCCTTCCTAGTGGGAAGCTTCTGCATGACATTTCCATGAAGTGAGCATGGATAGCTCGCCATGCTCAAAATGTGATCTGTTTGCAAGGGAACGCTTAATTTTTGAAGACACGAGTATTATCTTTGCATCCCCTCTTCATAAAAGATGGCTCATCGCTATCTGAGGAAATGCACAGGGAGCTCAACACGTTGCAGTTGTGGTGCATGAAGTACCAAAAAGCCGGATGCGTACAGACTGGCAGCCAAGGCTTGCTGGGTAATGCGAGAGCGTTGGATAGGTTGCTTCAGACATGATGACTTGCTTTCACGACCCTGACGAGGCGTGGAGGAACGAATTGCAGATGACAATACGCTGGCCCATTGGCCTGACGCGGTCATCCACGCGATTGTTCATCGTGAGGGTGCCTATACTTTCGAGATCCTGACGATTTGGGTTAACCATATCCTGCCATTTACATTAACGTATCTGACTTGGTATTCTAGACGATACCGACAGAGACCCCGTCGAGACTTGCTAAAATAGCCGGACAAATTGATCAAGTTATTGAAAATGGTCGAAGTAAATCTCAAGACCATTCAGAACCCGCTAACACACGTTGGCAACAGGATATTACGACTTCTTCAACGAAATCAGGAATATTTCGGGATAAATCGTCTGTCTAGATCTTGTGGAACGCTGTTTGGTTCTGGATTGGTTTTGGTCCGTTTGATGACCAATTCCTCACTCTCACCAACCAGAGAATAACATCAATCTGGAAGATATTACATCAAACAGCCTTCAACTCCTCCTCACATCGTTCAAGCACATTAAATCTGTTCCAATTAGCTCTATCCCACCACCTCGGAGAATATAGGAATGCATACCCAGAATCATGAACCAACCGACTCGCAAACGTATTCGGAACTATCCAGTCAGCATCATCCACGATGACACCAATAACAATAATAACAACAAAAACATACCATCCATCCCATCCTCCATATATTTCATTACCCTCCCCTCAACCTCCTTCTCCTTCCCAACTCTAACCGTTGAAAGAACCTGTACTCTCGACGCTCGTTTTGTGCGTACTTTTTCAAACAATGCCAATCGCGCGGGGAGATCTTCTGCACTATGCAGATCCCGGAAGAGGATGCTGATTGCACCGGCGTCTTCGATGGCTTGGTTTGCGCCTTGGCCGCCGAAGGGGAGCATCTACACCACACCTATTAGAGATATATATGGAAATAATAGGGAGTGGGGAAGGGAGGTACAGCGTGAGCGGCATCGCCAATGAGGAGGACTTTATGGTAGATCCATGTTTTGAGGGGTTCGTGGATCAGGAGGGGCCAGCATTTTACGTCGTCAGCGAGGCTGGTCTATTGTTAGCCATGAGACTGTAGGAAACGGGGTGAAGAGCGTACTTGATTATCTCCGGGACGATTTGGTTGAAGTGGCCGAATTCTTGTAGCATGTCTGACTTCGCATCGCCAGAGCTCCTCTCTGGTTCTCGGGTTAGATGGATGCCAACGAAGTTCTGGACTTGATTTCTATTGCTTCTTTAGTACAATCCGTGCCAACAACGAGTGGAAAGAACGACGCACCCTCGACACCCATACCAAATCATATGCTGCACACTATCAACCCTCGACGTATCCGCCAACAGAGCCGAATCTCCCGTTTTCATGCGCATGGCATCCCTGATTTCCGGTCTAGCCATGAGCGTCTCCGTAGGCAGTAAAAAACGGAATGCGCTCATCCCCGTTTCAATAGCCCTGTTGCTCGTGTTTGAGTCTGGTGGAACTACGCATCCACGTACTGTGGAGTGGAGTCCATCTGCTGCGATAACTAGATCGGCAGAGTGGACGGTGCCATCAGTTAGGTATACCTGGCCGTTGAGCGCGTCGACATCGGCAATCGGGGAACCGTATTGGATTTTCACCGGTGACGTGGAGATACTCTCCGCCGACGTGGTCTCCAGAGCTAGCCTCAGCAGCTCCTTGTGCAGATCCACGCGGTGAACGGTATGGTAATCCGACCCAGTAATACTAGCAACGTTTTCCAGGCTCTGAATCGTAATCTGTCTCAACGTCAAACCGTCCATCACTTCCCAAGCCTTGTGCCGGCACGCTTGCGCTCGAGCGAAATCAAAACCAAGATGTTCCAAGACAAGGACGCCATTTGGAGCTAGGGAGACGGCAGCGCCAATTTCGGTTGCGAAGCGGGATTTCTCAAAGATCTAATCTGTCAGCAAGAGGAATGGTGATGAGTAGTTGGGAATATACCTGCACTTTGTGACCAGCCCGTCGAAGGGCGATGGCCGTGCAGAGGCCCGAGATGCCTGCGCCGACGATTATGATGTCCAAAGCCATGATGTTGAATTTGGAGATGTTGGACTTTTTGGAATGAAATGATGGTCGACTGCAAGGAAGCTGAGGTCACATGTTGAGCTGACCGCTATCTATGGATGCATGATGCGGGAAGTAAGCATGGTTATATCAGGCTGAAGACGAGTTCAATTGTAATTACCAGTCGTTGCTACCTGATAAGTGTATAATCTGCCGATATTCTGTATCCCATCGCTCGAATAGTCGATATATATTGATAGGATAGGACCATCACGGCTGGTTTTTATTCCGTGCCATTCGGAGATAGTCTATTCCATGAATGTCCGTTTTCGTCGACAAATCGCTACATCTCAATGTATTAGTCTGGTGTACATCCGCACTATGGTTGCATCCGCTGCAATGCCAGAACTCTAAGCCCAGCAACCTTATGGTCTAACGCTCGCCGCCCGTCCTCGAGACAAATGACTGAACTTGCAATCAAGCAATGTTCTAGCATGATGGCGTTGGAAAGCTATGGCCAGAGGCAGGTCCAGGCTCTATAGACGGGTGCATCCTTGATCGAACGCCTTGTCGTCTTTCCCAATCCCGTATATCTCAATCCTTCTACCCCTGGAACACCTACTGCGGACCAAAGATCTCTCCCCTTGCTTCGTTAGATCTGCCAAACTGAATACGAGAATGAACCACGGATACTGTTATAACGGCGATAATTAGCTTGGGACCCGAGTCATGGCCGATCTATAGAGTTCGCGTTAGCTAGATCCATGGTTGTGCGGACAGCATACCTGGGTTCGTCTCGAGATTTACGGATTACTTGTATTGAGACGCAGTAAGCTGTCTGAGCTTTGCATAGTGCTGGATAATGCGGTTCTGTTATCGGTGCAGGGTCGAAATTCAATATTGGTAGGATTCACGGACTAAGTCGATCCATCTGAGTGTAATCTGTGGTTCAATGATCTGTGGAGCTTAGCCCATTGTCCCACTGTAGTGGAGCAATAATTGTCCTTGGCCTAAAGCAGTGGTTTGACTGAGAGATGAAACGAGGATGTGTTTTGTGTGCGATACGTGTCAATTGCCATCAGGTGGCTGCACACAAAACGCCACAGAATACTATAGAAATCAATTTTTGAGAACCCGGGGGATTCGATCCCCTTTTTGGCCCTGACCGTTAGGACCAACCTTGAGTTTATGCAGGAGCATAGTGCGCGGTAGTTGGTTGGATATTGGCTATGAAGTCCATCCATTGAATTCTATTGTGCGTTTAGCCGCGCGAGATCTTCGGGGATCTTCTGCAGAATCTACATAGAATTTCTAGGAAATACGAGGCCCAGCGAATGAGCGAGACTGTAGAGGAAATAATTCTCCGTAATAATACCCTTGTTTGGGTTCCAATTTCTGGTCTTTTCTTTTGTGATGTATCGACTAGCATATCGACTCGTATCGCGTACTCGGGGTATTTTTGGTGGATGCACACCTTCGGATCCGGCATATTCTTCTTCACTTGGTGTGCTCTGGATTATTTCTACTCGTGGGAATAGAACAGCACGAAGGATTCTCCCGCCAATAGACCAGAGTAATAAACTCGGGACTTTTGTTGTTTTCCGGGGCAGACAAAGTTTATCGACGTCCAACGTGCCCCTGAAGAATACCTGCATTATTCATTCATCGTACAAGTCAATTTTTTCTCTTGAATCAAGCAGAAAGCCTGGGACTGATTGGATGATCGCTATGCTGAGCTGTTCTGGACGAATTTGCATCCCCACTTTGTTCATGGGAGAATATTCTCCCGCATTTCAAAGAGGGTCCAGGTGATTGATCACTGTACGGAGTAGTTCGAGACTGCGTTCGGGTGTCGACCTCGTGGTCTATGGTAAAGTATTTATGGTGTCGCCCCATAGAGGAGACAAGGGTATCGAGGTCTTTTTGCTTGTCTGACATCCGGCTCATGGGCGCATTTGGCAAATGCGACTAGTCCCGTGTTTCTTTGGGGCCATGGAAGCCTCGTTAACTAGCGCTGGGTTCATATCAATGGTGTGTTTTTGTAAACGATGGCATGCAGTGCTTTGGCCTGCAACAGGGTAGTTAGTAGGCTGTTCTTTCGTCGGATATGGTACAACGGGTAAATGAGCAGCAGCGTGAGGGTGCTCTGTACTCACTATTATAGCTATGTCCCTTTCTTGTGGCGGTATTCCGAGGACCTTCTTCCGTATGCCAGCGTTGGAACCGCTCCGAACATGAGTTTGTATGTATCCACGGCGATGTCGTTCGAAAGGACGTCGCGTATCAGTAAAAGCGCTTTCGGAAAATTTCTTGCATAGAAAGAAAATGATAGCAAGAATAACAGAAGATATACAGAGTAGAGGTGAAGGCCAAAGAAGTGAATGACTGTTACCCAAACAGGAAGGCGCCAGAAACCCACCTAGCACGCACTGACAGGACAATCAAAGCCAATGCTTCAGAGTGTTAATGTTAATATTCTACACTGAAAGTCCAGTCGGAGCACTTCCCATTTTTGTATCGGCCGGGATCACTGCTCTGTACTGTGCTCCGTACTCGACACAGTGCCATAAATCAACAATTGAGAAATTGTCTACAGAGGCATGGAATTACAAATAAATCAATATCACAGCTCATTCTGTATACAAAGACTGCCAGTAATACCCCGTGCGACTCCGGAGTACTCCGTATGTGCTGTGCTGTATGTATGGAATGCATGGTTTATTGCTCCACCCGCACGAGGCCATATTTAAAGAATGCGCGCTGCATAAAACCTACCATAGATTATAGTCCTTACAGAGGAATAATGATGAAGAATATTTCAATCAATACTGATAATATCAGTATGAGAATATAGTAGCAGCATACAGACAATACAGTAATTACGCGGCTAAAACGCCGATTAATTGAGATGGGCCTCCTTAGTCGTTGTCCCCAGACCTGTCACTCTCCTTAATCTCTCCCGCTCTCTTTCTTTCTTTTCTCTCTCCTCTCTCTCTCTCTCTCTCTCTATCGATTCTTTTCATCTTTTGCTTTTTCTGGTGGCGGGTGGTGCGTTCCTTCTTTCCTTTAAACATTATTTTTTATTCTTTTTTTTGTGATCGCTATTCGTTTCTTTTCCGTCTCTGGGGCTTGTCCTCCGAGTCGCGCACTCGCTTTCTGGTACGTCAACACAATAATCACAATAATCACAATAATAATAATAATCTGCTATTTCTTTTCTTATTCTGTTATTGCCATATGTCTTATTGGGCATCACTAACAAACGCACACTACAGATACTCATATATCGCCAAACGACGACGACTACGAGCCGATGATCTCCCCATCCCTTCTTCTCTCCTGAACCTCCGTTTGTTCCATCGCATCTTTCTTTCACATCTCTCGTCGTCCTCCTCATAATAAAGGGCCATGACGGGCTCGCCGCCGGCCTCTCCCACGGCCGCTTCCCCGCGGTTCAGCATGATGCGGACTCCAAGAAGCAACAGCCGGTTGAGCATGAGCAGTAAACAAGGGCCCGGCAGTCGCGCTTCGGACGAGGATACCAAAACCGCCGTCAAAGTCGGTGCGTATTCTCTTTGTGTCTCTGTCACCATGTACAGGTGTTGAACTGACCTGCTGCAGCTGTCCGCGTGCGACCTCCCCTGAAAGCCACCGATCCCGGCTACGAATTAATCCCGCAACGTTTCCAGCGTTCCATGGTTCATGTGACGGCTCCAACCAGCGTCGCCGTCGACGTTCCCCAGGGGCGCAAACTCTTTGTCTTTGATCGCGTCTTTGCAGAAACCGTGGACCAGGAGGGCATTTGGGATTATCTCAGCGACAGCGTCAACTCCTTCCTGCAGGGTTACAATGTCTCCCTGTTGGCCTACGGTCAGTCCGGCGCCGGAAAGTCCTACACCATGGGTACTTCCGGTCCGAACGAACAAAATAACACCGAGGCTATGGGTGTCATTCCACGTGCCGCCCAGTTGTTGTTTGAGAAACTAGATGGTCCGCAGAAACACAATCGCAACAGCTCCACCGGCCTCCGAACGCCGTCGCGGTACTCTATGAGTTCCACCTCCAGCTTCGGAAAGGCCAATAATCCCGATAAAAATTGGCAACTCAAAGCCACTTACGTCGAGGTGCGTATCGCCAAGAAATCCTTCCTGGCAGAACACTGACGTTGGTAGATTTACAACGAAACACTACGAGATCTCCTTGTTCCTGAGACCCCCGGGAATGAACGCCCCCCCGTCACTATCCGCGAGGATACCAAAGGTCGCATTATCCTGGCTGGTCTACACCAGGTCGACATCAATTCCTTCGACGACTTGATTGGCGCTCTGAATTTCGGTTCTTCCATCCGTCAGACGGACTCGACGGCGATTAACGCCAAATCCTCCCGATCGCATGCGGTATTCAGTTTGAATCTTGTCCAGCGCAACAAACAGTCAAGCCCTTCCATAGGATCGCCGTCCCCCAAGGACAAGCGCATGTCTGCTCCGATCGAATTTGGTAACTCCGATCCCTCCGTCACCGTTGACAGCAAACTTCACTTTGTCGACTTGGCAGGAAGTGAAAGGTTGAAGAACACCGGAGCGTCGGGTGAACGTGCGCGCGAGGGTATTTCCATCAACGCTGGTCTGGCAGCCTTGGGCAAAGTCATCTCCCAGTTGTCGTCGCGGCAGTCGGGCTCCCACGTGTCGTACCGCGATTCAAAACTCACCCGACTGCTGCAGGATTCCCTGGGCGGCAATGCATACACCTACATGATCGCATGTGTTACACCCGCAGAATTCCACCTCAGCGAAACCCTGAACACAATCCAATATGCGCAGCGCGCCCGTGCCATTCAGAGCAAACCCCGTATCCAACAGGTCTCCGACGAAAGTGACAAGCAGGCCGTCATTGACCGCCTCAAGGCTGAGGTTGCCTTTTTGCGGCAGCAACTGCACAGTGCCGAGGAAAATGACCGCCACATGGCGCCTCCCCGGGAGCGTTCGTCGGAACGGCGCAACGAGAAAGAGATGGACCTGCAGAACCAGCTGTTGGACGCGCAAGAAAGCTACAACGCTCTCAGCCAACGCCATGCTAGGCTTATTTCGGACATGGCCCGGGATTCCGAGCGGCCATCCACAAGCCAGGACGATGCATCGGACGATGCCTCTTCGGTTGGCAAGAGCTCCGTGGAGCGACTGAAGCGGTCGCACTCTTTTGCTGAATCGGTGGAGCAGGTGGTCTTGGAGTACGAAAAGACCATCCAGAGCCTCGAATCGTCGCTTTCCAACACCCGTTCGTCTCTCTCCGTCACAGAGAGTACTCTTCTGGAGCGTGAAACCAAGTGCACCTACGCCGAGACCGTCAACACACAGCTGCAGGCGCGGGTCCAAAAGTTGCTCGATCGCGAGTCCAGCACGGAAGCATATCTACATGAGCTGGAGAACAAGCTCGATGGACAGTCGTCAGGCGAGGAGCAGCATGCCGCCATCGTCTCTGAGCTGCGCAAGGAGGTGAGCCGTGCCCGCGAGGGCGAGACTGGCTGCGAAGAATACATCTCCACTTTGGAGGAGCGACTCGCTGAAGCCGATCAGGATATGGAGTTGATGCAACGCGAGGTGGAACGTCTGGAGCATGTTGTTGAGCGCCAGCGCAGCCTGGGCAAGCTAGATAACCTGCTCACCGAACTCGACCACACCAAGCAGCAGAATGGCCACCACAAGAGGCATAGCAGCCGTGATGACTTTGAGACCCGCGCCATGACCATGAAGAGCGCCCAACACATGCGGAAGCGCGCTACCTCCTTGGATCCCTTGAACGAAGCAACCGAGACGGCCGCTCCTGAATCTGATGATGAGCATCATGACGACAGCTTGACCGGTTCTGGCCCCACCTTGCAGGACGAGATGGCCAAATCTGCCAACGGCAGTGATGAACTTGCCACCGGTGTTGCTATCAAGCCTGTCCAGAGTCCCACTGCCGATGACCAGTCTCGCTTTGTCGCGGACAAACTCGACACCGTCAACCAGGAGCTGTTCGACCTGCGCATGCAGCACGAGTCGACTGTGACTGAGTACGAGACGCTCGAAGCCAAGTACGAGGAAGCGGTCAAGGCGTTGGCGAAGGTGCAGCAGGACACCGCGGATGAAGCTCGCCATAGTCATCTCGCTCCATCTGACGCTCTCCAGGACCGTCCGTCGTCGCCCATCACCGCTACCACCAACTCCCGTCCGGTTTCTTTTTTAGAGGATACCCGAGCCCCCGGGACCGAGTCGAGAACTGGAACTCAACATTCGTTCTCGCGATCACTCTCCTCGGAATTATCCTTGGCCGGGGAGTCTGCTACGTCGCCGGAGGCATCGAATGCTTCTGAAATCACCAAGAAGGAGCCTGGGGAGGATGAGGTGGAAGAGATGCGCCGGCTACTGTTGGAGCACCAGGAGGGTGTCAGTCTCATGTCCCAGAAATACGCGGAATTGCAGACTGAGCATGAGGGTGTGATGAACTTGGTGGAGACCCTCAAGTCTGAGCTTCAACGGTCGCGCTCGTCGTCGCCGCCTTCCACGCCTGGATTCAAGTCACCCGTCATCCGCAGGAAGACCAGCCAAAGTCTTATGTCTACTGTCGATCGGGCGCATCGCTCTCTGGCCGCCCTGCGTAACATCGCCGTCGAGGCTTTCGAATCTCACCCCGACACCTTGCAGAACTTCGACGTGCACTATGACTCTGCGATGCACGAGTTGCACACTCGCATGGATCGCATTCAGTCCTTGGAATCGGAGAACCAGAGCGTGAAGAAGGAGATGGAGATGAAGTCCACCATCATCTCTGGTCTGACCCGGGAACGGTCCAGTCTGCAGGGTGGAGCGTCGTCGATCGATATGGGTCTGGTGACGCAACTCCGCGACCAGGTCGTGCAGCAGGAGAACCTGATGGGCGACCTCAAGGCCGGGCATGACGCTCGTGAGCTGCAACTCCACAGCGAGATTGCGCAACTCAGGGGCCTTCTCAAGACCCAGGAGGAAGCCGCTCGCGCCCAGGATGCTGGTGCGGATGAGCATGACAGGCGCCTTGGTGTTTTGGAGCGCGAACTGACCGAGTGGAAGGGCAAGCACCAGAATGCCCTGGACTCGCTGCAAGGCTCCGAGCAGAAGCTGGGCTCGACCCTTACTGAGTTGGAGACCGCCTTGGCGTCTGTGGATGCGCTGCGCGCGGAACGGGGAGGCGACGCTGCTCGTGAGACCTCCAATGAAAAGGAGGCTACTGCCCGCGATCTCGACAACGGCCGGATCCAGCAGCAGGGCTTGGTCAACAGCTTGACGAATACCATCGAAGAACACAAGGCCACGATTGCCACTCAACTCACGACGATCGCATCTTTGGAGAAGTCGCATTCGTCGGCTCAAGACCAACTCAACCAGCATGTAGCTACCAAGGACGGCAATGACGACGAGGTTTTCACCCACCAGTCTCGTGTTATTGACTTGGGACGGGAGATCGAGACGCATCAGTCGACGATGACCGGTCACCAGCAGGAGCTGTCGTCGCTGCAAGAATCCCACAAGCGCGAGCTGAGCGAATTGGAGGAACGGACCAAGGCAGTTGCGCATGCTGAATACGAGTCGCAACTCGCCGCTAAGAATGCCGAGCACGACGACGCCATGAAGGCGCTGCGCACCGAGATGGCCGAGTCGCGGGACGAACTGGCCAAGCTGCTCAAGATGGTTTCCGACCTCCTCAAGTCCGACGTCACCAAGGACAACCTGTCAGAGCAAATCCAAGAGGTGTTGGCCCAGAAGCAGCACTTCTCCGACAAGTACGCCGAGCTCATGGATACCAACGAAGACCTGCGCAAGCGGGTTGAGAACAACGGTGGCGATGATGGTCGTCTGGAGGAACTCACCAAGAAGACCGCCGCCCAGGACGCCAAGGTACACGAGCTGGCTATTCTTGTTGCTACCCTCGAGGATACGCTCCAGCAGCGCGATGATCAGGTGAAGAAGAAGGATGCGCTTGTGGAGGAGATCACGACTGAGAAGAACAAGAGCGCGCGTCTTGTTGAGGAGCTCGAGGACCAGATCACCAACAGCTTTGATCAGCACAACAACCGTCTTTCGGTCATCCAGCAGGAACGTGATCAGGCGCTGGTGGATGCTAAGACCAAGATTTCTGTGTATGAGAACGATATTGAGACTTACAAGGTTCGGATTGAGCAGCTTGAGGTATGTTTTTTGTCCTTTTCGCCCTATTCCTGATGCTGATACTAACATGATGCAGTTGCAACTCAAGAACGGCAGCGGAACCGATGCGTCGCACGATCGCAGCAGTTCTGTCAATTCCAACCTCCGCAAGAGCTCTTCCGCAACTTCTCTTCCGTCTCCTCCTCCCGCCATTCCTCTGCCGCCCCTCCCAACCATCGCCTCGCAAACCAATGGCAACACCGGCAGCATTTCTCCCCCCAGCTCTCGCCACACCAGCAAGGAACTGGTAAACTCGCAAATCGTCGAAGACCAAGAGGCGCGCATCAAGACCATCGAAAAGCACCTCTACGCCGAGAAGCAGCTCACAGCAACCCTGGAAGAAGCTCTCGGCGACCTCGAGGCGCAAAGCAACAAGGTCAAGTCGGACTGCGAAGCATGGAAGAAGAAGGCGTTCCAGGTGGAAGACGAGCTCTCTACGCTTCGCAAGGAGCGCAGCTCGCAGCGCATGTCATTGCAAGCTGTTGAGGAGGAGAGAAGCGCACGGCGTGAGGCTGAGGCTGCTCGTGCTCAGCTCGAGGAGCGGATGAATGCGCTTAACAAGAAGAAGAAGAAGAGCACGCTGAACTGTTTCTAAGCTGCTTTCCTGGTTCTTCGAACTCGACTTTGGCGTCATTTTCTGGTTTGATTTGTGTTATATTCCCCGTTGGAGGCTTTTTTTTTTTTTTTTTTTTTTTTTTTTTTTTTTTTTTTTTTTTTTCGACTGGGATACCCCAAGGCAAATAGCTTTTTTTTTTTTTTTTTTTTTTTTCTTTTTGCTTTACTTTCTATGATTTCTTCTGTATTATGAGTTCAACGTAGTTGATATCCCCCCTTTTGTCTGTTTTATCCGTTGATACCTTTGTTTCAATTCTCTGCTGTGTCGCACAGATAATCTTGTTTTATGTCTCTTGATGTTTCATTTCTACGATATTTCAACTTGACGACGACTTCTAAGAGGTTGCTGTCTGTGGCTTTGGCAGACCTTCGATTGTATATTTTCATGTTACCTTTTGTGATGTCTACATACATACACCTCTTAACATTGTCTATAATTGTGCTTGCCTCGGATAGGCTGTGTTTGTTATCTTTACTCGCAGTCGCGGATACCAATTGTGAGATTGTTGTTATTGATTTGTATAAAAGCAGTAGAATAATTCATTCCATTCAATTGATTCATAGATTAATATACATAAGGTTCATTCAGCAATATGTCGGTGGACCGTCTTCTGACAACTAATCTCTATGAAAACAATACAATTTGCTATTGTGGCATGGGCGTACGTGAGAGTGTGTCGTTGTCTCTTTTCTCCCGCGTAGAAGCCAGAAAGGAGGGTGCAGAGGGTAAATGTTTGTGTGTTGTGATCAGAACTGCTTTTATAGGCTTCACCCCACGCAACATGTATCAAGAAATATACAATAAGCAGGCTCTCGGGCGTTTCTTCCTTTTTTCCTTTTTCCACCGATATTTAATTTCGAAGCAGGGGGAGTCTCGACTGGAAAATAATATCTCAGACAAGGTAGTAGAGGGTAAAGACGTGAAGCAATGGACAATAGTGATGGTGTAAGAGTGGGAAATGGGAACATGCCTGTCTGTATTGTTAATACCCAGCTCTTTATTGCAAGCAATGGAATACAATTATCTCTTGACTTAAGCTCGTCTCAATGTGTGGATGGAATTGGAGTTTCGGAAAGAGGCTGTGGCAATGCAGGTAATCATGTGGAAGACCGAACGGACGAGGATGGGGATCCATATATGTCTGGTGCAGTGGATGCGGATGGGGATGAATATATGTCTGATGTGTGAGGTGGAAGGTGGAAGATCATGGGGATCGAAGGATGGGGATTGAGATGATATTTTACAGTATGTCAGGCAATATCAATAATGATATCCGGGTCACAATTACAGTAGTATAGCCAACGTAATAGGAATTTCTCTTAAGATTGCTAATTCAGTCTCCGGGTTTTGTGTCCGAGTTCCCGAATCAAAATGTCTTGGATTGTGGAGCATCTGGTTAAGTGTTCTGGCATTCCTTCACTACAACCGATATTCAGAAGAAGCACTCATTCGTTTCTCCATTGGAAAGATTGAGACGGCTTATTAGCATCAAACAGAATCCGTATGCAACCTTCCACGCAGGAGTCTCCAACCCCATAACATATCGATGAACAAAATTTCCACAAAGGAAAATACCAAGCTTCCTCCGAAAACCAGACTATGGTACGTCCATGCATTTGCTGGATTGAGATCAACCACCTGGCAAACGATGGCCCAAGGAAGTACATATAATAAATTCGAAACAAGGGACTGTCCCAGATACCACAATGGGCGAGTGGCTAGCAATATGGTTGCGAGCTGAGTAGATATGGCATATAATATATAGCACCTTGAAGCGATTAGGAAAAGAAACGAAACAAAGACAGGTTTGTTGGGCTTACCAGTCTATTGTTTGCCACATATGCGCAGTGATCTCAGCAACAGCTTCTGATTGGGACAGGAATAATGCAAAAGGTTTGCAGCCGAATGTTGCCAGGAAGATAAATAGAGGGATTTCGATGGCTGTAGCTATCACCACGGACAGAATTGCAGGTCGTGTGGTTACTATCAAGAATGAGACTTTGTCTGGAGATATAGATATAGACCATGTGCAGGATGGGAAGTCAATACATACTGAAGAGGATCTTCCAGGACCGGCGTTCTTGGTTACTCATATGCTTCAACTCCCCCCAGTAATGTCCTACAAAGGCCAGCGAGGTAGCCTCCAGGGCCTGAACTGGAACCATCACCAGACCCCACCGAATAGTTGTGAAGACGCCCCAGGCAGTTGCATAATCCGCTGACATGGCAACAACTCCAGCCACAACCCAAAGGTACAATGCATTTCGAACCGCTGATTCAATGAAGGTGATAAAACCTGGCTTGAAAAGCACAAAAAAGGCCTGTAAGCTGGGTGGTTCACTATGACTCTGCCTGCCACCGCGGCTTCTCCCAGTGCTGGTGGAAATGGAGAAGTATAGTAGCCCAGAAACTGCCGCAATCATATCACAGCTTAGACGGATCCCAGCTTGCATGTTGATGTCTGGAGTCCAACCGCCGACATGGAATTTAGAGATGATCATGAGATCTAGGGCGATATTCACAACCACTTTGACAGAGCTGATCAGAAGGGGTACATCTGGCTTATCAAGGGCTCTCGTGGCGCTGGAAACCGCAACTTCAAGAGCCGAGCTCAAAGCTGAGAAGGCGCTAATCCGGACATATGTGACACTGGCCTCCTGGACAGCGTGTGGGACAAAGGTTGCTGAAAATGCCTTTGCTGCACCTGCGAATATAAGACTCATGATTGTTCCGAGGATGGCTTGGAATATTATCAGAGTATGTGCTAGCCCCAGGCGGGACTGGAATGATCGCGCCTCTTTGTCCGCAATGGTCACCCACACAGCGCGAGGAAGGCCCTCGTTTAAGACCTCTGCGATGGTACCAATGTATGTGTAGACGTCAGTTGTAACAACGAGGGAGGTATCGATATTGGCAACCCAGATCTTAACAAGCGTGTTATACAATGCTGGGAGAATAAATGCACCGATATTGAAAAGAAGGGCCCCGGAATAGCTGCATAACTATTAGCTGACAGCCCAGTGTCTATTCTTTCGTTGATAGCCCTGCTTACTTTGAACGACAAGACCATTTTTCACCAATGGCCCACTTGAGAGACAGAAAGTTGCCAGAATCCTGTACAGGTTCATCTTCTGAACTCGTCGTAGCTGCCACTGCGACATGACTATTGCCAGGATTTGGTGCCATGCTTAGTAGATTTCTTCAGGTTGCGAAGTAAGGAAAAATGAGCTGACCCAGGAATAGTGCAATAAGTCAACAATAATGATTCCCCCGCTTCCTGCCAAGCGACTTTATTTTGCCCTTGTCAAGAGAAGAACAAACATCTCTAGATAGTACATGGAATTAAGTGCCTTCTAGCATTCCCTGTCATACTTGGGAACAGCAGAGAAAAAACACAGGAAAGAAAAATTGAGCCATGTTGATTATTTCTGAGGAATACATTTCTTGATCATTCAGTGACATAGAGGGCTAAAGAGTGAAGTTCATAGTTCATACAGTGTAATCATCACATGACGCCCCAACCCGCCGCGTGTCTCAAACCCATAGCTATTAATTATCCCACCTCCTCACCACCATCACCACTCAACCAATCCTCGAAAACAATTCCTCAAAACCAAAAAATGCCCCGCCGACCCCCCAACATAACAATAATCCACCCGGACCTCGGAATCGGCGGTGCAGAACGCCTCATCATCGACGTCGCCCTCGCCCTCCAATCCCGCGGCCATAAAGTCACCATCTACACCTCGCACCGCGACACGGGCCACTGCTTCGATGAGGCGCGCGATGGAACGCTCGATGTGCGCGTGCGCGGGAATACACTCTTTCCGGGGAGTGTCGCGGGGAGGGCGCATGTGCTTATGGCGGTGCTTAGGCAGGTGCATTTGACGATTTCTGTGCTGGGGGAGTTGGCCACGGCTAGCACGGCGATGGGCGAAAAGGAGGGGGAGGAGGAGGTAGAGGAGGTGTTTATAATCGACCAACTGGCTGCGTGTGTACCGATTCTTAAACTCCTGGGCGAGCATGCGACTCGCGGCAGGCAGCGGATTTTATTCTACTGTCACTTTCCGGACCAATTACTCGCGCGTCGCGATGAGCAGAATACACTCTTTCGTCTTGCAAAGGGATTATACCGGTATCCATTCGACTGGTTCGAGGGGTGGGCGATGAGCGCTGCGGATCGGGTTGTTGCGAATTCGAGGTTTACGAGGGGTGTTGTGGGGGGTGTTTTTGGGGGGAGTACGTTGGGGGATGTTAGTGTTGTTTATCCGTGTGTTGATACGGCGGAGAAGACGAAGGGGAAGGAGAAGGGGATTGCGGAGGGGGTTGAGGAAGGGGAGCTTTGGGGTGGGAAGAAGATTCTGTTGAGTATTAATCGATTTGAGAGGAAGAAGGATATGGGGCTTGCGATTAGGGCGTATCATGGGCTTGGGGAGGAGAAGAGGAGGGGGACGAGGTTGGTTATTGCTGGTGAGCCCCCTTTCCTTACTACTATTTGCGCATGCGCACGTGCGATGAGGATGCTAATGGGAGAGTAACGACAGGCGGCTACGACAACCGCGTCCAAGAAAACGTGCAATACCACAAAGAACTCGACACCCTCGCCTCAACCCTCGGCCTCCAAACCGCAACCTCGAAAACTGTCATCTCCGCCCTCTCCATCCCCGACTCCATCGACGTCCTCTTCCTCCTCTCCGTCCCCACCGCGTTCCGCGATACCCTCCTCTCGCAAGCAAAACTCCTCCTCTACACCCCCGTCAACGAACACTTTGGCATAGTCCCTGTTGAAGCTATGCATGCTGGTATTCCGGTGCTGGCGTCGAATACCGGTGGGCCATTGGAGACGATTGTTGAGGGTGAGACGGGGTGGTTGCGTGATGCGAATAAGGTTGATGACTGGACGGATGTTATGGATAAGGTGCTCTACGGGTTGGATCAGAATAGGACCCTGCGCATGGCAGTTGCCGGGAAGGCAAGAGTCGAAGAGGAATTCTCTCTGAGATCGATGGGAGACCGGCTGGAGGAAAATATTGGGGAAATGCTGCGGAGCGAGAGACGCCCGTTCAACGGGTCTCAGCAGTTACTCATGCTGCTGAGCCTATCGGGCGTGCTTCTCTCAGTACTCGCATTCTGGGCTATCAAGGCGATGTAGTTTCTTTCTTTTTTCTTCTGTATCAATACCCCTCTGTTGTCTTGTACAATATCGCTTTCCAATTAAAGCTATAGATCTCACGTGACTCCGCGTCGGGACGCGTTCCAAACTTCAAGAGTAGATCCAGCTTCTATTCAACCCACACCCCTCATACAAAGCAAAGAATGCCAGACGTTATCGACCTCATCTCCTCAACACCCCCAGCACCAGCTGAGAAACCACCACCAGCGCAATCCCGAGCACCACCATCAGCGTTCGTTTCTAGTCCGCCGCCGTTCTTCGCGAATACCACGAATACTAGAGCACCTCGACCGCCTCCGGCATTTACGTTCTCTGATGATATCGATATATTTTCCTCCCCGTTTGCGAACGCGCGCGATACGTTAGATGATAATAATCCGAGCAAGAGACGGCGTGTTAGCGGTGAATTGGATTTCAATGTACCACCGTCAGGCCAGCCACGCCAGTCTAGATCTCCAAATCGCAATTTGAATTCGAATACTAGAAAGTCGAATCCGTTTGAGTTCTCTGATGAGCTGGTAATACCTTCGTCTATTGGCCCGACAACGAGATCGAAATCACCGAACCTGAACACGAATAGGAATACGAATCCGTTTCAGTTTTCCGATGAATTGGGAATTCCCTCGTCGACGGGCAGGAAATCACCCTCTAAATCACCGAATCCGCGCGCGAAGAGCAATCCGTTCCAGTTCTCTGATGAGTTGGGGATACCGTCGTCAATTGGGCCAACGTCGAGGAGGTCCAAATCGCCAAATCTGAATCTGAATACGAGGGATTCGAATCCGTTCAAGTTCTCGGATGATTTCGATGAGTGTAGGTTACCGCCTGCGCCGGAGCCGGGGTCGTTCGGTAGTCCTGGTACTACGAGGGGTGCGGATGGGAATAAGGGTAGGGGTTTAAGGATGGGGATGGGGTCGAGATGGGCGGTTGATTCGGATCCGATTGTTTTTACGTCGTCTGCTGGGAAGCCGCGGGGAACTGGGGTGGTGGGGTCTGTTCAGAAGGAGAATACGATTACGATTGACAGTGACGACGACCATGGAAACGATACTGGGAAGGGCCAGGATAAGGGCAAAGGCAGAAGACGAGGTGACGAGATAGAAGACTTCAGTGACCAGCTCTTCAGCCGGATGTCGGATATGGATGAATTGATGGAGATTGCTGAGCGGCCGAAACCCACTGCTTCATTTTCAAATCGGACGGCGAGTTTGCTGGCTCGTCTCGAGGAAAGGACGAGTAGTGCAGGTGCAGGAACAACAAAAAAGACTACGGCTCGCTCGCGAAAGGGAAAGACAACTACTGTGGAGGAACATGTGGACATAAACGTGGACGACCTCGAACCACCACAACCCAAATGCAAAACCACCAAACCAACACAAGACAAAGAAGGCAAAGCCCGCTCTCGCGAAGCAAACAAGGCAGCACGAGAACGTGAGCGCGAGGCTGAAAAAGAACGCAAAGCCAGAACCAAAGAAGAAAAAGCCAAGGAAAAGCAATTGGCCGCGGACCTGGCGCAGGTGAACAAGTCCAAGGTTGACAAGAAGGAATCAACGCCAGAGATGATTGTCGACTTTGATAAGTCGCTGGAGGGGTCTAGCGTGGGCAACCAAGCTGTCGAATTCATGAATCGGCTGGGCGTTGAGTATACATTTTCCGAGAACTCGATCCGGGGCCTTGTCAAATGGCGACGGAAGGTCCAAGCCACATACAATGAAGCCCTAGGATACTGGGAACCGTGCCCCCTACGCATCGAACCAGAAAAACACATCCTATGCCTCCTACCAGCCCAAGAATTCGTGGTCATGGTAACAGCCCCCGAAACCTCCCCCTCCACTCTACAAAACCACGTCCTACATCTCAAACAAACCCACCCCGACGCCAAACCAATCTACCTCCTCGAAGGCCTAACAGCCCACATGCGCAAGAACCAAAACGCCCGCAACCGCGCCTACCAAGCCGAAGTCCGCCGCCAACTCGACCCCTCTACCACCACCACCTCGCGCCGCAAAAACCAACCAGAGCCACCATCAGTAGACGACGACACCATCGAAGACGCCCTCCTATCCCTGCAAATCCACCACAACGCCCTAATCCACCACACCTCCGCACCCCCCGAATCAGCCGAATGGCTAAAGACCTTCACAGAACATATCTCCACAATCCCCTATCGACTGGAACTCATGCAGGGCAATGACTCTGCGTTCTGTATGGATGTCGGACAGGTGAAGACGGGGGAGGATCGGAGGGATACTTTTGTGAAGATGTTGCAGGAGGTTAATCGGGTGACGGCGAGTATGGCGTATGGGGTTGTCGAGAGGTATCCGAGCGTGGGGGATTTGGTGGGGGGGTTTAAAGATAAGGATGGGGGGGTTGGGTTGTTGGAGGATGTTAAGGTATGTTGTTCCCCACGGGTGCAGGTATATGGGGTGGTGCTGATAATGTAGAAATCGGCGAATAAAAACGGTGCCCTGACGGATTCGAGAATTGGACCGGCGGTTAGTAGGCGGTTGTATAAGGTGTTTATGGGGCTTGATCCGGCTTCTACTGAGATTTAACATGGCACATATTTTAATGAATGATGAAAATATCCAATGCAATTATTCAATATTACCCGCAGTGCAAAATCAACGGTCTGGTGTATGTATACCAATCAATCTCAATCCAAAAAACGAATCAAACAGAAACCCCCCTCCTCCTCCAAACTCTCCACGCAACACCCCAAACCACAACAGCAACACTAACACTAACCGTACACCCCACAGCCCAGAACCCAAAACACCTCCACCCATGACACTGTCCATCCTCACTCCCACTACGGTCAATAGCATCCTGATACGCACCCGAATACACAACGCCCCAGACCGTCGCCCCGCCTGCAGGAACCATAGCCACGATGCCCCAGTTCGTGCCGAAGTTCTCGACACCCCAGACGACGGAGATGATAATAGGCACGAGCGAGAAGGAGCTGCCGTAGCCGAGGCCGATGAGGGCGGTTGTTATGTGGGAGAGGGATGGGTGGGCGATTGGGAGTGGGGAGGCGAGGAGGAGGTAGCCTAGGGCGAGGAGGATGGCGGAGGGGAGGAGGAAGGTCATTCGGGAGAGGGTGGGGCGGTTTTCTTTAGGGGAGGCGGGGAGGGTTGAGGGTCGAGCGGCGCCGTCTTCGGGGTTGGTTGGGAAGAGGTGGGTTGCTTTGGGGGCGAAGAAGTCGGTTAGGGAGCCGGTTAGGAGGCGGGCGATTGTTGAGGTCAGGGCTACTGTTGTGACGTGTGTGGATGGTAGACCTGCTGGAGGAGGGGCGTTGGGAGGGTATGATGGTGGCGTCAATGTTTGGATGATGGTGCCCAGGTTGTTGATGTAGGCTTCTCCCGGACCAGTCACCAAAAAGAAGCCCAAGGCAAGCCACCACATCGTTTGATCCTTGAGGAACAACCTCGTCTCATAATTCAACAGCCAGTTCTTCTTCCGTTCCTCTTCCTCGCGTGCCTTCTCGCGCCGTCTTTCCTCTCGTTCTTCGTCCGACGTCGTCAACGACTGTCGCTCCTCATCGGCGCCGTCTGTAGAGCCAAACGTGCCATACGAAGCCTGGACTTCGTCTCTCGACTGGAAGAATCCACCCTCTTGCCCTAGGATGCCACTGCGCTCCAACTCCTCGACCGTTCCGTCGATATATTTTTCCTCCTCGTCATCGACGATCCGTAGAACAAACGTGCCAACGACTCCAATACAGAGTAGCAATAGCGCCAAAAACAAAAAGTACCGGAAGACATCGACGTCTCCCCGGCTTCCATCTTCTCGCGGTTCGTACAAAAGGTACGTTCCCACCTGACTCTGCCACATGCCGCTAAGGCCAAATCCTGCAATCGGGACAGCAAGCATGATACCCTTGTGTTTACCTCGGCCAAAGTTCTTTGCGCATGTCGTCACAGCAGCAAGATATAGACAGCTCGTGGCTGTCCCAATGGCAATAAATGCCACTATCATCACCCAGAAAGGCCAGCCATCCCCGCCTGCATCTGGCGGAGGACCACTCTGATATGTAAATGCAGCCAGCAGGTAGCCAGCGCAGAAGACTATACCGGCGAACAGGGATAACGGTGATGGCGAGTATCGATCGCAGAGATAACCAAACAGCGGCACGGGGAGGTACATGGAAACCTCCGCGGCGATTGAGACGGCATTAACGCGTAGTTGAGTATAGTGAAGACGCGTAAGGAGTAACGGACCGTAGAGAGAAAACGCCGTGATACTACCAGCTCCAAGACTAATCACAGTCAGCACCCATCCAGACTCCAACGACAAACACAAAAGATTCTCACCAACTAATCACACCCCACGCAAAGCTAGCCACCCGCACCACCTCTTTCGCAATCTTCTGTCTATCCCGCTCGACAATCTCCTCGACCACATCGTTCAACAGACCATCGTTACTTTCCCGGCTGCTCTGTGACAATCGGGATCTCGTGTCCTCTTCTCCATCGGGACCGGAATCTGTATCATCACGAAGTAGGGAACGATTCGCATCGAAATCCCGTTTATCAACTACCTGGGCATTCGAACCTGGCATTATTCCTTCCCTCCCTGTGCAATGGTTCGGCGGTTCGAAGAGACTGTGATGGGCCGGAAAGTGGGACAGAGAACAATAGCTTTTCTCGAATAAGGGCAATCGAACTAGCCCGGTGCTATATTTATAACCAACGCACTCGGTTATCAGTGGAATGGTGATTATCAGCCTGACCAACTCAGTTGACCGCAGGTTTGCGCATCTCCCCTAGTCACGGGACGATTCAAAACAGGGCCATGCTGTGGGCGTACGACAAAGTGGGTATATAAATCAAGGATGAGTATAATTGAGCTGTCTCGCTCCAGGAAAGCAATCAACCCAGAAGAAATGAGTGTTGTCGATGGTCGATGCTATCCCCGGACGTGACACGGAGATACGCTTATCTCAGCACGTGATCCTTATCTCACATGACATCACCCGATTTTCCCTCCCATATTCTGCACACACTAGCAGGGGTACTCGATACGACAGTACAGAAACTGAGATGTCAATACAATGGACTTGGCGGGAAGGAGAAGGAGCCAGTCGACTCTGTACTTCCAAGGAGGCCATGTACAAGTCTATTCCCGAATATGAAGCCGGAGTGGGTGCTCCTAGACACACTAAACGCCCCACGATGCAGGGATCAATGCATTGAAATGTATTACTATTGGCTCTGTCGATTTGGACTATAATGGCACTGCCACGACGGAGTTCAGAGGAGGATCGTCTTCAACAGTGTGTGTTTTTGGACATTTCCCGACAAGGCTGACTTGAGCCAAGGTTTTCATTTTCCACCTCCTCATCACACCCTCTTTATATTGACATGTACCACGCTTTATATTTCGAAATCCAAATCAAAAACAGATGATGGAGGCTGTTGGAACTGCAGCTGGTATCCTACAACTGGCAGGAACCGCTACCAAGACCTCTCTTCAAGTCTACGAGTTCATATCCACTATAAAAAATGCACCACGGGAAATTGAAAGCCTCAGCCACGACATCATGAACTTCCATACACTTGTGAGCAATTTGACAGATGCGCTGGGTTCTCCAGAAATACGAAGCATGGTGTATATGGACAAACAACTCAGCAACGCGATGAGAGATCTGCTTGTCCCTATGGCTAAATGCCAGCTCACCTGTGACCAAGTACAAAGCACGCTGAGTTTGCACCTTCAACTCGAAGAGTCTGCAGATGATGGAGCCCGCAGCAATGGACAAAAAGCAAAAGCACATATCTGGGTTCGTGACTGGTTGTGGCCTTTTAGACGAAAAGAGGTACTTGCTTTGATGACGGACCTGGACAGGACAAGGTCAATGTTTTCCGATGCCATGGCAGGTCTCACATTGTATGTATACCAGTCCTTGGAGCCCATTCTGCGCTAGTGCCTACTTCTGACTTCTATCATGATACTCATGTTGAGAAAATCAACTGCAACTGCGATTACGACAGAACCAACCAAAGAGATTTATACGAAGCGCACCTTTAATGATGATGCTGGATCTGCGATTCTCGACTTTGCATCAGTTGATGAGTCTTTGGCCCCAACGCTGGTAGAGGAAGAAGGCGAGAAATCGTCCAATCCCAAATACACTGAAGACCTCATAAAAGCGGTATATTTTGGCTCTGCCACATTAGTGGATATGATGCTACAACAAAATGTCGATGTAAATACTCGCGACCATCGAGATGGACGCACTGCGCTTTCATATGCGGCTGAGCTCGGCAATGTTGAGATAGCAGAGCTGCTCCTTAAACGCGGGGCTGCAGTGAACATTCGTCAATACAGCCTGAGCAAGCGTGTTGTGGGTCACGGGATAAATGACCAACCGTGGATGGTCAGTGGTCGGATGCCAATACATTGGGCAGCAGTCAACAGACATAGTGCAGTTGTTGAGCTTCTCCTACAATATGGAGCAAACCCAAATGCGAGGAATACTCCCGGGAGATTGGTTCTTCAAGACGCCTGTGTGAATGACGATCCAAAATCAGTCAGGCTATTATTGAAGTCTGGCGCAGATGTAAATGCTAGGAGCTATGGTAGTGTAAGGTCCAACTGCCTCATCCCTTTGTTATTAATCTAATTTTAGTGATAGGGCTGGACAGCGTTGCATGAAGCGGCTACATGGAATCATATCGAGATAATCCAAATCTTATTGGAGTACAACCCCTTACTCGATGTATCCGCAATACACGATCCTGAAGGCTGTTCCCCATTACACATAGCAACGAGATGGGGCCATTACGAAATAATGGAGCACCTCCTGTCAAATGGAGCAGATCCTAACATTCTCATGGTTGAAGACATCACCCCGTTACACTTAGCTGCTGTTGGAGGTTGGATGAATGAGCTCGACCTGCTACTTGACTGGGGCGCTGCTATTAACGTTCAGGACGCACGTCTCCGCGAAACCCCTCTACACAAAGCAGCGCGGAATCTCGAGCTTGTAACGATTGAGAAGTTGTGTGTGCGAGGCGCGGATACGGAACTGACGAATATTGATGGCCAGACTTATCTGGCTCTTTTGGATTGCGCTAGAGAGAATCCTGGTGATTGGTATGTAGAGACTAGAGTGGGTTCGTTTTGTAGAACCTAGTCTGAAAAGCCCTCAGGGGTCCACAATGATACGTACTAGAATCTGATCCTAGAAGGTCTAAGTTTGTTTTTGCAATGGCTTTTGTCTAACAGACGCAGAGTATCGACGAGTACCAAAAAGAGAAAAAAGAAGAGAGAGATGAAGAGGTCTTGCCCATAATTCTTGCTAAAGAGAAATAAATCAACAGAAAAGAAATGCATCATTCAACAAACAGATAGAGGGGGTAAAACCTCGCCTCAGTTTAGCGCTTCCTTTGATTCCTCGTCATAATACAACGAGCGCCTATATTCAGCACGGGTCCGATAGTTATCGGGGTCATCATTGGGGTTCGTTTTCATAGCATGTTTGCACCAAGTCCTGTATCTTGCATCACGTGGTGCTGGTAACTCTACCTTTAACTCTGCCTTTATTGCATATCCATAACATGCCGTACCTTGTTGTAGGGCTTGACTTGTACTGCCACATTTCCATATACATCTACCTGGTACCTCAGGGGTTGTCCCGGACAGTGCCAGGGTGCGCCGCTTTTGGCCTGTGGTGTACAGCCGGGCGTATTTGATAGCGTTAGGCCCATGCACTAGTTGGTTACACTTCGGCGTATTCTGGTGTCTTTGGGATAATTTTCATCACTTCGCGCCAGTCGTCCGCGTCGCTCTCCGGAATGGACGAGCTTAGGTCGTAGGACTGCTGGGGCATTTCCATCATGTTCCAGCGATGCGAATGAATTCATGCAATTGAGGACAAAGTTCTTGCCAGCTTCTTGTATTTTACGTGCTGTGATTGTGGTTGCGCCGTAAAGAAGCCGGTGTGGTCTGCATCTTTTCTTGCCCCAAGCCCTGTAAGCTAGAGATTGGTTATCGTCCGTCGCAGATAGCAAGTACTGATGATGCCTGATGCTGGTTGTTTATGTGTTTCTAGACACTAAAGGGAGCTTATTACCTGTATGGATTACATGAGACTCGGAGTATAGGAAATCCAAGACAAGAAGCAGCTGCCTGATACAGGGTTTCAGATCTTCAAGGGTCATTACTTGACCAGGAATCCACCGCATCGCCTCATTTACACTGATTCCTAGAGGTTCATGGACAAGGAAAACATTGTGGCCGTGAGGCCCTTTAATAGAAAAATGGCCGAGGAGCTTGCGAATGAACCTTCTGCCTGGGTGATTCGTTTGCACTGAGTTCATATGCCCATAAATCTTCAGCTCATGGTTTTTTTCTCGACCTGTCACGTAGATCTTCAGAGCAACATATTTCGAATCACTAATTTGGTCCTGTCATTAGAATCAAATGAGCTTCTGCATATGCAAGCGCCTTGTACAACTTGGTTCACGCCAACCGAGCTCTTCATATTTGCCATTGTGTCTAGTTGCCGATGTGGATGCAGCGCCAAATCAAGCACATCACTTGTTCATCTGGCCAGAGTCTGGCTGAAGAGAGAGGCTCCAGTCTACAACTTTCTTTTTCTGTTCCCTGTTTACATGCTATATCCCCAGACAATGAGCAAAAGCAGCTTCGGTGGCAAGAGTCATACTCAATATACAACTCAGCCCTAACCCGAACATATTCCGCCAGCCTCGTCAATTCCCCGCGGCCAAAAGACTGTGACAACTCTCAGGAGGTTTGCGAGTCCTGATTATCTTGGTTGTCAGGGAGTCATTTCTTTTCTGTCCTATACACGAGAAATATTTGAGGTAGGTATAAGCAAGGTGAGCAACGGCGTCGATTTTGGGTCTGACGCTAGTATTTCCAGCGCGTGCCAGTCATTCTGAAAATATGCACACCGGATTCATTCTCTAGTTCTCATTAGTCAAGCCGCGTGTTATCTGGAGGCCCAGGTTGACGGAATCTGGTTCGCCGATCTGGAACTCGATATAGTCGCAATACTGTGAAATGACGTGGAGTAGGTAACTCGTATCATAAACAAAACTACCGCCGGCATTCTGTCCTCATCTATATATCTCGCAAGTTGGCTTCAACGATCCGTGTTTGTCCCACAGTTCCATCAGGCGTCTTCTTTCTTGTTTGCCATCCTCTGCCATTCGTATCACTCAGAAGACCATTCATTAACAGTCCTCCAGTCCATTGCACAACGATAATCTCACCATTCTGACATGAAGCTACAACCTCCTTGTCTTTGTCACCTACATCGAACGTCCCACTCCAGTAGGGTGCTGATTGTGGACCATCCATAGGCGTTTCGCAACAATTCAACAAATCCGTTGTGACCTGAGGAAGTGGCTTCTTCAGTAGCTTGATAGATATTAAAGGGCTATATCATCCATATGCACATAGATGCAGCAAATCTAGCCAAAGAACTTGCTGGCCTTGCTCCAGGACGTTCTCAGAAAACGCCCCAACACAGCCATTCCATCCGGCTAGCTTATTATCCCCGTTTTTGGGGTAGAACTTTGAGGGATGGGGGTTAAAAAAAAAAAAAAAAAAAAAGGCCATCAGGGGGTTCCACGGAACTTTGATGTTGGTGGTGTCCATTGAAACCGATCTATCGGTTCATCACGCCATTTTGATTTGAGTATCAGGATGTAAGTTCCTTGAACTTTGGTAAGAGAGGTTTCCTTCTGTAGCAGGAAGCACCGCGAGTAGGTATTTTGAGGATATGAGGATAAATGACGCGTTTGCTGCGTGAGGGTTGGGGGTGTTGGGTTTTGTCTAGGAGGTGGATGTCGGTGAAAGACCAGATAAAGAAGTAGAAAACAGACATCAACTATTCACTGGGTGGTCGTGTGGTAGACCTAGGAGGGAATCCCTGTTTCAAGCAATGTATATATCCTTCGGGATAGCAATGGTCCTATCGATATAGCACACTACAAGATTACGTGACTAAAAAGCGCAAGATCCCAATAAAAATGTCCGATTAGGAAGATCTAATCTAAGACGCCAACCGATTATGTACACAAAGTGAACTGCTCCAGATACCACCCATGCTTTGCGAACTGCAGAAAACGAATCCAGGGAGTCTCCCCGGTGGTATAAGTAATAGCACAAGCCCGAGAAGGAAGAATAGGAATAGAAAATGAAACACGAACACACGCAACGAATGGGAATCGCTCCCCAAGACTCTGTTCTAACAATACATCCAGGCATGAATAGACGCAAAAGGCCCAGGGCTGAACAAGGCGCCATGAATCATCATTATCGTATTGCTATCACCAAAGATGACCAGTTGTCAACCCCCCCTATGCCAGTCATAACTGTGTCGTTGACATCATGGAACGTGCGAAAGAATCGAAATTAGAGGAAGCGCAAGGTGTATCTTAGCAAAACCAAAAACGAACACGAACACGAAAAACAAACAAGACCCGAGCCCTTGCCATGCAAATGTCGACGCCATTTCCCTTGGTATCCATATGAGCATAATTGAAGACATGATGCCAACTCCTAACTCAAGAAGATGAAGGAACAAGCGGGGATAAAGAAAAAGAATCGAAACCGAAATTGAAACGAAAAACGAAAAATAAAAAATAAGAAAGAGAACAAGGAAAGAAAAGAAAAAGTCGTATCAAACACTGACTTCACCAGGATCGTTGTCCATCGCCTCATCCCAGCCCCGGTCAGAAATATCGTCGTGATTCGTGACCCGAGTACCAAGGGCAATGGCCTCATTTTCACCCCGTTCCAAGTAGTCGTCGTGAGTGATCTCCTTCAAGATACGTCGAAAGTACGTTTTGAGTGAGCGCAGACCACGCAAATAACCACGGTCAATGTCATGGGGGTGCTGAGGTGGACATCGAGCACTTGGAGGCAATTCGTCTTCGCCAGTCACGCAGTTGGCAAAGTCGACAATCTTGAGATGAACGTTCAAGTTGTTATGCCCATCGTCCGAAGCATTACGTTGCAAACCAGGCCGTTTGTTTCCGGATTGATGCTGAGGACCTTGAGTATGAGGAGCTGTGTCGAATGGGCTCAGTTCACCATCGTACAGAATCAGAAGGCTGCTAGCGTACAGGCGATAGCTTTTCAGTTTGCGAATGATGTTCTCCAATTTCGAAAGCTTCTCCAGAATGATCGGAATTTTCTTGGCCACACTTCCGTGGCTGATACCATCGTAGAGGAAACGGGTTAGAGCATCCTGGAATTCGCGACCGGATCTCAGATCGCGTCCGAAATACTTGTCTTCAAAAGTATAATCCTGTTTCTTGACGTTCCAGGTCTGCATGCCACAGAGTCGCACTCCCAGCTGTTGAGAAGTCGTAGTCTGGCACTTGCGCCGTTGTGACTTCTGCTTCTTCTCATCAGCTTCCATCCCGTATTGACGTGTTCCCATCTTCAGATCCAGCACGCAAGGTTTGTTCATTCCGGCGGTGAGATCCTCAAGCAGCAAAAAGTATTGGACTCTTTCATCCTTCATGGTTTGTGCTTCCTTCGGATTGGTCGGAAGGTAGAAACGGCCATCTTCTTTCATTTGAGGGGGGAGAGGAGGCTTGGGTGGTGGTTCTGAGATCGCTGGAGGTGCATGATGTACATTACCACCAAGGAGAGGAACTTCCGGTGCACTTGGGGCGGACGGCTTGGCCGCAGGACGATCCGATGCCATTGGAGCATCGCCTTCCATGGCAAAAATTTCATCCTCTTGATCTCCACCGTAGCCATCATCGTCGAAAAAGACGAGATCGCCGGGCTTGCTGTCCAAGCTGCCTCGTCTTTGCAGACCACTTCCCGAATGTCGCCGCCGCATCTGCCGGTGTCTGTTCAGAGAACTGGTGCGTGGCTGTCCCTCTTCTGCTCGGATCTGCTCGAGACGGTTTTTGGTCGCATCCAGCGCGGTTGAGGCCGACGATGACAGCCCTGGGACCTCATCGGATTTAATCGCAATGTCGATGGCATCCGAGCGTTGAGGCTCATTGGATTCCGGTGCGATACGACGGCTACTCGCAGTGTGATCCTCCGAAAGATTAGCCCGTCGACGGCCACTATCTGAGGTGGTTCTAGGCATGATTAAGCGACCTCGGGGATGTCGTCGATGGTGATGGATGGCAGGAGGGCTGAAGACTTCTCGAAGAACCTGCTCCTGCAATTTCCGGTTGACAGTAGTTGCACCCCAACTGATATTGGGCCGTTTCGAGATCGACGTCTCGGGAGGGTTTTGCTCTTCAATGCTCGTCTTCAACGGCAGACGGCCCCGCAATTCATTGCCAGTGGGGAAGCGGGGCTTAGAGGAGAGAGTGGTCGCGTCCGCAGTTCGAGGTCTCTGGTGGTGGCTGGAGAAGAGATCGACTGGGATGATGTGACGATTATTCTCGAGAATCACTTTCGGTGTGACGCCGGGCGCCTGTTTCTGGCTGTGGCTGAAGATCCGCTGCGGCTCCCCATTTTCGGGGGGCTGCGCACCATTCGCGGCTGCTTGCTTGGCAGGTTGCTCATCCTTGGCGGTTTCGTTGTCTGTATGCTCAGGTTGGCCCTCAGGATGCGACTTGTGACGTTTGGAACCTTTGGAAAAGGTGACATTCAAGACCCCGATGTATCTGTCAAAAATGATTAGTACATCAAAGACACATAAAGTTAAAAGGGTTACGAACCTTGGAAGAAACATCAGCATCTCTGGATGCCTGCGCTCGATGCGTTCGTAGAACTCATTTTCCCTATTGTTCAGTTGCTTGCATACAGCACGCCTGGAGAAACGAAACACCGTCGTATGCCCACCAACTTGATGCCGATAAGGCTTTAATTCGACAGCACCCACCGGGGCGGCCTTGCCATGCTTACGTCCCTGCCGCAGATACCGGTTTCGCTGAGTGGGAGTTGCGGTGGGCGTTATGTCGGCGGCGGCGGCATCATCTTCCGTGACGCTCGACTCCTCATGGGTCGACAATCCACTTTCGTCTTCAGAAGCAAGTTCGGATTCACAGGTGGAGTAGTCATGGCTGCGTTCGGAGATGGTAGTCAAAGCTTTGTCATTTATCTCTTCTTCTAGAGGGGCTTGTAGATCTTGTAGATCGCCGTGCAAGATTCTACTGTCATTTTTAGAGCGGAGAGAGATATCGACATGGTTCACCTCCTGATCACCCGGAAGAACATCATGGCCCTTGCCCGGCAGCAGGATTGGACCAGTGTCAGGTGTTGATACTTCAAAATGTTTGAGACTATCCTGATCGTTCGCATGAGCCTTGTACGGGTCAACTTCGTCCGACACTGTCACGCGCTCATGAGGGAAGTACAAAGCAGACGAAATCTGTTCTTTTTCTTCCTCCTCATCTTCAAATTGAGAGGAGCCACGACGTTGCACTCTAAACGCATCAGGTGAGGCTGCCTCGTCCCCTGAGACCGGCTCCCGAGCGTACTCTCGACCGCCTTCTGTGTACTGGGTCGGGATGCTCTTAGAGAATGAGGAACCCCGTGCACCACCGGGGGTCAAATGAAAGTTTCGAATTTCCTCCAATAAGTTGCGAGGCAACGCTCTGTATTGATACTTGACCAGATCATCCGTCTGGGCCTGCGGATGGCTGTCGGTCCGTGACGAAGGTTCAATGGTCACTGGTGCATCAGCAACAAATGACGGATGGGACAGACTCTTGGAGCTCCTTCGCTTGGCGGCTTTTTCGGATGGCCATGCCCCAGAACCGGGAGGTGCCTCCAACGCGACCTCGTCTGACATCACCCACGGCTCCTCGGTTTTCCAACCGCGGTCCTGGTTCCTCTTCCGGTCTGGTGAGGTTGTGGTATTCTCTTTAAACAAGCCCAGATAATGGCTAGACTTGCGGCTGCGCACATGCGATGCAGGTTCCGCGTTTGCCAAGTTCGCCTCAATTGAGTGTTCCACCATACCACGCCGACCCCGACTCGAACTCCGCTTAACCTTGTTTTGCACCTCGTCACGACCATCCCACGGGAAATCCCGCGGGTCCCCACGTTCTTCCGGTACCTGAGTCGTGCCCAATGGTCCCGACGATGGAGAGCTGATGGCGGAAGACCGAACGGCAGGACGATCGACCGACCACGGATCCTCTGGAGGTGGGGCGGATTTCGTACCTGACTCATGGGATCGGGATTGCAGATTTCCTGGGATTGGAATGGATGATGCGAGCTCTGCTACGGAGTCGAGGTCATCGGAGCCCCGAGGTCGATCCCCGGTACCAGTGGCGGACAGCAAGGCGGCATGAGTGCTAACGGGTGGCGACAGGAAGGGAGGACGCAACTGAGAGGAGTGATAGGAACTTCTGTCAACGTCAACTTCCATGCGGGCGGCCTCGCCGCGATGAGGACGAAGGGGAAGGACCTTGGAAGTGGTGGGAACAGAAATTGAGACGGGAGATGGTGCATTTTGCTGTCCGAGCTTGGAGCTCACACCGGCCGGACGACTGTTGTCGTCATCGCGGGAAGGTAGAGAGGACAAAGCTTGTGCTTCACTGTCAGAGGGCAAGTAATTGGTCGCAAAGATGCTATCTCGTTCCGAGAGCTGGGGACTGCGGGAGCGATGAGGACGAGTGAGTCTCTCCAGTTCGGGAGGGTGCTTCGGGTGTTTCTTTAAAGGAGGAGCGGAAGAGGAAGTGGGTAGGGACCATTGATAAGCAGACGGCGATTCAGCACGGGAGGGCGACGGGGCCTGTTCATCCTGATGTTGATTGTCCCCCTGTCGCAGCTGCTGGTGGCGACGAGCGAGGCAATCATGATGGGCAGCAGCCGCAGGTGTCACCAGGGGTTGATCAGACACGGTCTTCTTTTCGGCAGGCGGAGGGGTTGACATGGAGAGGACATTGGTTGGGAATTGCAGGACTGGAGAGTGAGTGATATTGGAGAGTGACGTAGAATAGATAGATTAGAGAGGGATGTAAGTGACAGAATCAGGTAGGAGGATTGGGATAAAGGAGACCCAAACAGGAAGGAAGGAATTGGCGTCACCACCGGTTCACCAACCACGTTCCCGGGGCGCGAGTTCTGACAGGCCAGAGGGATTGATGCACCAATAATGGGGAATTCTTGGGAGGAACTGGGGAGACAGGAACAGTTATTACTGGATGAGAGCAGTTTTGGCATTAACTAAAGAAAGGAAAGTGAGATACTAGCGGTGGTAGTAGTAGTGGTGGTGGTAGTAGTGTAGCAGGAGTAGTAGGGATACTAACAAGGGAGGGAAGAAGACGATGAAAGGAGAGGATCTGCTCACCGCCTTTTGTGGGGCGTAGGGCGGATACTGTACAGAGTACTTGTACAGTACGGAGTATTCTGTATAGTGCTTTAGGATACTGATAGTTAGTAGACACAAGTATCTTAGAAGAGAATTGACCTAATGCATTAGAATCATTGATAGTACGGAATATAGAGTACACATATAATACACACTTGTACTCTGTATATATATCTACTCTTTTAGTTCCAGTAAGGGCAATGGTGGCTGCCTTGGGTTACCACTTTGGGTCACCTGACAAACATCAACAATGACGACAGACAGTCAATATCAAATTGAAGATATAGAGGTAGAGAAATACTAGCCTATTATGGAGTACAGGGTACAGAGCACAGGGTACATATATCTCTGCTGTGGCCACATGCCCCCTTGTACATCAGTGCATCACCCCGGGACACTCTGCAGCTGGCCGTTATCAAGATACATATTCCAGAACATTGTCATACTTGACTGGCTCTACAAACATATTTGTTCAGTACGGAGACCACTTATGAGTCCTTCTCCAAACACTACTAATGCGGCGCAGTCATCCTACTCTTCTCATTGGCGAGCGCTTGATGTGATGTGATCAAAATCGACGGCGCTGTGATGGCGCCGTTCCTCATCTTCCAACGGCAGCTGCCGAACCACCGCCAAATGCTTCTGACTGGATGTCCCCAGTAAAGCCCACATCGTTATGCAGAATACTAAGAAAGAGAGGTCTCGACGATACACAGCGAGCCCGAATATGCATGTCACTGTCACTGTCCTCCCGAAGCCGACGCCCGGTGGCCACTCTCACTCTTACACACCTTTACTTCTGCCTACACTTCTAACAAGTGTTTGCTCTATTGATCTTTACTGATCTTTCTCATTCTCTGTCTATAATATTCTTGTATTATATTCTGTGTTTTTGTTATCTTGTTCATCCTTTAACTGCACCATCTGCATCGTGTCTCCGCCGGCCATCATCGGTGGAGTGTACATACTTGTACATCCAGGTACATGTGCTGTCGCTGATTTCCCCCAAGCTGCAGCATACACGCTCTTTTCTTATCGATTTGAATCAGCATCGCTTGCAGTGACCTTGGGCAGCCTTATTCGTCCCTAAATCATCCGAAACCGAGTCAAAACGACCGTTACTTGCTTTGCGACAATCTCATAATCTACTGTGAACCAGACACAATGAACCGCCAATTACGCTTAGATACGAACAATGTAAATCGCAGATATTCCTTCCTTCAGACGCCGTTGGAGATGCATGCCCCGGGTTACCAACCAGCAGCCGCCGTGGATCCAACACAACACCAACAGCGCATGCAGGAACAACAAGAACAACCCCAGGAACCAGAGCAAACAGTGTCCAGACATGTATCGCAACAATCGCCAAATTTAGTGAATGAGAAAACCCAATATCTACAAAATGACTCGGTCGCCTCTCCTTATACTTCTGGCTCTCCTCCGCCGCCGGAACAGCATCCAGCAAACTACGCCCCATTTGCCGATGAGATGATTCAACCTCACCCTCAACCTCCCGTACAACCCCAACCCCCTTCTGTGGAAGCACCGCAGTATGTGCAGGATCCTACTCCAAGGTCGCCAGGGCCGCTACCCTTGAAGACAGATCAAACACCACCGGAACAGAACCCAAACTCCCGTCCTCTGGCTGTCGCGCCAGATACAAACCCGTTGCATTCTCCTCAGTTTCCACGGTTCCCTCCACCAACGGCGACAAGCACAGGGCAGGTAGCAGTCCCGGAGGATGTAGCTGCATACCACCAGCCCGGTCAAGTAAAACATCCGAACCAAGAGATCAAAGGCGGGACATGGAGTCATAGCATGTGCGATTGCTCGAATATCAGTACTTGCTGTCTGGGAATTTTTTGTCCTTGTATCCTATATGGAAAGACACAGTACCGGCTTACTCTGAAGTCGCGAAAAGAAGACCCAACAAATCTCTTAGGGTATAGCGCGTGCAATGGGTCCTGTACAGCAATGGCTCTGCTGTGTGGTTGTCAATGTGAGCTTCGTCTCTCTTTCTCCAGCTGAATAATTTAGCTAACGATGCTAGGGCTTCTGGCAACCATCCAACATAAGCGGACTCGAAAAGCATACAGCATCAGAGGCGATATCGGATCTGACTGCGTCCGCGCTACCTGCTGTACCTGCTGTACCCTTATCCAAGACGAGACGGAAATCAAGAAACGAGAAGAGGATCGCACCAAAATAGCAGCAGCGCAAGGGGCAACGCTCATGTCGCCCTACACTGCCCCGGCACCGATGTCCTATCCTCCACCCCCGAGATGATCATGCACCGTTCAATGCATCGGGGCACTTTCTTCATCCCTTCCTTCGATCTCTTCACATCTCGCATGGCATGAGAATACCCTGTCTTCATGCCTTTGTTCGACATTGTACCACAACTCGTAGTTTTGATATCCACGGTTTCATCATTTATTTCACGCTCTATTGTATATACCATTGCATGGTTAACGAGTACTTTGTATATCATGCCACAATAGGAATTTCAATACTAAATCAATCTTATTGCAGCTGTCATTGTATGTTTAACCCAATTCTCATAATAAAAAGCTCAGAGGACATAGTGGTACAGTGACCGAATCTCGACCGTCGACCGCCCGGGTGGCGGATCATCGGCGGTCGGCAAAAACGAATGAACGCCTTTCTTGGGCTCTGATCCTCCGCGCCCCTTAACCGTTGGACTAATCTCCATCACTCGTTAAACATCCTCTATACCTTAATTTCGAATATTTCTTATTGTCCATCTTAGCCCATTTACCTACTCCGATTACTACGTCACGATCCCATCCCCGACTTGACTCGACCGCTGCATCCGATACTCGATACTCCTTTCCTCCATCGATCCTCAGCCATGCCTACATAAGGGAAAAGAACAGCTGACTAGCGAAGGATATCGGGACTGTATGCTTGTTAAAAAGGGGATAATTTCCGATGGTTTCAGACCATACATGAGCGGCCCGCAACGTCAACGACAGCGACGGCGACGACGACGACGACGACGACGAAGACGAGGACGACGACGTGAATCCTTCCAGAGTAACCAACCATGAGGGACGCCGCTGGCCTGACTCCCCGCCAGATCTGGGCTCAGCCAACCTCCACAACCACTACGAGTTATCACCCCGGTTGTACGCCGTTTCTCCTCCCACAGCATGGTTATATTCACTTGAACCGGACTGCGACCCTCACCCTGACGCAGAATGCGGTCTTTGAGCCTCTGTGTACGGGCGAGCCGTCGAATGTTACGAATCCTTCTGCCGTACTGGATACCCGCGACCCCTTTTACTCGTCCGTTACGCCGCAGTTATATGCGATCGGTTGCGCCACTGTTGTCAGCTATCTTCTCGTTATCATCCTTTTGATTACTCCGCGTACATATTACATTGGTGGTCCCAGCGGTGGCGCGAATTTTCTGAGTCGACATGGTATGCTTGGAGGTTCATATAGTGGTGGTTCCTCGACTGTGGGAGTCGGTGGCCGACCATGGCTTCAAAAAGTTGCTGCAATATTGGTTGCCATCTCGTTGACCATCGCGAGTGCGGACTCGTTCAAGGTCGCTGAGAGGCAGTATATATACGGATACTCGGACGCTGAAGCACTAACTGCAGAGGTTATTGATGGGAACGAAATTCGAATAGTTCGCGTCATATCCAGCACCTTCCTCTGGCTTGCTCAGGTCCAAACGTTGATTCGATTATTCCCGCGACACAAAGAAAAAGTCATGATCAAATGGGCTGGTTTTGCATTAATCGTGTTGGATACGACTTTTAGCATTCTCGAGAACTTCCTTGTGAAATCCAATACTACGCGACCACGGTTATACGACGATGCGATTCCTGCGCTCAGTTACCTATTCGAACTTTCCCTGAACTTGCTCTATGCCGCATGGGTTATCTTTTATTCCTTATCGAAACATCGATTCGCGTTCTTTCACCCGAAGATGAAAAATATATGCCTGGTAGCCCTGTTATCGCTCTGCGCCGTGTTAACCCCGGTTGTGTTTTTCGTATTGGACATCGCAAAACCCGACGTGGCTGGCTGGGGTAGTTACATCCGGTGGGTTGGATCTGCCGCAGCGAGTGTCGTGGTCTGGGAATGGGTGGAACGGATCGAGGCCTTGGAGCGCGATGAAAGGAAGGATGGAATTCTCGGAAGAGAGATCTTTGACGGCGATGAAATGTTGGAGATTACGCCATCTGAAGAAGTCGATTGGCCGCGCCAAACCTACAATGGGAACAATCGAGGCGGTGGTACAGGGGCATCGTCAGGATGGGGAGGCATGATGGGCTTAGCACATCATCCGCTGCGAACCCGAAATAATGGACATGGAAGACAGGCTGGCCCACAGAGTCAAACATACGCCCTCTTTGCCGAGTCACGACGCCGGAGAGCAGCCCGGCCCACTCCACCACCGGTAGCGGTCACGCCTGTCAGTCGGGCAGACACCAACAGTGCAGCGAGCACAGTGTATAATGTCCGCTATCACCCTGTTTCGAGTCCCACCCCGCCGGTGATGATGCCTTATATGGAAGAGGAGGAGGAAACGGATTGGCCCAAAGAGGAGGATATCAGACAGCATAATGATCATTCCGGCGAAGCTCTCACGGCGCAACAGCATCGAGACGGGCTGACCCAAACCGTCCACACGGATCCACGGTGGCGGAGTCTATTGAACCCATTCAAACGAAGACGTGCGTCTCCGCCAAGGGAAGTCGCCTCCGCACAGGCAGAGCATCCCGAGGAGGAGAAAGAGTCAGATTTCTCCGAAAACGAGGGGCACGAACAGCAGCCCAATGTCCCGCGCAGAGACAATCATTTCTTCCCTTTCAACCGCAAAAGAGGTCCTGCAAGCGGACGACAAGCTGCTGATGCATCCTTGCCGGTCACCGTCATTCCTGCCCGGAATCAGGGACAAAGCACCTGGTCGGCGCAGTTATTCAATGACTCCAGTCTTCTTGAACAGGACCGTCGTCCAGCCTCCAGCCACCCGGCTTCCGGTCATTCTAATCTACCCGTGAGGGTTCCATCGCAGACGCGGGTCGCTCCGCCATGGGCAACCGACGATAATGCCAACCATTATGAACTGCGCTATGACCCCGAAGCGGCGGCTCTGGTCGGGCCCGATGACCATTTTCCAGAGCATCTTTCTGCAAATCACACACAGGATGCGTCTCAAGCTTCTGAGGGGGTGGGTTCTGATCAGACGGTCTACCAACCTACACCACAGCGGCCGGGTCAGGAACGCGGGCGATCTTTCGGTCATTTCGGCGCAGGATAAAAGCGCGACGAGTGAGGATATTTCCAGCTATCGTCATGATTAATTGATTATATCGGGGTTTTGGGAGGAACGGTTTTTCTTATCTTGGAGTATTGGGATTTTGACAGCTAGATTCAAGTGATACCCAGTGACTGGCGCGTTCTTTCTTTTCAAGGGTTATTTCTGTGGTATATACGGGATTTTATATTCTCAACTTGTCGATGTCTTTCTATACTATAATTTCTTTAACGACTTTTCAACTATATACTTTTTTGCTATCTTGAACTGGGATCTGAGATCTATACAAGGCGGTGTGAGCTTAACAGACGGTCAGAGAACCCGATGCTGCATTTTTTTTTTTTTTTTTTTTTGAACATAAAAGAGACATCCTCTGAATATAAATATCTTCTGCTTAACAATGCCTTCTCCGTAATTGTCTATTCTTACTGCGCCTTATCGGGGACGAATACGAACGAACTAACACCGAATCTTGCGCGATACTCAAGGCGGAACTTTTTCTCCCGTCAAATCAAGACCCCCGAAGCTCCAAGCTCTTTCTTTTTCCTCTCTTCGCCAACACCCTCCACTCTGACATGATACTGTGTTCTCATCAATCGATGCCTCATTCTTTTTCTGCTGGTCATCTGTTCTCTCCGATCCATGCTGTGACATCATTGCTCGTGGACGTCGCACCATGGCGGCTGTCAATCGAAACATGTTCGAAGCCACCGTCACGGCGCACATGCCGGGCGACGCATCGTTGATGGTGATGCCGTTGAACTTGATAGACAAGATTATTTCTTATGTGCGTGCTTAAATCATACGGATGCATCGTATCTACTAACATTTTGTTGAAATAGGTCGACGACACCGCAGACCTCGCCCGACTATGCAGGACCTGCCGGGTCCTTAACTACATGTCCCTCCCACTCCTCTACAGAAACCTCACCCTAACCTCCTACGACAAAATCCGATACTGCGGCGAAGAACCCGAAGGCATGGGCAGCGCAAGCCCCTTCTCCATGGGCCTCAACGCAGTCATCACACGGCCGTATGCGAAACTCGTCCGATCGTTGACCATCCGCGGCGAATGGCGCGAACACGAACTCGAAGAACACGCGCGAGTCGGAAGAGTCCCCGACTCCTCAATGATGCTGAATATCGCCGTCCGCGCGGCCGTGGACCGCATGCCGGATCTGGAGAGCTTTAGCTGGGAGCTTAATACGAAGATGCTGGAGACGGTTTATATGGGACTTGCGCAGTTGCCGCGTTTGACGTCGTTGAATGTGCGGTTTCCGAGTAGTCGGCATCCGAGACCGACGATTATTATTCCACCGATGCCGCATTTGAAGAGGTTGAAGTTGACGGACATTGACCCGTTGTGTTATCCGGATGATATTTCGACGTTGTTGTGGAAGTGTAAGAGGCTGAAAGAGTTGAATATGCATTGGTCGCCAAGGATGCGCAATGCACAGGAGCCGAGTGTTATGCTGCATGATTATTTTCGCAAATGTGTTGCGGCGAAGGAGCCGTTGGCTGTGCGGAAGATTGCGCTGCAGAATTTGTATGCGCTGCACAGTGAGGAGTTTAATATCGCGTTTGATCCTAATACGGTGGAGGATGTTACGGTTCTCAACAATACTGGCACCGATGATCCGAGTTTCATGAATACTTTTGTGGACAGGAGCTGGCCGACGAATCCGCCTAATAGTCGCCTGCAAATCAAGTGCATGAGACAGGATGCGCTGTCCAAGAGACACGCTGAGTTTCTGGCGAAATTCACAGGCTTGGAGAAGCTGTACTTCGTCAATCCCCCTCGCGATGCCAACGATGTGGTCTCCCCGAGAGCTCCGAGCTCGTCCTCGCCGCCGCCATTCTCAGACTACGCCTATCCTCATTCGAACTCCCCTACCGTCTCATCACCAAACCCTGCAAGCTTCCAGCTCAACATCCGAGATAACTACCTAAACGCCATCGTGACAAACCACGCCTCCACACTACGCCACCTCCTACTGCCGTCGCGATGGCCTCTTTCCGCATCTACTCTTGCCCGCCTTGTCCACGCGAGTCCACAACTAGAACAGTTTGCTTTTGCAACGGAGTTGAACAGTATGGAGACGCTAGGTCTCATCATTCCGTTCCTCCGGAAGCTAGTTGCGCTTCGTCTTCTCATTCCCACGGGAAATGTCACCTCGCCGCCCAATGGAACACCGGGGACAGGGACTGCGCCACGGACTACAAACACTGGGAACGCAATCGCTTCAGCGCGAACACTCCAAGATCTCGTCGAAGTGGACGATAAGATTCTCATGGAGAAAATGGGCACGCATCTAGCTGACAAGAGTATCTTCAGCAATCTCAAAGTCCTAGGAGTAGGCTGGAAAGCATGGGAGTTGCTCGAGTTATACGTCGCAGACGACCATCAACAGCCACCATCGCAGCATCAACCACACACAGAAGAATCTCCAAACTACTACGCTACCACACCAACCCTCCAAACACCCACATTCGAAAACGGCACACCAAACCCAGGCCTAGGCATGAACATCACCTCCCCTCATTCAACACTCCCCTCTATCACACCTCATCCACAACCACAACCCGGCCATCCAAAATTCCGCCAACCATCCACCACCACCACCTCAATCCTCGGCAAACGCCCCCGAGAAGACGACCACCAATCCCCCTTCACCACCTCGCCCACAAAAACCCGCCACCACCAACCACTTTCACAGGAGAACCTTCTCGCGGAATTTGAGGATAATGTTTGTCTGCCGCTGCAGACGAATCCGGATGCGCAGCGGTGGAGGAGACGGTTACGGCGGGTGGGGTGGGAGGTGCTCAAGGATTGGGAGATTTGGGGGTTGGATAAGCAGGAGTTGTAATTAGGATGGGGTGTGTTTATGCAGATTGTACAGATTTAATGTACATATAAATCTCATCTTTGGTATCTTGTTTTCTTTGCAATTGTGGAAAATGGGGCGTCATGGTGTTGTGGTGGCGTTGGGATATATATATATTAGAAGTGACATGTATTTATTCCTGTCTTCCACTAATAGTTAGTTACTCTCAATTTTATGATATTGAGGTACACGGATTCATAAATTCTTGCCATGTATATATATCTATTCGTACAAGAAACATATACAGCCCAAACAGACAAGCACTCTAATGCTTCCCTCCTCGAACCCAATACAAAACGACGACCCCAGACCCTTAACCCAGCCGGTGCCCACACAAACCACCCTAAGTAGTACAACTACGCTACACACCTAACATCAACAGTCAATCTCTGACCTGCCCCCTACTCAACGCACGTATATCCTTGGCAAGCAACTCAAACTGCCCATCACTACCCTCAAACAAGTACCGCTGCTCCTGCTGCGAAGGAAGCCGGCATGACAGCATGCTAACTTCAACATCCTTATCCAAAACCTGGAAGAACTTCTGGGTCTTAGTGAAAAGGGTCTTTCTATCATTGCACTCCGCCATGGGGATGAGGCATGCCATATCGGGCTGTTCGGAGATGAATTTGAAGACGACTTCGGTTTCGCGAGATGATGCAGCCACACCGCTAACCTCCGGAGACGGCTCTGATGTTAGGTCTATTGGGATTGAGGATGAATGGGGGCTTTCGGTCTTTATTTTCTCAGGTGGTTTCTCGTCTTCCGACGTCTGATGATTCCGTTGATACGGAGTCGGAACAGGAGGAGGAGGATGGGTCGGGAGATTCGTCTGGAGTTGGGGCATTCGCTGTGCTCGGACGGCTTTGTTCTGTGGCGGGGATATCTGTGCTCGTAGACAGTTGAGCTTCTGCAAATGCAGTAGAATTAGGTATCTTGCGGGTTGCTTCCCTCGACCGGGAATTCTCAGGGACATCGCTTGATTTAATGGCTGGAGTTGAAGCATTCGCCGTACTTGGATATTTCCCCAAAATGCGCAGGCATCTATTCAGGACCGAATAACCTAATATTCTAGATGGCGGAGTTTTTGTAGATGCAGTATAATATGGTATCTTGCGGACTGCAGCTTTCGGCTGGCGGGTCACCGGGGCATCGCGAGATTTATTGGCTGAAATCAAAACATTCATCGTGCTCTGACCTTCTCTCTCATTTGGCAGGCTACGCTGGACCGAAGAATCTAATATCGAAGACGGCGGAGCATCTGAAGATGCAGTAGAGTTATGCCTCTCGCGGGTCGGCCTGGGGTTTTCGGGGGCACTGCAAAATACGTCCCGATGAAATCTGATCTCTTCATATGATCCCCCGAAGATCCGGACAGCAGAGACCTCCGTTTCAAAGCCATTTTTGACACCATTCCACGTCAACAGGAATGTATTCAGGGCTGAATACCTGACGCTAGCAACAAGTCTGTCTCTCCCATCCAGGCCGTGAAGAACGAGAATTCTGTACAAGGCCCATGGCTTGCGGTGGATCCGGAAGATAGTGTACTTTAACTCCTTTCCTTTTCTATCGAATACTTTAAATTCCTGCCTGGGAACGGTAACACCACAGGAGCATGGTGGTATCTCCGAGGGAAACTTAAGGTTCCATTCTTTGAGGAGCGTCGCGAGGTTTGTGGGGAACACTGCTCTCTATCCAAAATGTAATCTGGAGCTCTGATTGCTGGGCATAGATCGAGCAGTTAGATGGTTCTTGTATGCGCGTCACGGGCAGCCACTGGACCGGCTTAGCACTACAGTCTCCCGAACTAATTGGCCAAACCTACCCGGCTTTCCTAAGCCCTCAAGCGCAATTTCCCTATAGACCCATTCCTCGTATGAATTTGGGCTAAGATAAATGGCTTTGCTCGCATCAGACGATGATTCCTGAAATTCTGACCGCAATCTGTACACAGAAGAACGTTGCAGATAAAGATCGTGTTTCTTGGGTTCGATTCGAATGGTTTCGGTGAACTTGAAACTGGGAAGCAAGATAGAAATCAGCCGTCTAGTCCAAAAAAGAACGGGGGGAGAAAGGAAAAGAGAATTACAGCGCTGTAGCATAATCTTTAGCGAAATAGGCACAAGTTCCCTCATTCTGAAATTTGGAAGCCATTTTCAGACGCAAGGAAGTCATAAAGAAGTCTTGTTCGGGTCCAACTTTCGCCCAGGGATGTAAACCCAAGGTCTGGACTAACGTGTAGAAGAGAGATTGGGATGGAGGAAAGAAAAAGAAAATTAGTCGCGTGTGTTGACAGGGATATATTCACTTCCATCATTACCTCAGCCCTAATTATTTTCTTGATCGAGAGCGGAGTAGAGTGGCAGATTTGCTTTGTTTTTATTAGTACCTCCTCGACCCTTTCTTTTGTTCGACTACCTACACACTTTATTGTTCTATTAGTTGTCAATTTCCATCTCAAAGCCTATCTATATGAGCTAGGCTGAGCCGCCCTTCTGAGCCGTCTTCTAGGACCAACGCTCAAACTTATCCCCTCGAGAACGAATTCTCTCCTTCTTGGCCGAGAATGGCTGTCTCGGGTTCAGAATGGTCGCTGGGGGAGCTTTTCTGGCATCAAGAGGACAAGACATTGCAGATCACCAGGGTGTCCCAAGGAAAATGCTTTTGCATACAAATCTTACCATGCAGCTTCTACAAATCTCCTAATTCACTGGAAAGATACAACCGCTTTATGGACTTCTTGTGCGATGAGGAAAAGGACTTCGAAAAGGCAGAAATGGCCCAGGAAGAATTGTAAAGCACCCTGGAATCATGCGCGTCCCATTTTGAACAGGCGCTTACTCTGCCCCAGTACACCCTTGATAGTTGCACCCATACTCGGGGTTGATTGCGCTTGAGGATCCGCTGTATACAGAGCTTCATCATTTCCCATCCTTTTTATGAGAAATAGGCAAGATCAAGATGTAACGCTGATTGGTTAATTTTAAAATCGTACAGCTGCACCCTTGCTCCTGCTGCCTGATGATCTACATCCAACTAATACCCGTGGAGTTTCTCTATATAATGTGCATTCTCTCTTGCGCTCTGCCCGCTGGTTTACTGAATCGTTTGCTACCACCGTCAGCACCACCCGTTCAAGAACTATCCTTACCATACGCGAAATGACAGACACTCGTTTAACCTGGTACCTGCGTTCATGCTCCTACCATCGAGTCACCAAATTCGGACAAATCTGTGGCGTATACCAAGGCAAATGCTTATGTTTTCGCATATTCGTATCGCTAGTGAACTTCCAATACTCACCTAATTCTCTAGAAGCATACAACATCCTTATAGACCATTGCGAGTATATTTACGATGACAAGGCAGAGGAGGACTTACAGGACTGGGTGGTGACTCCGTTCCTACCTATATTTGATCAGATTTAGACCGTGGACATGCGTCATGAGTTCACGCCCCAGGATTATCTCTTTCCACAGGCGTATAAATACCGCTTTGAGCTATTTGCTGTGGACGAGAAAAAAGATTCGCAACTTGATTGTGGAGTCCTGGAGGAGCCGGATATCCAAGGTATTATTGACACTGGTTATCCGAAGCATCCAGAGTGGAAGAGACTTCGACCAGAGGAAGTGAAAATCTGTTCTGGCCTTGATGGTGATCATTCTCATGAAAGATGTTTAGCGGACTTTCCAACCAAGGTGTTTGTTGGTGGGAATGTGTACTTCTATAAACAAACAGTGGATGGGGATATGACAAAGGCTCTCACTGAAATGAGGGCCTACAAAAGGATGCAGATTTCGGGCATCAACAACACTACTCAGAAGGAACAAGAGCAGGAAGACTACCAGGACTACCACAACGGCCACAGCAAAGGACAGCAAAGAAAATGATGGCGATGATACTTACACCGACGACAACAGTGAGCATGAGCACGAGCACGAGCAATGCCAGGACTACCACCAAGATCAACAGCTCAATCAAGATGATCAAGGCTACAACCAGGTGTACATCCCTCGTGTATACGGTCTAATCGCCCAAGACACCATTCTCTTCAGCCTCCTCCTATCCTGAGTTGAATCCGAAGACACGACGTTGGAGTATATCTACATGCATAATCAAGTGCCATCAGTGATACGCCAGAAATGGGACCATCAGATATCGAGCACCCTGGCTCGTCTGCACAAAGACTGGATTTGATTTAGCTTGAGGGCTAGCAGTCCTGGAAAACAACGGAGAAGAGGACCGAGATTGAATGATAATACCATATTAGGAAGTGAATGACAATACGGTGAATGAATAGGTCACGGCCCTTTACTCATCTTCCTCACTCTTTGAAAGCCTCTTGTGGAACATCTTGATACTGGAAAACGTGCTACAAATACGTGAGAATAACTGGATCAAAGACACTCAGCAGTAAGGAAAGAGCACCACACTTAGCGTTCAACCCTTGAACGTATCCGCGTATTGACCCGCTCGACCGTCTTTTTGACATTTTCGACTGTTTCCTGGGAGATACATCTTCGGTGTTTCTAGAGGTGTCGCAAAGGCAAGAAGACTAGGACGCCAACGGAATGGATGGTTGCATCAGACCGTTTGCTGTAAGTTTCAAGAATCATTTCTATTTAGGCCTCCAATTGAAGACAGCTGTTTTCCAAGTGCATTTGAAGAGTTGTCGCCCCTGAATTACAGGTACTATGGAATCTTTTATTCGTCCCATTGGCAATCTAGATGCTGACTTGCCATGTTTTTTGAGTATGTGATAGACCTGATTCATGGTTTTCGCATTCAAGCCTGCGGCAACATTGGAACTAGCAACAGCAAACTGCCCTTGACAGCTAGGAGCAACGGAGCGCCTTGGTACATGTCAATTTCCTCACAGAGGAAGAATCATGTCTTCCTGACATCCCGGACAGACAGATCTCTCGGTATGTTTGCATCCCATAAATGACCCCTTTACTTTGCATTACAAGCATGTAACTGAAAGAACACTCGATGTTCGCACAGGAAGGTCATGTAGAATGATGTGCACTTATAGGAATGATGCCCGCTCTGTTCATCGCCAGCCATTTGCGAAATAACTTTGCAATATTGAGCTTGGGAAGTCCCGTTCAATCACTCCCCTCAATAAGTGCCGCCTCTCTCAAAGCATCAATATTAGAAGGAAGTTCACCAAGCCAGTTTCTCCTCGAAAGACAGGAACAAGTATCCTATAACACAGTGTGTTTTGGGCACGGTCTTTCAATGGCGACATAACAATAGGCACCAAAAACAGAGGTATTGCAGCCTTTGAGGTCAGTTTGGCCACGTGATCGGGAGCTTTGCCTTCTGCCATACAGCTTCAGGGAAAGAGAATACCGTTTTGACAACCGAGTTTCGCCAAAGCCGCTTTCCTGCGAGCGACAGTAAGTTTATTGCATGACACCCGGCATACTCTATCTTTTACCTGCATTGATTGTTAGATACCAGTCGTCTGGGTTTTCTGCTTGCTTATTGCATGGCGGATGATGCAGATAGAGTGAGCCATTTACCAACGCCGTTAAAGCTGCAGCGTCGGCCGTCTAATACCAACAATGAGGTATATGCTTGAGCCGTGAGGGCGAGGAGCTCATAGCGGAGATACAATTGGATTTCAGGAATGATTTAGATGTATGTAGAGTAGGCCAGAGAGGTTAGATAGTGTCCATATTAAAGGGTCCTGATGTCCATATTAAATCTACATAGCGATATCTTTCTATTCGTGCTTCCATATGTAGAGACGATGATTGTAGACCCAGGATCGAGCTAACCACATGCGGTTAGCTCGATCCAATAATACATCATGGCCGCGGCGAAACGACCGAAGATCGCAAAAGCGCCAAAGAGAAAAACAACACTTTGCACTTTGTCAAAATGGGGAAAGGTGAGTGTTTCACTGTGAGAATTGCTTGCGCATACTATGATCATCATCACTAACTATCTCCTTCTGTACAGGAACGGATAAACTCTACGTATGTCGCGTCTTGACCTGACAGCTAGCACTCGATAAGAACTCAACTAACAATCTTCAAACCGAATAGATCACCCACTCAGAATGGGCATCCAATGATGCATACTCAGCTAGCGCTGGCGCAGGCGTCGGCAAAGCTCGAAAAGGCGACCAAGCCGCCTTCAGACGCCTCCCCTTCAACTTCTGCTCCCTCTCCCTCCAACCATACCAGCACCCCGTCTGCACCGCCTCGGGAACAATCTTCGACCTCACTAACATCCTCCCCTGGATAAAAGACCGCGGAACGAACCCCGTCGATGGCACGCCGCTGAAAAGCTCGGACCTGATCAAGCTGAACATTGCGAAGAATGAGTCCGGGGAGTACGTCGATCCCGTTACGTACAAGGTTCTCACGGATAATACGCATATTGTTGTGCTGAGGAATACGGGGAATGTGTTTGCTTGGGATACGGTTGAGAGGTTGAATATTAAGGGGAAGTTGTGGAGGGATTTGGTTACGGATGAGGAGTTTGGGAGGAAGGATATTATTACGTTGCAGGATCCACAGAATATTGAGGGGAGGAATCTCAACTCGTTTCATTATATGAAGACGGGGGAGAGTCCGGTGACGGAGGAGCATGATCCGGCCAAGAATGTGAATGCGAATGCGCTGGGTAGTGCTGCGAAGATTGTTAAGGCGAAGGAGGCTGTGGCTAAGGCTCGCGCGGAGAGGGCCCAGCAGGCTGGTTCTGCTGGCTCCAAGGGGTTGGCGAAAACTGGAAGCGCGGTGGGCGCCAAAGCGGCTCAGAAGGCGCAACAGCCAGGAAAAGTCACTCCGTATAATGCCGCGCGACACACGACGGGTTTGGCGGCTGCTTCGCTTACCAGTACTGGTATGACACCTCATACGTCTGGGGAGCTGGCGCTTCTCTCGGATGAAGAATACATGTTGAAGCGAGGTCGGGTCAAGCACAAAGGTTATGCTCGCATGTCGACTACTTCCGGAGATCTGAACTTGGAGCTGCATACTGAGTATGCGCCTAAGGCCGTGTGGAATTTCCTCAAGTTGGCCAAGAAGGGATACTACAATGATGTCACGTTCCATCGGAATATCAAGGGCTTCATGGCCCAGGGTGGTGATCCTACCGGTACTGGTCGCGGAGGCGAGAGTATATGGGGCAAGTACTTCAACGATGAATTTGAGGGACCTTTGAAGCATGATTCTCGGGGGACCTTGAGTATGGCAAACAAGGGGAAGAACACGAACAGCAGTCAATTGTGAGTTTTCAGGTTTGGCGTCCTATCGTTTGCGCGCTAACCCTTTCCAGCTTTATTGCTTATCGGGCCCTGCCTCACCTCAATAATAAACACACCATCTTTGGTCACATCATCGACGATCCAACCCCTTCATCTACTACGCTTAATAGTTTGGAAATGCACCCTGTCAACCCAACCACAAACCGACCGACCCCCGACGTCCGAATCAAAGATGTGACAATCTTCGTCGATCCATTCGAGGAATTCCTCAAAGAGAAACAAACCCAAGAAGCGATTGACAAAGGCCAAGTTCCACGAACAACAGAAGAGGAAGAACAAGACTCGCGACGGGAAGATGATGATCGCGTAACCTGGACAGGGAAAAGAGTCCGTGGTGCTGGGGAAACAACTATGGATGACAGCTCTGGGGGAGGCGTCGGAAAATATCTGAAAGCTACGCTTGCTGAACGAGCGGACCAGGGCCAAGAAGAAGATGAGATTATTGAGTTTGTGGACGAGGAGCCGGAGCCGGAACCAGCGAGGAAAAAGGTTAAAGGGACAGGGGGCTTTGGAGATTTCAGCTCGTGGTAAATCAATTCGTGGGGAACCTTCAGTTTTTTCCTCCTTGATATGTCGTGATATTATAGATCTACAAGTATCTACTCTGATAATCATCTTGGGATATTCGTACTCCGTCTTCCATTCGTGCGAATTTGGCAGAGGTAATATCCCGAGTCGCACACTATGCGGTACTACTCTCCATAGTCTCGCGTGTCAAACTCTACAAGGAATAGGCCCAAATATAGAATGTTGACGATTGTTCATCCCTTTTACAAGAAGTTGGCCGTTTGCATAATTCGTAGTACTCGGTCGTAGCCGGAGTGATTGGGTATACTACCAGCACCCCTTAACCACTACTAGTATACTCGTACATGACAGCCGTTAACAATTGGTGTTAAATGCACAAAATCTCCTAGTTTTCCAGATCGTTTCTGGCTTTTCCGGAGAATTTCGATTTGCAGCTCTAGAACATTTCCAATTATCAAGGTGACTCCACCGGTTCAGCGTCTACTACCTGCCCCCCGATTCTCTCTCTTCTCCGCCTTCCAGGGACCATCACCACTACAACCACCCTCTACTCCTACCACTACTATCACTATACCTTCATCTCTCATCAATCTATCATTACCATCGTCGCTGTATCTGTATACTATTCTTAGTGAGTACATTGAATTTCTCTCTCTGCTTGAATTCCACGTGCTCTGTTCTTCTGCCCGCGCCCCAGTGGGATTCATCTGGAGTACTGGGGAGCCCAGTGCTTGTTCAATTCCCTGTTGCTATTTCATGATCAATCTATCTACTTCTTAGAATTTCGATTGCCTGTGCTATTATATTCCTTCTGTCTATCCTGTTCTATCGTTGTGATATAAGAGGCTGGATGCATAGCCGCTTGATCACCCCAACCCCAGACTCCATTACCTGTTCCCATTGCCTTGCTCTTACAACCTGCCATCTGATTTCCCTCGAACTCGTCAGTCTCAAACACAGCAAGAATCGCTGTAGATCCAAATTAACTGACTGAATTTTCTGTTATACTTTCCAGCTCGATTTGCCGTCGCTTCCGCAGCCAATTTAATAGTACCCAGGATTATCTCCTCGGCCTCCACTCTTCTCCCTCCTACGTCAGCGCGTGTTTGGCGCTCTTCACCCACCACTCCGTTAACTGCATTGCGTGCTTTCGCCATACCTTTTTACCCCCGAATTCCTTCCAACCTTCAAGCTGGCAGGAAATAAGCGCAGAATTTCTTACCAGGGTGGGTTGCTGAACAGAATGTTCAGTGGCTCCTCGAGCCCACCCAAGGACAAGACCGATTCCGTTCCACATTCCAACAGCATCGACACTCCTTCCTCCTCTTTAGCCGTTCCCGCCGAAGACAGCACCGTGTCTACCAAAAAGTTCCCCCCTCCCACTGGGTTTTTTAGCCGTAGAACCAGCGAAGACCAGAGCAACCCAGGTGGTGAGAAGAAACGCAGAAGTAGCACTGTTACTAAGGCAGCTACCTTTTTCAGCAACGCCAAACAATCGTTGACCCTCAGCACCCAGCGCGAGGAAAACAGCAACGGGTCGCCAAGTTCGCCCAATCCACTCCAGAAACTCGGAAATATGGATGCTGCATTAAGTGTTCCCCAAGGGTCAGGCAATAACTCCGCGGGTGAATCGGTACCCACCGCGCGTTCATCGTTCAGAGTCGGCGTCACAGAAGATCGGAATCGGAAATGTCGTCGCACGATGGAAGATACCCACGCCTACCTGTACAATTTCCTGGGAACCCCCGCTCCGTCTACACGCACCGAGGTCAACGGCGACCAAGACGTTTCCCCCACGGCGCCCACTTTCGACTCCACTGTCGAAACAGATAACGGGTACTTTGCTATTTTCGATGGCCACGCAGGCACTTTTGCGGCTGAATGGTGTGGGAAAAAGCTGCATCACGTTCTCCAGGATGTTATGCGGAGAAACCCCAATGCGCCCGTTCCCGAACTCCTCGACCAGACTTTTACCAGTGTTGACCAGCAGTTGGAGAAGCTACCGTTGAAGAACAGTGGTTGTACCGCAGTTATTGCTCTGCTCAGGTGGGAGGATCGGGTTCCCAGCTTAAATTCGGCCACTGGTACCGCCGCACTTGCGCCCGTAGCCGCCGCGGAGACGACCAAGAGTGAAGGCGACACCAAGACCGGGGAAAATGCTCAGTCTGATCCTACAACCGTGATCCCCAAGCTTCAGGAGAAAGCTAGCCGTCAGCGTGTGCTCTATACCGCCAACGTCGGTGATGCGCGTGCTATTCTGTGTCGCAATGGCAAGGCACTCCGTCTTTCCTATGACCATAAGGGCAGTGATGAAAACGAAGGGAAACGGATAGCTAGCGCTGGTGGATTGGTCCTCAACAACCGTGTCAATGGTGTGCTTGCTGTGACCAGAGCGTTGGGTGATGCGTACCTCAAGGATCTTGTCACGGGGCATCCTTACACCACCGAGACCGTCATTCAGGCAGACGCTGACGAGTTTGTCATTTTGGCGTGCGATGGAGTATGTTTCCCCACGTTTTCTTTGTCTCGGTCTTACTAACAAGTGCAGCTTTGGGATGTCTGCAGTGACCAGGAAGCCGTGGAGCTTATCCGCAACGTCCCCGATGCCCAAGAGGCCTCCAGGATTCTGGTCGACCATGCGCTTGCGCGATTCAGCACGGACAACCTGTCGTGTATGGTCATTCGCTTCGACTCGAGCCGCATTAAGAATGTTGTCAACCAAGCCGTTGAACCAATCGGTGTAGACGGGGATCCGGCAACCGCCAACCAGAGCATCAGCGAAGCCGACAAGATCGTCGAAGGAACCCGACAGAGCATGGCCAACGCAGGGATCACCGATGACTCGGAAAATGCCCAGAAGGTCAACGAAGAGATCATCCGGAGGATGTCGACCGACGAACCTGGCCCAGAGTTGTCAGTCAACGAGCATACCGATGCCCCGCAGGAGGCTGCCGATAACAAGCCTGAGACTGAAAACAGGGGCAGCAAGGATTCCTGAGCATTCATACAATTTCTTTCATTCGGGACTGGCATTACATTCAGGGATAGAGGCCTCGAGTCGGATCAGGTAATGGAGTTCTGAAGTGGCTTTGTCTTTTTTATCTGCTTTTTATTGTTTCCTCTGTTGAGATCGATCATGAGACATTCACTCATGGCCAGGGCTGGCCAGATCACTCACCATGTTCTTGGAAGAGAAACTCTTCATGGTTTTGCATGTTTCCATTTTTTTCTCATCTTTTCCCATTTACCATTCAACCATGTGTGATTCTATTTTTTCTTTTTTCTTTTGCCTCGGTTATTATCTCTTTCATTTCCTCGCCTCGCTTTTGCTAGAGGCAGTCAACTTTGATGCACATGTTATTTTATTTCTTTTTTCTTCGTCTACCACTGTGTTTGTACGGCTACTGGATACATCATGATGTGAATTCAATTTACACATTTGAGGTTGGGACATTTACCGGTTGGTTCTGGAGTAGCGGTTCTGCTTGCAAATCGAATATTTGGCACCGAGGATCTGAACTCATTTTCTCATTCAAAATACGTACACAAATGATAATTGAATATCTAAAAGTACAATCCGAGGAAAGGGGAATACATCGCCATTTCAATTTCGACAACACCAACACATGTAGAAGAGGGCATGTTTAAGCTTGCTTAGCCTTCTTCTCCTTGAACGCATCATCCGCAAGGACCTCAACATCGTAGATCGGCTTCTGACCAGGCATAACATGGTCGCGACTCAAGTCCAACTCGCCATGACGCACACGCTCAGGCCAAGTCTCCGCGAACCGCGCATCGTGGACATCCGTCCAGAGAACCTTGACATTCTCACCCTGCAAAGCAGGATCACTCTGGCTGGTATCCTCAACCTTGTAGTCAACAACCTTGCTGCTCAGCGTCTCCTCAAAGCCCGCAATCCGTCCCGCAACCTCATTAGCATACTCCTCCTCCTTCTTCCTCGCCTCGCGACGACGTCTCCGCGCAGACCGAGTAATATACCCCCTCTTCCCATCCGCAAACCCATTCCTCACCTCCTCCTCCTGAATCGCCAGCACAGCAGCAACATCCGCAACGCTAGTAGCCTTCTGATCCATGACCACCCTCGCACGCTCCTTCTTCTCCATCAACCAGCCGATCTTGCTCATGTACTTCTCGTCGAATTCTTTCGCTTTTTCGGGGTCCCGCGGGCGCTTCTGGTCCAGGTAGCGGTCGGAGATGGTGATCATTTCGCGGGGCGGGGAGAGTTGGCGCTGCATGGAGAATTCGCGGAGGAGGTGGTAGGCGCGGAGGCCGATTTTGGTGTCCGCGAAGTGCACGGAGTAGTAGGGTACCCACATGTCTTTGCGGAGGGTTGCTGGGATGGTTTTTTTGCCGTGGTAGAAGAGTTGGCGGAGGACGTTGTTTTTCTACCACCAATTAGCAAGCCATCGCTTTTCGGATAGAAGGGAAGGGATATGCTGGCTTACCTCCAAATACCTCGTCAACGAATAAACCACCTGATTCGTGCGAATGTTATGGTAGACGAAAATGTTCTTCCCATGGGTGAGGGCATTCAGGGCCTTCCGTAACCGCGTGCCTTCCTTCGATTGATGTGTCTTGAAGGCATTCGAGCCCTGCTCGCGGGTCTTTCCTTGGATCACCGATTTATTCTCGATTGGTGGACGACGGACGACATTCCAGGTTCCGATCTTGGTTGGGTCCAGGATCTTCTGGAAGGGTTTTGTGAATGAGGACGTGGATGAGGCCATGATGGCCGGTGGGGGTTCCCTCCTGTGCCTTTCTCTGCGGGTGTGTGGCTAAATCGATTGAACGTTCATAAGGGTCGTAGGGTGAGGGTTGCGAGTGGTGGTCGTGGTGTGGTTGTCGACAGCGGTGGTGTAGCGGAGACGAACTTTTACGGGAAAACGGACTCCCGGCGGGCGGCATCTCCGCAAAGCCCAACTCACCTTATCAACACTCTACGAGAACATCACGCAAATACACCTCGACTCAGGTGCTATCTCCCACTCGGTCAAGGTAGAATGACTGGCTGGTCGCAATTATCGTGCGCCAGTTAACCTGCCATGTCGCTGACGGAGCATCCCTCCGGCGGCCTGGACAAGGACGGTACTGGCAGTCGCCGCGAGAAACCATGGCTGTTCCCTTCGGTACTGATATACTCCCTATAATATTATAGCTCAATTGAAACTAACGGCTGATATACGTAGAACCGCCGCCTTCGACATCTCCATGGCATCTCCGTCCGCAATCTTGTCGTCACGCCGCCCTCTAGCTCCAGCAAAGGGAAAGGAAAGACGATTGACGACGAAGACATCCCCAACGCGCTGCAATCGCCATCGAAGCAGATCCTAGCTCAAGATTCGAACCGCTCATTGCACCAGTCCCGGTCGTTTACTGATCTCAAGTCCCAGGAGACCAAGGAGAATCGTGGCAGCACTAGTCATAGCAAGCGACCACCACGCCGGAGGAGGAGCACATTGTTGCCCTGGAACGACCCCAATCCACACACGCGGCAGGTTAATCTGGAAGATATCACGAATAGTCGGATGGCGGATTCGTGGTTCTCGGTCCATCGTGGGGGCGTCGAAGAGCCGGTTTATGTTAGTGAGGTGATTGAGAACGCAACGAACCCGAGCTTTCGTTCGTTTGATTTGAATATGTGCGGGCCGTTGGTTTCGCGATTGGATCAATTGACTCTGAAGTTGTGGGCGAAGCCGACTGCAGAAGCGGAGTATGTGTTGTTGGTCGAGCTACAGCTGCATCTGCAGTCCTTACAGTTCCTGGGCAAGTCGTTGGATGGCTTTCACCAGCCGCTGCCGTCGAATTCGCTTCTTTTTCACTTTGCGGATGGGGTTTATGCGAATCTTACGGATATTCCGCCGGACTCGACGGCGTCGTCTGCTGAATATGCATCTTCTGATAGTGCCGCGCTATCTACGTCTTCGTACGATGCGCTAATGCGACTGGCGAATCTAGACGAGTGCATTCAGGATGCACTGGCGACCAGGGAGAAGTTGGAGTCGCAGATCAACTCGATCCTGCAGAAGAACCAGAAAGCTATCGTCACGACCAGTCAAGCATCTCAGGCGCAGGATAAGCTCGCTCTCACCAGAAATGCAGTTGGCACGGAACGAAGACATCTCCGCCTAGCAGCGAAGCGCAAAGAAGAATTGATCGCCAGTATCAAGGCACGAAAGGAAGCAATGGCACGCGGAAGATCTACGCAAGACAAGGCCCGGAGTCATCTACCCGATGCGCAGCTGAAGCTAGCCTCGAGCGCAAAACTATTGGAACAGAACACGGAAGATGCCAAGGGTCAGATTCGGCGCATTTCTGAAGATCTCCTGTCCATATACCCCATCGAGCCGATTCCAGATGAGCCTTTGACTTTTACCATTGCCAGTCTTGCGCTTCCTAATTCGAACTTCGAGGATATTGACCGCGACGCTGTTGCAGCTGCTCTGGGGTTTACTGCGCATCTCGTTCAGCTTTTATCGTTCTACCTCTCGGTTCCTATACCATATCCTATCAAGCCATACCTCTCCAACTCGCTCATCCACGACCCGGTGTCAGCTTCACTCCCTCAACGAACCTACCCGCTCTATCCGGTCAATGTACAGTACCGGTTCGAGTACGGGGTATTTCTACTCAACAAGAACATCGAAATTCTCCTCAACAAACAAGGTTTACGCGCCTTTGACATCCGCCACACATTACCTAACCTGAAATACCTTCTATACGTGCTCACGGCTGGAACCTCGGAAATCCCCGCCAGAAAAGCAGGTGGCATTCGGGGCCTGTTCCCCGGACGCCTGAGCCCAAGTGTATCCCGGCGCGGAAGCAACAACAGCAGCGTTTACGGTGAATCTGTGCATCCTTCCAAGATTCTGGATCCCGGGTCCGGGAAATTGAACGGCGACGTTAAGGGGAGGAGGAAGCCGTTATCCCCCATTGCTGGGTTTGCGAGGATGTCGCAGATGGCTTGACGGGGTGACATCCATCCTGGCTGGGTTTGTGAGACACTGTGTTGCCGTCGCAGTTGATCGAGTCGTATTTGTTCGGGTCGAAGCGCCTCTCTTTTCTCGTTACTTCGTTTATTTTGGTTTGGGGTTGTTACCAGTATTTCTATGTGTTCCTAATGGCCAGTTTTGTATTCGAGCATAGGGTCGTGCGTGTGCGTATTGTGCTTATTGTTGTAGTTGAGTCGGTTGTATAGAGTGTCAGCGCCGAGTCTGGAATCTACCTTTCTGCAGCAGCACTTTGGTGGCTGACACTGATCTGTTGAAGCTCGTCTTCTCTTTCTGACATCTCGATCTCTTCCCATTTCCTTTCTTGTAACTCTTACTCCTTCTACCCCGCATCGCTGACCAGAAAGGAAGGACAAAGCACATACGAGAGGCAGTGAATGTCCAACCCCAGCTGTCATCCCCGTCTTTTCTTCTCCTGAAGAATCTCATCTCACTCAGCAAAGAATAATAATACAGCGGCTTTTATAGAGGTGAAAGTCGGGGCTCCGCGATTTATAAAGACCCTAGCGACCCACCGCTTTTTGCCGGGGACCTCGCTTTGCATCGGCTATTTTGCAGGACATCTTATCACCACCTTTTTATCCTATACACCAGGCAAAGCCATCATGGCTCCTGGGTCTACTGCTAGCCTGTATTCGCACAGTGGAAGTCATCCTCCGAAATCTCCGTCGCCTTCTGCTTCGCAGCAGCAGCATCGCCGGGGGTACCAGGCTTGCGATCCGTGCCGCAAGCGCAAGGTGAAATGTGATCTGGGCAGTATGTTTTTTCTTTCCTTTTCTATTTTTTCTATTTATTTTTATTTATTTATTTTTTATGACCATTGTGACAATCGCTAATTCTAAATTGCACTACAGGCGTCGATAATCCCCGTCCTCCTCCCTGCGTACGATGTCGTCGCGAAAGCAAACGATGCGAGTTCTCTGCCACCCGGCGCAAGCGCAAACCCTCCGAGGTAGACGAGAGCGTGGACGGAGTACTCCGACGGGATAAACGGATGATGGTCGGGGATACAGCGGATGATTCGTCCTCACGGAATGTCTCTCCATACCCGCATGTCGAGCAGCAGCAGCCCACGTCGTTCGATGCAGAGGCCGATCATTCTCCGCAGAAGTGGTCTGAGGGGCCTTCTACCACAACGGCTAGTCAGAGATATTCCCAGGTCAATGCGCACAATCAGCCGGCTGCGACTGCTACCGCGACTGCGGGGCATTTTCAGGATACTAAGAACCACCTCTGTCCACCTGTCTATCCGATCGGGGAGCGAGTTACTGGAGCGAGTTATGGCCTTGAGGGAGGGCCGCCTATGATGAATCGCACTGCTGTTGAATTGTTATCGCCTGCTATCAGTAACAGCCATGATGCGCTACACCTTTTATCTGAAGCAGCAGGGAGGACTGAGGATCTGAATCGTCAGAGTATGGAGAACCGATATGCTGCTCGACAATCGGCCTCATCTTTCAGCTCGCCCATATCGCCCATGACTCAGGGAGGAACGCCACGAAGTGCTGGGGGATCATTCTCGAGAACACCCCGGGCCGGGGCTATGGGAAACTACTATCAACCTGTTGCATCTGGCCCCGTGGATGCGCAGATATCTGGTGGTCGTGGGCAGGCTGATGGTGCAGGCACATTCCAGGACCCGGGGTTTGTGGATGCTGTCAAGGCGTGGTCGCGGTTACGTTTCGTTCGTGCGGGATGGCTTACGGTCGAAGAGGCGATGGCTTATGTGGCATACTATTACGAGCATCTCGCCCCGCTGAGTCCAATTGTCGTTCCCGACTTCTCTCAACCCTCGACTCATCGTACACTACTCACTGATGAGCCTGTGTTGGCCGTTACGATGCTTACTACAGCTTCGCGGCATATGAAACCAAAAGGAGATGGGTCGTATACGCGCTCGTTTTACATTCATGACCGGCTCTGGTCGTATCTTCGCGGTATGATCGAACGTCTTTTCTGGGGCCAGGAGAAGTTTGGTGGACATGGCATTGGCAGCGGGCCCCGGGCATTTGATTTCACTTCCGTGTCGAAAATGAATCAGAAGGGAAATCTGCGATCCCTAGGGACCGTGGAAGCCTTACTGTTGCTCACGGATTGGCATCCAAGAAACCTACACTTCCCACCTGGTGATGACGAGAATGCGCTGTTAGATCTGGACGCTCAGGCCCATAGTCGCTCCGACAGGGACTTTTTAGAAAACGATGGCGAACCGATCAACCGAACCTCGACTACCAACGCCGGCGAAGGACGACTCGCATTCCAAACATGGCTAGAGCCTGCCTGGCGCTCAGACCGGATGTCCTGGATGCTACTAAGCACAGCACAAGCCCTAGCCTTCGAACTCGGCGTATTCGACCAAAAAAGCGAATCCAAAATCGCCAACGAATCACCAATAGAACAGACCCGAAAAAGACGCCTGCGCCGTCTAATCCTCGTCTACATCTCTCAGAGCAGTGGCCGTTTAGGAATTCCATCCATGCTTCCACTTCCACAATGGGCGAATGACATCCAGCCCACATCGCCGGCAGACGCGAAGGGAGGGGATACGAACATTGACCGGATGCAAGATTCCTGGATTGGGATTTCGAAGATCATGTATCAGGCGAATCAGCTGTTGTTTGCGTCGAATGAGCAGACATCGGAGTTGATTCGTAGTGGGCGGTATCGGGATCAGATTGATCGGTTCCAGCCGTTTTTCAGGGAGTGGAGGCATAATATTGATACGATTAAGCTTGTTCCTGCAATGCGGAATATTCTGATGATTGAGTACGAGTATACTCGTGAGTTGCGAACACCTTGCAGTTGATGATGTGATATGCTAACTAGTTTAGGTGTGTATGTGAATTCCTTGGCCCTCCAAGCTGTGGTAGATCGCTGGACAACAATGTCGAACGAAGCTGCACAGAACCAAAAAGGACTTCCAACTGGTAACACATGGTTCGGAGTCTTGATGGAACTCTACCGCGTAAACGAGCAATACATCCAAGAAGTCGTGGACGCCTCGCGCCGGATTCTCCAGATCGTCCTCGATGGACTCGTACCAGGAGACCATCTCAAACACACACCAGTGCGATCCTGCTTCCGAATCCTCTCCGGCATGATCTTCATCCTCAAGACATTCACCCTCGGCGCAAAAGAAGACGACGTACGAGTATCACTAGATCTCCAAGACCGTGTCGTCGAAGCAATGCGGACCTGCGTTGTCGACGACGTCCACCTGAACCATGCCATCTCCCGACTCCTAGAACTCCTCACAACAAGCATCCGCACTCGCTTCCTGCGCTTCGCCCCGCTAGACCGCGCTGGTGATGGCGAAGGCAGCCAGAACCAGAGCCAGAGCCAGAGCCAAGAACGTCCCTCAGCACCTATCTCCCGCCATCAATCTCCACCACGCAGCCGCCGCGAGGGATCTAGCAACGCCTGGCCTTCCACAAACCTAAACTTCATGGAATCTAACACCAGTACCGGTCCAAACACAACCATGTCCTCCCTCCACGACCCGCTAGCTGGTATCCCAGCGCAACCAATCAACTCCTCCAACATCAATGTCTCCTTCATGCCCCCGCCACCCTCGGTGTACTACAACTACTACGACGCCGCCTCCGGTGATCTCGAAGACTCGAATAACGTCCCGCCACACTCGATGCATGATAATCCAAACGCAAACGCAAATCCAAATCCAAATCCAAACGCAGCGCTACCAGATTGGTTCGCTCTACCACTCGATCAATTCTTCAATAGCTCGACCACGGTCGTTGATCAGGGGTTGGGTGGAACGGGTCCGATGCTGGGCGAGTTTGATATGTTGGAGGTGCTGCTTAATGAGCAGCATGATGGGGGTGGAGAGGGTGTTGGTGTTGGTGTTGATGTTGATTCCGGGGGAGGGGATGGGTTGGGAGGGACTTCGCATTTGATGCAGTCGTGATTGATTAATTGGTGAAACTATTCATGGGGCGTTTGATATGGTTTCTTTCTTGTATATTTCTGCTTTAGGGAGGGACTTGTCTTTATTTATTTCTCCGATATGGAGTGATACGGTACATATGTCACTATACAGATACGGACCTGAATTTCTCAAACCACCCTGGCCATTCCTCAAGATAGTGCCTGCTCGTTTTATTAATCCCTCGCCGGACATAATAACTACGCCTTTCTCTTTCTGCCAACGCCGATCAAAAACTAGGGCGAGAAACGCTTCGAAGCAACAACCATCACGATCATGCAAGATAGGGCAGAAATTTATTCTGTAAATGCGCTTCTATCTGCTAACGACTTTTAGAGAGAAAAAAAAAAAAAAAAAAACCTACACACATTTCTTGCCATTGCAATTATTCCTTACAAGACTTCACACAACTTTTTTTGGTTTTAGTTGAAATCTTCAATTATGCACTTCGTCAAGCAGATCAGTCTTATCAGTTTTGCTATTTCATTCGCAACAGCATCTCCCACGGCCCAGACGAACCCTAAAGTGTTGGAAGCTCGCGCAAAAAAAAAAAAAAAAAAACAAAGACAGATTTATCAACCCCTCAGAACCGAAGATGAGCCTTGACGAGCAGTGTATGATGAAGGTGGCAGAAGTTCCTCTGCTACACTATTGGAATGTTGTAATCAACGATGCCAAAGCTTACACTGATAACACGTGCGGTTCTGGATTCCTCGACAATCTCCACGGCCGCGGCTGCTCGGTGACAGGCTGGGGTTGCAACTATGCCAGTGACGGCAAGACGATGAACGCCAACTTCAATACAGGAGAAGATTGTACCAAAATTGATGTTAGCAGCGCCATCAACGCGGCGTTTGGCGGAAAGGACGTGGAGTGTGCGGACTACGATGATGAAGTTAGATGTGGTGATGACAATAAGTGCTCCATTGACAAACCGAGAGAGGATATTTGAATCCATGTATACCCTGAGACAAGAGATAATTAACAAGAATATTCTCGATAGTAGGAAATATCTCTGTAGAAATTCTGTACATATACACAAGCTCTGCTGGAGCAGCATGCTAGTATAGTACACACTGTGTTCTCCCTCTTGGTTGCTCTGAATATTTTGCTCTCTTTGAAGGTCTGAGGAGGGGATTGTGACAGCAACTACCTGTCAAACAACTGGATAGCGGCCAGCACGAACTCCTATAACTAACTAGTCGCTAGCTAGGCTACGTACACACGAAGAAGATCAACAGTGAAGAAGGAAAGGAAAAGGTCTGCTAACCACCACCCCCAGAGCCCCCTTAAATAGCAGAACCCTGGACTCTGGAACCTTTGATATCATCCTCGCTTAAGCAGGCCTAGCTGTAAGAAGCTGCAGCTACATCTGGAAGTCTTTGATGCATAGCAGATGCAGGGGGATGATGCGCGACGATGGCGGCAAGGCGACGTAACTGGGCTAAGAAAGTCCCACGTCTTGATTTGTATGTAAAGCCATCTGCTGCTGATACAGTATGGGCAAGCCTTGGGCAAATCGAACTGGCCAATCCGCTCACAACCGAAGACGTCGCACGAAAGAGGACAGAGCCGAACAGAAAGCAATTTTTAAAATCTTCCCAAGGGATGAACGATACATTACCTGCTCTTCCCCAGCTGTCGCGTGGAAAGCATCACCGCGTGCTGCACCGAATCTCCTGCACTCATGAAAATGAGCAGTCTCCAGAACTCTACACAGATCTTCCGACACGAACCTTTCAATCAGGGCACTATCATTTGTCAGGTCAAAACCCGGTGGTTGACCTCCAAGCCATTACCAACCAGGGTTCTTTGGCTTTCATCGTGTTTCGTGATTCAGCTTGCAAAGGATCAAGGCAGAGCACCAAACAGCACGCAGGACCATTATTGGAATCTCACACAAATTTGGAGGAATTGATTGTCGTAATTGATCCCGGCTTACGTTCAGAAATTGATGCTGAGTTCTGCACCGCCAATGGCCCTGCTTGTTTTTTAACACGAGATCACAGGATGTCCAAACTCCAATGTCAGCCGAGCCTGCTTGGAGGTCTGTTGTTGCCACGTGCTTTTCAGCCTGAAATATATGTCTGAATCACATCAGTTAGTAACTTAGTACACACTTAGACACCAGCAGTGTGACGGCTCAACGCCGCATCAACAACTGACACAGACAAACGACACCAACACGCCCAACAAGACATTAGTGATGTCAAGCAGACGCCTATAAAACCCCTTCTCCCTCTAGATAGATTTCCTCTTCTCTTTTTTCTCCCAGATTCGATATTCCCGTCGATGGCTACAATAGTTTAGATAGGAATTCGGTTCGTTAATATCTACTATTCCGAGTCCGTGATAACCAGAAGCCTTGCTTACCTGCAACTACATTGGCATCAAACTTGGCAGTGACATACAATACTCTGCTATGCTCTGTGATGGCATGGTACACCATTGTTGCAGTTATCAACAGAGCATTCAAGGGGAATGGGTTGAAGTATCCCCTGGTTGATGAGTGTCTTGCCGATGCATATCATCCTTTGGCGCCAAAGAAGAGGTCTACAATGCATTGAATTAGGATTGGAGCCAACCAACGCCTGTAACCAGCAGACTAGATGGGTTATGTTGAAATTAGCAACTGCCAACTCATGGGAAGCCCTGGCATAAAGTCACCTGCTGTCCTGCCATCTGTGACACACCCAGACTTCAAGATCAGTGTAATGGCTGTATCAGTGCCACGTCTCTGGCATTTCCTTGTGAGTGGGATCATTGGTTGAAAGGCCTCCTGTGAGAAGATTTTGGATGTTTCTTGGGTGTGTGTGGGGTGGGGTTCAGCCATTCAGGAACCCTTCATTCAGGTGGGATCAGTGGATCACCATCAGGCCAAGTTTAGTTCCCATTCAGCACACAACCACCACAGTTTGGATATCCAACAATCAATTCTTCCATGGCCTACAGTATGTGTCCTTTTTCCAGGTGATTCTGATTCTGGGTGTCAACTGAGTTGAGTGATAGACCGTAGACAATACTACTTCTGCATCTTTTCAGCGTACTACTCGAGTACTTATATATGTTGACCCGTGAATTAAACCATTGTTGGAAGCTAGAACTAAAGAATCCGATAGCTGCAATGCTTGAAAACATCACAATAACAGGCCATGGAAACATAAAAACGAGAAACTGACCCGAAACATGCCAGACAAGTCTAGGAGCTAAAGTAGTAACAAGCATCATAACCCTGAAGCACTCTCGCGACCTACAAAACCATCTGCCACTTAACCCTTTTCTCCCGAATCATCGCCAACAACCCCAGCGGCAAAAACTTCTTATCCACAATACTCAATCCCCCAAAGTCCCTGATCAGATCCTCAGAGTACAACTGCAAGATCCATTTCTCCTCCTCATCCAAGTTCCCAAGATCCACCACCTTCCGCGCGCGCGTCAGGGCTGCCTCCGTTGCCTGCGTCAGTTTCACCCTCTGCTCGGTCGGAACGCCCAGCAGCTTCACGTAGCAGTTGCGGAGGTCGTAGCTGCTGGTCTCGCGGAACTTGCTCCACTCGTCGAAGGACATGAAGGTGCGCTGCTCGGAGTGGGGAATAAGGGGTGGCTTGCCAGCCTCATTTACATTCTGAAGGCGGTAGTTAAGGGATCGGTCCGTCATATTGTTGAAGTCCTCCTGGTCTGACAGGTACCGCTCGAACTCGCGTTTCTTGAAGTCATCCAAGAACTTGGTTGGTTTGAATTGTATGCCGTCGCGGATCAACAAAATGGCGATGAATGGGTTGCGCAGCGCAAGACCGCCGAGTTTCTCGGGCAGGAAGAAGAATGCGTCGGGGATGGTATCAATGTTCGAAAGCTCGAAGCGGGAGCGGATCATTTGGCGCAGGTGATCGGTGACAGTGGGTGCATCGGGGTTCTTGAAGAGAGTCTTGTTCATCTTCTCGTACGAGGCCAGGATTGAGTCCACGTGGGGTCCTCCGAAGCAGTTCGCCGGCAGGCCAAATGTGCTCTTGAAGAAACGACCGATGCAACTGTTCCATGTGCGGATCCACGAGATAGCCACATTATCGCAGTTTTTAAGCTGCATCTGCAGCTGCTGCACATGTGCGTCTACTTGGGTTTGGTCAATGACCCAGTCTCCCGACTCGCTGTCCAGTGTCAGAAACCCAAACTTAACTGGTCCTCGCGGCAGTCGAGACACGATACCGGCGTCTTTGACACTTGAGAGGTAGACAGAGCCCGTTTTCTCGTAGTTGATCGTTAGGCCAGTCACTTGAGCAAATTCCTGTATCACCTCCCAAGCGTGAGCGCACGGGGCTGGCTCACCACAAAGCCACAGGTCATCGTGTTGACGATACAGAAGCATGCCGGTTTCCTGGTTGACTGCCATGTCCATGAAGAACAGAACCAGCTCGCCGAGGAACTTCTCGGATGCATGTGCCACCGGGACACCGCATCTGCGGGTGCGAGGTCCTTTCTGGTCTCGGTTTTCTGACGCTTGGTCCATGTTCAGAGGCGACTCAAGATACTTCTTGAAGAAACTGATCCAGTCCTCTGAAAATCCCACGAACCGCATCACGGCAAAAATGGTGCTGTGCGAGAGACACGTTCCATACCATTTCAGATCTGACTGGACAATGGCAGCTCCACCGTACAGTTGTCGATGAAAGAGGATCTCAGTGGCAAGCTTCCTCAGGAGCTTTTGCTTGATGTTCTTCTCGTCTTCCCTGGGGGATGGCTCGTCATCGTCATCGTCGCCGTAGTCATCGTCGTCGTCGCTGTAGTCATCGTCGTAGGCCCCACCCCGTTCGATCAATGTCTCCTGCGTCGCAGGCAATTGAGACAGAAAGTAGCTTTTGATGAACTCAGATCTCCGCCGATCCTTCACTCCTCCTGATGCTCCTCTCGAGCCCAAGTAGTACTCCCTCCGCAGCTCCTCGTGCTCCGTCATGGACGGTCTCGTAGACCACTTCCATAAGTCAGAAGTTTCCACAAACCGCCGCAAGACCTCCTTGAAACGATTGCACAGCTTGACGCCAATATACTGTACAAAAATTGTCTGCAACACATCCTCGTCCATCCAGATCCGATATCTTCCGTTCCACTGGGGCCGCGGCAGCACGGGGATCCCGCCCTCGCCCGCATGCCAGTCCCAGTTCTTCAAATCAGCATATCGAAAATTCAACACGTCCGCGATCTCATTCAGAGCTAGCTCGTTGTCCAGGAGCGACTTGAGCATCACCTGCCGCTCCTCGCTAAGGAGATCCTCCATCGTCAAGCCCCGGATACACGCTGACAAAGTCGTCACATTGAACGGCTCGTCCTCCTTCCACTGCTCAGTGGTCTCTTCGCGAATCTCCTGGCGTAGATCTTCCAGAGCTTTTGCGCCTTTTTCGCCGGGGAAGAGTTTGTTCAAGAACGCATGGATGTCTCCCTCGTTCGTGTCCACCGGAGTGAAGACAACAGCCTCGAATGTATCGCACAGCTTCTTCAATCCCTGCTTCTGTCGCTCATCTGCCAGCAAGTCGAGCTCCTTGACTGATGGCGATCTCGCCTCGATATCGACATTGACATCTGCATTGGCGTTTTTGTCGGATGGGACGGGGGGGTCCACCCACTCCATCAACAACCTCGAGTACAAATCCGCCATAGCCAGCTTCGCACTTCGCGTATTCAGTCTCTCAACAAGACACTTCTCAAACCCCTCCAGCTTCTTCTTTGGGATAGAAGAGTCATGTTGTGCTTGCTGCAGATAGCGTCGGATGCTGGTGAGTGCAGGGTCCTGTGTCGATTCGGTCTGCAGCTCATTGACGGCAGATAGGAGCAGGCTAATTCGTTCATGAATGTCGGGGTGGGAGTTTGAGGTCTGGAGGATGTCCGTCTTGCGGGTCTCGTAGGCATTCCGCTGCTTCTCCAGCTCGCGGACTTTGCTGTCCGTGAGGGAGAGTATGGTTTGGGAAAGGAGGGCAGAGTCTGTGGACGCCATTGTTGCTATTCTTGACAAGAGAGAGTATACTAGGATACTTGAGGAAGTAGTAAAGGAGAATCGAGTTGTTTGGCGAGGGATGTGAATGGAGGTGAATGAGAGGGTTTAAATAATCGTGTCTCGTATTTCTATTGACTCACAGATGCGGTCGGAGCCTCAAATTGGGTCACAACAAGAAAGGAAAAGAAATGGAATGAATTGAACAGAAAGAAGAAGAAGAAGAAGGCAGGTACGGTACTGGTCATGGTGATACTACAATAGCGGCGTCTCGATGAGAATAACTACCACAACGCTTGGCATCGTGTCAAGCCAGGCATGACATATACACAGCGGTGAATTTATTCGTTTTATCAAAGGCATCTGTAGCTAATTGAGACCAGCAAAAGAGTTGTTGTGGTCTTAGGGCTCGGGCTTGTTGCGGTAAGTTTAAATGAGATTAAATCAGGTATTCTAGGGCAAGACAAAAAATGCAGATGTGTACGCAGATCCCCAACATGTCATCGACTCCCCTTTGGCTTCTCCGGTAACTGAGGAGCAATTTTCTGCTTAATATCACTGCTATCCAACTTATTCCTGGGGGGTGCCGGCTCTAACCGCAAAATGAGACTGGCAATTATCGCTTCAAGCATGCGAAGGATGACCAGGAAAGGCGATAGCGGCGGTTGGCAGGAATATGGTTTAACAGGCTGATCACTTGTTGATGTTATTGCTGCATCTGCTGCTGCTGTTGGTGATGCTGTAGATGTTGTTGGCCTGTCTTGACCATCTACCAACGTTGTGGACGACGAAGGCGAAGAGTGGATGCTGGGCTCGGTTCCTTGGCTCTCACTGTCAATGCTCCGTGTCGCAGATATGGGGTCTTGGGCCGATGGACCGTCCAGATGCTCATTATTACAATGCATATTCATTGAGGCCTGTGACTGGATGTCAGGCGAATGGGAAGCAGAAGGCAGCCCCTGAAACAAAGACGGCATGGAATTCGGAACCTCCACAGGAACCTCGAGCTGGTTCCGTCTGATCATCTCATGTGGCAAACCCATAGCCAGACGATCAAGGTTGCGGTGAAACTGTTTTGTTTCGCGGACATCGACCAAAGTGACGGCAGACCCCTGATCCCGGTTCGCTTCTGAGGGAAACTTGAAATGTTGAGTTTTGTCCTTCCAGGACTCTTTCAGTTGACGAGTTCGCTTCTGCAATTTGCCTTGGATCTCGACACGTATCCGAAATGTTTCACGGTCATGCTCAAATGCGAAGCCTGTCCGAATCACGTTATTGTGAAATGATTGCGAGTCGAGCTCGTTCTCGGTCAACTCCCACTTCAACGTGCGGTATGTGACCGCATTGTTTGGGGCTTTACCTGGCATCAATTGGCCGGTGAACATCCATCGCCGGACCTCGTTTGTTGTCTTTTCGCTATTTACGCCGACCCCGCCGCTGCTGCATCCCATGGCATTGACCTCCGGCATGAGTTGGTAGACTCGCTTCCTGGGCAATGTCGTCGGTTCGCCGTTAAGATGCTTCGGGCCATAGTAGTCGGTCAACTGGAGTGTATCGTGGTTGAGAACTGTACTTGTGAAGGCGGGCTGTTCCTTCTCAAGCGTCACTAGCACGGTGGCAGACCTGAGCCGACAATCTTGGGGCTGATCGAAATTGAGGTCGACGTATAAAACCCCAGCCGGAGTATATTGATTCAGCACGCCCCATTGGGACTCAGACAGACGGAATCGACAATCCACCCTCACTTTCCCCAGGTTGCGACTAGCCAAGCTTGCAGAGGAAAGCTGCCCGAAGTGGTGGTATGAGCGACCATATTTTCGTGCAAAACGTGGCCGTGTTTGTTGAGATATCGAATCTGGTTCCATTGTTGACAACTAATTCTTCCTGCTCTATCCATGTAATAGGCGAAATCCCAGTCCCTAAAAGGCATTCCTTGTGTGCTCCGCCCCAAAATCAGCCTCATGGATGAGTTGGTCAAAAGTCCAAAGCCTTACCGATCCGTCGTCATCATTTACATCACTACTCATACTAAACCAGTGCGTATGCTATTATCTTCAATCATTACTTGAAGCATCATGAACATTCCAACTATATCAGAGTCCGAAACCGACAGTGATATGGAACGGGAGTCTCGATTTATACGCCCCGGAAACCGTGGTCGGGATGACGATGGCGCCACGGTCGAAGAGCACCTGGATCGCCTACGCAGTCGATATCCCAGAAGAAACGACGGGAGCAATGAAGTTATGTTGCGCCGGAGCTATCGGTCTCTGGTTAATCGCCTTACAAATTCAGATCGAAAACGACCAACAAGCCGCACCAGAGAAAAGAAAGAGAGTGTGACCACGAGCCTCCGGTCGGAGGGTATCAGCTTGTGTTGAGTCCTCGGAATACCAAGGATTGCACTGTGCATTTCGAGATGGGCATCGAGGATGACCTCGAGGTCCAACTGGAGGAGTTCTCACGGCTGAAGCGATTGGGTCATTTCGGCGCCGCTCGAGAGATGTTTCAACGCGAATTGGCAGAGCATACCGCATATTCTCTACCTGTTCTCATTGAGCATGCAGACATGCTGTATGATCAGGGCCATTATCGCGGTTTCTCTGACCTGGTACTCGGGTACCCTCGACGTTTGGCCAAACATGACTTCAGTGCCATTGAACAGTTACTTTTTGAACTCAATGAAGCATTAGCAGAAACGCTTTTCGGTGAGGATCCAGAAATTAGCCACAGATCTTATCTTGGCGAAGCCAGTGCACTATTCAAGGTTAAAAGGGATATCAATTTTATATAGGTATTTGCAGAAGTTCCGTGCGTTTGCCTCAGCTTTTTCTTACCTTCTCCAGGTTCAAATCCTGAATAGGCTTCTGAGAATATGGGCGCTACGTGAAGGCGAGCAGCCAAAAAGGCAAAACATGCGTCGCGTAGTTGAGTCAACTTACAGTCCGGTTTCCATGGTCTTGATCGCTCAAGAGCGCTTCTGGGAGTTGAGAGACTTGATCACGAAAATAGCTAACGTCAACATTGACGACGCATGGCTCGGAATTTTCATGAGCGGTTATGGCGACGATTCCTCACTCCAGGGAATGATCAGTGATTTCACTCCTGGAGCGTACGATGAATCCTCTTATCTGGCATTGCTCGATGTCCTAGTGGCGCTCTCTGGGTACCCCTTCTCTAAGCAATCGTTTTCAAACCCTGATAGCTTGTCAGCATCCGGACGCATTCTCCATCAGGCTCGTCAGGTTTCCAACATCATCGAAACAAAAAGGCCCGAGCTGGTCAAGTCACGGCCGTACCTTCGCTGTATCCTAGCTGAAGCAGAGCATAGCCGTCGTCTTGAAGGTGACGTGATTCGACAATATCTTTCTCGATTCCCAGGTGTCACGGTTTGTAGAAGCTTGGTGCCCATTTACATCCCCAACACTTGTGAGAATCCCGGTTGGCCAGATATCCATGCGCATCCACAGTATACAAGGCTCGTCCAGATCGCACTCAAAACAGCCCGAGCAATGGGAGACTACCAAACCGAAGTCTTATGCCTACAGGAGCTGATATGTCGATCTTCACACCCGCGGGAATTGTTCGAGCAGCTGAAGCAGCAGCAGAGAGAGATGGAGGGCAATTCAATTGCATCCCGACAAACCTGTCTGTCAATGTATCTTTTGCAAGACATGGGATCCTCGCACTCATTGGAAGCCTTTCTAAATGAATACCATCTCGCTAGCTCTCCTACCCGGACTGTTTCACGTCGGACCCAGGACGGACTTACCCAATGGTGCTATGTTATGCTGCAACGAGCCTTTGCCACCTACGCGGGACAAGATAAGGGTGAGGTAGAACTTGGGGTCACTCGTCTTTCATCAAAACTCCCCAATGATGTTTCTTCCATTTCCAATAGGGCGTTTCAATTTAGTCGCCCGCATCGAGTTTCGACCTCATATAGCAGCGATTCCGACTATGATTCTGACGACTACCGCGACCACAAAAAGGAAGCTGAAGTCGGACCGCGCAGGAGGTCCTTCAGTCGTAACAGGATCCTACCATACCCTCCGGGACTATCAGTTCTTCATTCCTTTCCTAAATCGGAAGCTACTGTATTTTGCGGGACTGGACCACCTACTCCCTATCTCCAGCCTCTCACTGATTCGGAAAAAGAGATCCACGACAGCACCAAAGTAGCCAGTGTGGATCAAATGGTTCAAACTGAGGATTCCAATTATAAGCACACTGTAACGCCGCATATCATCATTACTGAGTCATCTACCGAGGCCAATAAAGACCCAGGCAATACCAATAATAGTAACTTATGCCCGGCCCAAGACAAACAGCCACGAGAGGTAGAGGCACCTCCCAAGGATAAACCGTCAAAGCAAGCTCAGGTTCATGAACCTTCGTCGTCTTCAGAGTGACCGGGATCCCTTGTCGGTGCCTAGAATGAAAAATTTGCTACAAAGATCGAAGATAAAAGCCAAGGAAGGACTCGTTACCGATGTGACTATCAGAGAGAATGAATGCATAATGGCTCTTCGGGCTATTTCGGTCAACGGAAAAGAAACGATAAATATGGGATCATTTCTAGAATGTTTGTGCTCTAGGGTAATATTCTATTCACAATAAATGGCTATACAGTAGTAGTAGTAGTAGTAGTAGTAGTAGTAATATGTGCGTCGTCTATTCTGCACCGATGATCCGAAACGGCTGCCATGTGGTTAGCTCGTTTTAGATTTATCGATTCATTCGCTCCAGGCTGTCAACGTTTCAGCTTCAGTCATTGGCATGTGCTAGCCCCGACAATGTAATTGACACTGTTTGAGATGTACTCTACTGTGTATCAACTGCAAATACAATCGGAAGCACCGACAAAAGTAATACCAGTCGGGAATCAAATACCCAACCAACCCGACAACGTTTCACACATCTTCGAATCCAGTCAGGATCTCAATACCATTGGCACTCGCTTGTCAGATTTCCCACCCCTGGCTGCCTGTCGCATATTAAACCTGACACCAAACAATCTACTGTCAATCAATCCGATCCGACGGATAGGCGATCTTCAACTGCTTATTGGTACAAGTGCATAAGCAGCACTGACCAGCCGGAGTTCGCCGGTGGGGACTCAGTTAGACACATAACACTATGGAGGTGGGGTCTCCATCGTATCCTATACCGACTCGACCCTGTCCACACTGCAGTACGCCCAGCGCCCAGACGTGACAGTGTCGGGGATGGCAGGTGGGATTGGAATTATTCACTGTTGATTCGCTCGAATAGTGTAAGATTTGGGGGGAACTGAAGGAAAAGCAAAGTGAATGTCGCTTACAACTGTCGTGCGAGGTGAATGGTCTGGGCATTGTTACGCGGCAGGTTAGGGTCGATTCCCGCTTCTGGGGTAGTGTCTAGCGGGTCGACAATATAAAGGCCCCGTGTCGGAGTATGAAATTGATGAGGATATAAAGAAAGCTTTCTCTTGTGGCTCAACTGTTTTTCACTTCATTATCTCTAACCGCCGTGAAGTGAGTCGAGTATTCACTTGCTTTGTGCTTCTGTCTTTCTATTTGCCAACTTCGGCGCTTATATTTCTTCACTCATTTATTTTTCCTCTTTTCTCGGCCTGGTGCCTGAGATTTCATTCTCTCTCCTCAAAATGCTCGTCCTTAATGCAATTACACTTCTCGCTGGCCTGTCGACTGTGTCGGCAGTGCCTATGGCCCAGCCGCGTCGTCGAGGCTTCACTCTCAACCAACTCATCAAGCCCACGACCCAAGGATTAGCGCGAACTATCAACCTTCCTGGGATATACGCCGGTGCATACACCAAGTTCGGAAAGAGCGTGCCTGCGGATCTCAAATCTGCTGCGGAAAATGGCACTGCTGTCGCTAAACCGGAGGAGAATGACAAGGAGTACTTGACGCCAGTGAAGATCGGGGGTACGACGCTAAATTTGGATATTGATACTGGGTCTGCGGATCTGTAAGCCGTCTTTATTCCCTTGTATCGTCAACAATGGCTAACAAGTCTAGGTGGGTGTTCTCGAGCGAGCTATCTACCACCGCACAGAGTGGGCACAGCATCTACAAGCCAGCCTCCAACGCGACCAAGATGGAAGGATATAGCTGGGAGATCTCCTACGGCGACGGAAGCGGTGCGATAGGCGACGTCTACAAAGACACCGTTACTGTCGGTGGTGTCACAGCGCACGGCCAAGCAGTCGAAGCGGCCAAAAAAATCAGTCGGTCGTTCGTTTCTGATAAGAATAATGACGGCTTGATGGGGTTGGCTTTCAGCTCTCTTAACACTGGTAGGTTGTCCCAGTCTTCTGTTTATGACTTGAATGGGGACTTATAATAGAATAGTCAAACCCCATGCCCAGAAAACCTTCTTCGACACCGTCAAGGACGACCTCGATGAACCTGTGTTCGCGGTAGCACTCAAGCACCAGGCGGCAGGCTCATACGACTTTGGATACATCGACAAGTCTAAATACACCGGTTCACTCACATACACCGAAGTCGACAGCACAGACGGATACTGGATGTTCACAGCGGAGGGCTACGGTATCGGCGATGGTGACGCCAACTCAACCCCCCTGACTGGGATTGCAGGTAAGCACCACATACATACTTTATCATTGACAATATACTAATCATGTCAGACACCGGTACCACCCTCCTCATGCTCCCCGAAGAAGTCGTTGACGCATACTACAAACAAGTCTCTGGCGCAAAGAGGAACGCAATGGCTGGTGGCTACGTCGTTCCCTGCGATGCTGAACTGCCAGACTTTACCACCGTTATTAGCAGCACCATCAGCAGCGGCTCCGGTAGCAGCACCGGTAGCAGTACCGGTAGCAGCCCCAGCAGTAGCAGTACCCCCGGTTTTGGCGGCGGTTTCGGTGATGGTGGCCTTGGTAGCCTCGGTGGACTCCTTAGCGACGACTTTGGTAGTGGTATTTTCTCCAACAAGAGGAGCACCAGCAGTAGTGGAAGTGGAAGCTACAAAGCCGTCACGCCTGGCAAGCACATCAAAATGTCCGCCATTGACGAGGAAGGGTCGAGCTGTTTTGGGGGCATTCAGAGTAACTCTGGGATGTCGTTTTCGATCTTTGGGGATGTGTTCTTGAAGAGTCAGTACGTGGTTTTTGATCCTGAGAAGCCGCGATTGGGATTTGCGCCTCAGGCTTGATTTCTTTTCGGTTTTTTACGAGCTTTGTTTGATATGATTCTCTAGAGATATATATTTGTGCCCTGTGATGTACGCGCTGGGAGTGTACGGTACTGGAGAAAGAAAAAATATAAAACAGACTACGACAAGACAGGAGTTCGAACACAGAACCACTGCGGCCTGCGGGATCAACCATAATGTCCACCGTACAACATTAATACGGCCATTACCACTATGAGAAGCGCAGACCACTGGGCCATCTTGGTGTAGCTGTTTAGACGTATATACGCTTTGGTGGACTATAACTCTACTTTGGCTAGGCATCAATTCCTAGAAAGAAGGCATCACCAAACATGCCAGGCAGACTTGTTCTATTCAAATGCTGCCTTCTAAGCACAGATGAGTGCGCTTCCCTGGGATGTTCGAAAGCGATCCCAAGCTTGAACTTCTAACGAAAATCCCGGGCTTGATGGGGATCCAGGTGGAGGCGTTGAGTATGGGTATTAAAACCGGTCTTGATCCCTGAGCTCTCTCCAGTGTTATCTCTAGACATAGAAGCATGGACATATTGATATTCTCAAACTTGACATCTCCACCATTCAGAACTTGTTTCTTGAAGCAACTAACTTTTCAGCTCCAGCTCTCTGTCGGAACTATGATCACATCGTCTATTAGCAATCCTTCAATTAGAGTGATCAAGAGACAGTTACCATGTTTTTTCCCTGGTCCTGAATTGACATGGCAAAAAAGGAGGACAAATTCGACAGCGGCTTCTCACAATGTCGAGCATTGTAATACCTCCCTCGGCGCTTGATTCGGTGGCGTTACATTCTCACAGTGTCTTCCATCTGCTCGTCCACTTCCCCCCGCGTGATGAACTTGCCGGTGCATAGGCGCGGACTACATATCAGAGTGTCAAAAAGTTGGTGGAGAGGGTGTCGGATCTCACTTTATCTCAGATTACTATAAGTATAGAAAGGAGATCAACCGATGCGCAGAGAACGTGACAAGTCGGCGTGCAAATTTCCAAGGAACAGAACGAATGTCTGCAGGGTTTGTTGTATTATTGTACTGTGCCTCAACGTTAGTATCAACATTGAATGCAGTGTATACCCAATGCTTGCGGTTTATATCATGGCGTGTTCGACAGTTTGTTTGAGCGTGGCGTGCTCGAGACGACTCGTATATGTGTGTCCGTGATTCTTGACTTCGAAAGGAGCGTCGATATAATCGTGAAAGAGTCCAAATATCGTAAAGTATCTCAGACAAGTGATGAGGGGGGTCCAGACCAGCTAAAGCTAAAGACTATTTGTGGTTTGATCTTGAGACGTGTATGTGTTGGTTTACCAATGGCTGGGGTGCCGCGGACCTAACCGACATGGTATTTCTTGATAAGACTCCATAGGGCCTTTATAGTTCCTTTTCTCTCTGTAAATGTGTCTGGTAGCCTTTTACGAGGCCGAACGTTGCAAGCAGTGTTGTTGCAATTGCTGTTGTGTTTGCTGAAGCGTGTTAATCCATGTATCTTCAGGCCGTTGCTGAGTCTTTTCAGGGTTTGGCAGCAGGTGATTTTTAATTGTGTTTTAGAATGTTGTTCTTCCCTTGCTGCTGAGTGTTTTTTTTTTTTTTTTTTTTTTTTTTTTTTTTTTTTTTTTTTTTTTTTTTCAGTCAGTTCCGCTCGTATGTATGGAAATGGAATGGCGAATGGCGAATGGGCGGTTGCTTCCCGTTCCCACATTATATGTAGTCATGCATGAACAAAAAGAGACAGTAACGCAGTACAGCGTTTAAGGTGCCAATATCTCTCACACTTGCCATAACTAGGGCTGGGAATGTAGACCTTTCAACCACCCTTTCCTGTCCCATCTGGAATTGAGTGCGAGATGGTCCGTTTTTCTTATATCCCGTCCAAATCCGTGCCGAGAACGTCTTACTGGTCGGTTTTGGGCTTCTTTTACTTTCGTCTTCTTGCCCTTCGCCGAGAGCAAGATTTCCAAGACAGGGATTTGAACATCCGCGTTCAGCTAGCTATGGTCGATCAGACCGGTATGCACGCGACGTCCAGCGTTGTGAGTTCGACAGCCTTTAAGTCCTCGTTCTCCATAGCTTTAGGGCTCATTGGGCGCTTGAATCGATCACACCGCCGTCTTATTTGTTGCTGTATCGCGGGATAAGGTTCTAGTCTCCAGCATCGCAGCCATGCGGATGATTCAACTGGTACAAACCCCTGTAGAATTTTCCCACAAGGGACAAGAACGTCCTTGCTCATGTTGTCTATAGGGTGAATTCCCAAAGCACTTCTATCAGCGGTAATATCGCCTTTGGATGGGTCATTTGAGCCTCGTTCTCCCGGTTTGGCTTTTCTCTTTTCTACCTTCTGCTGCTCTTTTCTTTAAGCATGGGCACTTGGTGGAATCCAGCCGTGCTTTGAAGGCTTGCAAATTCTTTCCGATTGACTTTATTGTCGTTCACTTCACGAGTACTCACGCTAGGAACAATACTGAAAAGGGCCGAAGCTATTTCTTTAATCATGAATTCATAGTATGGAATAAAACTGGCTAATATACACAACACAAAGTACAAAACTGCTTTTATGGACATCATTCATAGAAACAAGCGCACATGGGAATCAAGAGATGGAATGTACAACCAAACATTCAAAACAGGCATGAACATTCATAAAAGACCTAGGCGACAGGTGGCTGATAGCGAAGGGGCACCACCCAACGGTTTCCAAAATCAATGCCGTGGCGACGGCGTGTTCCGTATTTCCTCCATACGACCTGCGGTATTCCGATATCTGCGACGGAGATGCTCCATGATTGTCCTTCTCCGGAGAGCAAGGCATTCATCACCCCCGTTTTCGGGGCCGCGAGACAAACGACTGATTTTGAGTTGATGCATAGTCGACTAGTTTCAAGTAGAGTCACCTCACCTGTAGGATTAATAGATTAGTTTTCGCCAGGAAATGACATTATTACCGGAGGATAACTTACCACTAGCAGCAGAGAAGCCTGACGGAATATCGACAGACAGCATGTCGACATTGCTTCGGTTAGCCCACGAAATCATCTCAAAAGCCGTGGTCTGCTGATCGGTGCGGAGGTCTTCAAAAGCCATGTGCATGCCAAACAAGGCATCAAGAACCAAATCAGGCTCAAAGTCGTTACTCGACAACCGCGCTGACAGTTCTTCCCAACGCAACACTCGACCGCCAACCTTCTTGAACACATCCAGCTGCTTGCGGCAACTTTCCAGTAGTTCACTTTCCTGCTGTAGCCCCAACATGCAAGCAGTTACGCGATGACCCCGATTGCGAAGATGGCGGGCTGCGGAGATAGCACGAGCTCCGGTTTTGTGGTTTCCCCCGAGGACCAGCATTGTCGGGGCAGCAGAATCGTTAGGAAGTAAGCCAACAGCTGCCTCCGCGATGCATCTCCCAGCGTTCTCCGTAATCATATCTTCTGTTAGGCCAAGTTCCGCAACGGCGATCTGCTCAACCTCAAACGCCTGTAATGGGTTCACAGTTGGACAACTTCTGTTAGTGGTCGTAAGCCGCAATGATGCCCCGGATCCACCTGGAACATTCACTTGGGATGCTGAGATGGAATTCTTGCCCGACATAGGGCTCGTGGTGCGAGATGTGTTGAGTTGGTTGCGGCTAAGGGTGTTGACTTGTTGAGGCACCAGAGGCTGACCCAGTATCGCACTGCTCTTTAGAGTCGGGCCGAGTCTCGATCCGGAATATGTGCCACTGCTCAGCTTGGTATCGCTGGCTTCTTGCTCAGTATCCCCGGTCTCGCTTTCCTGGGGACTATCGAGTACATTTTCGGTCCAATGCAGGTTCTTTCCGTTATTCGTCCCCGGCTTGGGAGTCTTCCTGTTAAAGCTCACCAGCCGGTCTTCATCCGCGGTAGTATCATCATTCCTGATCTCTTCAAACACCCGTCTCTTATCGAACTTCGACAAGTTGCTCTGGAAGTCAAATTCTCCCATTTCTTGAATATCGGTCGGGTCCTCCGTGGCCCAGCCATTGGGATCATCGGCATAAGCCTGCCGACCCTTCTTCTTGCGCCGTCGTCCATTAAGCTGTGACGCTCTCTCTTTGCGCGATTGCGGATCCGCAGGTTCGACAAACGCAGTCTGACGCCAACCCTTGGACTTGAGGTTCGTGTTTGAGGTAGCGCCGCCGTCCACTCGAGGTTTTCCCTTGTTACCACCACGGTTCCTTGTATCGATGGGAGCAGATCCGTCCAATTCATTCCCCTGTGTCGCGCTGTACGCTGCAGCCGTCCGGCTGCCCGTGTCAAGTTCCAGATTGCTGAAAGGTTCTGAAAGCGCAGCGGAAAGGTTTACATTTCCCGGACGAATTTGTTGCTGCGGGGGATAGGCCTGTTGGGAGCTTGGAGCCGTGGGAGGGACAGGTCCGCCCGATTCATTAGTGCCAGGTTGGTTCAGGGGAGGCTTCGAGAAGCTTAGAATAGCCGGATCGACAAAGGGCTGGGCCTGGGGGGCTTTGGGGGTCTCGCTTGGTGGAGGTGCATGTTGAGCTGGCGGTGCGGAGCTTTTTGACGGCCCAAGAGACAAATCTGCTATGTCGGGCGCGTCGAGAGAGAAGGTCGGTAGGACTTGACCGGTCCACGAAAGCGTCACTGGTTTTTGTATCAGATGAATGTCCGGATAAATTCAAGGGCCACATTCATTTCACATACCGTTCTGGAGTATCAGACGCTGACCGATGACATTAGCCACTTGCCCTTGGATCGTCGCATTTGGCGGCGTTTTGAGGGTCACGAGGACGTTGAATCCGATAAACTCGGTTGCCATGGTGCAAAAATATCCCGCATAAGAACAACGAGACACAGGTCAAGCGTTCAGCACAAACCGTGGCAGAGAATTGGGGAAGCAAAAACCGCGAGAGATCGTCGCAAAGAGTGACTGCTGGAATCGTCAGCTTGGACCGCAAAAATCACGTGCGCTCTATCTTATCGCTTATCGTGCGTGGGGCAGGGTTATCGATTAGGAACCGTATAGTAGAGAGTCATGGAGAAGTTCAAATTCGTCTATGGCATATAATTACCGTGTATAATAAATAGTCTGTGACAACGCCTTTTCCGTTATGTGATGGGCCCGTATCGGCCTCATCTACCCATGGATATCAATATATGTATGCGTAGAACGAGTAGTATAACAAGAAAATAATCCATGAAAAATATAAAACCCAAAAAAAATCACCCATACATTTGCTCCAGATAGTCTTCGTCGTCAAGTTCGTCTTTGAATTCACTCCCGTCATCTTGGCCACCGGACTTGTTCGTTTTGAGGACATCGGTGATGCTAACGAGTTTCGAGTAAAAGTCGATGACCTTCGGATGGACCATGACTTTACGTGCGTCAAAGCGTGTCACCTGAAGACCTGCTTGCGAGGTCGCACGACTCAGAGCAACATAGGCCTGTCCTTTCTCGAATACGCGGCCAAGATCAACCTTGACTCGTTGTAAGGTTTGTCCTTGAGCCTTATGGATGGATAAAGCCCAGGCGAGGATCAGTGGAATCTGTTGGCGCTGAGCCTGCACTTCTCCGTTTGGAAGTTCGATCTTCCAAGTCTCGGGCTGGCAAAGCAGATGTCTTTCGGTTCCATCAGGTTGGATAAAACATACCAATGGCCACTTTGGGCCTGGGGCAGCGTCTTGGTTGGCATGAGATTTGATCTTTTTGCGCGCCCGCATGTCCTCGTCTTCATCCCCTTCGCCAGCAAAATCTTCCTCTTTTTTCATGTAGTGGTCGAATGTGCCTTCGTCCATGAATGCCACCACTCGCCCAATGGAGCCATTGACGAGCGTTTCTTCCATATTCTTGATAAGCATCACCTGCGCACCCTTCTTAAGATGAATAGTAGGGGGCGCCATGCAGTTCGCAAGCAACTTATCCCGATATTGAACTTCTTTAATAGAGCCTGAATCTACTGCGTTAAAAGTCATCAGGTCTCCAGAAAGCCTGGTCATGCGCACACCATTCGCATTTTCGACTTCGTTGCGCGTAGGGAAACTGAGGCTGTTAGAACGCGTCATGGTAAGATTCAATGTACGGGGAGATCCTTACAGCTCAGTGGCTTCAAGCGAATCTTGGAAGTTCAGCGGCCGGGCGAGTTTTTTGAAGGTCTCAATCGACTGAGCATTCAGTTTGCCAAGTCGCATTTGATTGAGCATATCTGCAAACTCTGGATCCTTTTGACGGAAGACATGGGTCAGGAGAATTGTATGTTGGATGGATGTGTTCCACGTGGCTGCTGAGAATGCAAACTTCGCTTCACGGCCCCCTTCAGGTACTGGAGGTAGCTGGAAGAAATCGCCTGTGACCACAAGCTGAATACCACCAAAAGGTCGGCCATTATTCCTTATCCGCCGTGCTATTTCTTCGAGCTTATCGAATAAATCGCCATCAACCATTGACACTTCATCAACAACCAGGACCTTAGTTCGTAACCAGCGAGCCCGCGCCTTCTGGTTTCGTTTGATCTGCAAGGAGTTAGTAATCCTATGCTATCTGGAAAGAAACAGAAAACGAGATTACCTTTTTGACAAGCTCAGGGACCGCCTCCTTTCCCAGTCCAATACCAGCAAAACTGTGGAGTGTAACACCCTCAATATTACAGGCAGCAAGTCCTGTAGAAGCTGTCACGGCCACTCTGTCTGGCTCCCTCCGGTATTTGATGCGAAGCTGCTTGATGATTTCTCTCATCAAAACAGATTTACCAGTTCCTGCAGAACCAGTGAAGAATATACTCTTCCCAAGCTGGACAACAGCATCAAGAACATGCCTTTGCTCATCACTGAGAAACACAGGTGCAAGATGGGCATTGGCTGGGCGTTTTTGTTCTGGTTTCTGGTTTTTAGACTGTCGTCGCAACTCTTTCTGCTCATCTTTGATTGCGCTGGCTGTCTTATTCCAGATAGCAGTAGATTTTGGCTTCCGAGCTGGCGTTACCGGCGGAGGCGCGCTTTTCGTTACCAGTTCTTCCTTGTTGAGCCATGGCACGGTTCGAGGCTTGGACGACGGGGGTATTTGTACTCTGCTAGGTTTCGGTGGCTGAAAATGTGACGGAGGAGAGGACGACCAAGGTAATTGTATACTGCTAGGAGGAGCTTCCTCATCAGGCACTGGCGGTAGATCCGGATATGTTACAACCAAGTCGTCATCATCTCCCGGGGAATCCTTCTGTCTCGAGACACTTGTATCCGGGCGTACGGTACTCTGGGTTTGGATCGGAGGGTCTGGGTCTTCGAAATTCAAGTCATCGTCATCGTCGAAATCGTTCTCGTCAAAGTATACGGCGCTGTGTAGGGACCCCAAACTCGACTCCCCGGCACTCTCGATCTTCCGTTTGACGCCGGACGACTGTGGTGGTTTCGACTGGGAGACCGTATTGCCTTGCAGAAGATTCGACTGGAGCGGTTTGGCAGTGCTAGCGGTAGCGGAATGATCCTTAACGGCCCTCTTGAACATTGTTCTTGATCTTCGACCTGACGTTGAGTATGCAGCGGCGCTTTGCGGTCCTAGTGCTGAACCATGCAAGAACTGGCGAATTGAAGACAGGCCTCTTGATCTGGACGTAACCGCATACATAGAACGGCTTGTCAGGGGAAATGAACGACGGCCGAGGCTGAGCATAGAGGGCTGATCGGGGAAAAGTTTGGCGGCGCGTCCCTCCTCGAACGCGCCCTATCACACGTGACTGCTGATAAGACCAGAGTCTTGAACTAGCCTAATTCAGCAGGAAATGATACCCTAGGGAGTTTGGTGTATGGCAATCTGATCGGGATATTCAGCCTCAGTCTACATTTAATCCAGCAGTCGAATCACAAATGTGTCTGCAAACCAGATAAACGATTCGTTATCGATCTCTTATCGCTGCCTCCGCGTGTAGATCATGTGACCGCGTACTGTATCGCGCCTCGCGGGAACCAATGCGGCGGCCGGAATATCATATCAAATTGGCTTTCTCATTATGGACGAGCTATAGGCGCTGGTGCTAGCAAACATGAAGCATGGAAGAGAAAGCTACCTCAAGTATGTACTCTGCTCGAAGCAACCGTGAAGGAATCGAGTTTGTTGACGCAAATACAGACAAGGAACACCCTCTTGCGGGGGTCGTCCTCTGCTTAACCTCTGTGCTCCCAGAGCAACGGGTAAGTGCAATTGGGCTCTCTTTCTCACTGATATGATGCGCTTAGATATGAGGTTACTGACAGACTTCTCTATCCAGACTGAATTAGCCACGATTGCGAGTCAAATGGGAGCGACCCACAAGTTCGATCTAACTTCCGATGTCACGCATTTACTAGTCGGTGAAACGAATACACCCAAGTACAAGTTCGTTGCTCGAGAACGCCCAGACGTGAAGGTTCTCAAGCCGGAATGGATTCAAGCCTTACGGGAGTCATGGATGCAGGGAGGAGACACGGACCTTCGCACGCTGGAGGAACAATACAAACTTCCAACGTTTTCAGGGCTGTCTATTTGCATTACGGGGTTTGAAGACAGTGGGTTATAATTGTTTGGTTCTTTTCTGTCGCTCAGGATGACTGACAACTATGCAGTGGCCCTCCGGAATTACCTAGAAGACACCGCAACTGCGCATGGAGCCGAATTCAGGAAGGATCTCACAAAGAGTGTAACTCATCTCGTCTCCAGGAACACGGAAGGACAGAAATACAAGTTCGCGACGCAATGGAATATCAAGGTCGTGACAATGAATTGGTTCAATGACAGCATAGAGCGCGGAATGGTCCTCGAAGAAACCCTTTACCATCCGCTTTTACCGGCAGAGCAACAAGGTGCCGGTGCCTGGAACCGATCAATACCTGCAGTCAAAGAAAAGACGTCAAGTGCCGAGACAGGGTCAAATCCACGGCCTAGGAAATTGCGCAGAATGGCGAGCGCTAAACTGGAGCATCAGAATGAGAACATCTGGGGTGATATTGTAGGCACAGGGTTCGAAGGCTCTAATTCCAAGAAGTCTCAAACCAGTCAACAGACGAACGGTGGCACCGTGCCTGCGAAGAATAGACCCGTACTTCAAGAAGCGAAATCGTTTGCCAGTGCAACTACTTTTGCAGACGCGACAGAAGCGCAGCCCGCGCCTCGCAAGCAGGCCCCAGAACCTGCGGCCAACAGCCATAAAGGCTTTCTGCATGACTGCTACTTCTTTATCTTTGGGTTTTCTTCAAAGCAGGTTCGTATAATTACAGTTATGACTTGCAGGAGTGAACTTATGCTGACTCTACGTAGACAAGTGTACTGCGCCAGCATCTGACATTTAATGGTGCTCAGATAGTTGGGTCGCTGGGCGATTTCTCTCATCCCGATATTCCGAAAACTGGGCATGGGCTTTACATCGTTGTATCTCATAAAATCCCGCGATCCCAAGTTCCCAGCACGGACGACATGGCCTTTGAGTGTGAAGTGGTGACGGATATGTGGCTGGAGAGGTGTCTCGACGCAAAAGCATTTGTTTCGCCAGAATCTCATGTCGCAAATACGCCGGTCCCTGTGTTCCCTATACCAGGTCAGCATCCATCCAGGCTCCATTATGTACTATTCTAACCGTACCTTAGGTTTCCAAGGACTGAAAATATGCTCTACGGGATTCGTGCGCATCGATCTCCTGCATCTATCCAAACTGGTAAACTTGGTCGGTGAGTGAACACCCTCTGTCTATTCGTTCATGAGCTGAGTCTCTAGGTGCATCGTATAATGAGTATATGACACAAAGTGCCTCCGTTCTGGTTTGTAAGGACCCACGTTCTGTAAATCAGGACAAGTTACGGCATGCTTCGGAATGGGGCGTCCAAGCCGTCTCCGGAGACTGGCTTTGGGATTCTATCCAAGCGGGTGAGAAGAAGCCATTCGAAACCTACACTATCAGGAGGCCCTTGTCGCAGAGCGATAAGGACGCAGAGAAACGACAAAATCTCTCCCGTAGTAACAGCACAAGCCAAGGGGCTCCAACCCGTGTCTTCAACGAGAGACAACGCTCAAGCAGCGAGATTGCGGCGGTCAAGGAAAATACCCCAGACATATCACGATCCAAAAGTATTGCTGAGAAACGCAAGCACCCCAGCGATGAGACTTCTCAGAATCCTCTTCAAGAGAATCAACAATCCCCACAAAAAAAAGCATCGGAGTCAATCCCACACTCAAAGTCTCCATCGCCTCAGAAAGACCAATCTCGGCCCACTACCAGCTCTTCTTCACTAAAACGCCAAGAAACAGATCAATCAACTGCATCTGCCTTCGACCTCGCCGTCAACGGTCTGCTCAAACAAGCCCGAGCAGCAAGCTCGCGCTCAGCTACAGACTCAGGAGACCAAAGCGACCAACCCCGCACCAGAAGACGCAAACCACTCCTTGGCAGAGCGCCATCGCTCAACTCAGCACGGACCTTTGAACAATCAGCCTTCTCCCGCGCCAGCTCCATCGATACCCTCAACGAAGACGGCTGCGGCAGTGGCGCAGAAAGCGTTGCTACTGACAAAAACGCAACATCACGAGTAAACAGCCGTGGCGAGCAGAGTTTCACCTCGCTCTTTAGCGGAACACGCTTCGAGTTCGGCGCTGAAGGCAATCCCGAAGACCAGGAGGACGAGGAACCCCCAATGACACAGCTGAACTACGAAGATCCCGATGCTGTCGCAATGAGACAAAAGTTCATGCAGCATGCCGGGAAGCTTGTTGATACAGAACCGGCGAACCAGGGATTGATCGTTAGTGAGGTACGGGAGTTGGAGGATGTCGGATGGGGTACTGGCCGGAGGACGAGGCAGGCCACTAAGCCTGCGGATGATCTGGAGGAATACTGACCTGCATATTTCTTTTCATTGCTTTAGCGGTTTGGCAGTCTCGATGTTTATTGCATGGATGGCGTCTTTTGTATTTGTGTTTGCTAGGGGTTGGTGATCTTGCTTCGATCTAAATGAATAAATAGTGACCTTTGAAGTGATTTTGAATGACTGAAATCCGCCCTTCGCTATAAAAAAATATATATATATAGAGCAAAACGGAGACAAAGATAATACCCAAACACCAGGGGTATTCCAATCCAACACCTATATCTAACAACCCAAACAAAACGAAATATATATAAACCTCATCCATCATCGATCGTCAAACATAAGGCGCAGTAGGCTTATACCCCGCAATACCATGACTAACCAGCTTCGGCACCCCCCTAGTCTGAACACCGGCGCATATATAAACAAGCGTCGCAAGCAACTCCGGCAAGAAGCCCAGTACCACGCGGATGACGAGCGTACCGGTACTCGGGTTAAGATACGCCGCCTGCGTACAGATCGCGACGAGACTGTAGAAAACGCGGACGCCGATTAGGACGAGGCAGAAGGCGATGGAGCCGAGCATCTATTTTATCATTAGCAAACGCCCCTCAAAACGAGAAAAGGAAAGGAGAGCGTACCGTCGTCCCAGCACGCACAACAGGCCCATCCCCCTTCGGAGCCCTAAACGACAACCCCGTCCAGCCAACAAGTATCGCCCAAGAAACAGCCAGAATGACAATACCGACTTTAATCATCTTCTCAGCCTTGTCGATGGGTTGGTCGTGGTTTTGCAGTTTTGCAGATCCGGCGGCTGCTAGGGCGACGCCGGCGCCGACTAGAGTGTGGAAGAAGAGGGCTTGGGCCCATTCGAGTTTCTTGTCGATGCCGAAGATGCGATAGGCGCGGCTGTTCTTTGTTAGGTGCGTTGGCATTAAAGAGGGGGGATAGTGGGTGACGAACGCTTCATGTAGGATACCAGCTGTTGCGAGTAGAAGGGGAGACAGGCCGATGTTTGAGATGATACTAGCCACAGCACCGTCGGATTTCTTGACACCCAAACCACCACTGATAATCCGCAGGCTGCAGAAGACGAAGAGATACAGCCATCCTAAGAAGCCATTCCGGCCATGTTTGAACAGTATATATAAAATGGGAAAGGCAAGAATAACATAGATAGCACAGGTAGCCGCTGAAAGAGAGTCGATCATTTTGCTTGCTAGTACTCCGTAGATGTGAATGCAGATTGGATTGGGACAGAATATGAGGGCGAATAGCCGCTTAATATGTACTCAACGACTAACATGCCCCAGGCACCACCTATGTGCCTCGTCGTGTCAAGACATGTTCATTTTAGGAAGGTTTTTGGGCAATCCGTGCGAAGGATTCAGGTTTGGACCACAAGGCAGACTCCTACGAGAGGCTGTGTATGCCGGTATACATTGGCCGGAATATCCCCGGTGAGGCTGGGCATTGCTTGTCCAGACTTGACTTTTTATTGGAAAGCTTAGATTTTCTTGTGGCACTTGAAATTTAGACAAATATTCGATTTGGTCAGAGGTTATGTGTTGTTTGGGTGGGGGGTTAGGCGTATTTTGGCCCCCAATCTTAGCGCCGTCACAATAAAGAATTGAGCCGCTGCAGATCACTCGGGATGGCCAATCTCAATACAAAGAGCCAGCCCAAACCACTCAGCCGCCAACCGCATCCGCCCCTGGTAGAGATCATTCGCCGAAATAACCCCAGGCACCCAATACCCGATCCACCGGAAACAATCAGAGTGTAAGTCAATTCTAAATCTGCGCCATGATCTCAGCTAGAGAGCTGCCGATGTGCGCCCTGTAAGGACGACTTTGGCGTCTGGGTACATCTCCAGTAGGTCCGGGAGATAGGCACTCCCGGGGACTTTGAGGGTAACTTCGTGGTTTTGTAGTAGACGGGCGAGATTTTGTCGTCGGAGGGAGGTGTTTTTGGTGTTGACAATTCTGACGCTGAGGTAGAGATTGGTCAATTGGCAGAGGGGCTCGGCGAGGTGGAAGCAGTTTTTGTAGCCGAGTTCTTCGAGGGCTTTTTTTCATGGCTCATTGTGCCGGTTCGGGGGAGGCCAGCCTGCATTGCTTTGTCAGTCTCTTGGACGTGGTGAATTGAGGAGTGGTGTATACTCACCACAATGACTTTGATCGTTGACCCATGGTGCACACCTGAGGACGACACATGCAGTCCTTCATCGACTTTAGGATCCGGTCTGGTGATGCTCATGCTGGACTTGAGTACGAGTGCAAGCGTTTTCAGCGTAGTGAGCTCATGTGAGACCCATCATCTGTATTGTTGGGTTCTGCATTGTGACTGTGGGTAAGAAAATCTGAGAATGGCCTTGTAATTCTGTTGAGAATGGGCAATGATGATCGCAACCAGGACGGAACCACCGTTTTATCTCCTCCCATTTCGACCCCCATGAAGCCATCACCATCGCAAAGCATCTCAAAAGAGGCACAGTCTTGGATCAAGACCATTGAACTATTTCCAGCACTCTAGTATGAAACATCCAAATTAGCTCGTAGGCCAAGCCTTGCCGAGTAGTCTTGGCGGTTATTGGCACCAAGCCACATGGTCAGGATTGCCCCTGTTCGTTCTACCATGGTGTATGCAGTATATGCCATTCAGAGATAAGCTCATCTGCATGGAGATTTTCATCGGCCACATGGTCATGAAGCTTTGGGGATGCATTTGGGGGGCGTTTTCAAGATAGTATTACAATCTGAATTGAGGATTGGGGGTACGGTATAATCGTTAGATAGCCAGAAACTATTCAAGAAGTGATCGGTGCCAGAGACGCAATTTATTTGAGGGGAGTTTCATGATGTTGCAAGTGTGCCCTGTTAACTGAAGACACCGGCTCTACCTGTAATGCAATTGAATACAATTGAGATACGCAAGGCTTGGCTAGTAGTATGTTCTTGCTAATAATGACAATTTGACCAGGAGTAATGCTCATATAAGCTCAACTTAGACTTGGCGTTTAGGAGTCTCAAAACTAATCACAACATTCATTGGTATAAAACTCGCTAAATCTCAGTATACATAGGACAAAAAAAAAAAAAAAAAAACAACTAAATCCAAGTCTGAACCTCAATCTCCTTATCAAACCCATCCTCCTTCTTCTCCACAAGCACAACTCTCCTTGACCCCAACGCCACCGCCGTCGCCGAAAGCACAACAACATACTCCATAACAACAACCATAAACAAATGCAACCAAACCCCCGTATCATCCTTCGCCATCGGATCCAACACACTCTCCTCCCCCGAAAACAAACTCCCCGCCGAAAACGCCAACCTAACACTCATAAACGGGATTGACAGGACCGCACACATAGCAGCCGCGCGCTCGTTTCCGTACCCGCCTTGTACTTTGAATAGTGTGATCACGGAGAGGAAGACGGTTATGGCGAAGATGGCGATGGAGAGGCAGATTCCGGCGCGCATTAGGGTTAGATCTTTGGTTTGGTGCTGGTCAGTTGTGTAGAGATCGCGGCCGCCGTAGGCGGTCATTATTGTTGCGGCTATGATGGTTAGTTGGAGGGGGAGGAATATCCAGAAGGAGAGGCCTTTGCGGAGGGGGGCGTTGCTGGTTGTATTAGCGCTTTTTATGCGAGGGTAATTTCAGGGGGCTCACGCTCGAACTAGGACTCCGATCGGTAAGCACAAAACTGGTGCTAGTCCGATTGTGTCTAGGAGTGTTGCTGTGGTGAGGAGGTTGGACTTGTCGGGATTCATGGCTGCTAGGCCCAGTGATGCACCGGCGATTCGCATCCCGGAAAGCAGGAAGAGAGGTATTAGGATAGGACGCCATGTGTATGGCTTTTTTCCGCCGTGGATGAGGAGAATGAAGATGATGGCAGGCGGAATGGGACAATAGAATGCCAATTCGATGAGGAAAATCGCGTCTCGTAGGGTGAACATGGTTACCAGGAAAGGGGTTGTTTGAGGCCAAGGCTATGATTGAATTAATTAGATTAGAATGGAGGGATGATTGAAATTGGTACTTTGCTTGCGATAAGTATTCTTTTCTATGGTCGCCATAGCACATGGTGGCTTAGGGCATGATCCCGCCCCAATTGGGCAGCCAGATCGACGCCATACTCTACACATGACAGGCTCACGATAAGCTCATGACAGCCTGTTAAGCTTTTTTGGGGCCGTTTGTTTCACGACAGAAATAGAATCTGAAGACCATACGGGCGCTTTTGTGGGGGGCCGATCTCACGTGCTGCACAGCCCTATCTTGAGATACGGACTCAAGAAAACTTCATTTAGTACTATTTGGGTAATTATGTGGATATGATATTGAATATATTGTATGTTTTGCGTGTGTGGTGCACCTTGCCCCAGCCCCAACCCCCCAGGCGCAGCCAAAACTACACCGGCTTGGTTCACCTATACACATTGAACTCGAAAACAAGATATAAAATTATGAAAAAACCCAGCCAAGAAAAAAGAGCCATCAACAACAACATTTCCTCTTTTGCCATGCTCGAAGTCGAATTCTACTCTTCAGTGATCCTTTCAGCACCTCTCCAAATCTGCATCTTCTCCTCCAACGAAGACACTTCCTCCTGGACCCCGACTCAATCCCAAAATGCTCGTCCTACCTCTTGCACTTCTCGCTCCGATAATTTACGCTTCTGTGTCGACTAGTCCAGCAGCGCAGGATGTTCAAAAATCTCCCCGGTCCGCCGCATCACGCTATCTGGGGACACTTCTTAGTTATGCGCGACATCGCAAGCAGTCTTCCACCTGATGCAACACCACGGCTATTCGCGCATTTTATGCGCCAGCGCTATGGTCTGGGCTATTTCTTCTACCTTGACCTGTTGTCTCTTGCGCCACCGCAGTTTGTCATTGTCCAGCCGGAGCTGGCAATGCAGGTTGTGCAAAAGATGAATCTTCCCAAGGAGTCTGTGGTTATCACCTACCTCTTCATATTCCTGATAAATAACTGTGCAACAATGCACCGCGAGGACCTCTTCAAAGACGCAGAGCGGTTCTACCCCAAAGGCCAAAAGTATGTCTTGTCAGTATGATCATGCTTACGAGTGTGCCGAAACGCACTCGGTCAACTCGATGACGCAAACTACTTTCCATAAGCATGCAAATATGCCAGAATCTTCTGCAACTCACTGTATTATTCATTTATGAATGTTGACAATGAACAGGTGCCATGTTTTCTAATCCGTCGATTTCTACTGATATCTCGACCAATCGGATGACCACTCCCGCCGATCTCCATAGTATGTATGCATTTTTTATGCTCTATGCCGATGTGGCTCAAAGCGAACCAATAAGGAAGGCCGCTAGATTTAGAGTAGTATAGTTAGTTAACCACATCATGATTCCTAAGCAGATCTAGCACTGCACAAGTATAAATATACAAGTACCATAGCAGTGCTCTCATACAATATCGTCAAACAATATCTTTTCTATACTCACCCCATCATGGCCCCTACCATCCTCATCGTCGGCGCAACCGGCAACACCGGCAGAAGTGTCACTGAAACTCTACCAAATCTACTAAACACCAGCAACACTTTATCCGATCACCGGATCATAGCTCTCACACGTTCCCTGAACAGCCCAGTAGCCCAGCAACTCGCGAAACTACCCGGTGTCGAGGTACTCGAGCAAAACTGGGTCGAGATCACCGCCGACTGGCTCCGCGAACACGAGGTAGTCAGAGCATTCATCGCATCACACAACGAACCACACCACTTCACTGAAGAATCAACCTTCCACCTTGCCGCCCTCAAAGCCGGTGTCAAGTATGTTGTGCGGATATCAACTACGGCAGCGAATGTGCGCCCGGATTGTGCCGCTTACTATCCGCGTACGCATTGGGCTATCGAGGCCCTTCTGAGTTCGCCGGAATTCAACAGCTTGCAGTGGACGTCGCTTCAGCCGAACATCTTTTCACAAATGTATCTTTCCACTGCCGCGGAACTGATCAAGCAGTACCGCAAGACTGGGAAGCAGGATACGCTTCGGTTGATGGCGTCGGAGGATGCGCCTGTCGGTATCATTGACCCTGATGAGATTGGAGTCTTTGCGGCGCACCTCTTGTCCCAAGATGACCCTACTGTGCATAGCAAGGCCAAGTATGTCCTGAATGGGCCAGAGGATATCACTGGGAAGCAGATTGTGGGCATGGTTGAGCAGCACATCGGAACACCAGTTAAGGATGTCAGCTACAAAGACATGTCTTTCATCGATTCGTTTGTCGAGGGAGGAACTCAGAAATCAAAGAACGTTATCTTGTCTATCAAACACGCCCCGGAGACAGCGTGGGATGGAAAATGCACGGCTTCTACGACCAGCAAGGAAGTGCTGGAGATCGCTGCGCCTAAGCGTACGCCTGCCGATGTGTTTAAGACCCTATTGGAGGAGTAGGAAACGATATATGGTCTATGGCCGACTTACATGTTGAATATCTTTTGAACCATGGGGAAGCTGCATTTGTGTATAGATAAACATGAAACAAACATAAAAATACATGCTTTTGAATTTGATCGTGCAATTTGGTAGAATATTACGTCATTTTTATACACAGCGAAGATGTTGAAGAGTGAGATGCTTATATTTTATATTTTAGTGAAGAAATATCACAAGATATTGGTAAGTCATCAAAAGCGCCGATGCAATTTTAAATAGAAATAGGGAGGGTTACCATAATCTTTGTTTCTTTCATGATTTTCGAGAATAACAGAGAGTAAACGGTCAGAAACGAGGGGGGAATATCTGATAAATAAAAAAGGTCGTGCTGACAGAATAAAGTGGCATATCGACAAAAAAAGAGAACTCAAAACAATGAATCGTCAAACAACATAGAAAGGAATTTTCATGCATATTCGTTATGTCTGTACAAAAAAAGGTGAAGCAGAAGAGTAAGGGCTTCAATCATGAGCAGCCGCCAACCCACCAGGCAACGGGGCATCAAGATCAATGTCCTCCACGAATCTCCTGTTCTCGCCGCTGTCGCGGAAGAGGTTCGAGAAGTACTTGTTGGCAACGTCGCTCTCCTGCTTGGTCTTGCTGACTTCGCTCTTGCGCTTGCCCAGGTCTTCGACGTCCTGTGCAAGGCTGGTCTGCAGGTTACCAGATGGGATGCGGAGGATGCGGCGGACTTCCGTTGAGATGCGGTTGGCGTTGGAGTGGACATAGTCCATTTCGTGAAGGCTGGCGGCAAGCTTGCGCGAGAGACGAGGGGGGAGAGTGGTCGGGATCGAAGAGAGCACGTATGCAGCAGTCAGTGCGGCTGGAAATTGAGTTAGTACACAATCCTTGAAATATGTATGAAGTTTGACTTACCAGCTGCAACAAGAGTAGGGACGAATAGTCGTCGCGCGTTCTGAGGTCCAAGGAACTTGACAGCACTAAACACGCTATCAACCCAGCTGAAGCCGCTGAAAGCACGGCCGGTAAGAACAGTGATAGCGGTCATGGCCATGCCTGTTCCGGCCATCTTCTCCTGTCTCTCCCAGAGACTGGCGACATCGAAGAAATCCCACAATTCCACTTCCGTGTCGACTTGCTTGGCGAAAGTGTGACGGCGGCTACGACGGAACATCATGTCGGCGCGGAAGTTGAGAGGAGCGAACTTGTCCTCTCCAACATGCAAGAGACCGATGTTCTGTATGAAGCCGACACCTTGCACAGTCTTTCCACGGGCAAAGTCCTCGCACTCCGTGACCGAGCCGGAAATCTGTTCCAACATGGCGAGTTTCAGGTCCTCTGCGTACTGGAACACAGAGAAGAGACCAGGGTACTCAACACCAAGATCTGCTTCAGACACACGAGCGATAGTGTTCGTCAACGTAGACCGGGTGTGGTTGTAGACACCCTCGCAGGATCCCTCGATGCACTTCTCCACTTGGTCCGCAATGTCCAGCTTCCGCTTCTTGCCATTTTCATAGGCTGGAACAAGCTCTGCCAACTCGTCCGTGACGCGCTTGAGCTCTGACTGGGCAACATCACGGTTGACGGAAGCCAACGAGTTCAGGTCTCCAAGCAAGTTGAGAAGGTAAGTCCTGGCAGGCGCAAGCTTGGACCGAGAACGCTTCTCCAGAACAAAGCGACGCAGAGAGGATTCCAGGTTCTCGAAGTCCTGGATCTTCTCCTTGTCTTTGCCCTTGTCCTTGCCCTTTCCTTTACCCTTGTCATTGTCATCATCATCGTCGTCATCGTCATGGGGATCATCGAAGCCCCCACCGCCGCCGCTGCCACCACCACCAGGCTGCTCAACTGGCGGCGGAGGTGCAACGGGAATGGCATTGCTCGACACGAAGTGAACCAATTCCGCCGCTTCCTTGTGGGTTCGCGGGCTAAGCTTGTTGATCTGGTCCAAGATCATCCGCTCGCAACGCTGCTTATCCCGGATTTGGTCGAAACCGTTGACGACCATAAACATGTAAGCCTTTTCGTGGGCGGCGTTCATGATGAATTCCTTTGCCGAAAGAGTGAAGTGGTTCGCGGCTGAGACGACAAAGACAACGACATCAATCTCTTCCTGTCGGGCAAATACCGCTGTTGTCTTGAGAGAATCCGAGTTCAGACCCGGCGCATCGATCAGGGCAATATCGACAACACCATTGTTCAAAAGGGATTCGTCGATAGTCCGCACGTCCTTGACATACACCTTGCACTGCATGTACTTGTCGTTGTCAATCACGATGTTCTCCAACTCACACAAGGGGTAGACGTCGTATGTTCTTTCGTCGTTGCGGTTATACGGCACATCCTTGTGCACTCCATGCACCTCTTCAATTCCGCTGTTCTCCCGAGCATCAAGAACCTCGCAGAAGAGGCTGGTGCAAGGCTGCTGATCCTCTGGCAAGACCTTCCGACGCAGCAAAGCGTTACAGAAAGTCGACTTTCCTGCGTTCAAGTCACCAGTAATCAGCACCTTGCTCGCAGTATCCTCAATTCTGTCCCGCAGTGAGAGGAGATGCTTGATGCTCTGGCCGACTTTTCCGTCGAGGAGCGATGCAATTGAAGATTTCTCCAACGAATGCACCAGCTCAGCTTGCGAAAGAGCGCCCAATTTCAGATCCAGCTTCAGAATCGAAAACTCCTGCGCCATCTGCGGACTCATCAATCGCGGCTCAGGCGCAGGTCGGCTCTCCGGAGCTGCACTCGACTCTGCATCACCGCCAGCCGGCATCGTAGTCGCGCGTCTGAGTTGCCCTGGAACCGGATCCGCGGGGGTGCCCTCGAGGAATGTCTGGCTGTGTTGTAGCGAAGGGGATCCGGGGGTAGTCTGGACGGACGGGTAGTGGGCGGGCCATTGTCGGTTCATGTCTTGGAGTTCCTTCAGCGTCTCGATGGTCCGGGAGATAGCACGGCCGAGCTTGGTCCGGTTCTGGTTGCTGTATATGCCATTAATATCCAATCCGCATAGATCTCGGGGATCCGGCGCAACATACTAGAGAAGCTGATGAACATGGCTTGCGACAACCTGTCTCTCATTGTCGCCTGGAATATGTCAGCAACCTCGCCTCCGTATAACTAATCATAAAGCAGTTCGACGGGCAACTAACCAGCTGGGTTCCATTCTCCAGGGTACGTCGGTCTATCTTCCATCAGACCGTGCCATGCAGCCCCTCCATCACCATCCGCCACACTCCCACTGGAGACACTCCCACCATATCCCGAGTCATTATTCAACGAGGCCATCAGCGCACTTGCACTCTCCGAAGTCGAACCATTTCCGACAGTCATGTACGAAGGCGGCGGTCTCGGATGGAAAGGCCTGTCAAAACGCTCCTCCGCGCCCGCATGCCTGGACGATCCCTCGCCGGCGGAAGAACCGCTGCCACCGGGGAAATACCCTTGACTCATAGCTGTAAAGGCGTGTTTTGCATCAGCGTGCAAATTGGTAGATCTGATCGGGGGTTGTTTTCGTTGTTGGTATATTATTTTTTTGGGAGGGAGAGGCGATGATTAGTGATCATTTGGGCGAGTGTGACAGCATACGCTAGGCCCGAAGGGGCTTGGTGCTTGGTGCATGTGACTCAAAAGGCGGTGAGTATCGGCTCTCGGAAAGGGTGATACTGCCGTTGGTTTACAGAGTACGCAGGCGCTTGATGTCACTGCAAGTTCTTTCCTTTATCATACTGTCGCATTACTTTGTCTGGCTAACATGAATGTGAGTGATGCTACATACTTTGCTCAAAGGGTGCGTGTTTGCTTACAATGTGGTAGATTGTCGAGTGGGCGTTCGGTAAACGTATGACGCCGGCGGAGCGTCTACGCAAACACCAGAGGGCTCTCGATAGGACGCAGCGAGAACTGGACCGGGAGCGCATCAAGCTGGAGAACCAGGAAAAGAAACTCGTGCAGGACATCAAGAAGAGCGCAAAGAATGGTCAGATCGGAGCGTGCAAAATCCAGGCCAAGGACCTGGTGCGGTCGAGAAGGTACGGGGTGTTGCTCTCCGTCTCTATCATCAGGCTAACTCTCATTTCTTTGCGATCAGATATATCCAGAAATTCTACCAAATGCGAACGCAATTACAAGCCATCTCTCTCCGTATTCAGGTACGATGGCATAGCCCGACCCGACTCGTGTGTCAGTGACTTACAGAAACCGCAGACCGTTCGCAGCAACGAGCAGATGATGCAGTCCATGAAAGGCGCGACGATGCTTCTTGGCAGTATGAACCGACAGATGAACCTCCCCGCCTTGCAACGGATCGCCATGGAGTTCGAACGAGAGAACGATGTTATGGATCAACGCCAGGATATGATGGACGATGCGATTGATGAGGCAACGGGTATGGAAGCAGACGAGGAAGAAGGCGAAGACATTGTCAAGGAGGTTCTGGACGAAATTGGCGTGGATCTTAACCAGTCGGTGCGTATCGACTTTGGCTCGCCACTGGGTTACAGAGTGCTGACATGCTTTACACAGTTGGGAGAGACACCTTCGGACATACAAAAGGCTACCGTCAGCGAATCCCGAGTCGCCCAGCCTGTGGGTGCTGGTGCCACTGCCGGCGGCGGTGGTGTTGGTGGTGTTGGTGGTGGTGGTGGTGATAGTGGTGGCGGCGGTGGAACTACAAGCGATGATGATTTGCAAGCACGGCTTGACAGCCTTCGAAGATGAGCATACAGCATGCTCTTTGTTTTGAGTCGTTTATCGTCTCGTCTATTTTATGTTTGTCTTGTGCATTGCTTATTACCAACGGAGTTCTGGAGTCGATTGAATGATTGACGAAGACAGGTGTTTGGGATTAATTCTACAGTTGCAACGCCATATGGCAACAATCGCTTCTTTTATATACAGCAGTTATAGAGACATCGATTAACGACAACATTCTGTCAACACTGATTCTATAACGAATATCAAAACTTGTCTTTATCAAAACGTCCTCTCCCAATCACTAAGACCCTCATTCCTTCTCTTTTGGTTATACGGCTCAGACTCTGGCCGTACCCACACCATATCATCCTGACAAGCCCACTGCCCAAACCAAGGCACCGAACACAACTCCTCCAACGTTGCCCTCTCCATCGGCTGCTTATGCAACATCATCCTCAACATATCCACACAATCCTGCGACAAGTCCTCCCGAACTGGCAACTCCTCATTAATAATCCTCTCCCGCCGCTCATAAACCCTTTCCCAGTGCGCATCAGTGGGCCTAGACTCGTCCACCTTGCCCAACTTGGGTTCCCAGTCGGGCGACTCCCAGGGTGCGTAGCCGTGTAGCATTTCGTAGGTGAGGGCGCCGATTCGCCATAGGTGTGCGATGCGGGTGTCGTGGGGGATCTGGATGTCTACTTGGATTTGGTGTCGGTCTTGAAGTTCTAAGTCTGGTTTTGAGAGTTCGAGGGCGATTTCTGGGGTGAGGATGTTTTCTTGGCCGATTACGTGGGCCCAGGAGCCTGCTTGGAAGTCGGGGTCGGTGAAGCCGAAGGTTGTCATTCCTAGGTCGATTAGTTTGGTCTGTGACTTGTGTTAGCTTTTGACTCGTGGTTAGGGAGAAAGGCGAGGACTTGCATTGAGATTCTCATCAATAATAAAGTTAGCCTTGGACAAGTCACCGTAGGAAACATTCATATGCCGAAGATAAGCAAAGCCCTCCAGAATCTGCGACGCAACCTTGCACACCCCTTCCTCGCTAAGAATCGGCTTCTTTTTGTGTGTAAGGTACATTCCCGTGAAAGCAATGATGCGCCTTAGCTCTGGGTCGTTTGTTCGTACTTCCTTAGGGTCCATCCTGAGAAGGTCAGGATCTATACACGCCTCCATGACGATTGAATGTACATTGTCATCGACATAGACCGAGTCAAGCTTTGGGAACCTGTCATTATTATATGCGAGCATCAAAAGAAGCGCCTCGTGGGGGATGTAGTGGAATCTTTGGCGCGTGTCCTCGTCGAGGATGGTCATGGTAGGTTTACACTCCATGGCCACTCGATTTGCCATGTCCCAATGTGTTTCGACTTTAATTGCGTAGTGTTGGTATTTAGTAGGGCTCTTTGGATCAGGATCAGGATCAGGATCATCAGGCTCTCGAGCAAGGAAGACAGTGCCGTAGGCTATATATCATCGTTAGTTACTTTCACAACAATAGAGGAGAGGGGAGAGGGGAGAGGGGAATAGTACTAACTGCCACCACCGATATTCGCATAAGGAGTCATACGCCCCTTCAGCACGCGACACATATTCCGAAGCCGGTATTCCGCGTTCTCATATGGGAGCTCATTCCTGTGATTCCTATATACTTGGAACTCATCTACGTCAGCCCTAGCCACATCACCGTTATCAAGTGTGTAATGTTCGTCGCATAGCGAGACCTGTTCACCATGTCTCGCGATCCAGGCCTCATCAAGTCGGCCTGCGAGTGCTTCGTGGAGATGGGGGTATTGTGTTGCTCTGTTGGTTCCCGGTTGCACGAGGTCGTGGATGTTTATTTCTAGGCGGTTGGCCCAGGCTGGTCGTCGTTGTCTCCAATTGTCCAAGGGATGCGCCATGCTGCGTAGGCAAGTATGTCTTAGGAGTAGTAACTAGAGGATGCTGTGAAAACGTTGTTCCGATGGACGTAGACATGGTAAGTGCCTGATTTATACCGCCGACAGCACCATGTCCATCCGTCCTAATCCACCGAAACACGAACTACCGCATAACAAACAATGAAACCTCGAAATCCAAAATCCCATTGGAACGATCATTTCCTTCGGCGCTTAGAAGCCACCAAACAGAACAAAAATCTTTGACACTCTCGACAACAACAACGAGACAGTAAAAAATGCCTCTTAGGGTTACCGACGGCGTCAAAGCAATGCCCCGTTTCGGATATTGCTTTGTTGATTGGATCGATGACAGCATCGGATCCCCGTTGACAGGGCTGCATCCGCTGCATGCTGGACAGGGTTTGTGTAAGTCTGTTCAGTCGTGTTTGGAAGATCTTGCATGCTATGATGGAATTGGGTGGTTGAACTGTGATGACATGGCACAGGACCGGTATGGTATTGTCCAATGAGAGTGGTTCCAGGCATTTATTTCGCTACCTGGGACAAATTCTTCAGCTGGACTTGAAACTCGAGATAAAGCATCCAGTACGATACAGTACAAAGGTACAAGTACAAAGCGATCTTTCTTCGACGTCATTGACAATCTGAACATTCTATTCTGGGTGAATCTTCGCTTTGTTGGGGCATGGCCTCCTTTGGGTCATCGCTTGCGCCTCTTTTCACGATGCAGACAAAAGTACTGAAAGTACTGCTTTGTGTGGCTTTGTATACTCGGCATATTTATAGCACTGAGTCAGGTCAGCTGACGACACGTGCTCGATTGGTAGTTCGTCCGATTTCTCCTTTTATCTCTCACTTAATCTCTCACCTCATTTTCCTTCCTTTTTTTTCAGTGTAAAGAAAAAAGACAAAGAAAAAAGAAAGAAGAATCCGAGTCATTCCGTACTCCGTATTCCCAGCTGCAACCATTCGCTCCGTACTTTCCCTCTGCCCAACGAGGATGAAATCTCCCCTCAATCAATCAATTTCTTTTAATTTAGGCCTGTTCATCTTGCATGGTGCATAGCCACTCCTGTGCAGAATAAGAACCGACATTGCGTCTTCCTGCAGCACTTGCCGACCAAAATCACTGCTGATCCGGTCATAAGGGGGTTTTTTTCTTGTGATGGTCGGCGGTATCTTGCATATCCTCGACTCGTGGGAGGCGAATTACCGGAGAGCCCTACTACTATTCCATGACTATCGAAGCATTATGAGTAGTTTTTTGATTTGTTTTTATGTGTTTAGGCACGCATGGTCACATTCGCCACGGCATTTTACCACGATTTTTGCGCAGTCTCTCCGGTGATGGATAGGCGCTTTTAGAAATTGTGCTTATTGCTTTGTCCCGATGTACGAATCACGTTGGATTCAGTAAAGAATTACAGGGATTAATGGATTCCTGAAACATCGCTGCTGATGATTGCTGAGAAGTTTTCCAAATGCACCAAATGCCGAGTGACCCCCCCTTCGAGAGAGGCTGTTGCGAAAGATATTTGAAGGCCCCGTCGTCCTGGTGCGCGACATTTTTCCCATGGTGCGGCAATAAAAAAAAAAGACCTCGCTTTGCGCTGGGCAGTTGACCATTCCTTTTTTGTTTCTTTTCTTCTTCTTTTTTCTTTTTTTCTTCTTCTCTCATTACCCCTCTTGCTGTTTTTATCTATCTACGGTAATCTTTTTTGTTAATCTTTACCGGCGGCCATGGTCGCTATTAATCAAAATGCGAGGCCGCATGTGCCTCCGGCTCATCTTCGGCCTGGCGAGGCTCCTCGCATCATCCACCACTCGAATCCCGGTCTCATGAACCCTACACAACTGGCTGCCCAGCTGGGTCAGCTCAATGTGGGTGGCCGTCCAAGCAATGGTCAACATGCAAAGGCTCCTGTCGCACCCCACGTCCATGCCCACGATGTGAGCGCTCCCACGCCACTATACGAGGGATATACTTTCTTCAAGGCGGATGCGGGTGCCGGTCAGAAGTCGACATGGGGTCGCATCGAACGGACCAAGATGTCACAGGGCCAGAATGAGCTGTCCAAGATGGTCCAGACCCGGTCGAAGAAACTTCCTGCTGCTGAGCAATACGAAGCCCTCACGAAAGCCAAGCGTACCCTCGTCGACCAGTTGATTGAGCAACGGGCACGGTTTGATGCTCACTTGGGCTGGGAATGTGTCTATGCGAAGACAGAGGAGAAGCCTAAAGGCAAGAACGCACGCCGTGGCGAGCTCGAAACGGTCTCCATGGACGTCGTGATCATGGGACTGCCCAAGGCCGCTACCAACCCCAATGTACCTCAGAAGTCTGTCAAGATCGAGACTCCAGAGGAGACCAAGGAGAAGAACCTGGAGAAGCCTGTTCATCCCACGGCCGAAAAGGAAACTCGTCCGATCAACAAGATCAGCGATCTGAAGAACAAGGTCCAGTGGGTGAAACCAGGCAATACTCGTCAACAGCCTCCTACAATGAAGATTCACATACCGCAACGTGATGATTCACCGCCGCCCTACCCTCGTCCTCAAGCGCCTCCTGACCCGAACCCGTTCCCCCATCCCCGTCCCGCCGAAGGACACAGCTCTGGCAGAGGACAGCCCATGGAAAGGCCATGGTCACAGGCTCCGGCGGTCCAGCAACCGTACAATGTCCCCCAAGCTCAACCCAACCTTGGCTCAGGGCGTGGGATGCCGAGCGCGGGTGCTCAAGCTGTTCCCCCAAGCCACAATAAATTCTATCCCAGACGAATGGAAGTGCGTGGTCGACCACCATTTGTTCGGCCCGCTGCTGGCCCAGCACCTGAAACACAACATTCACGTGCTCGCAGCGGCTCTGAACCCCAGCCAGTCAATGGTCATCCCGGCTCTGTACAACCCCCTCATGATCTCCCTGGAAAATCCAAATCCCCCGTAGACAGCGCGGATGACCGTACAACCGGGACCCCCAACTTGACTGAGCGCGTCAAATGGCCAGCTGAGTCTAGCGAGACTGAGGACGAGTCAATCCTATCTGGCGGCGACGACGAGGACGACTGGAGCTCCGTAACAGAGGATCTAAGTGACGAGAGCGATCTGGATAGCGAGGAGGACGAGGAATTAGAAAACAAGACCCCCCAAAAACCCCAACCATGGCGTGGGAGTCTTTGGCGCCGACACTCGTCTCAGAAGCTGAACCGCCGACATCCAGTGTATCGCATCCATTGTCGGAAGTGGCCGAACAGTAGCTCTCCCAATAAAGACGGCGATGACAGCAACCCCAACCGAGGACGATCTCCAGCAGGCAACACAGACTGCAGCATGGAAGAAGTGGTGTCCACCACGAGACACACGAGCGATAACAATGCCGAATGGAGAGCAGCAACAGGTCAACCACCCCGGGAAATTACCGTGCCAGGAACCCGAGGCCGTCCCACTATTATCCACGAAGCCGAAGCTAACCCGGGACCTCTCGATTCCTCTTCTGGGGCCCAATCTCCTCTGGACGAAGAGCAGGTGCGGATGCACAATGACATCCGTACTAAGATGCTGAATGACAGGGAGGCTCGACTGGAGCGCCGGGAGAAGCTAGTGGACTTTCATGCGAAGATGTTGGCGGAGAAGTTGGAGGAAGCGAGGTTCATGAATCAGCGGATGGCGTTGCGAGAGCCATTTTATTATCGTCCTTATTCCCCTCCGCGACGATATCCTTTGCCGGAGTACTAATTATGTAACTAGAGTAGTAGTGTATGTAGGTAGTAATGGAGTGAGAAATGACGCAGGACGCCTTTGGTCCGTCCCGCCACGTTTCCCCGTTTTGTCTTCGTCTGGCGTCATAAATCTTCCTTCTTCCTCTTTCTCTTTCTCTTCTTCTTCCTACTCTTCTTTACTATCATCGTAATTCTTCTTTACTCCGTCTATCTCAATTCCATTCTACCTCACATTATTCTTACTCTCTGCCCATCATGCCTCGCCAATTCTTCATCGGTGGTAACTTCAAGATGTATGCCCCGCTACCCCTCCATCCCCGACCTTGATAGCATAGCTATACCACATAACACACCACTCAATGAATATACTGACAAAGTATAGGAACGGTGTTGCCAACAGCATCACCTCCATCGTCAACAACCTCAACTCGGCCAAGCTCGACCCCAACGCCGAGGTCGTCATCTCTCCCCCCGCTCCCTACCTGTCGCTTGCCCGCCAGGTCGCCAACGACAACATCGGCGTCGCTGCCCAGAACGTCTTCGACAAGCCCAACGGTGCTTTCACCGGTGAAATCAGCGTCGAGCAGCTCCAGGATCTCAAGATCAACTGGACTCTCGTTGGACACAGCGAGCGCCGTGTCATCCTGAAGGAGTCGGACGAGTTCATTGCCAAGAAGGTCAAGGCTGCTGTTGACGGTGGTCTTGGTGTTATTTTCTGCATCGGTGAGACTTTGGAGGTATGTCATTCATCATCTGTCTTAAACCTTGTTTTATGGATTCCCAGCTAACGATTTGTAGGAGCGTGAGTCCAACAGCACCATCGCCGTCGTCACCCGTCAACTCAACGCCGCCGCCAAGGAGCTCTCCAAGGAGCAATGGGCCAAGGTTGTCATCGCCTACGAGCCCGTCTGGGCCATCGGAACCGGCAAGGTCGCTACCACTGAGCAGGCTCAGGAGGTCCACGCCGCTATCCGCAAGTGGCTCGGTGAGGCCATCTCCGCCGAGGCCGCCGACAACACCCGTGTTATCTACGGTGGCTCGGTCAGCGAGAAGAACTGCCGTGAGCTCGCCAAGGAGAACGATGTTGACGGTTTCCTTGTTGGCGGTGCTAGCTTGAAGCCTGCATGTAAGTTTCTTTCCTCTCTAATTGGATTTTATCAAGCAGTTATCTGACAGTTACAGTCGTCGACATTGTCAACTCTCGTCTGTAAAGATTTAGCGATAGGTTTATGATGCGATCCGTTTAATTTACGATTACCAATACCGCGATGTGATGAAAATTTAGACGAATTAAAATGAGATCCGTTTTGGTGACTACCACTTTATGTTTCGTAACTGAAGATCCATAGAAGTATTTACATTCCCATTTTACTTGCGCAATCATATGCAAAATAGATCATAGTACAGAGTACTCATGACGAATACGAAACCGACACCCCCACACTCCTCCAATACGACGCCGACGCACCACCCCCAACACTCTGCGCGCCACCACCAGGCCCATAAGCCGGCGAAAACGAACTCGGCCCCAACCCAACACCCGCACTAACCAACAACTCCTTCACCCTACCCTCCCAAAGCAACCGTACATTCCACGACTGATCAACCCGAATTTTAAGCACAGAGTCACTAGCCTCTTCCTCCTCTTCTTTTCGCTCTTTTAGCGGCGCGGGATTCGCATTACTCGGAACAGGCGGGAAAGCAGGGTTATTCTCCCGCATTTTGCGCCTCGCCCATTCAAGTCCGTCGTCTTCGGGTTCGGTGATGGATTTGCTGGGCTTGCGCCAGAGTTCGCAGCCCGCTACCATTTCACTTTCCCAGCTGTAGACGTTGAAGCCGAAGCGGGAGCTAAAGGAGAGGTTTGGGGAGGCGCGGAGGGAGTAGGATGTTGATAGGGAGCCGGTTAGAGGGGTTAGGGTTAGTGTGAGGGTGTAGGGGAAGGTGGAGATTGGGGTGCCGTTTGTTGATGATTGAGTGGATGTAGATAGAGAGGAGGGTTGGCTGGATGTCTCGGGTGTAGGGAGGGTGCTGAATCGGAGGCCTGTGGACATGCCGATGAGAGAGGAGATAGGGGAGTAGTATGCTTCTGCGCCTGCGGATAGGAGTGATAATTGTGATGCGGAGGAGTCGTTCTTCGTAGTAGATCGCGGGTCTGGGCCGAAATTCCACAGCCCCCGCCAACCGAATAGTGCATTATCCGTGCTGAAGAGGTACTCATTGCTGTACTTCCCCGTATCATGAGACAACTGCGTCAGCAGAGAAGCCTGCGGCGCTGATTTCGACAACGGAGGCCCACGAGTCGAGCACACCGCGAGCGCCAACTGCATCGTCGGAGAAATCCTCCGCAAGAACAACGCATTCAGCGTCGTTGGCGGTGGCAGATGAAGCGTCGCATGGAGCAGCGTCGCCTTCTGCCGAGTAACCGCATCATTCCCATCGTCTCTTGCTGGCGAGAAATCACCAACACCATCAAGTATCGAGTTCCATGCCCAGTTCTCGGCCGGGGCGGCTGGGCGCTGGACTTGTCGGTAGCCCGGGGTGAGTTTTCGGAGGGGTATCAGGGCACTTCGACTGGGGGTGTTGTCGAATGGGAGGGTGCTGTAGAGGTAGGAGACGGAGCCGTCAATTAGACCGACTGTGCCGAGAGTGTAGCTGGTTGCGAAATGAGGGGTTGAGAGGGAGGAGAGGTGGACGCGGAGGCGCTCGGGGGTGGTGAAGTCGAGAAGTGCTGTTCATCCAGAGAATTAGACACGTCCAGAATTCCATTAATTAGGTTCATCGAGGGTCTCACACTGCGCAGTGGCTGTTAGCGACGAGTACGAATTGTCGCGATTCCAATTGGTCCCCTCAGCGAAGGCGAGCTGGATGTAATCCATGAAATCCAGCATTATCGCAATGGCACAAGAGCGTCATGAATAAATCAATCAGCAGTCTCCCCTATCAATCCGACGTAGCATATTCATCACCACTTCGATATAGACGAAGTGAACTCCGATCTGGATGAAGCCAATCAGTTCATTACCCCATCCGGCTTAGCCCGTCGGATAAGGATAAGCCCCGCATCAACATTCCTCCGACCTGTTATCAACGGAAGAAAAAAAAAAAAGTCGAAATTCTCGAACCCGCCAAAGTCTGTTTACCAAAAAAGAAGGCTTTCCACTTCAACAGACCTTTGGTCCTATCATTTATTCGCTTTTTTCAGTACTTTCGTTTTTGCGCATCTTCTCACAATGCCTCGTTCCAAGCGTGCGCGCGTCGTCCACGAGACTAGAACCGCAAAGAAGTCTCACAAGGAACAGACCAGACGGTTGTACGCCAACATCCGCGAATGTGTCGAGAGCTATGAGCACCTGTTTGTCTTCTCGGTTGATAACATGCGCAACACATATCTGAAGGATGTGCGCACCGAGTTTGCTGAGGATGGCCGGTGAGTTTGTTCCTTTTGTCCCATGTGCATGATTTGATATCGCATTTGAGGGCAAACCAATTGCCTTTAATTGCTATCTTCATGCGCAATTCTATCCCGCTCGATCACCCACTGACGAGAACAGCCTCTTCTTCGGCAAGACCAAAGTCATGGCCGTCGCTCTCGGCCACAGCCCCGAAACCGAAGCCGCCACAAACCTCCACAAACTCACTCCCTACCTCACCGGTGCCGTCGGCCTCCTCTTCACCTCGCGAGACCCCGACTCAGTCACCGGCTACTTCGACACCTTCCGCCCCGCTGACTTCGCCCGTGCTGGAACTGAGGCCACCCGCTCTTTCACAATCCCCAATGGCCTTGTGTACTCGCGGGCCGGCGAGATCCCGACAACTGACGACCAGCCTATCAGCCATACGATCGAGCCCGAGTTGCGGAAATTGGGTGTCCCTACGCGTCTTGTCAAGGGCAAGGTTATGTTGGAGTTGACTGAGGGAGAGGAGGGGTATGTTGTGTGCCGGGAAGGAGAGACGTTGGATTCGAAACAGACGACTCTGCTTAAGATGTTTGGTGTTGCGATTTCCGAGTTCCATGTTGGCCTGAAGGCCCAATGGCGGAATAATGGGGAGATTAAGATTCTTGAACAGGGCCAAGGGGAGATGGAGGTCGACGGGCAATAAGCGCCTATTTTTGATTCTTTTTCTTCTTTGGTCAAAAATTTTTGGGCATTTCATGGCGTTTGGCAGAGGCGTTGATACCTTCGTTTTCTCTTCTATCCCCGGTTCGTTCTTGTTCGACGAGCGCGTGATGTGATGCACATAAATGTTCCAACCTAGAAAGCTAGCTACTCTTTGCGCTACAGCTTGACGGTTGCCAACTACGAAAATATATAAAAGAAAACAATTCTCCAAAAAGGACATGATCACCTTGAATCTTTTCCGGCCGCACGTGTATGTCTAGCGTCGGTCAACATTGTTAAAACGCCTTACCTGATCTTACCTGAGAATTCCCATGTTGCAGAACCGGAATTCCACCTGAATGCATGTTGACTACCTAAAATACATACTTACCCCAAAAAGTGTAAATTAGACCCAGGGTAAAGGGAAACAAGGACATGAAAAAGAAAACGCATAAGGCGAAAGGTCAAAACCATGCGGTTGGGCCAGATTGAGACCCCGGCGATCTTTGGATGACAGGTGATATCGACGGTCAAGACGATCCAGGAACTCAACTGCCATGAGTTAAGGTGAATAGCAGCTTTTAAAACATTGACGCTGAAAGATCTCTGATCTTGCCTTACCCGTGTGGTGCAATGGGGCAATAGAACAAGCAATCAATCAGATACCCACCAGCAGACTATGGCGAGTGTGGTATGCGAGGAACATCCACGGGCGAGATCTTAATACCTCCTCTTGGCACGAGGGTCATCATATGAATCATCCTCGTGGTACCTCTTGCGTCCATAGTCCTCTCGGCCACCGTACCTGTCACGGTCGCGCTCACGCTCACGGTCCCGGTAACGGTAGTCCCTGTCTCTGTCCCTATGACGGTCACCCTCGCGGTCACGGTCATGGTCACGACGGTCCCGGTCAGAATAGCCTTCTCTTGGTCTTATAGGCTCACGGTTGCTGCCCGTTCCGCCACGGTCATATCTACCACCTCCGCCAAAGAAACCTCCAGCACTCCGTCCACCACCTGGGCCAGACGGCGCATTTGGAGGGGGCCCGCCAAATCCATTGCGGCCTCCTTGGTAGCCGATACCGCCACGAGGGCCGCCAAATCGGTCACCGCGATAACCTCCACGGAATCCTCTGCCACCAAAGCCACCGCGGAAACCACCACCAGGTCCTGTAGGAGCACCAAAGCCTGGCCCACTAGGGCGAGAAGGTAGCGCTTTAGTATATCCACGGCCTCCAAGACCACCGCCGAAACGACGGGGTTTCCATCCCTTGACGGTACGACCGCGCTCCACGTCTACCAAGACACGTCGGTCTTTGATCCGTATACCATCCGTTTCCTTGTAGGCAGCTGAAGATAGCGCAAGCGAGAATGGTTAGTATGGTAAATAATGGAAAATATTTTATAATGGATGTGATCCAAATAGCGATAATACCTTTCATGTCTTTCTCGCGCTCATATACAATGAAAGCATACCCTCTGTTGGGTTTGCTCTTGGGGCTGACGTTGTCTTTAACAATACGGATCTGGAAACATGTCAGCATCCTTTGGAGTGCGACTATAGTACCCAAAGCAATATACCCTTTCAATAGGTCCAAAGCGTCCAAATTCACGTTCGAGGTCCGATTCTTTCACATCGTAGCTGAGCCGCGCAACGAAGAGAGTCTTGAACGGATCACCTCGGGCTTGCGAGTCCTTGGTAGGATCAACTGCGAACGAGTCAGCATGAGAATAGCAAAAGCAAAATGCAATATCTCAAATCATACAATCTTGAACCGCTTCATTAACTTGGCTGTGTACTCTTTCCTTCTTTTGCAACTTCTCGCGCCATTTGCGCTGGATCCAGCTCTCCGTCGCAGTGTAAGGGATTTCCTCCTCGTATTTCTTGATCTCCGGGAGATACTGAGCAATACCGCTGATTGTGCTCTTTTTTACGTCCTCCGGTGCGCGGTTGATCGGGGTCACATAGCGTAGAGGCGGACGGGGCTGGAAAAGCGCCAGGAGTGGAGGGGGGAGCTTGTCAGTCATTGTGTGCGCTCACCAATAGGTGTGGCTGAGCTTTCTTTTATCAAAGACAAAGACTAGACGTTAGCTGGCGAAGACATTAGGATGGATTCGATGGACAGATTATCGTCAAGAGCGAATGTCGCGTTGATGTGAGTCTTGGCGCGGCCGGAAGAAGAAAGTTGCCAAGCCGCGATTATTTTGCTTACCGCGCGTGTATACCAACCAATAACGTTCGTTATATACTCCGGCAACTGAAAAGTCCCCCGAAGTGCCCGCCGACGAATTGCTCCGTCGAAAGTGAACAGAGATAACGAACAACAATGCCCGTGCAAGGAATCAGAGCGGTGGCCGCTGCCAGGGTATGTCCAAAAAATTTACGGTGAAACTGGAATCTTCAATCCGGCAGACTACTGACAGGCTCATCCAGAACGGCGTCGGCGCCTTTATCCTGCCATGCAAGCGCATGGATTTCCACTACTGCGACTGGGCAGGTAGCTCGCGGGGCATGGTGTAAGTCCTCTTCAATCGATTATGGCAATGTCTATGCAGTTCTAACGGCAATTGCCCTACAGTTCCTTCCTCAAGAGTGCCCTCCCATCCTTCGCCAAAGCAAATCCACAGATCGAAATCCGAGTCTCACCACGGCCGCACAAGCACCCAGTGATCAAGGGCCACTACATCAACGGACGCGAGAAGGCTATCTGTGTGCGGAACCTCGAGCCGGAACAAATATTCAACAAGGCGAACTTGCTGAAGGAGGCTAGCGGGGAGAAGCTGAAGCGCACCAAGAAGCCCGTTACGAGTATCAACGACAGTGTCAGAGGCATCTGGTCCCCTTACCATGGAGATATCAAAACCGTTTAGAGCGGGTCTTTTGCGGGATGATTGCGGTGGCTTTAGTTACCACGCTAGCGTCTTGATTGGGGGGGGTTCATGTCTCTTTCTGTTAATGTATTATTGATGTCGGCATTTTTTGCAACTTTTCTTGTTTATCGATCTGGGAAGCAGGTGTTTACATTTCATGTATAAAAGGAATCGGACCACAATACCATAAATTCGGGATATATTCTAACGGCCCTGACGTACAGTCTATGCTGTATCTAACTCACGCAGGACATAGTGATATCCAAACACGGATGATAGATGTAAAATTGCTCCTTCGGAGAGTTCGAAGTAATGGGTATCGAGAATGCTAGGAAAATATAAGCAAAATAGTGATAAATCCAATGAACACCCAAACCATGCAAATGCTACAAAACATAACAGACCACCGCGGACTCTTTCAACCCAAGAGTGTACATTTCAATCCCCAGGAGTATGTCGATGCGAGTCGGACCCGCGAGGTTGCCCCTGCATCGAGTAATTAGACGGGGCCAATCCTTCCAAGTTCTCGTACCACGGAGACAGATACCAATGTATCCAATAGTCCGGACAAAAGCAGTACCATAGTGGCAGTGTCCGTACGGGATCCAAGCCAAAACTTCAAGCACCACATTCCGGTGATCGTACAGAATCCACTCTCACAAATATACTTGAATCATGGACTTCGGGGCACTAACAGGTACCCCGCAATTATCCGCTCGACACTTGCTAAACGGCTTCGTCCGTTGCGGTGCCTTCTTCGCTTTCGAGAGAGCGCGGTGTTTCGTACATTCACCACAGTAGACCTAAAATGAAAGTCAGCCATTGCGTTTGGTATCAAAACGTGGGGATAGACGAACGTGTCCGCATTTCTTCACAACCCATATCTGCGATTTGGTCTCATCACCCGTACCCAGCTCCTGGTCGCAGTTGGGACACACGACCACCTCGTCCTCCTTCGCGTTCCTCGTAAACCCCTCCGGCGCGGGACTGGGGGCCTTGTATGTATCCACCGGCGGCCTACGATCCACGGTGGCCGTAGATATCGGATACTCAATATCGAGACCCCCGCCAATAAACAGACTGTCCACGTCCTGCGGCTGCCGGCCAAACAGGCCACTTGCCCACGGAATGGGCCGTCGAAACGCCTCTGACGACATCACGAAGCTTGCTAATGAATTTCCATTCAGCATCCTCCATAGTTGTGATCCTTCCGACCTTGCTGGTGGCGCGGTAGGCGCCCTTGTCGTCGCACCCACAAATTCGACCTCCGGGCTGCTTGGGGGCAACCCCTGCCCTATCTCCTGCACTTCATCCTCGTCCTCGTCCTCGTATTCATCTTCGTCCTCCACCAGATCGACCACATCTTGCATGATATTTCGGCCGAACCGAGGCAAGCGCGTATGATGAGGAGGTCTGTTATGAGATTGTTGTTGCTGCTGCTGCTGCTGCCGCGGTTGAGGAGAATCCGGCTCTTCGGTAAGATCAATAACCTCCTCGTTATTACTGGTAGCCGGCCTCCTGAAGTCGAGGCCATCTCCGGGATAGCGCGTCGGTAATTGGAGAGGGCGATGGGAGGCGGAAGACGAAGGCATACTGGAGGGGGGCCATGGGGATCGGCCGGGAGTGGCTGACGATGTTTGGGACATATGGCTATGCGGTCGCTGGAGGAAAGAATGTCGTCAGTGAAATTGCAACGTCTGGTGTAAGATAGTGGTTAAATCAAAGAAATTCCCCCCCGCCTTGAAGATGGCAAGTAAGATGGTACCTTTCTGGACCGGGCGGCCAAAATCTGCACGTTTTCACTCATTAGAGTGAGAAATTGATATGAGAAAGCAGATAATGAAGTAAAATTGGTCTGAGGTGAGGCAAAGAGAAAAAGAGGCGTGCGTTGTTCGGGAAGAAAGGCGTTTCTTTGGTGGCGGCCATGTCGTAGTAATCAGGCTCCGAGTCGATGGATGAAGTTCGGAGTCCTGACAAGGCTGTCATCATTAATGCAGATAGGCAAACAAACAGGGGTTTGGGGATAATTCTATGCTCGATAAACTGGTACTTGGATATAGAGGAAAAAAGCTCTTTTGGTAGGATATATTTCAACTCTCCGACCATTATATATTTGATCTATTCACCTGAAATTGAAAATCAAAAGACAATGCAATTAACAATAACGATTCCCCGAGACACGCAAACCAGCTAAAATTACACGCCATCTTTTCAAAAGGTATCATTATAACTAGGCTCCCAAAACCGTGATTCCACCCTCAGCATTCAACACAACAATGCTCTGAGCTGCCGGTCCCCATTGCACCGCAGCTGCAGGCACGGCGCTTCTCAATGGCTCCGACCATTCCTTGGTAGACTTGGTAAACTGCTGGACAGTCACTCCACTGGGTCCTCCAGTCAGGAGGAATTGGCCTGTGTAGTCCCAGTAGATTGAGTCGACCTTGTTACCCGTATCGAGCACCTTGGTCTCCTTCGAGTGACGGAGATCCCAGATGGAGACGACAGTGGAATTCTCTGCCACCGCAGCCAAGAAAACACCGTTCTCAGAAAAGAACAGACCCTTGACCGGACCGGACGAGGAGTAGTCCGCAGCAGGAGTGCCAGATGTGGTGTTGAAAATCTTGATCTGCCCGTCAACGCCACCTGCAGCAATGAGGTGACCATCAGGGTGGAAGTTGACGGATAGAAGAGCTGCAGAAGAGTCAAATGTCAGTGATCTGTTCAATATCCGTGCCGGGATTTGTTGGATTTCCTTACATGCGTCACTGAAGACCTGCGTGAGCACAGAGTTTGTTGTCAAGTCATACAAGACATAGCTCTTGTCAACCCCAACAGAGGCAACGATATCACCGGTAGCGTGCAATGTAAGGGCGGTCGCTTCTCCGGCATGCGAATTGAAGCTCGCGACCTCATTGCCGTTCTCGAAGACCTTGACGGACCCAGTAGCGGAAGCGACCACAGCCTTGTCTCCAGCCCAGAGAGCATCGGTAACTGGGCCGTTGGTCTGCAATGTTTGTGCCACACGTTTATCGGTGAGCGAGTAAACACCAACCACCCCTTCGGCGCCTCCAACAAGAGCCAATTCTCCAGAGGAATGAACAGAGAGTGCTTTGCCGCCAGGATATAAAGCATCGGAGCTTTCCTTGGGCTGGTATGACGAGATAGCTTCGCTGGTAGCCCAGTTCTCTGGGACAGGGCGCTTGCGGCGAGACTTGGAGAGCCTGCTTCTTGTCAGCTTATTATATCAACGCGAATTTCAAGCAGAACGTACGCTGCCTGTGTCTCCTCAACCCGTGCTACCACCGCCTCGGGCAAACCAGCAGAATCGACCTGCATCTCATCGCTACCGCCAGCGGTGCGGGTGGCCCCGACCGTAACTTTGGACAACGCATCACGGGCCTCATCTCTCTCCTGTGTCAATCGTGCGATAACTCGGACGGCGGCATCGTGCTGGTAGAGCGCCGAACTGAGCTCCTGCCGCGTCTGCGCCAAGGTCTGCCGCAATGTGTGTGTTTCCAAAGCTAAAGCGTCCCATTCTTCCTGGAAAACGCTAAGAAGGGAAGGGATCGAGGTGAGCGTAGGTGGCCGGGGGCGAACGACGCGCTGCGATTTGATATCGATAAGATCCTCCGTAGCAAGCTCTTCACCGTTAACGGGGTCCTTTCCGTGCTCGCCAATGTACGCTTCGATGAGTCGCTTTTCGAAGACGCTGCCTATATGGGGTTAGATGAATGAGATGAAGCCTCGCATAGGTCCGATGATGATTGCAACATACCGCTCTTGGGCGAGACGACGGGCACTTGAGGTGCCTCTCCCGAGACTGTCAAGCAGAATTATCGTCAGTATCAGTCTCAATATATCATCAGTTCCGCAGCAATGACTCACTGGCACACAGCATGGTTGATTCTGGGGTGTGATTGTTGTATAGCAATGCGGAGGACAGGCTTGCTTGACGCGAGAGCTGCGGCTCCTCGAGACTTTTCGATACGCCCGATCGGGTTTAGTGCCGGTTTGGCCGCGGCCTCTTGGCATAGAAGCTGGCCTCCGAACAGTACATACATTTAACTACTCCGGATTATTCATTCTTTTCCTTCTCTCTATTGTGATAGACTACCGTTGGTACAGTAATGCGCTGTGTGATCTGAAGCGGCGCGCTCTCAGATATTTTGGTGTGGTCTTCCGTTGAGCCAGTACTGCCTCATGAGCTTCCAAATGCGACTCCAGACATAGGACCTTGAAGAGTCTGGCAGTTCTGCCGTCGCATAATTAATTGTCCATACCCAGAAGCCTCCAATCACTAAAGAACTGGTTTTCAACGCCTGAAACTGACTGTTCAGCGGAGACAATGTCCTTCAACGCAAAGAATCTCTCCTACGGTACGTGACCTACTCTGCCACGGACTCTTTGAGGTGCTTTGTCTGATATTTAACCAGATTCGAAGGACCCGCCTTTCATACAGAGACTAAAAGGCCATTATGGAAGTACTGCCGGCCGCCTGGAGCGACCAATTGCCCGACCCCGGAAACAAAGAAAAGACGACGAGGATGACGAACCCACCTACGTTGATGAGGAAAGCAATGAGGTAATCTCAAAGGAGGAATACAAAGCTCTAGTCCAGGAGAGCAACCCGAAAGACGATGAACATCCGGAACAGGAGCCGGCTGATAAGGAGCAGAATGCACCTGGGTCCGACGAAAAGGGTAATGCGGACACTGGAAAGGATGCGCCAGCTTCTAAACAGAATGTGGCCGAGATAGGAGGCCCCAAGAAGCGAAAGCAAGCGAAAGTGGTTGGCGAAGAAAACAAGGAGCCTGAGGTGGGAGAAGAGCCGCGAGAAGCTCCGGCTTCCCGGAAGTCCAAGCAGAAGAAAAAGAAGATCAAGCTTTCCTTCGACGAGGAGGAGTAATACACACGACAGTTTATCAGCTGCTAAAACTAAACTGTAACCTGGTATTATAGAAGACTGCGCGGACGTACATAGTAGTATAGCATCATACCTGCCAAAATAAGAAGCATTATTAATCATGGAATCCACTTTGATATCTTCAGTTATGATTCCTTTTATTACTCAAATCCATTCATATTACTGTAACGAAATATTATTCTTCTTGTCTTCCCCTACTTGTGAGTCAGTTTGGCTGGGCATCGCATTCCCCGACGACTATTTTTTCTTCCGCTCGCCTCTGCGACAGGCGGAATCCAGCGCCAACGTCAAACAACCAACGAAAGAGCATTTCCAACGGGCCATCGAAATTTAGAACTGTGAAAGAGCCAGTTCTAGCTCAAAATGCCCGTCGTCAGTGTCGACGATCTGGTCCGTCTTCAGCGGAAACCAGAAGATATCCGGAATGTAAGTGCCCCTCCATCCCACCTTGATAATCAATCTCTTTTACTAGCACAACACTGACAAAATCATAGATTTGTATTCTTGCACATGTCGTAAGTGACAAACACGACTTCTGGAGAACAGTTCCATATATTAATCTGCGCCCAGGATCACGGCAAAACATCCCTAACAGACAGCCTTATCGCCACAAATGGAATCATCTCACCAAAACTCGCGGGTAAGATCCGCTACCTGGACTCTCGTCCAGATGAACAACTCCGTGGTATCACAATGGAGTCCTCTGCCATTTCTCTATTCTTCTCCATGCTCCGTCGCCCCAACCCGGAGGCTGCCCCGGAACCCAAGGAGTATCTGGTCAACCTGATCGATTCACCAGGACACATCGATTTCAGCAGCGAAGTCTCTACTGCATCGCGTCTTTGTGACGGTGCGATTGTTCTCGTTGATGCTGTTGAGGGTGTTTGCAGTCAGACCGTCACGGTGCTGCGCCAATCATGGGTCGAGCAGCTGAAGCCAATTCTGGTGATTAACAAGATGGATAGATTGATTAGTGAACTCCAGATGAGTCCCGCTGAGGCATATGCTCATCTGTCTCGACTGCTGGAGCAGGTAAATGCCGTTATTGGAAGCTTTTACCAAGGTGAACGGATGGAAGAGGATCTCCAGTGGCGTGAACGAATGGAAGATCGCATTAATGCCTCTGCGGCCAAGTCCAAGAAGCAGGCGCAGGACGATGCGCTCACCGAAAACATCGAGGAGGCTGCTGAGTTCAAAGAGATGGATGATGAAGACCTTTACTTTGCCCCCGAGAAGAACAACGTCATCTTCTGCAGTGCGGTCGATGGCTGGGCATTTACTATCAGACAATTCGCAGCAATTTACGAGAGAAAGATCGGGATCAAACGCTCTGTACTCGAGAAGGTCCTCTGGGGTGACTACTACCTGGATCCTAAAACGAAGCGAGTTCTGGGTCAGAAGCATCTGAAAGGGAGAGCTCTGAAGCCCATGTTCGTGCAATTGGTGTTGGATAGTATCTGGGCTGCGTACGAAGCTACGACAGGTGGAGGAAAGGGTAAGGGGTATGTTTTGATTAGATCCAGCTCTGTTTTTGAAGGACGAAAGTAACTGACAATGGCAGTGACCCGGTTCTCCTGGAGAAGATTACCAAGTCTCTAAACATCACCATTCCGCCATACATCATGCGCTCGCGTGACCCTAGGAATATAATGACCACGCTATTCTCCTCGTGGCTGCCTTTGTCCACGGCCGTCCTTGTCTCAGTCATTGAATATCTTCCCAGTCCTCCAACCGCCCAGGCTGCTCGTTTACCAACCATGGTCGAAGAGTCGCCTGGTGCCGCATCCGTGGACAACAAGGTAAAGGACGCCATGATTCAATTCAAGACGAACACAGACGAACCAGTTGTGGCATATGTCAGCAAAATGGTTGCCATTCCGGAAAGTGAACTCAAGTCAAGCAACAAGCGACCTGGTACGAGCATGTCAGCAGACGAAGCTCGGGAAATCGCGCGCAAAAAGAGAGAAGAGATCGCCAAGCTGCAGGGAGAAGCCAATACTCAACAGAAGGACGAATTTACCTATATCCAGTCTTCCCTCGAAGTTATTACAATTGATGAGACTGAAGGAAAGGAAGACGCCGCTGAGGATAAGGGCGAACCTGAGCATCTGGTTGGATTTGCACGTCTGTACTCGGGAACTCTCTCAGTTGGCGACTCTGTATACGTTCTTGGACCGAAATTCTCACCAGCAAACTCGCACACCAGCCCCGTACCGCAAAAGGTCACGATTACAGACCTGTACCTCCTTATGGGCAGAAGTCTCGAACCCCTCAAATCCGTTCCTGCGGGTGTCGTCTTCGGAATCGGCGGTCTCGCAGGCCACGTCCTCAAGACCGGTACTCTCTGCAGCCAGCTCGAAGGAAGTATCAACCTGGCTGGTGTATCCATGGCCACGCCGCCTATCGTCCGTGTCTCCCTGGAGCCAACCAACCCCGCAGACCTGGGCAAGATGGTCACTGGTCTCCGCCTCCTGGAGCAGAGTGACCCATGCGCCGAGTACGAGGTGCTCTCAAACGGTGAACATGTCATCCTGACAGCCGGTGAATTGCACCTGGAGCGGTGTGTAAAGGATCTCCGCGAACGGTTTGCTCGCTGCGAGATCCAAACCGGCCAGACTATCGTGCCCTACCGGGAGACCATCGTCCACGCACCGGAGATGGCTCCGCCTAATAACCCCGAGTTAGGCCGCGGAGGTGTCGAGGCAGTATCTTCTTCGAAGCAGTTGACTGTCCGCCTGCGGGTTGTACCTCTGCCAGAACAGGTGACGGAATTCTTCACCAAGCAAGCTGCAACTATCAAGCAGTTGCAGTCTCAGAAGCATGCTGCTGTTGAGGACAAGGTTGCCGAAGAGGCAAGTGGAAACGGCGCAGAAGAAACCGGTGACGTTTCCCACGAAGCTCAAGCAGGAGACGTGATGTCTCTGGAGAACTTCAGAAAGGAACTCACCCGGATCTTCGACGAAGATGTCAAGGAGAACAAGGAGTTGTGGCAGGACGTCGTTGACAAGATCACCGCGTTTGGACCACGGAGAATCGGTCCTAACATTCTCGTTGATGCTACCGCCGTCAACACAAGCGACAAATTGTACGTCCCTGCTCTCCCCCAGAACCAAACTCATTAGACTAGACAAAGCTAACAACACCAGCCTCCTCGACGAACCACACATCAACATCTCCCCCGAAGACCGCCAGGCCTTAATCGTCCGCGACTTCACCGACAAAATTGCCTACGCCTTCCAACTCGCAACATCCCAAGGCCCGCTCTGTCAAGAACCCATACAGGGAACCGCAGTCTTCCTCGAGGAGCTCTCCACGAACGCAGAGAATGGCGAAGAACTCGATCTGGGACGCTTGACAGGTGAAGCGATCAAGTTGGTTCGCGAGAGTATCTCCCAAGGATTCCTGGACTGGAGTCCAAGAGTCATGCTTGCGATGTACAGTTGTGAGATTCAAGCTTCGAGTACGCATCCCCCTTTTCCTCCCCATGTCTATCTGAGTATACTAATAAACCAATAGCCGAAGTCCTCGGCCGAGTTTACGGCGTAATAACCCGCCGCCGCGGCCGCATCCTCTCCGAATCCATGAAAGAAGGCACCCCCTTCTTCACAATCCTTTCCCTCCTCCCCGTCGCCGAATCCTTCGGTTTCGCCGAAGAAATCCGCAAACGGACCTCCGGCGCCGCGCAACCGCAACTCATCTTCGCTGGTTTCGAGGCACTCGACGAAGACCCGTTCTGGGTTCCTGCTACTGAAGAGGAACTTGAGGACTTGGGTGAGTTGGCAGATCGGGAGAATGTGGCGAAGAGGTATATAGATGCTGTTAGGACTCGGAAGGGGTTGGTTGTTCAGGGGAGGAAGTTGATTGATGCGGAGAAACAGAAGACGTTGAAGAAGTAGATTGTTACTTTTGTTTTTTAGGATTTTTTTTTTTTTTTTTTTTTTAGGAGAGGTGGATATGTACTTTTAAGTGAACAAAAGTTGCATTTAGATTCGATTACTTATCTACGTAGATATGTGTACCCCCAAGAAAAAAAAAACTCCAAATCCATATCGGATAAAGAGAGGATTAGATGAGGGTCGTAGAGGTTGAGAGGCCTCTACGAGAAAAACCGTTGATCTTCCTCCATTGACAAACACAGACCTGCATTGAGAGTTCAGGACCATGTATACTAAGGAGGTGGTGTGTTGTGATATGTGGGAATGAGGGATGGGGAGAAGAACGATTAAATGGTATCATATTCGTTATATCATGAGGTTCGGAGAGCGAGGCTCGATCCTTGGTGTAAGCCATTAGGCTCACATAATAAGAACAGTGAACTAGCACTATCTTCGAATGTGGTGTGTAATCAGGGCCGTTGCTTCCAGGCCACTCCGCACATTGCGTGGTTGGGTCGACGGAGAGTATTTTTGCTGCGCAGCAGTCGACACTGCATGACCAGAAGTACTCTCTCGAACGGAAGATGCGCATAAGACATGTAGCGCTTGCTTTCGGCTGTGGTCGATGGGCCCTTGTCGTAGACCTAGAGTCCTAGGCTTGCGACGGCACGGGAAGACATCATCCATGCCTAGTGACGTTTATGTTGTTCCAAAATCATCATATAGAACGACAACACACTCAGAACGGACGCGCGACCTTCCTCAACTCCCCAAGACTAGTAACAGGATCTCTCATCTCCTTCCAACTAACCGGAAACATCATATTCCCAGCCTCACTCCGCGCCATGACAACACCAAGGTCATTCCGTGCAGTAGTGATATAGTAGAAACTCTGGTCACCCAGCGAGATGATCGTGCCTCGCACAATATCCCCAACACGGAACATCTCATCCATCACGACGCGATCCTTCTCGACAGCACGCACATCCTCTTTGCGAATCAGAGCCTGGAACCGCAACTCGTCAGAGGAACTGTGGTTCTCCGGGTTCGCAGCCGACGAGAGAATTGACTCGATGTTGTCATTGTCAGATGTCGTCTTCGACGGGTCTGAAACCTGCGTGCTGGAGAGTTCATCCAACACGACGAGGATGGACACGGCAACTTGACGTTTCTGAACACGTGTCACGCGGGCCAGGACAACTGAGTCCACTGCTGGGAGCGTGTTGTATTTCAGTTTGGGCTTTGTAGTAGCTGGCTTTGGAGCGGTTGTTGATACGGTTGGCTTCACGGTAGCTGCTCCGCTCGGGGTTGCTCCTGTCTGTCTGTTGATTGACCGCGAGACAGTAAGCAGAGACTTTGATTTGGACTTTGCCTGGGCCTGGTCAACTATGACGGGGCCAGCAATGGATGCGTAGATAACTGTATCGTGCACATGTGTGCCTGGACCTGCGGCATACGAGGTAGTCGAACCCAATCGCTGACCTGGAATTGCCAGGGATGGAAGGGTGGCCGCCATTGCAACACAGGCAGCAATGCCTACAATAAAGTAGGTTTTTGTGCTTTGTTTTTAAGGTGGAGAGTAAGCGGGTTGAGGGGAGGAGAGAAGCTGCAGGGAAATCGAAGTTTTTCTTTGGTGGGAACTACGGAGTATCGTTTGTCCGAAGGGAGCTATCCACTTCGTCACGGGACATGACATCACCGGTGTTTTACAATTGAAGTACTCCGTACATATGGAACATGTGGTAGCAATTGCGCTCAATAAGCAATAAACTGGCGACCACATGGCCTCCTTGAACTTCACCCAGGCGTGCGTGCCCAAATTATTCTTTCGTCATTAGGAAAACACACTCTTTCTCAATATTGTCACCGATAGGCTGTCCCATGCTGCGGCCTTTTTACCCTTCCAGACGAAAATGTGCAGTGGCCAGCCTCTTCAGGAAGGCGAGACTCAACTCCCCACTTCAATTCCTGATACTCCGTGCCTAGATGGTCTAAACCGTCCATATCATTCGCCACGTAAGAATGACATGCAGCAGCAATAGCCAGGCTACAGCTTCCCGCAACCGGCATTCCTGATTTGAAACGTCGAAACCCCGCCCAGACAAGACAGGCCAACATAAAGGCTCCCACTGACAGGGCACTGATAGTTCCGACAGGCGAATAGGCACAAGTCACTGAATCCAAAGAGGGTGCTCTCGCGTGATTAACATCATGTGCCCTGATGATCACAACATAGAGACTCTGGGATATGAGCCAGTGGAGCAGGCCGGAAGATACAATGAGTGGAAGTGCATAGCGGTATGGGAGAGATAGAAAGTATGTACTTCGTTGATGGCCTTGGAAGTATGTTGAGACGCGTAGACCTTTCCGGTCCACAGAGTAACTGTTCCATTCAGCAGCCAGGGTCATACTGGTCCACACGCTATTCGCCATAAAGTAGAGAATTGAGAAGATTAATTGAGGGATGTTGGCGATGATTATGTTCGGTATTAATGATTGTGGCCAGTTATCTCCCTTTATGAAGGTTACAGGCTCAATCGCTGCCAAACCAGCAAACCAGCTGCCCTCAATTCCATTTTCTTCTCTTTGCTCAAACCCATAGGCTAAGAGACAGATACAGGCACCCATCGAAAACAAATATCTAAGACGACCTCAATGAGCATGAACCATGATAGAAATTGGCGTTCAAAAGTTAGACAGTTTTTCAAAAAGAGGAAAAAAAAAAAAAAAAAAAAAAAACTTACGACAAAAGACAGGCGACCCATCGTTGAGTTGATAAAGATGACCTCCACTGTTTCGGATTCTCGTCGTATTGCAACTGGCTATTGTTGGACGACTGTGGCGTGGATACCATTTCTCTTGAGAGCAAACACATGCTTTTTGTAGCTTCATCAGGCTGCCTTATAAATGAAGCTACTGCGTCTCCAACGGTTAGAAGGGGAGGATTCCTGAGATGGAACGCAGTAGCACAAATAACTACTACTTTCATCAGGTTGGCAAGAGTAACCACCAAAGCCAAAGGTAAACTGAACTCAAGCGTACACGTCTGGGGCAGCGCCTCGGCTAAACAATAGTCAACCTTGTAGCCATCCACCACCCACTTAGCAGAACTGGATCGAATGTCAGCGATTCGCGAGGAGCAGCTCCACGCGGCCAGAGGAGTGTGTACGAGATCATCACACATCCATGCGTAAGGCGCAGCTGGGTAGCGTTCGAGAGTATTCATCACTGGCTCGACATAGAAATTGATGGAATCACCATTTGTTGTTTTTGTATCGTCAGTGATTAGCATCAGACTGCCATATTTTGTCTGGTAATATGTGGCATACGCAGAAATACAGTGGTCTGGGGGTAACTTCTGCAAAGTACCATTTGCTGACTTTTGCACCAATCTTGAAAATGGTTCTGGAACATAGTCAAGAGGGGGTGCACTGAAATCCAAAGTAGAGATATTGAGATCTTGAACACTCTTGAGAGAGGTGAACGTGGAATTTCCGACATACACTTCGTATGAGTTTCCGGACAGTGTTGAGAAGATTGTTGAGTTGTAGCTTCAGTTCCAGTCAGTTTCCTATTCACAGGTATGGAAGGATGCAGACCTACAATAAGTGCAACGGGAGGGATGTAAGAACAAGACAGCCCCAAAGAAATAGCCTCAACCTGGAAATACTCCGGAGGTTTCGTATACTGGGAACTCCGATATCGAGCCAACGATTTTCTTGATGAGCATGATCCAAATTCTGTCTAGTGGGGGCACATAAACATTGCTGGAAAAAATCAGTTATCGTTTGGACAATCTTGACAAAAATGCCAGGTTATCAACACACCATGCTAAAATTACTCCCAGCTAGCAAGGTTGTACTTAGGATATTAATCATCAAATGCATGCCCGTACTCATCCGCTTCACTTTGTCACAATCCCCCAAATAAAGAACTGTTTGGCCGTGAGGAGAATGGCGTTGTGTCCCCCAGAAAATAAAGCCCAAATTGACGCAGAGGACCACAAAACATGACATCGAACCCAGATAGAGGGTGCCCTTCCAATTTCTTAAACTGCCTCTGGATATTTGCTGAGTTGGGTTTGCATGCTCGTCGCCGTCAACTGGCCGATAGTGATCTCGCTGCAAGGAGATGAGTTCAAGCACATTGGCATTGTTTGCAGGCATGTTTTCAGTTACAAGGGGTTATCGCAGAAAACAGTGACTAAAAAGCCAAGGAATATATACCCGGTTTGAAGGCTTTCTGGGATGGGTGGATAGAATCTTTTATATGCAAAACTGTGTCAGCCTCGTGTTCGTTTTTTCGCAAGGCTGTGCCATCCTCTTGGTGCCTGGACGGATTATACGAGCTGGACAAGGGGGTTTCTCTTGTCACAGCTCACTCATACCCAGTTAGTAACATATCACTTTGTTGAGGGGGTCAAAGGGGTGATGGTGAAAAGTGTTACAAAGGAAAATGGATACTGGCGGAACTAGCATGGTGCATTTTATTGAGGCTACTATACTCGGGCTACTCATTCCTCTGATCAGCCCCTGTTCAGTGGCCAGCTCAGGTCGCTCAGGGTGTGCTTAGGTCTACTCAGTGAGCCAAAAGTAGTGAGGGGTGAGCACTAAAACAGAAAGGGAGGGCGTTCAACCTGTTTAGAAAATCCGGTACGTATGTAAATACAGAGGAATCGGAAGCCAGCATAGAATATAGCTAGGTATCACTGCAATTAAGGTATAGACTCTCGAGATTGACCATGGTTACAGACAGCATTCACGCATAAGATATGACAAAAGAAAATGAGAAATGAAGAGTAAAAGGCAATGGCCCAGAAACGAAAAATTGAGCAAGCAGCAAAGGCCAATGCCAGATGACAAAATAAAAAAAAATTTAGAAGAAAGGAAGAAACCAGTTCCTATCACACTGAATGCTCGCTGATAGAAAAAACAGTGACACCGAATCTAAATGCCCACTTAACACCCTGTGACAAGCAAGAAAATCGATGTACGGAGTAGCCGAGAAAGGAATAAGAAACTAATGAAGAAAGGAGATAAATATAACCCAGAAAGAAAAGGGGGGGAAAGGGTTCAAGAAGGGAGGAAGGTCGCATCAGCCTTCGACAAGGGTCTGTTTGGGACCATTACCAAGAAACTCGAGGCATCGCCGAGCCAGGGCAACGACCTCGCCCTCTCCGTCTTCTCCGTCTTCCACGTCCGACTCGATGTTCCTATCCGAGATTTCCCTAACCATCAGCACAAGGTCTTCGGATTTCGCAATATAGGCGACCAGCCTCTTGTCCTCCGATTCCAATAGTTGGAGGAGAGTCCAGATGGCGATGTGCTGGAACGTCGGGTCTCCGCTGGCGAGGAAGCGATGCAGGTATCCGTGGATCCCACCGTTCGGATCCGCCCAGTCACGGACAAAGATCGAGTAGTCCCCAACTACATTATTGATCGTTAACGCTGATTATGCCGGGTTATAAGGGGAGACTTACCTTTAGATGATAGGTTGCCCAGGGCAGCCGCACTGTTTCCTTGTACCTCGATGCTGTCTGAATCGGTCAAAGGGATCAAGACATCAAACACGCCGAGGTTTAGGAGATGAGGCTTAAGCTCATCGCTGAGAGCCAGCACAGCGATAGCAGCAGTCATTTCGGATTGAACACTCAGCGAAACTCGCAGCACCAGGTCCTTGCATTTCTGTACTGCACCTGCCTGGAGGACAAGCTCCTTGTTGCGATCTGAGCTTGCTGCAAGGTTACGTAGCGTCGAGATCGCGTGGCATTGAATTTCCTCGTTGTCGGTAGAGCCCAGCAAATCGACCAAGGGTTTGAGGAAACCAGCATCGATGATCGGGGATTCGTTGAGAGGGTGAATGGAGATGTTACGGATACAAGCGACAGCAGAAAGAATCAGGGGAAGATATGAGGATTGCAAAAGTCGCAGAAGAGGAGGCAAGCCCTTTGATCGAACAATTTCGAGCTGATATTTCTCATCGGACGCCAGGTTACGGAGAGCCAGGGCCGCCTGACATTGTACCTTGGGAGTAGAAGAATCCATCATGAGATGAACCAACGACTGAACCAATCGTGACTCTGTTTGGGCCAGTTTCTTTCGGTTGGTCGAGTCGACAGCGATGTTGCTCAGTGCCGTAGTGCAGTAATATTGAACGTCGACGTCGGAGGAAGACAGCAATTGGACGAGAACCGGAATCGCACCGGCATTGACGAGTTGTTGACGGTTGTCATCTGTTCCAGAATCAAGAATAGTCAGACCAAAGAACATTCACGGTCGATGGCGTCTTCCGCGGAGGTACGACTTACCTGAATGGGTCATATTCAGCAATGCACCAGTGGCATTGCGCTGAACGCGCATGTCCTTGGATTTGGCGAGTCGAATCAAAGGCCCCAAAGCACCGGAGCGAGCAATTTTAGCTTTGTTCTCTTCATGAGTAGCCAAGTTGGTGATGCATCCGACCGCATTGCACTGAACCTCAACGTTTTGGGACATCATTTGGCGGATAAGAGGAGCCAGCCCTCCTAGGGCAACAATCAGGACCTTGTTATCCGCTACGCCCATGTCAGTGACTCTTTATTATCGATGCGACAACGAAAGGGGAGGGGAGGGGAGACGGACCATTGACGGCAAGGTTCCCGAGCGCAGCACTCGCCGCTCGCTGGACTTCGATATCGGAACTCTGAAGTAAGAAAAGAATCGGTTCCAAGGTGTCTCGATCGACATCGCGCACATCTAGAAACACACAACCGTCAGTCCTTGTCACTTGTTGTACGTCCGTTTTCTCTTGCGTCACGTTGCACACCGACCTCGTTCCGTGATTTCAGCAAACGTCAAACTGGCGCTTCGTTGTAGATCAACATTGTCGGAATAGACCAGAGTACTCAGCGATCGAAGAGGTTCGCCCGAAAAGAAATCGGTTTCGGCTCTCTATAAAGCAAGAATCATGAAGTTAGCTGGTGATGACGATAGATCCAAACCAAGGGGTCCGACATCAAGGTCAGATCGCAAGAACGAGGCAGGAGCAAAAGAATAATATAACAGATGAGAGAGTAGCGTACGTTTTCAAGGTAGCCCAGCAAGTCAGAGACAGCTTCGCGTTCATTATCGGCCAATGTGGTCTCATAGATTCCATCTCTCGAGCGGCTACCGCCGAGGCAAGCCGTGATATGACACCAACGGTCTACTGTCGAGAGACAGGACCAACACGCATTCGCTATTCCACTCATTCCTTCAGGGATGGAAGGCCCGCAGGACCCAAAGGGTGGTCCTGCAAGCGATTGAATTTCAAAGCCAACGGCAGGTCAACGGGGGTGGAAGAGGTGAGGTATTTCGCGGCTGAGGCTGGTCGGGGACGTTAACTCCGGCTCGAAAGAGAGTTGTTTTTTTTTTTTTTTTTGAATCGAAGAATTACCTGCAGCGTGAATAAAGTGAGTAGATGTCAGAAAGCGATGCAAGACGCGAGGGAAGGACGAGGGACAAGGTGAGGGCGGTGATTGAATAATTGGGATGGCTTGAAGCTGGGATTAAATGAGGGAGCAGCGGCTCTCCAGACCGGGAAAGTGAGAGTGAGGAAACCAGTCCTCGTGATAAGAAGATTTCCTTATTTCTCGATTTGCAGAAAGTAGTAGTAAAATGATTTGCATTTCTTACCTTTTAGAGTCTTTTCCCCGACATTTGGAATGTTGAATATGGAGTGAGCGAAGAGCGAGAGGTTTAAAGAGAGAAAGCGAGAGGGGGAAAAGAGATGGCGGAGAGAGACAGCAGTCAAGCAGTAACAGCAGAACCAACGCAGCTTTCCTACGCTGGACCAATGCTGGTAAATAATCGTGTTTTATATTTCGTGGTTGTCCATTATCTGTGTCTCTAAGCTACTTTGACGTATCAACCTCCGTGTGCTCATTGTTTATCAGCTTGATCCAGCTCGGCGCCGACATCATCGGGATGGTACAAGAGCTATGGCAGTCATCCAGTCCATAAGCTCTCTTTATTTGAATTCCATTTATATATTTTATTCTCTCCTCTCTATCATTCCAGGGAAAAATCCATCGACTTTGTCACGCTATAATTGAAGATTCGCGCATCACCCGATCCCGAAGCTCTACGAATAATGCGCTCTAGTTCAAGCACGCAGCCGCCGTGAGCACCTGATAATAACGAATTCTGCCCTACAGTTAGCGATGAATCGCTAACGTGAACCTTATTAACATCAGGTCCCGAGTTCATCCTTCGAAGAAGATAATCGGTATTGGAAAATGGACGCCTCTTCCTCCCGGGATGATGCATGTGGTCACTAGATATATCCAAAGCTAGTGCTGCAAGATCGGCAGGATGACTGAACGGCAGTTGGTCGTGAGCTTTGAACCTGGCTATATATCCGGAAGGGCACATAGGCTACTAGTCAGTGGGATGCGCTGTGAACCAATCCGGACCACCAGAAATGCAATCAAACCCGACTTGCGCATGCAGGTTGGTTACCCACCCAGTTGACAGTAATACAAAGTTGAGTGGTCGGATGGAAAATGACAGGCGTTTGCCGAATAAAGTTGGGGCACCATTGGGGCACCTCATCATCGAATCCTTGACATGACGGACTGCAGCTCACGGTCCCAATAACCGTGTGCGATTCTGCAGAAATTAATGCACAATATATGAAGATGACGCTTATTACCCCTGGTTTTACCCCGGAATATGAAATTCTGTCTATTAGACCTAGGAGTCTCTTGGGTTCTCATCCGGAGCAGAAAGTTCCATATTTGCCACTGGCCTCGATCCGAGCACGATTCGAGACTCTTCCGGTCAACGAGGTCTACTCGGAGTACAGGAAACATGAGATCGTGGACGTGGGGTGCCATTCTCAGCCCTGTCCCCCGCAAGAAGCCTTCATTTTCTTTTGCCAACCAGAGTTCACACAACGGGAACCTGTCCACTTCTCCGCATTATTGCAGCCGATCTGGAGAGAACTCTTGAGTGGGATTGCGATAGAGAGTCATGCAAAGGACCCGGGACAGGTTTAGAAGATTTCGGATAGAGTAGAACAGACTATAACCATGCTAGTCCTGGAAAGAGTCCGAACACCCACAGTGTGGAATGTAAGAGCCAGTTACATACCCAAGGGAAGCCAAATTCGGATCGAACCAGATCATGCGACACCAATCCACAGCTGTCTTTCGCATTCTTAACCTTTTCAACTTCTCTTGATCATTTAGAAACCAAACTGAATACATACACCCTCAATCTTGGCTCTCCTGTCTCTCTCTCCTGTCTCTCTCTCCTGTTCGCCCCACCGGTAGATCTCCCCCCAGTTCGCCCTCGCATCGTCTCTTTCTCACTGTGCCGCGCTGTCTCTGGAGAATTACATCCCCCCTTCTCCTTCACCCGCGTGCTGTCTTTGAGCGATCTCAACACGCAAGAAACAGCATATCATTCCTATTTGAAATACGCATCATTTCCGGAAAGAGTGAGGGCATTGGATAATAATAGTACGATTCTTCCCCTGTGGTGGTCAGTTTCTCTCTCCCTGGACTTCACGAGACCCTTTCTTTCATCACCTGATGATTTTTTTTCTTTACCATCGTTTCTCTTCTTTTATTCTCTTCTCCAACTCTTCTCACTACTACACTGCCAATACAATTCTCGCTCACATAATCTAATCTACAGAACTATCTATCGCCTATTCTTATTATTGTTTTCTAGGGTCAACTCTACATGATCCTATAATCTAATTTACCCTATCTATCTCGATTGTATCCCTCGCCACGGCTTTTGGCGCCTGTGTATCCTATATGTCGACCTCAACCGCCTCCGCCTCCGCCGCCAACCTCCCATCCGACTCTCGCTCGAGACCCCTCCGAAGACTAAGCCAGCTGCGCTCTTTCACTTCCTCGTCATCGAACAACAACAACAACAACAACAACAACAACAACAACAACAATAACAACAACACCACCACCACAACCACCAACAACAACAATAGTAGCAACGGCGGCACCTCCCAGCGTTCCTCGTATCGCAACTCTTTGACAAATCGGGTTCCTTGGCTTTCGTCGTCCTCTCACCAGCAGCACACTTCTGCCGCCGCCGCTGCGCCCGGTTCAGAATCTGCAACCACCACCTCTCCCACAAACGCTTCGCACTCATGTCCTGAATCTGAACGTCAGTCTACACTTGCTCGCTACAGCTCGGTCTTTTCTTCGAATCGTGGGATCGATTCCGACCGACGCTCGCAGAACTCTTCTTCATCCAGAGAGACCCCAACAAACGAGTCCGGTTCCAATCAGCAACCACAAGGGGCCATGGCGCGTCTTAGAGGTCTGACGCAGACTGGAGACTCGCGGGGTAACAACGAGAATACTAGCAACAATAACGCTGCAACTACGACTACTACTAATGATGCTCCTTCGTCGGGACCGGACAACGTAGATGGAGCCGTCGAGTCGTCTGACCCAGCGGCGGCTGAAGACCCATCTGCCAACTCGTCGCAGCCCAAGCAGAAGCCCACCATCCGTTTCTTCCCGTACCAAGATCCTCTGCAGAACTCCCGACCGTCCTTGACCTTTATTCCCATCTCTCGCACTCTTCCGTCGGAAAGCTGTGTGATTCGCGTCGGTCGATACTCAGAACGGGATGGGATCCCCATCGCCAATCCGTCTGAACCGTCAGACGCCCCTATCGGATTCAAGTCGAAGGTGGTGAGTCGCAAACACTGCGAGCTTATCTTCATGAACGGCCAGTGGCACATCAAGGACGTAGGAAGTTCGTCGGGAACATTTTTGAATCACATGCGCCTGAGCCAACCCAACATGACGTCCAAGCTATACACCGTTAAGGATGGGGACATTATACAACTGGGCATCGATTTTCGCGGCGGAGAGGAAATGATCTTCCGTTGTGTTCGCATTCGGATCGAGTGTAACCGATCCTGGCAGCGTCAGCCCAACGAGTTCAAGTACGGATTCTCTCCCCCCCCCCCCTTTCAAGTTTCGTTACCTCTGTTTGCTAACGTAAATTCCAGTAAAAACACCGAGAGCTTGATCAAGAACTTGGGTAAAGGCAACACTGCGGATTATTCTGGCTGTCGCGAGTGCTCCATCTGTCTGGGCTCTGTTCTGGTACGTTTTCCTTGTCATTTTCAGTGGGGACCGGATATTAACGCCTTGCACAGCGGCCGTATCAATGTCTATTCATGGCCGCTTGCGCCCACGTATGGCACTACAAATGCGTCAGTCGCTTGATTCATACTCCCGACTATCCGATTTTCCAATGTCCCAATTGTCGCGCATACACGGACCTGAGCGCTGAGGTTGACGACACAAACGACTTCGTGGAGGAGGACGAAGAAGAAGAAGGAGAAGAAGAAGAACAGAAAAACAGTGCATCGGAGGGACAACCGGCCACAGAGCAACAGGCCCGATCGGAGTCTCAGTCACCCGCACCGGAGACCAATGCGACCTCCAATCCGGCCCAGAAAACTCCCACACAGCCTGCAAACACCAGCTCCGCAAAGTCTCCGGAGCACAACTTGCCTGTCGAAGCGGGGCTGGCAGTGAACATTGAAAACATGCACTTACATGAAGCCGAAACACCCGTCCAAAGCGCTACTAACGTCAATCCTCCGACGTCAGCTCCCACCTCGAACGCTGAAGGCGTTCCTCACAGTGCCAGCCTCGACATCCCTGGTTCTCAGTCTGCATCTCTGTCTCGGGGAACCCTCCCGAATCGACCAGCACAGCTGACGCTTGGCCGTGCGGATTTGTCTGATGACAATCCGTTAACCCCGCGTAATGACTCGGGACCTTTGGCCTTCGATGGCTGGACGGGAATACCTTGAGTCGTGTTACAAAATTCCTGTGGATGGAGTAGATCTTTTTGTCCACGTTCGATGTTGGGTGTTTGGATGCATTGTTTCTGGATATCCCAAATTCGGATATTTTTTTCGGGCTTTGTGACTCCTTTTTCGCTTTTCCTTTTTCTTTCCCCCTTGGTTTCTACGCCGTCTATCCCACTAAAGCTGCCCAATTACCGACTTGAAGCAGCGTGGGGCGTCCGTCACATTTTTTTATTTGTCTCTTGTCGAGCACGTTCATCACATATACCCATTTGCGCCGGCTGTTCCAGTCCACTGACAGCGTCGGTTTCAATCGCTATTTGCGTCACTCCGTCTCCATGATGCAACCCTCCACGCGCTCGTGTTATTCGCTCTGTTAGAGATGGGTATTTTTTGCTTTTCAGCCCATGCATCCAGTTGTTGCTGAGAACCGGTTTGGCGTTGGTCGTATTCTTAGCGAAGGAGCATATCATTGGCCATTTGTTTTCTTTTCTCTTCTTCTCTTCTCACTGTGACTGGTCGCTACATAGCATTTGTACATATTGATATCTATTTGCAAGCGAGAATCTATGGGGTGTTGGATAGCTCCAATCGCCAACTATTTGTCCGACCCAACTCAGCTTAGTTATTAGAAGGGTAGCGAGTAACTCTTGACATACTCCTGTACGTTGACACCAGAGTAGGAAGGACACTGTATGTATATGTACCCAGTCAGTAGTCAGTCCAGCAATAAACTCCCATATTTGCACAGCCCCGCTACATAAACTCAGGCACGACAATGGAACGGGATTTTCGATCGATGATTATTGATCGACGCATGAAGTCATCTTCATTATTGGGTTTCAGTTTCAGGAAATCAACCAAACAAAGCTCTCTGGTTACAACATCGGGACTGGATGGAACTGGAATGGAGATGCGAGATGTGCCTCGGGTCAAGGGAATTGAACCATTAACTGCACCAGTAACTTGAACTGTATCGAATCTCCAACGAGCCAAGAGGCCACGTCTTCTGTCGTTTCTTATTGGAGTCAGCCAAGAGGATCTGAGAGGTACCAGGGGCGATATTTGTAGCATGGGGTTTGGTTAGTTAAGTATGGCTCTTCCTGCGGTCCGGGGTGTGTACTCTGGTTGAGCGTCAAGCAACGGCTTTTCATTCGGCATTTGTTGGACACCTAGATGGCCATGGGCCTTTGCTACTCCGTCATTCCCGTACGAACACAAGGAGCTGAGCTCGTGCTCGCGCTTATCTACTATGTTCAATGGCTAGCTGAGTTGTGACGGGGAGACCCGAAGTTTACCTTCCATCGCCGTACACGGCAACTCTTCGGTTCAACTCATTTCGTTTCAACCAAACTCAAAAGACGCATGCAAGTCAATGTCTCTAGTCTCCCTCGCTGGTTTGGATGTATTCTTTGACAATTGACTCTAAAACGAAGTCAAGTCGGAAAAATGGAAGCTGACGTCGTTGGCCTCCTCGTCGTTCCTTGGAACTGGATCCCGCTTAACCATGTTAATGACATGTTCCTCTTCTTGTCTCCGGGGGAGGGGTTGACATCGGTCGCATAGCTGCGCTGAAGGACAAGTACACTCCGCATTGCCATACATGGACGTGCCGTGGTTTTCATCCTGTTGGTCCGTGAGGAGATAGATGGACAGATGTGCGGATGTGCAAATGTACTTGGAGAACCAAGAGAAGATCACCACTCCCTTTCCGGGGCTAGCTCAGTAGCGGATGCGTGCTTTCTTTTGATGGCGTGCAAGGTCCAAACGCCTGTACATGGAACTATTACCTGTGCACTGCCGTGATAGACAGGGATGCCTGAGCTGCGTACTCTGTAGAGCACTCTTTGGGTACTACTTACTCTCAAGAACTCTGTCGCGGCTAAGACCGGACGGAATATTTACCAAAAACGTCAGGTCCTTTTACAGGTCGTGTTAATAGGTCATTGTGTCTCCAGAATTGGTACATGTGGCTTTCTGGAAGACAAGCATCAATGGCTCCAAAAGTGGCGAGAACCTATAATGGAGAATTCCCAAAGTTAAGCTTTTCCACGGACATGGATGGACCATTCATCTTTTCCCACGTCTGGCATGTGTTTGTACTAATATCAGAATCAAGCGAATACGGCTAGACTCGCCGGGAGTGTACGCGTTGCGCTACTCTGTACTTGTATACCGCATCGAATGAAATGCCTCAATCCTTCCGGAAATATGTAATAAAAAGGGGTCTGCAATGGCCTCGACTACTAGTACAAAGTACATATTGACACGGAAGACTCGCCCTGGAGCAGATCATCGACAAATAGGGCACGCATTATTAGAAAGGGTTCTCCTGGATCAACCGCTAGCCGGACAATCAGCGTCGCGGGTCCCATAGCTCGGCGTACATCAAAGCTTGTCCTGCGACAAACTCGGTCTAAAAAGCTTGTCCGGCTGATCGGCTGGGTACACGTTGATCGCTTACCCACTATGATGCGAATTGCTTTTTGCTCTTACTGCTCTTTTGCTCTATTTTGCTTGCGCCAAATTCTAGGAGGGGGGGGGGGGGGTACGTAGCCGATGGATCTGCCCGGGGTTAGTTATAAATACTTGAGATGATGTCGCTTTCTTTGTTGGTATAGTTAGCTTGTTAAGTTACTGAGAATCGCATTCACTACGGTTTCTTTGTCTGTCATTATGCGTCTTTACGCTTTCTTAGTCACATTATTCTTACAATTGGCCGTGCTCGGTCATGCCTTCCAAGATACATACAACCGGTACGCTCCAAACCAGACTAATACAAGAAACAGAATACTAATCCCAACAGACCCGGACGATGGTCAGCAACAGATCACAAAAACCACCGAGCATGGCTATCCAACATAGCCCGACGAGTCGACGAATCCCCCGAAGAACTCCACCCCGTCATCAAAGAATTCGAAGACCGCATCGACACCACCCCCCGCCTCGCCATGCTCTTCCAATCCATGTTCAACGAAGTCCCTTTCCACTACACCAAGCAAGATAATGGTGCTCCCCAGCTCCGCAACTACAAGCACATGCTGCGCGTGCTGAACCACCTCATCCGCACCGCACCATCCTACAGCGAGCGAAAGAACCGCATGAGTTTCGTCGGACTCCCCATCAACGCCGTCCTCGACTGGCCAATGGGTACACCTAGTGGATTCGCAGCATTCATTGACCCCGAAGTCAACGAGATGATCCAGAAGATCCTCAACGATTGGGGTGCGTTCCTGCAGTCCTCCGACTCCGCCTACGTCCTGGGAACCGAACAACTCGAATGGTTCGGTCCCACAGCCCTCCAAGACCTCACGAGAGTCGCCAATATCGGGAAAACAAACTACACCTTCGATGAGATGTTCATCTCCGACCCCTCCGACAAGACCCACGGCTACACCTCCTGGGACAACTTCTTCACCCGCCTCTTCCACGACGGCATCCGTCCCGTCTCCGCGCCAGACAATGACAGCGTCATCATCAACGCCTGCGAGTCCAAGCCCTACAACGTCCAGCACAACGTGAAAGGCCATGACGCCTTCTGGGTCAAAGAACAACCCTATTCCGTCATCGACATGCTGGGCCGCGACTCCATGGCTGACCGTTTCGTTGGGGGGACAATCTACCAAGCTTTCCTGAGCGCTCTGAGCTACCACCGCTGGCACGCGCCTATCTCCGGGAAGATCGTCAGGTCCTACATCATCAACGGCACATACTACTCCGAGCCCTTGTTCACAGGCACAATGAACCCGCGCGACAACCACACCTACATCGACGACGTGGGTATCGTCACCGCAGAGACCTACCTTACGTCCATGGCCACCCGCGCCGTCATCTTCATCGAAGCTGATAACCCCACAATCGGAACGGTTGCGTTCGTTGGTGTCGGAATGGCGGAGGTCTCGACGTGCGATATCACTGTTAAGGAAGGGCAGCATGTGAAAAAGGGAGAGCAGCTGGGGATGTTCCACTACGGTGGCTCGACACATTGCCTGCTCTTTGAGAATGGGGTTAATGTTACGGGCTTCCCGGAGAAGGGTGGGGAGTGGAATGTTCCTGTGAGAGGGGAATTGGCTGTTGTTCAATAGTTTGGTTTCTGTTGTTTATGAGTATATATGCCAGATAGATATCCATGCAATGTTAGACGTATGAGTGTCGTCAAGCCTTGCCGGAGGCCCAGGCCATATACTGATGCTGAATCTAAATAAGTAGCAATACAATCAGCCATGGAGTGCGGTATGAAGCATTAGAGGAGGATAGTATTATTGAGACTCCTAGGGCGAGCGCTGGAAATTACCATCGAAATAACTATACAAGTGCATTAGCACGTGAATGACTAAGCTATAATTCCGCCGGAGGCGGTAACTATGGGTCAGGGCTATTGTTATCTTTCGAACTTCTTTCTACCACTACTACCTTATCCTTGGTCTGTACTTGTTGTTCTCATCCTGCCATTGTCTCTCGAAAATATGACCCGACCAGCCGAAAATGAAGGCCTCTACGACTGAGAATGACCCATTCTGCACTACTACCGCAGCAGAAACTACACTTGCTGATAAACCCCCCCGGGATATGATACTCTTATTACTCCGGTACATCATCAAACCTACTATTGGAGACCATCCTATTATGTATGTTCTTTCCTGTGATTGTTGTGCTGGATGCTGGTACATTGAAATAAGTCTACGTTGATCTACCTTCTCACCATCATCTCATACTTTTAGAAGTGCGACGGCGGCTCCTGCGGCCGTACAATTCGCTACACCTTCGTGTTTATTCTATCTTTACCACTCGTTCTGGTCCTGTATCTATCCTATAAGTGGTACTTACTTCAACGCGCATCTGCATGTAGGCCAGGTTCAGTTCCAGCCATGTAATGGATAATCACCTTTCTTGTTCTCCTTCAGTCCGTCGAGGCAGGTTACGAGGGAGTGGACAATGTCTGACATGGCGTTTGCAGCCTGGGATCTGGGATTCAAATGAAAGGGCTCGTTTTTCTATTAATTCATTAATCTGGACATTCATATTCATTAAAGTAACACAGACGTGCAGTGATTTATCTTTTGTTGCTTCCTTTCATTGGCAATTTTAACATATCAATTTGGGAGCCTCTTGGAGCCGTATAGCCTCTACTTCTCGCCATGCTGTGGTGCTCCCCCCTTTGGTATCCTTCTCTAGCTTCCCTTGACATCCGCCCCATCTCAACCATACTGGACCCCAGTACGACACGATTCTCGCAATCTCATCGAGTCCGAAGTACGAAAAGCACATCGTTTGACACAATATTCCCATGTCCCTTGTTGTATCTTTGCTTCTACTATGGTTGGATTGGCGACAATCATGCGACGGAAGGTGAGGTGGTGGAACGTTTTGCGTAAATGTCAAGCGAGTATTCGTTGCATGCGAAATGAAGGCAAGAGGAAGAAGACGAAGGTATACTGAGACGTCAAGAGAGAGAGACAAATCTTTGACATAACCGTAAGCTGTTGATTTGGATGGCAGTAGTTAGTATCTTTCAATCTATCGTGGTAGATTTTCAGAGTGCTTACTGGTCAAGGGTCCGCTGAGAGCAAGCAACAGACTATGAAATAGACTGGGAGGAGGGAGGAGTCAAGGCCACGTGATGCAGTCAGTTACCTTTTGGCTCAACTCCGTAACCATCCCAGCTTCACTTTCACCTCAACCTATCAGATCCCATAAACCAAACCACGATGAATAACATTGGCTTTGCGACCTTTGCGCCACCAAGACACCATAGACTAGCAAACTGACCGTCATGTCACTCGCCGTAACCGGATTGTTGTCAAGAACCCCATTGGCCGTGTCCTCCTGACGATTGCCTCAGTCCTCACCAGGCCCCCTGTCATAATCATGCTCATAAACGTAATCAACATCGCCAAGTACTCCGTCGAAGAGTTTGATTCTCCAGTTGGTAAAAGAGTTATGTCTATAATCTCCTATTCCGCGCCGGGAATTTTTGCCACGTGTATGGGATGGTTACTTTGGTACAGGGTGAGCCATTCTAGCCACGGACTCTCGTTCTGACACTTAATTATCAGTAGAAGGACGAGATGCCAGCTACTATCGGGGATGAAGAAAGTGGATTGAACAGCATTGACTAGAGCGCAATTACCCGCGCCTTTGCATCCTCTTCGTTTCTATTGCGTTGGTCGCCAAAAAGCTTCACTACTACGAGCAAGATGTTCGGTGTCTGGATTCGAAAGGAATTACTTTGTAATATTTTAAGTATGGGTGTTTTAAGAATCCGTGTTGAAAAGGAGATAATATGATATTTTTACCCTTAATTCCATTGACAAGCCAGAATAATCTCATAACATCTCTCGCCGTACCGTGGCACATATCCATCCTTCGCCATATTAACCGCAGTATTCCTCAGTTCGACACAATCCATATACTAGGAGCACCTGGACTGACAAGCTCTCCCTCTCCATGACTCTTGTTGCGTTCTCTCGCTGCATCTGGATTTGGATTGGGTTGAGGCCCAGGAGTAGACTGTTTAAGTAGGAGACAGAAGTTAGCTTCCTTCTTGACATGTTAGGGTACTCAGAAAACCTTACTGGCAAAGGATCTGTAAATATCACGCGATAGCTGGGTCATCTGGGGGATTATGCCATATTGAAAGTGAGCAAGCTAACTTGAATGAAGACAGTTGACACTTGAGAGTGAATGAAGTGGAATTGACAAGTGGAAGAGGTAAAACATATTCATTCTTAATGTACAACTATCACATGACCAGCTTCCATGAACCTTTCGCTACCAAACCGCCTCCCCTCATCCAAGCTGCAATTACAGACCACCCCAAAACTTCCTCCACAGCGCCAGCTCTTACATGTCAACAATCAAGGACAGAGATGCAGTTTTATGGTATACCAGGTTGGGGAAAGGCTAGGGAAGACTAGCAACACGCATGAAGATGTTTGCTATCTTAGACTTGCAAAGTCTTCATGTGAGCATCCCATACGACTCCTTATCCCCATTTCACAAGTTATCTCACCCCCAAGTTAACCGTGATACACAAAACTCTCGCTTCCAAGCCCGAGAATCGTTAGCCAATTCGTTTTCGTCCCAAGGTCATCACGCCCCGGTCTTCACATTCAGATCTCGACCAAAGCAATATTCATACCGATAAAAAGGTGGAGATACCTGGACCACAGAGTTTTTGGCTGACGTCGGATATATTTACGCCCGGAAGAGACAATCTAGCCTCCGTGTTGACTACAAACCAGTCTGGATAACATTGGCTATGTCGCCTGTGAGGTGCTGCATGAGTTCATGCAAGTTTCGCAGAATACAGACTTGGTTGTATCTTGAAGATAGGTAACAGAAGACCTTTTTATACCCGCCTGCGCTTAACGGTGCGATTATGGACATATCATGGTCATGACAACCGGGGAGTTATCGAGCGAAACCGAGGAATGGTCTTTTTCCATGTTTTCATGGGGATTTCGTCCTATCAATGCGACCATGCCTCTTTAGAAGGTAATAGATAAGGAGTCTTATATGGCTTGCAGCTGCTTATCTTTGTATGCTTGCCTACATCATTTTTGATGTACGTTCGAACTCACCAGGAAAGCATCTGATTCGACAAGCACAAAGCCTAGTTGTATACGGATGTGGCTATTCTCGTTTTAGCTCTGATAGCGGGGTTCGATGTCAATCTTTGTTTTGACCGCTCCTCTCTACGCCAAACAAGCATTCTAAGCGCTCGTCCTCTTTTTCCTCTGCATTCAGCATTCTCCCTAGTTATTTTTACCGAGTGTCTTTAGTGCGTTAACTTACAATGCGGTCGACTCTCGGCGAACAGTCTGCTTTTATATATGGAACGCACCCACATCGTCTCTCTTCGCGGAGAAAGCCCCGAAGGTGATTTCGTGACCGTCCAAATTGCGTCCAGATTCTGATAGTATCATGGATAATATAGATGGCCTTTGGTCTTCCGCTTCATTAAAGGTGCCATACATGGCGCCATTCTCCTCCCCGTGTGTTTGCATGCGATATTCACAGCGTTCGTCGTCTGGTTAGATCAATTTGTTTTTGATACAGTGGGGTTGCCGAGTAGCATTGTATGTTCCTTTTTTTGTTTGGTCGGATGGGACTAACAAATAAAGATCCCGTCACTTTCCATCGTTGTTGGTCTCATGCTCGTCTTCCGCAACCAAACCTCATACAACCGCTTCTGGGATGGCCGGAACAGCATGAACAGCCTCAACACCTGCATTCGCAATCTAGTCCGGATCATTACCACGAACAGCTACAGCGGCAGCAACGCGCAGCTCGGAAACCCACTCACCGTGGCCGAGAAACAAGACATCGAACGTACCATTCGCATCCTCATGGCCATTCCATACGCAGTCAAGAACCATCTCCGTGCTGAATGGGGTGCTGCATGGGCGACGCCGTCTTTGGGTGACGACGTCGACAAGAGCGGCACGACGGTTTATAATCCGGTTTATGCGGGTTTGTTACCAGAGGGACTTCAGGGACACGAAGATGAAGGCCTCGGGCTTCCATACCAATTGACTTTTTTCGTGGATGGGTTTATCAAACGTGGAGTGGATAGGGGATGGTTCCATGCGCCAGGAGCGAGTCAGATGCAGGCACAATTGAACACTCTACTGGATGCGTATGGAAAGATGGAGACAATCAGGTTGACGCCTATCCCAATTGCATATCTGTAAAACCGGTTTCTTTCCATCCCATTTTATTACAACTAGGTCAACTGAATGAATTCTAGGATCCACACGAAACAAGTCCTGGCACTCTTCGGCTGCGTCCTCCCCTTCGCCATGGTCGACGACATGGACTGGTGGGCCATCCCCATTGTCAGCCTGGTCATCTTCACACTCTACGGCATCGAGGGTATCGGTTTGCAACTCGAGGATCCCTTCGGGTACGATCGGAATGATATCAAGATGGATGCTATTGTCGGGGATGCGAAGACGGAGCTTGATGTTGTCTTGGATGAGTGGCGGAGGCTTGTTGGTTCGGTTGAGGGTCTTGGTAGTGCGAGCGAAGAAGGTTTTGTGCCATCAGAGTTGTTCTTGAAGAGGGCTTGAGGCGATACTTTGGTTGATTGTTTGTTGACGGGGGGCTTATGTGCATCCCCGAGGATCAAGGAGCGTGGATTTACATTCATTTAGAACTAGCCTGGACATATCCTTCTCGGTCATTTTGACGGTCGAATCTCGTTAACATCCTCTGATGGAATTGAAGTTGAGGATACTTGATTGCTTCAGACAACTTGAATATGTTATGCAATAAATAACTAGTTATCACACTGTCCATCATAGCGAACCTCTACCTCCAAACAACCCCCGAGGATGACAGCCTCTGCAACTGAGAAGGATCAATCCTCCATTACGAGGAGTCCTAACACTCCCGCTGATGTTCTCCCCGAGGACATTGTACTCCAGTACATCATCAAGCCTACTATCGGAAAACACCCTCACTTGTACGTTTCTTTCGGTATGCTAAGCACAGTGCTAGCTAACTGCTAAATTTTTAATTTTTTTTTAATTTTTTTTAATTTTTTTCTTCTTTTCTTGAAATAGAACCGCATTCATATACTTCCTCCCCATCGTCTCTTACTCCTGGAACTGCAATGCCTCCTCCACCGTGCCTATCTGCAAGCATTCCCTAAATTTTGGTATCATATTTCTCTTACTTGCTCCTGTTGTTCTGATGTGGTATGTGATCTACAAGCAGTGGGTGCTTCGCCGGAGGTCTGCACATCAAGAGGGCTCGGTGGAAGCGGTGTGAGGATGGCACATAAGATTAGCAGAGCTGTGAGGTTTGGAGTCAAGTGTGGTCGATTATAGGGGTGTTGGTTCGAGAAGTTTATGCTCAGAATGAGATAGAGGAGTTCTCAGTCTGTCAAAGAGCACACGGAATTAATATCAATATACGTCCCATCTACTGAAATCTACGTTATTTTCAACGAGTATAAATAATCCCACCCACGACTTCTCTCTACATAAGAATCTGAAAGGATATTCTTACTTTCATCGTGATCGAATGACGGTCAATCTAAGTTGAGAGAAATTAAAAATAGCATGGAAGATGGGTTAGGGACTTTGTATTCGCTTTTAAAGCCACTCCGAGGGAAAGATGGTAATCAACCACTACATAGCGCCCACATAATCCCTTTTCTTGGTTAAAGTTATTGACCAGCAAGCACCGTATCTCATCTGAAATCCATCGTATCCCGCTCACACTGCTTTCTCCGACCCTTCTTCTTCTTCACGTTCCCTCGCGCGGCGAAGCAAGCACCGCTTGTACCCTACCCATACTTACATGACAACATAACAAACCACGACAACAATATCGAGGCATAAGAGCCAAAAGTCAACAATAGTGTAATTTAGGGAAATCCAAAGATGAACAGCAATGTACTCCTATCCCAGTAAATTAGCAGCCAGAACCGTATTGATTGAAGATGACAACGTACAAACATCTATTGAGCGCACCTCCCCAAGCAGGGTTCAAAATGTACTGGATTATCACATCCTGGGGTATGCATCGCAAAGTTTGTCGTCAGTTATAGGGTTAGTCATTTTGGAGTTTGTTCAGGTCGAATCCTAGGAGGTATGTGGATGGGAATCAATCTATGATCAGATAGTCGTGTCGTCATTAGACATCCATTTTCAATTTTTAATAATAGCAGAAAAGCAAGCCGTACCACCGGAAGAGTCACACATTATCTTGAGCCATTTTCACCAAGTCCTATGTCCTGCGAAGCTCGCGCCTGAACTCCGGCCACCAGGAAACGAGCGTGATTAAGACTACGACAAATTCGAAAGAAATTTGATCGCATATAGTATAGTCGAAGAAGGTACGGGTGGTGTATCAGCTGTAGACATTCAAAATAAAGTAGAGGACGGTGACAAGAACATATCTATTTAAACGAATTAGTAGTATTCAGTATCAAGCATTTTGAAAATGAGCATACGCGACGGGATGACGTCCAAAAGTAGGAGTATCACATCCCGAGGATAGATCACATAGAGTTGTTCATTGATCAGAAGGACAGAGCTTGAAGGTATGAGATGAATGGTAAAAAGATGGATATTGAATTAATGATAATTATGTCACGCCAGCTCATCCACTAACATAAGACATGGAATACATCAAGCATGACAATTGCGGAAATACAAAAGCAATAGCTACCCGTTGACACCATATCCTATTCAATCCAATCTCCCTTGCGTTTAATTCTCTTCGCAAGATATCTCTCTTTCTGCCTTACATACACGTTCAAAGATACGAAGGCAAACTGGTAGAGCATGCTAATAATAGGGTCGGAGGAGGTAAATTTTTTGTAGAGGTGAAAAGCGAAGAAGATGAAGGTTATCAACCAGAAACTATTTCAATATATCAGCAGTCAGCACTAGGAGTTTCGAAAGCAAACGTACATGTAGGGATGGTCAACAGTAGGTTTGTAGATGTAGTGGATGACTACATCTTGGGGATAAGCGTTGTAAAGCTCCTTATCAGTCACACGCATCTTGATGGTTGAATCAGGTCAAGGTACTCTATGCGAGAAGGTGAGAAGGATCAAAACTGCAAAAGATAGAAGTTGGAAGACGTATGTCTGCCTAACTTCGTCACTCCATGGTCATCTAACCTCATTTTTCATATCAACTCTTGGATATTTACACAATTTAACACTCAGTAATGCACTATATTTCTCTATAATCTGCAAGAAGCCTCTCACTCAGCCACCACCGGCTCCAAATCCCTCGTCTTCAAAGCATCAATCCCCCCTCCCCCCATAACCACAAGAATCTCACTCAGATCCTCCGGCTTAAGTATCCCGCAGATATACCCACCGATACAGTCCCAGATATAAAAGCGTTTTTCCGCTTGAAACACGAAAGTAGGGATTCTGGTTTCTCTCTTGGTGCACATTATAGGTTGAGTATCTTTCAGGCCGTGCTCTCTCGCGATTTGTTGACCAGGGCTATCGTGGGATCTCCAAAAGGCGTCGTAAGACATTTCACGCGGATCGGTTGTCCAGCCCTCGGGGATGAGGTTCTTGGTAGTTAGTTGATGTCGGTTAGTAACAGTTCATAGTGAGTTCATGTGAATGGAGACAGTATCGCTTACAATTGACGCCATCGTGGGAACTGGTTATCTTTTTGGGTGGGTGTCAGGAAGGATATGTGTTGAAAAACCGGCGACGTCTATTGCTGAGGGACTCTCCATAACCCTTCCATACACGGTTGAGCTAGTAGCTACACGGAGGAGTACACTCCCCTACAGATGATCTACAAAACCACCGTCTTCCATTGATGTTTCTTAAACGGAATGTATAGAAATCGATACGGGCCCACGCGGGAAGACCCGCATATTAGAGAACTGGCGCTATATTTAAATATAAAAGTTTTCTATGAATGAAATGTGAAGGGTACAGAGTGAGTCGAGCATTGACACAATGCAATGAGTACCCACGATGCTCACAGAGGCGCCTCCAACGCAAGCACGCTCTCTAGAATTTCCTCCGGGCCAACATTCGCCAGAACCCGTGAAACAGTCTCAAGATCACTACCATACTGCAGACTGCGGTCGTCTTCGGGTTTTGCGATTATGATCCGATGGCGGAAGACTTTCTTCGCGGCTAATGCGGCGATCGATGGAGTGAGGTAGTCGAGTCCGTGTAAGGCTGCTAGGAGTCTTTTCAGGTTAGACATAAGAGTTTTGGAGGAAAAGAAAGTTGGACATACTTTGAGAACCGCAGAAAGTAGTTGTTTGACTTGGTGGTTATCCCACCCGCAACGGCCCGACTGAGGCGGAGGAATATGATAATGTCTTGCTGGTAGCGGAGCACTTCTGCGCTCACGGTGACGGCGTCACCTTCTCGCTGGAACTTATACAGGAGCTAGACAGATCCAATTAGACCAAAGCGTACATATGCAGGATTCAGGGGACTTACTAGTTGAGGAACCTTGGCATGCGGTTTCGATGCCGGCTTGTGGACAACGGATGATATAGATTGGCCATCAGAAAGCCAGTCATTTCCGTCTTCTAGATACGTGTATCCGTCTTTGGGATCGTGAAAGTGTGAGATGAACAGATGGTCATTCTATAATTTGTCAGTTTATTGCACATTTGTAGCAATTCAAGAGAGACCAACCAAATGCGTGTTCAAGCCCGGCTGTAGGATATCGGTATTCCGTGCTACCAATGGCACGAACAGAAAATGTTCAGAGGCATTAAGGTCTGCCTTTGCGGTCGTAAGCTTCTTCGAGTGTATCAACTACGGCTTGTTAGCAGGGATGCTCGCATATAAGACCAGCAGGAATGTCCAACCTCTAGTGCTTGAAGCTGGATATATTCATCAACATGATTAAAATTCTTCGCGACAACAACGTTGACAACCTCGAGCTCAGTCCGGATTAGCGACCTGGAGCGATTCCTGGACTCTTGAGAGCCCTGGAGCATCGAAAAATTGTTAGACTGTTTTCATCAGCCAATTAACCTTACTAAATCAGTTTTCCTGCACAGTACATACAGATTCCGCCCTAGACCTTGGCGGTTGAACCTGGCCTTTACGGCTGTCACTCGCAGCGATCTCATTGCAGAAATCTTCCATAGACGTCACAGACGAACAGTCGAGAACCGCACATGAGAAATCAAACTTATTCGAGCAGATCTTTTTCTCCGAGATCAGAAACTTGAGCATCAAATACATAAGAGAAGACAAAAATACCAGAGAAAGCTCTTTAGCAACGTCATCGATGCCATCGTCAGTAGTTTCAAGGAGCGGATGCCCACGAGCGACTAAGCAGAGAAGGAGAGCGACTTCAAGATCGGACAGCTCCTGAGCCAGATCACTGAGATCCCAATCGGCCATTGTACTATCATGGTTCCTTTTTCTCAGCAAGAGATATATTGTTTATGCCGCGGGGGTTGGAAAGAGGCAACGTGGCAATTCAAGCATAGCATCCATGCCCTAGTCGCATCCGAGCAGGTTGGTATTAGCAAGAGTCCATCTGTGTCATAAGCAAAGCAGACGTTAATTCGGATGGGTACAGCAAGTCTGCCATTTCTTTCAGCCTTCTTTCGGTAGGCGATTTGATGCCACGTGATACTGATTAGTCAACTAATATCACATGATATGTGGAGCACTACTATGTACTTACCCTATCTTCCATGAGGCTTTGAAATTCAGCTCAAATGGCAAAATGTCGCGTTAATTTGACGGAATTTAGTATTATTTTTCAATATATCAATCACCACTGTTGGTATATCAATCTCTATCCAGGTAACTCAACCAGCTCCTAGAGCACCGAAAAGAACTACAGAGAAAACAGGCTCCAACGAGAGGCAACACACCTCTAGCGTCGTTGTCTCATATATACTCGCCGGAAATACCATTCATCTACGCGACGCAATCGAGCGGTTTTTTAACCATTACACTTGGCCGGTCTCCGCGATCACAGATCCCAAAGACTCCGGTCCCCATTAAGAGCTCGAGAAAAAGTGCTGGAAGAGGAGCCAAGTTGGGACTTGTGTTATGAAGGTGTCTAGGTTGGAGAGCACGCTCATGATACCAGCAGTGATGGTGAGAAGCGCCTCATAATTATCGAATGAGTGCACGGTTCTTGGAAAATAATATCGTTGCTGAGAGCCCTGATATGTTATTTGTCTAAGCTATCAGGGATACGACAACAGCGAAAGCGTGGACATTAGACACATAGGATCTCAATCAAATGACTACTCTAATCGGCTGTCGACGCTCATTATCCTGAAGTCCACCTACAATGGCCGGGTTCACAAGTAGAGTTTTGGCCTCAGTAGGAGGAACATGTGCACAAACTCTTTCAGCGTCCAGACAAGATTCCAAATACCACCCCCGGCGGCAACCGTATGTTTGTACGCGTCCTGCAGTGGGTCAAATTGTAGTTATTCTGTTCCTGCGCCTTCATGGACATGCCCAAAAACATGCAATCGTAGACGAACCCGCCACAACTCTTTCGACAGATGTACACAGCCCATTTTCAGCAAGTCGAGGTGCGCGCGTAGCGGTCCATGCGTTATGAGTATGTCGATATCATCAGGTATCTTCTCGCTCCAGACATTCTCGCTCCGCGGGTACTGAAAGGCCCAGTTGCCATAGATGGGAGAATAGGGACTTCCGTAGACCCGTAGACGGCGGCCGTTATCGCAGGTGATGGTCGTTTTTGAGTCCTGAAGGTAGATCATGTCTCCCCAATCGACAGCATCGCCACTTGCGTCGTGCTTCTGGGGAAAATTAGCATCAAGAATCAGATCATGGTTCCCAGCAATGACTATCTTGGAGATCATTCAGTACTTTCTCGAATTTCCTATCACTCATCTATCTGCCATCTTACGAAATGGTCTCAATCACAGCTGGCCTTTATTACGCCTCCTCTTTTCTATACTTTTCGATCATCCCAAAGCATGTCATTACCGGCATATTCAAGATCAGACCAGCAATCTCTGCTATTCCTGATGACCGCTCGTTCAGTCTCCAGAAAGCCATGATACCTCCAACCTGGAATTATGCTGTTGGCCCCATTGTCGCATTCAGTACGCATTCTTGCTTGAAAATTGATAAGTCATAAGATCTCTTATCTAATATGATTTCTAGGAATACTCAATTATCATTGGGCTCAGACTGGTGGGCCGGTTATTATGGCCGAAACACTGGTTATGTTCGTAAATGCCGCATGTTCGCTGTGAGTCGGTTTCGGTTATTATAGAGCTCGTCTTTACGTGGCTCTGGGAGCTCTCTGGGTTGTTCTGGTACTCAACATTGCTGCATTTGTGCTTCACTAGACGTGAGATGGCACACATAGTACAATTGAGGCGTTTGGCGTACAACAGGTTGCTGAGCGTCTGCCACAGTACGTACTCCCAACGGTGGAATGATGAATAGATAGTATGAGGCAATTTTAGATAGCAAATAATCTTAGTAGGATCACGTGTCATTCTCGGAATACCGCTTCGTCTTCGTCCTTTACCATATTTCTCAACATATGATCTACAATCTAAGCCTATGAAAATGAATCTATCAACGCAGATTATTTCTTGTCTGAATATCACTTTGGCAATTACCATTGCCATCACCAGCCTCACCATCGCTATTGCTATCGTCTACTTCGCAGGCTCATACCTCGGCTACCCGTTCGCCCAATTCAACCTACGCTTCACACAACCTACTCAGTCCCAATACCAGAATACTGGTTCTATCCAACATAAAGATACCGATGGAAATTTCAAAGAACATGAGGTGGCTCGGCGTCTCGGGGCGATGCTTGCTTTGTCCCTTTACTTTTTCGCGTTGATGTTGGAGCTTGTCTTCGAGGGTCAAAGGGACGTAAAAGGGGAGGGCAGCGAATGGAATCTATGGCGCATGGAGGCGCTTTTGTTTCGGGTTTGCTTCGAGGGATTGTTGACGCTGGCTATCCTCCGGGGAATTAGACGAGTTGTACTTTTAGTATTCGGCTAAAGACCAGTGCCTGAATCTTCGGAGCGTCACTGGTTGCCATTAGTCTTGGCGGTTTTTAGAACCGAATCGGGAAAGCAGTCCAGACCCCATGAGGTCATGGTAAGTGACCGAGCCTCCGAATTAAAAACCGAAAAGAATTTTTAAGCTGAGACTGCTGTTAGAAATCAATTCGAGAGCAATCTATTGTGACTGACAAATCGGTTTTGCAACATGTGTATCTTCTACCCTGTGTCTGGCAACTATAAAGCGCTCGGTCCCCAATAGCTTCAAACTCCTGTTCAAGTACAATTCTCAAGTGATTCGTTTTCTGTTATCGCTAAAAATGTCCTCGACAAACTTTCAGAGCTCTCTGCACATCACCCACATCACCACCGCTACGGCAATCCTAGAGATTGACGGTGTCAACCTGCTTACCGACCCTGTCTTCTCCCCAGGAGGCACGAAGTTCGATGTCACTCATTTACTTCCCGAGAATGCGCCGCAATCATTCCTTACCCTCGATGATGACCCCGCCCTAAGACTGGACCAGCTTCCACCCATCGACGGTATCCTCCTGAGTCACGAAGACCACGACGACAATCTCGACATAGAAGGACGCCGTCTGCTCGATGGTCGATACGTGATTACCACCATGGATGGTGTAAAGAATATAGCACCACGACCGGGTGTTGCTGGCATCAAGCCATGGGAAACTCAGGTATACCACTTCCGCGGCATCGAGTTTCAAATAACCGGAACGCCCTGTGTGCATATACCGGGCGGCGAGTCGACTGGCTTCATACTCCATTCTCCACGTTTCGGGCATAGCCCTGATGGCCGACCAAATGCCATTTGGTTCTCCGGAGACACTATTTATATCGACGAGCTTGTCAAGATGCGCGACTCTTTCCACATCGCTGCTGCTGTCGTGAATCTTGGTGCGGCCCATGTAGCTTTGCCAGGCCAGGAGCCAATACAGATCACCATGGGCGGAGAAGACGCTGCAAGACTAGTGCGAGAAATCGGGATTGAACGTCTTGTTCCCATGCATTTCGAGTCCTGGCATCATTTCACCCAATTCGGCAAAGATCTCAAGCAGATTCTTGAGAAGGAGGGGATCATGGATAAAGTCTGCTGGCTGGAGCCTGGTCAGAAAAAGAAGATCATCTGAGCTTGTATTGTATTTGTATCTAAATAGATCTCTTGTTAGTAAAAATCTTGATTCAACACGGAATAAATTCGTAGCGATAGTTGGTGCTATTGTTGCCCGAGGCTGTAGCACTAAGCCGTTTTGGTACATGACATCGTTAAAATCCCCCAAAATTGCTTGCCACCACACCGTCACCCTAGAAGCAAAAAGACAGGGAAACAATGATAGTTGATGCTCCATGTCATCTAATCTTACATAATGAAAGTCAAGCAACGATCCGTCTGCCAAACATGTAGAACACGAAAATTAGGGGTACGGTTATGGGCCCTTCCCCTCTTTCATTGCAGAAAAACTAACGTCCTAACAGTGCGATGGCAAGCGTCCGGAATGCAGCCAATGCGTCCTTACGGGACGAAGATGTGATGGATACCAGTCGGACTGGACTTTTGTATTGCAGAATGACCATTCATCGACGTCGTCTTCCGTGTCAAAGCAGCGGGATACCCGGATGGTGACGCCTCAAGAGAAACGCGAAAAGCTGGTTATTTCTGGTCTTTCCAGGAACCGATTTCAAGTCACAGGTGCTGGCGTTGAAGCCAGCCTTCTACCGGGACCAGTTCTGAATCCTACGCGACCACTGTGGGATGATCTCCTGGGACTGGTCGTGGAGTGTTATATCCCGGAAGACGAAATGACCTCTATAACAAACTTCACTGACAGCAAGCGGTCTCGAATATGTGGCTCCTGGATGGCAGTTCTTCCAAAAATCCTGGGAAAATCCGATCGTGACTGCGTTCTGCGCGCGACCATAAGAGCTTTGGCAACTTCGATTTTATCCCAGAATCCTCAAATGGGCGGATCTTCTCTCGACAGAGTTGAGAGCTATGATGCGGCGATCCAAGCCGTTAGGAAGGGGCTTACTGTGTCTGGCTATGCCTTTCATGCTGTGTTTATAGCGGCTATTATGTGTATTGCATTGGCCGAGGTAAATTCATCTGATATTCAAGTCTGTCTTATACTGCTGCTGACATGAAATAGATTATGTTCCCGGACTCCGCGATAGCTTTTACAGCCCATGTCAATGGTATAGGGCACATATTACAGACTCAACATGTGGAACAGTATCGTTCCGGGGTGTTCCATGCGCTATTTGTCGGTTTTCGTCCTATACTGGTTCGTACATAACCTTCCTTTCCCAGTGACTGGCTGACCGATACGGCTTCAGATAGTTCAGGCCTTCCGATGTCGTCAACCCACATTTCTGGCCTCTGAGCCTTGGATTCGCGTACCATTCTCCGCATATAGACTATCACCCATGCAGAGCCTCCTTAGCGAAGCAGCTGCTATTCCGTCTCTCCTACAACAGATCGACATGCTACTTTACGATCCATGTCAGAGCAGTTCTCATGATGTAACCAATTTGGTCAGATACTTCGTGGTTGCTTTAGATAACCTTCAAAACTGGGAAATTCGCCTTCGGACAGAGAACACGGAACCTCACTACTGGTCCGTTTCCCCAGACACGCAAGCTACAGGAGCATCTCTCCATGATGGATACATCTGGTACCCTAATATCACCATGGCCAATGTCTACACCCATCTCTGGGCCTTCCGCATCATCTGCCTATCTGAAATCAGCAAATTGATATATCTCCCTTCATTTATTCATGGAAACCAATTGTCGTCATGGCAATTTGATTTCAATAACATCCAGGAAGATATGATTGCGCTTCCGAAACAGATTTGCATGAGCATGGAGTATCTTATCCAAGACGGAATGAGACTTTTTGGGCCTGCATCAACGTTCTTTCCTCTCCAAACAGCATATCGAGCATTCCAGATGGATGAGCCTCGGCAACGGGAGAACATAGCTCGCACTGAGGGGATTGTTGATCGATTGATCAAGAAAGGATTGCAGTCGGCTCCACATATTGTATTTGCATAAACTGATCCATAGAGCATGTTACGTGCATAAACGTCTTTTTTTTTTTTTTTTTTTTTTTTTTTTTTTTTTTTTTTTTTTTCAGTTTACGAAAACACATGGTTGAATGACACTTGTCTAATTAAGATTATTTATTCCACTGAAGTATACAGCACAAAATATGATTTCTTGTGCGTGTAGTACAATTCCTTGGATGATCTCAAAATGTGCTGCCGCCTCATGGCGCACCCCACGGTTGTCTATTGCTTCTAAGCCCGTCTCCTCCATCTCGACACGGTCTTAGACCGATCAATTTACGTATACCTGTCCTATAGACGCTGAGCCTCTTCATCGCTATCGGAAAGGCGGTTACCACCCTATAACGCTAGGGGGTTCCTTGGATAATGGAAGATATAAGATCCTGCACAAATTAGGGTGGGGAGGTTATTCAACATTTTAGGCTGCGAGAGATAAAAGCTTGTACAAGCTGCAATTGTTTAGTCTACCTTCAACCAAAAGAAACTAACTTGCTTACAGAGAAGAGGCTTATGTTGCCGTCAAGATCTCAGTTTCCGAAAGAGAGAATGATGAAGATAAACGAGAGCTTCACGCCATGAAGACATTGGCATTCATACGGCCTAGTCCTCGGCACATCTTACGCATGCTTGATGACTTCGAATTTGAGGGCCCGAACGGAACACATCAATGTCTTGTCTTTGAGCTCCTAGGGCCGAGTATTCCTGATACAATTGACGAACTCTTTGTTGATGCGAGGCTTCCTGGAAAGCATACGAAGGCCATTACGAAGCAGGCCCTTTTAGGACTTTACACCTTGCACCAGCACAGAATTGGACACGGAGGTAGGTTGTGCTTAAATCTCCGTTCCTTGGAATAATTCATTGATAGAGTTAGACCTCCACACGGGCAACCTCGCGTTTACCATACCTTGTATGGACAGCATACCCGAGGGAGAATTTATTGAGATGTTAGGAAAGCCAGATATCGGGCAGGTTCAAAGAAAAGATGGGAAAACTTTACATCCTGGCATGCCGGAGTATATTGTCAGACCAGCCTCATACACGGCACATTCTCGACTGTTATCAAATCCGATCAAGATCGTTGACTTTGGCGAATCATTTTCTCACACAAATGTCCCTCGGACTCTTCATACACCTCTACTAGTTCGGGCACCTGAAGTTCTATTCGGAGACCGTCTGAACTACCGTGTGGGTCTATGGAGCATGGGCTGTATGGTGAGTCAAACTACGATAAGTGAAGGTCGTTCGGAATGATATTGATAGACATAATAGCTCTTCGAACTTTTTACTGGTCAGCCGCCTTTCGACAGCTTCATGACAACTTCTCCAATTCTTGTGCGTCAGATGCAAGAGATGGCGAGCGATGCTCTACCTGAGAAATGGCAAAACTCGGGAAGAGCGATGGGCAGTAAAACAACCACAAAAATTCCGAACCCCGCACTACAGGAATGGCTAGAAGAATTATATTTTGAGAGTAAGCGGCATGCGGTTCTTACAAAAAAGGATATAGTAAAGCTAGGGAAGCTTGTTGGAAAGTTGCTGCAGTTTGAGCCGGGCAATATAGCGCCAGCGAGGGCAATTTTAGAAGATCCTTGATTCAAATGCGACTCAGGCCATCGCGCGTTGTGTCTCATGTGGATAGAGTCAGATCGATCCGTTAGGAGTATCTTCATGCGTCTTCATGATGCCTGGGTAAGGCTTTTCACTCAAAGCTTGTACCCTTTCCGAACCCTTCATTCATGCTACCTAACCGCATCCTCATTAAGTTGGTACTTAGGGCCGTTGTTAAATCCCAAATAGGAAAGTAGTGGTTATCAGCAAGCGCCAAGAGCAATCAGTCCAAATACGGGTTAGCGCCGGAAGGGGCCCATGTGACGCGGAGCTCCAGATTCCCCGATGAGCCCAACAGAACAACATCAGAGAAGTCAACGGCAATTGATTTGCTTGTCGGATAATCGATATACGGAACAGAAGACTCACCTAATGGCGCCGTCTAATCCGCTGTCTTATTGGGAGAGAGTTGGTGACAGCTTTTACCGGAAAGTTCCCGTGTACGATGCCATTTTCGACGAGGATGTCGAATTGGAGAACTACATTGTCGCCGGGGCTCCATATGGAGGTGCTATAGGTATGCGGTCTGTGTTTACAGATGCTGTCACAACTTTACTAATGCAATGACAGCTTTATATCGTGATGAGAGCAAGCTGTATAAATTTCAAGGTGCTCAGACTACCAAATCGAGTATTGACATTTATTCCTGTTCGGGGAAGCATATCAACCGAATAAATGTAGGCCCTGGCCCTTTCCATGGTCTTTGAGTCTGCCACTTACTGAACATGCACTCAGTGGGAATATGGTTCTATCCGAGGTCTCGGCTGGTCCGATAAGGAAGAACTCCTGGTGGTTTCTGAAGATGGTACCGTGCGGCGATATTTCGGCCTGTTTGGCGACTTCACATCCTTTTCCTTGGGAAATGTACAGTTGGATGCCCCTATCGTATGGTTGTCTAAAGCTAACGCCTTACCAAAGGGAACCGAAGAATATGGCGTAAGAGCCTGTCGATTCTGGACATCTGGGTTTGTCGCATTACTTTCAAATAACCAGTTGGTCGCCGTTTCGAACTATGAGGAGCCACGCCCGAGACTATTGGCCCCTTGCCCGGAGGGAGAGGTTTCTTCGTGGTCATTGATCCCCCCTGCTTATACGCTATCCCGGTCTGTGGAGGTTCTACTGGCTGTTGACAAGACGATATATTTAGTCGACCCAACAGAAGCGGAAGACAAGGTTCTTCAGAATGGCCCCTTTAAGCATACGAGCGTCTCTCCTACTGGTCGGTTTGTGGCGCTCTATACAGCTGAAGGAAAGGTTTGGGTTGTGAGCAGTGATTTCCAGAGCAAATTCAGTGAATACGATCCAAAGGCTCGGACTCCTCCAAGGGAAGTTGAGTGGTGCGGTGATGACGCTGTCATTTTGGCATGGGAGGACGAGATCCATCTCGTTGGTCCCAACGGCGTCGCAACCAGGTAAGTCTGATGTTGGATAACTCGTCTCTCTGAATATTGCTAAGTAGTCTAGATACTACTATGATGGCCACGTCCACATAATAGCAGAGTTCGATGGTGTAAAACTGATAACCAATGACGCATGCGAGTTCCTGCACAAAGTGTCCGGTAGGTTACTTGGATCGGAACACAATTCCCGCAGTCACTGACCATCTTGAACAGATGTCACGGAGGAAATTTTTCGACTTGGTTCCTCGTCCCCTGCATCAGTGCTGCTGGACTCCGTAGACTTGCTCGAGAAGCAGTCCCCCAAGGCTGATGAGAACATTCAGCGAATCCGTTCCAGTCTGCCAGAGGCAGTTGACACCTGCGTCAAAGCTGCTGGTCATGAATTCGACATTTACTGGCAGAAGCGACTGCTGAAGGCAGCTTCCTTTGGGAAGTCTGTCCTGGAATTGTACAACAGCGACGAGTTCGTGGAAATGACCGAGAAACTTCGAGTGTTGAAGGCTATCAGGGATTACCAAATTGGGCTACCAGCGTCCTACGAACAATACATGAGGCTAACGCCCGAGAAGCTCATTGAACGTCTTGTGAACCGCCACGAGTATTTCCTCGCCATTCGAATCGCGGAATATCTCCAGATCCCTGCAGATCGAATATATGTCCATTGGGCAAGTCAGAAAGTCAAAGTCTCCACTGTCGACGACGAGGCTGTTTGCAAGCTCATCGTGCAGAGACTAGACGGCAAGCCGGGCATATCCTTCGAATTGATTGCCCAAACCGCATTCGACGAAGGACGAGCCCACTTGGCTACCCAACTATTGAACCATGAACCGCGAGCCGGGAAACAAGTACCGCTGCTGATGAACATGGAGGAAGACGAGATTGCCCTCGACAAGGCCATCGAGAGCGGAGACACTGATTTGGTCAACTACGTACTCCTTCATTTAAAGAGCAAGCTCCCTCTCGCGAGCTTTTTCCGGATGATCAACACGCGGCCCATGGCTTCTGCCCTTGTGGAAACATCGGCTAGAGGGGAAGACTCGGAATTGCTAAAGGATTTGTATTACCAGGACGACCGCCCCATTGACGGTTCGAATGTTCTGCTCTCGGAAGCGTTGCAGGAACAGGAATTACAGCGCCAAACTGAGAAACTTCATCTTGCATCCCGCTTATTGGCAGATTCCAAAGATGCAACGGTGGTTCTACAGCAGAAGATGCTCAACGAATCTTCTCAATTATTGAAGGTCCAGGAGACCCTTGATCAAGAGATCGCGGAACGGGACGAATTCGTGGGCCTAAGCCTGAACGAGACGGTTTACAGATTGATCAGGTCAGGATGGAGCAAGAGAGCACAGAAGGTCCAAAGTGAATTTAAGATGCCGGAGAAGACATATTGGTGGTTAAGGTTAAGAGCTCTAGTCGCCAAGCGTGATTGGGGAGAGTTGGAAGAAATCGGCAAAAACAAGAAATCTCCGATAGGATGGGAGGTGAGTACCAATACAGATCCCTCCCTGACCGTAACCATAACGACATGCGCTGACATAAATGATAGCCTTTCTATAATGAAATATTGGGTGCCGGAAACACGAAGCTTGCTTCTGTCTTCGTCCCGAAGTGCACCAACCTACCCGTCGAAGACAGGATCGAAATGTGGGTGAAATGCGGAATGACCGTAAGAGCCGGAGAGGAAGCCCTTAGGGCAAGAGATGTGAATACCCTGGAGCTCCTCCGGACAAAAGCTTCAGGGACGGCCATCACTGAAATTGATCGGATGATCAACCAGTTAAGGCCCAGGAAATAGTGCTTAATGACACCCGTACATTATTTCCCTTGCGCAATGCTACAATCGCCATCCCCGACTTCAAGTGATCTCTTCATCCTCGTCATTGCCGGCATGGTTGTCGGCCACCGGGTTTTGCGTCACACGTGCGGGCTTCGATTCCCGCGACTTAGGTGCAGAATCGTCGACCATAGCATTGTCATCATCATTATCATCACCATCGTCGCCGTCAGCGATCAGTTGAAGGGCTTCAAACTTGGACGATTTGCGGTTCGTGTCTTCCCAGTCGGCCTGGAGGGATGGCAGTCAGTACTCAATCCGAATTCAACACCTGAGATATATGGTTGCGCATACCCTACGCGCTTGCACGCTATTTCCCCGCTTGACACTCTTGGCCACCTTATTCTCCAGCTGATCAACCACCATTTCTGCTTTTTCCATGCCCTTCTGTTGCCTTTGGCGCTGGGCCCTTGACAGATTCTTGGGCTTCGGTTGCTTCTTTGAGATACCGGCATTCGCACGTTCGGAGAGAATAGAGTCACGCTGAATGACTGTCGTTTCCGCGCGAGGTGCAGATAACAACGACTTGTCGACGTTGGCGCTCGGAGAAATATCCCGTCTGGCGGCGCGAGAATGTTTCGATGTGGCTGTTGAGCATAGTGTTAGAAATGAATGTGCAATCTGTCAATTCGTATATTTTCACCACATACTCCTTGCTTTAGCCATGATGCTGAATCCTCGTAGTAGAGTGGTTGTTGTTTGTTTTGACAGAGATCTTTTCTGGGCGGGTCCTATCAATATCGATAAAAAAAAAATTAAAAATTTCTTACGGGTGACTTTACCTACCACATCCGCGGTTTTACCGCTGACCGATTACATATGCAGCCGGCCAGTCGCTTTCAACTCTTTCCAAGCAATCAACAATTCTTCTTTCACCCATCTCATTTCTATGTCTTGAACTTGCTTATGATAATTAGGGAACTACTCTCTCCGCGCTGGCTCGCTCCATCTCCCTACCAGCCATGAACACTCGCAGCGGGAGGTCTGACATCCTCTTGCAGAGTCCCTGGAACAGCGGAGAGAGCCATTATGATACAGTTCTCCAATATATACAGAGCAATCTGACCATAGTCTACGTGCCTCTTACCGCGATACTTGCCTATTTGGTCCTGGCTTATTTTGGTCTCGTTCCGTTCGGGTTGCCTCAGGGGGTGTGGAATCTCATCGTTTATTTAATGCCATCACGCATAGTTGTCGCTCTAGATTCGAAGTCGAATTCCGCGAACGAGAATACGAACCCCCTTCTGATGACCTTTCAGGCGAAAAGCGAGGCGATGCAGCGCATTCTCGGGATCGATAATTCGTCCTTCTCCTCTTTCCTTTCGCGCGGGGCGAGCCTTTCAGGATTCGGGAACGCTATTCTTGGCAGTAAAGACAGTCTTCCGCCGGGGTTGGGAAATTGGGATAACTCGTGCTTTCAGAATAGTATCATCCAGGGTTTCGCGTCGCTGCGGTCTTTGGCGGAGTTCTTGGGGCGGAATATCGAAGCGCTTGGGGAGAAGGGGTCGTTTTCGACGCATCAGGCTCTGCAGGAGATTGTGGAACGGTTGAACGATGCGGCGGAATACGGGCAGAAGCTGTGGATACCGCCGAACTTGAAGTCGATGAGTAGCTGGCAACAACAGGATGCGCAGGAGTACTTTTCCAAGGTCGTGGATCAGATCGACCGCGAGGTGCAGCAGGCTTCGAAACGACAGACGAGGAATCTGGGGCTCAAAATGGCTGGACCGGAGGAGAACGTAATCGGGTCTGGTTCTTCACAAAATGGGGAGGATGGCGATTCTCTTTCTTTGCAGAGTGATATGCCGTCGTTTCGCAATCCCCTGGAAGGGCTTCTTGCGCAAAGAGTCGGTTGTATGAAATGTGGCTGGACTGAAGGTCTGTCTCTCATTCCGTTCAACTGTCTTACCGTGCCTCTGGGATCGAAATTCGAATATGACATTCGTGAATGCCTTGATCATTACATGGACCTGGAACCTATCGAAGGAGTGGAGTGCGCAAAGTGTACGTTATTGCGGGCGCGTGAGCAACTTCACAACCTTGTGAAGCAGGTCGAAGAGGACGAACAGATCTCCAACTCATCGGACTCGCCGAAACTGCCGGATGCGCTCAAAAACTCTGCACGGGAACGCTTGCAAGCGGTTGAAGAAGCTCTTGAAGAGAACGATTTCGCCGAGAAGACCCTGTCGAACAAGTGTCACATTCCGTCCAAGAACCGAACATCATCGACAAAGTCAAGACAAGCCGTCATTGCGAGATCTCCCAAATGCCTTGTCATTCACATCAACCGGAGTTTGTTCGATGAGAACACCGGAATGCTCAGAAAGAACTACGCAGCCGTGCGATTTCCCCAGTCACTCGATTTGAACGACTGGTGCTTGGGAGCTAAATCCGTGGATCAAATTAATGAATCCGTTGAAAAATGGAGCACAGATCCCAAGGAGTCCATGCTCACGCGCGCTGGTACGACAGTGGACGTTCACGGTCGCCAATACGAACTGCGCGCCGTTATCACACACTACGGCCGGCACGAGAATGGTCACTACATCGCCTACAGAAAGTACCCGACCGACATTTTCCCGGCTCATGTCCCAGAAGCGGTTCTGGAGGCGGACGGCGACAAGGAAAAGCCGGAACGTTGGTACCGGTTGAGTGACGAAGATGTGTCAATGATCAGTGAGACTAGCGTGCTGTCTCAGGGCGGAGCTTTTATGCTATTCTATGAGGCCTTGGGGCCGTCTAAGGAACCGTCCACCCCAGAAGCAGAACCTGTCGATTCGGCTGAGTCTACGTCCAGCTTGGCGACGCCAGAGGACATGTCCACGACATCCGGGGTCACTGAAGTTACCGAAGCCACTGAATGCTCTGCTTCCGTCACATCGCAGGCCACCAGCGTATCCGTTCCGGAAAAGGTTGGACCTATTGATAGGCCACCTCTTGAGGCACCGCTAATCTAACGCTGCATTATCAGGCAAGCACACGAATTGCCTTTGTAAACAAATATTATTGTATGATACCCCAGATTTTGTTTTATTATGTGAATATGACATATCACTTGGAAGGCGTTAGTGTATTATAGGTAGATTTCAATATGCATTGCTTCATTGCTCTGTACTCATAGTGTCCAAATGCTATAGACATGCTGACCAAACGCCATAACCAATACTCCCTATACAACCCAACCGGACCTATGCAGAAGACATCAAAAAACACCCGCCCTAGCCATAACATCCCGAAACTGCTCCCTCGTCACCCCTTCCCCAACTCCTCCCCCATTCGCCTCCAGTATCATATCCCTCAGTAACTCCTCCCCCACCGAATCCTCCTTCACCTCCCGCGAAATCCTCTTCAAATGGTTTAATGTAATCGGCCCATCCGATCCCCGTGTAAACAAGCGATACGCGGCATCCACTTCCGCGGCTATAGCATCCTCATCGATTTCGTCCCGGGAGTGGAGTTTCGCAGCTGCAACAGCAATGAACGGACCGTAGGGTACGTAACCAGTGTTTGTAGGGTCAGTCGCTGACAGAATAGTCTGAAGCTCGGATGAATCGGAAGGAGGAAGGTTCAGTGCTCTGTCACATCGTATTTTCATCAGTAGCCGATCTATTATGACTTGATTGATGGATCGCGCGGGGAAAGAGGGGCGAGCGTACACAAGAGCTTTCCGAACATCACTTCGGGAAATAGCACCCTCTTTTTCGTCGGGGAATGCTTCATTTGTAGAGGAGAAGAGGTGGAATGCTTCTTTGATTTCGGTTTCTTGTTCGGCGCTGATTTCGTTTTCTTTGGCGAGTTTGGATTGGCGCGTTCGCGGCTTTTTGGGGGTTGAGGTGGAGGGGGGGCCTCCGCGTTTCTTTGGGGGCTGTTCACATTAGATTCTTTGCTTTTTCTTTCTCTTGAAGTGTCGTGGACCTACCATTTCACTGAGTTGGGGTGATGTAGTGGCGAGGACACTGTTACGGTCATGAAGTTGGGTGGAGGATGCGCTGGATGCTGATTGGCTGGTCTACGGTACTCTACATTATGAAAGCTCTATATAGTAACTAACTAGTTTTGTGCATTCAACTAATTCAAGTTTGCATAATGCGCCTATTTACATGAGCAGTAGATTTGTAGTATAGTTCAGGGAACAAGATGGGTCAAGGAACGAAGAGGATTCAGGTGCTGTCAGAGTACAGAGTAGGCCACGGCGAATCCTCCGTCGAAGGTGCCAGCACCATCTATTCTACAGATAAGCATCAATAAGCAGCAACTTATTGTCTAAAGAGTCAGAGGAAGAGTGGTAAAAAGTAGAGTTAGCAGGTTCTATCAGTTTCCATCTGACATTCCATTCAGGGTTTTCACGTGATTTCGTTGATAAAGAGCCAGATATCGATCAAGGTCAAGATCCAGCAAAACAACGGTCACGATAGAATCCAGCACAAAATGGATGTAAAGTTATACGTATACGACCTCTCCAAGGTAAGTTATTATCAAAAACTAAACCAGACCGGCGCTAACTAAAACAGGGTCTTGCGCGAATGGTAATCCCGAGTCAGATATATATCAAGTTCATGTCTAACCCGGCCAGTACTCAGTCGCCCTGACGGGAACGCAAATGGATGCTATCTATCACACGTCAATCGTTTTGAACGGAACGGAATATTACTTTGGACAGGGTATCCAAACTGCCTTCCCGGGTAGTACGCACCACGGTCACCCAATGGAGGTGATCGGTTTAGGAACGACAGAGTTGCCCAAGGACGTCATTCAAGAGTACATACAGTCTCTAGAGGAGATTTACAGTCCAGAAGTATATCTCCCTCTGCAGTATGCATAATGTACATAGCTAACAGTCACAGTCATACGACCTCTTCCTGCACAACTGCAACAACTTCACCCAAGACCTGTCCATGTTTCTCCTTGGGAAGAACATCCCCGAGCACATCCGGAATCTCCCCCAGACATTCCTGAATACGCCATTTGGACAGATGATGAAGCCGCAGATCGAAAATGCTCTGCGCGGTGTAACCCAAGGCACTGGAACACCCGGTGTTCCACACCCGCCCTCAGCTCCCGCTCGAGCTCCAGCTCCAGTTGCACCTGCCCCTGCAGCCGCTGCACTACCCCATGGCACAGTCCAGATGGCAAACAACGTGCAACAACTCGACACCTATCTGAACACTGCATCACAAACCGGCAAAGGCGCCGTCATCTTCTTTACCTCCGCAACCTGTCCCCCCTGCAAGATCCTGTACCCGACGTATGACGAGCTAGCCGAAGAAGCAGGGGGCTATGCGGTTCTGGTGAAAGTCGACATCAGCGTCGCGCTGGACGTGGGGATGAAGTACGGGGTGCGTGCGACGCCGACGTTCATGACATTCTTGCGCGGCGAGAAGGTGGATGAGTGGAGTGGTGCGAATCCGGGGATGCTACGGGGGAATGTACGGTTGTTGGTGCAGATGGTGCAGCAGGAGCAACTTGCGAACGCGCATCCGCATCGCAGACTTGACCTCCCAACCCTCCAGAAGCAAATCGAAAATTACGTGCTGTACAAAAAAGTCCCGCCGTTGGACAGAGTGCGCCAGAAACTGAGCCCCCACGACTCCGGCCCCGTGGTTTCATCCATCATCGACTTCCTACAAGCCCGAAACAACGCCACAACCGCTCCAGCCGACATCCCAATCCCCACGAACCTACCAGAAATCGCAACATACCTCCAAGCCACCGCGCCACACCTCCCACGCGAAAACCGCTTCGCACTGGTCGATCTCGCCCGTCTGCTATTCCTCGACCCTCGCGTCAGCGGCTACTTTGCAGAAAGGGACTCCCCCGCCCACGCAACCCTTTCCTCCTTGTTCTCCCTCGCGTCGCCCGTATCCCCCACAGATCCATCGACATCTGCATCCGCACATACATCGACATCTACATCTACACCCCCCGGATCACAATCTGCACCCGCGGCATCCGCACCCGTATCTGCACCCGCCCCCTACAACCTCCGCATGACCCTCCTCCAACTCGCCTGCAACCTCTTCACCACCCCACTGTATACCACACACCTCACCACAGACCGCGCTCTGCGCGACACAATCACCCACCTCGCAACAGGCGCCCTCCTCTCCGAAGATCTCATCACAGACACAAACGGCAACAAAACAAAAATCCCCGCTAACCTCCGCGTAGTCGCAGCATCATGTCTCTACAATCTCACAGCTCTAAACCATAACGCGCGTCTCCGGCTGATAGATCACGATCACGACCCAAGATCTGGACCGGGATCTACGCCAGGACCAGCACCGGAACCAGGATTCAGGGATGAGTCTAAGTCTAAATCCGAGACAAAATCCGGGGAACAACGGCACGCGGAAACGGAACCGGGTGCGGAAGCGGACCGGCGGGAACTGGGAGTGGGACTGGAACCCCTATCGGAAGAGGAACAAGTGGAGATTGCCGCAGCGGTCATCGAGGCGTTAGACAAAGAAGCTGAGAGTGGTGAGACGGTGCGCGGGCTGGTGTTTGCGTTGGGATTGTTGGTTTACGGGGCTGATGTGGAGGGGAGCGTCGTGGACGTTTGTCGGGCTATGGGCCTGGAGGGGATACTTCGGGTTAAGGGGGGGATGTTTCGGGAGGGGAGAGAGGTGATTGCGGAGGTTGGATGTTTGTTCAAGTAATCTTGAGTACAGAGTATTGGGTATTGTAACTAGTCACTAAGTAATAATAATGGTATCTAAGAAATGCAAACGTTGGACATGAGGGTATCAAACATGAGGCATGAAGTCGGAATACAGCACAGAAACAGAAACAGGGGTACTAATGCAATGCAAAATGGGTATGTTATGCCACAGATCAACGCCACGCCAGAAAAAAAAAATAGTGAGTCACAACTAGCGGTAAAATCCCTGACTCTCACTTTCGGTCTTCCACCGAGAGAGAGAGTTAGTCATCGGATCTTCCGGATATTCATCGGGCATCAAAAGAGAGCACGGCATTGAGTTCAGGCGCTGCAGCCGGTGCGGAATTCCCTTTCCCTGAGGAAAGTCGGAAAACCAAGAGCAGCTGACAAGCACATGCAGAAGGAATTGCCCCTCATTGCTCATCGTTCTCGAACGGCCGTCGAATGTAAGCAGAGCTGCAGGCCTCCTGACCGACAGATCGAAACAACCAACCGGAATCTTGTACCCGGTTTGATACGCTTGGATCGCCGCGGAGCATCGTCCACCGCAACTGTGGATAGAAGGGCGAAAAAATGTAGTGAAAAATCAAACTCGCGGATAACACTTGTTCGAAGATGACGAAGACGTCGCCCGCCGTTTCTTTCCGACGGGCACAACCGTCCTGCGCTTCCGACGTGCCGCTATCGTGCTCATCGCCGGGCCCGTGGCCATTTGATTCGTCGTCGTAGTCGTCGTCGTCGTGGTCACCGGTAGCTGTGACTGAGGCTTCTGCAGCCGCATGGCTTGCTGAGCGCGGGCATGGGCCTGGACCTGGGCGAGGAATCGGGTGCGCCCCTCTTCCTCCTCGGCCATTTCGCGCATATTCCTGATACGCTGTTCGGTGGTGTAGCTCATGCTCATGAGGGTGGGGTCCAGGCTCTGCTTGTCGTCGCCTAGTTCCTCGGATGGCGAGGAGAGCGGTGTGTCGAGGAGTTCTTCGTCGGAGATGTAGGCGCTGGGAGTGGAGGGGCTGGTGTTGTTCATTGCTGAGGAAGAGGTAGATTGGTCTGGGTCGCTGCAGACCAGAGAGGGGCGGTTTGGCCAGGAGGGGAAGGCGCAAGAAGAAGAGCTGCTTTGGCCGTAGGAAGTGTAGGATGACTTTCTGGGAGAGAGGCCGGCAAGAGTGGAAGTAGCAGTCGCAGTGGTAGTGGTGGTAGCCATAGTGGCCATAGAAGTAGGAGGAGATGGCATGGAGAAGCTAGAGCCGAAGCTATTTTCAATGCTGGCGGTGGGCACACTGGGAGAGGAGCGCATGTTGGTCTTGCAAGACCAGGGAAGGAAGGGAAACATTGTGATAGTAGTATTCTACTCAGTAGGATACTAAGGTAAGAGTATGTAGTAGAGAAGAGTGGTGAGGGAAGAAGACAATAGAAGGAAGAAAGGGTTAATATACAGCGAGGCCAACAACAGTACGTACCACTTGACTCCACGGAAGGATATGCAACAAAGAATGCATCACCGGAAACACATCCCCGGACAGCTCTTTTTTTATTTTTTTTATTATTTTCTGCCCAAAATCCAATATTAAATTTCGGCAGATCTTCCGCTCATCCCACCGTCTGGATTTCTTTCTGGGTCACAGATCGTCCTCGGGGAACGAAACTGCTTTCGGGAGCGTTCCTAGTGTTTTAACTAGGGCTTCCGTATTTCCCCTATTTTCTCCGTACCACTCGATTGGATATGATCTATCTCGTCCTTTGATACGGTATACGTAGTGTACGCAGTCACAAATAAAAGTGATCGATACCCCGGCATCCTGGTTTCGCCTGCAGCGCGTGGAATGCAGATATCCTTCCCTCCCCACACCGTGCACAATCGGCGGTGATACACCGCATCTGACACCTACACTGTACGTACTTCCGTCCTGTACACATATCCCCCCCCCCCGCGGTCACTGATAGATGAGCTGGTCTGTCGCGCCATGTGGATGGTCAGACGCTAGTATCGCTATCTTCTGGAAGCCTTCTGCGTTGGGCATTAATTATTGAAAATAATTAAATAAAATGAAAAAGTCCCAGCGTGGGGTCTGCCGCTGTCACCGCGCTATATTTCTATTGATTTATTTTTTTCTTTACTTGTACTCCGTACAGAGTACGGAGCATGTGATCATACTGGAAAAGTCCTTGCGTTTCATACGTGTTTCCTTGGTGATACTCTCCCGCGACCCTTCATTAAATACATTCAAGTACCTTCCCCAGCCGGTGAATTAAGCAAATAACGTAACCCATTGAATATCAAATAAAAATAAAGTGAAAAGCGAAGTGACCTGCTACTTCCGCGTAAAAAAACACAAAAATCAAAACCCGAAAAAAAAAAAAAAAAAAAAAAAAAAAAAAAAAAAAAAAAAAAAAAAAAAAAAAAAAAAAAAAAAAAAAAGTTTACTAAGTCGTAATGTTAGCACTCATCCCATGATCACTTGAAAGATAAGAACCTACAGAAATCTCAGCCATGCCAACGTCTTCGCCACCGTTCGTCGCCGGCTGGGCCTGGCCGTTGACCGGGGCGTTCCCTTCCGCCGGTGCTCCACCGCTCTCGTTCGAGACAAAGTAGTCATCCATCTCAGCGTCAAGATCCTCCCTCGATTTCTTCTGGGGCCGGTTGGGGCGACCGCCGCCACGAGGAGCACGGCGACCACGGCGACCGGCACCGGCCGGCTTGGGTCCTGTCGCGGGCTTGGGCTGCGACTTGGCTGACTGTGCAACGCGCTCGGCAAGAGACTTCGGTTCGGGAACAGCAGGAGCACGTGTGGCATCAACAACCACCTCAATCTACGATTGTTAGTTGTTACCAGAAATAAGCAAGGAATAGATGTACGAACCTTCATCGGTTTACCATCAACTAGAAGCCCATTCAGCTCTCTGGCAGCCTTGGCGGCAGTGTCCGGCTTGCTGAAGATAATCGAGGCAATTCCGCGGCTACTACCATTTTGGTTGTATGTGAGCATCACCCGCTTGACAGGGCCTGCAGACTTGGTGAAGTATTCCTATAGCAGGAGATCGGATTAGTATTTCCATCGAAACGTTGTATGTTGCGACTGTCGCTTGGGTAAAGTAAGAATGATCGAAAAAGGACTCGCGCAACGCCTCAACTTGATGAGAAGAGCATCAGCGAGCACACAGTGGCGATTAGTAGCCAGCAACCCGAAAAGGACCACATATGCAGAATAAATTCCGGTCGCTGCCCTAATCCGCATCGTATACGAGCGTGCATCACCTACAACGCAAGCTCCAACCGGCACGATATCACACATGTCATGTCCCTCTCCCTTACGCCAACCATGACCTTGTATGCAACTGATATACCCCCCCCCCACATATAGACTACATGCAAAAATGCAGATGTCCACTGTAAACGGATTCACCCGTTCTCGTCAGGACTTTGGCAGTGCACGTTGTGCCGCTCCAGCTACCCTCGCATTGATCCAGTCTCAGCGGTCAAGTGAATGCGCTGAATAGACCCTGAAAGGTCGAAATGGAGATGACCATGCGTTCATGAAGCGTTGCTCTTCGGTCTCCCGTAGACGATATGATGATACCACCGTTGACAATTGGCCAAATTAAAGAGTGGATGATATGCTGCTGGCTCACTGTTGCGCTCGCTGATGCCCCCGAGATCCAATAAATGCAAAAAGAACGCATGACCAATGGCTCATTGTATGTGATGGTGTATATTCCAACCATCGTCCTTCGCACAGTCTGCGGGCGTAGCTTCGCAGGTGGTTTGCTTTTAAGGCAACGGTCCACTAAACTGAGCACGCGTTGCGCAAGACTACGGCAGAGCTCGACTTCTTCCACTTTGCAGATTGCTAGCATACACTCGTGCGCAAAAGTTTCTCGAAGGAGGATGTTGCCTGTGCAGGAAGCCGAACGACTACCACGGGTATGTGAGAACGACGTGGTGAGGGGTTCGAGAACGAGTGGAAGCCGTTCGTGCCTCGAAGGTCTCGAAAAAACAGACATGGCGATAGAAACCGAAGGCGAAAGGCCTCTCAATCAACATACCTTGATATTGGCCTCATTCACATCGACAGGCTGGAGAAGTCAGTACTGACCATCAGGATAAAGGAACAGGTAGGTGTAAACTTACCAAGCCGCTGACCATAATTTTGCTATCAGTAGGAGTAGGAGCGGCAGCGGGCTGAGCAGCCTTGCCAACAGCCTTGCCAACAGCCTTACCAGTAGGCTTGGTAGCCTTGGTCTTTCTGATTCCTCCAGCAGCACCGGCCTTTGCTCCACCGCGAGCACCACCGCGACGGCGGTTGTTCTGACGGCGGTTCACCAGGATCTCGTCAAGAGACTTGTCCAACTTGCCAGACATTGTTATTGAGTCGGTAGACGGTAAAATATTGGTGTAGTTTAGGTGTGAGATGGAAGGTGTTGTCACTGTTGTCGCGTTTGAGGCTCGCGACGATCAGGAGAACAAAACAAGGTAGAAAAGTCTGTCGTGAAAGGGGGTGAATCGAAGGGGTCGCTGTGCTAGCAAACAAGCGATAGAGAGAAAAGAAGAGCAGCGGATATTGAATATACCACGTTTTGGATGAAGACGCAGCGTGAATTAATGGGGGTGAATGACAGAGAGAGAGAGACGGCGATGATGAAGGGAGGTCGAAGTTGCCTAGACCGCGCTAACCCAATTGGGACCCCGCTGACACATCAGTGAATCCAACAATAGAAATACATAAACATCCCTCTGGACAAGGCTGACTAGGAAATGATATGTTCGATATGCACAATATTTTCATTCTCAAGTTTCCTGATGAGCTTTTAGACAAGATTATTTGCGCAGCAACGTCAATTATTCGCCATTGGAATCGCGAACACTGTCAGGTCTATGACACGGCTTTTTGTCTTTCTCTCGTATGCCGGCGCTTCCATCGTATTTCTATGCCATACCTTTACGCAGACCTGATAATCGACAGTAGCGGTGACGTCTGGAAGCATCCCGAGCAGGTCCCCAGGCACCTCCATCGCAGCTGCAGAGAGAATCCATTGCTCTGGACACTCTGTCGGAGCTTGACTGTGTATCATCAGGAATCTAAGAATAAATATCTCTATGCTGCAACGGATTTTGTCACCTGGTTTACTGCCGTCAGATCGTTCACACTTTATGGATTAGACAAGGGCGAGAGAGCATGGGCATTGCTTCATTTGGCATTGGAGCATATGTCTAGCTACACTAGGCTGGTGCTTGGGAGTTACCCTTATTCCTACAGTTTCGACCTTCCGACGGTGATCGACGTGCTTGGTGATTTTGAAACCGGACCTTTACAAAATCTTCAAACACTTGGGCTGGAGGGAAATTTCTACTCACGGGGACAGTCTGTGCCAGGCAAAACTGAAGGAGAAGGCAGGAACGGCCCCGTTTACCAAGCTCAAACTACGCTGCTTTCTCCTGACCCCTAGAACCCTCGAAGCACTGGTCCGCTGGCCCAAACGCCTGGAAGCGTTCGAGCTAAAGTTCTCATTCGGAGATGACTACGCCGAAATTGGGTTATATACTGAGTGGACACTGGCAATATTCAAATAGATTTTAGCCATCTACCGAAGTACATTGCGCTCGATCAAGTTATACGCTGTAGGCATCAGCAGGTTAACAGGTTTCGACCTGCGCGACTTCGAAAGTCTAGAGGAATTGAGCCTCTCATCCGCATGTACTGGCCACCAAAACCCTGTCAGAGACCATATGATCGGAGTTCCCACCAACCTGCTTGCTCCGCGCCTTCGTGTTTTCCACTGGGACTTGACCCTCCACGACCAACAACTTTGCGAGGGGCTGGACGATTTTGGCCAAGAAGAGGAAGATTGGTTGCGGGCGTTGGTGCGCGAAGCACTTGCACGCAGATGTCCACTCCAAAGAATTGAAATAGAATTCACACCCGATTCTGACTACGGCTTCAATGGCATATATCCGTGGGACCGAATGGATGCCCTGGGGGCTGACTTACGCCCATATGGGATCAAAGTTTGTTATAATCTTCCCTCCATTAGCAGGGAGGAGTTTTTGGACATTATGAAAGACACTAAAAGGTGGGAAGAAGCTTATCGGAATTTAATTCATGGCGAATGATTTTAATATTCAAGGTTGGCATATCAGAATCGTACTCCAGAAACGATATGGACAAATGGGCTATCACAAATTTGTATACACTTCTGATCGTAATTATCTTGACGTTGATGGTGATGCCATTGACGACTGTTACTGCCCCCAGGAGTCACTTTGCTGGCGGGTCGTCGAAGATAAGATTGTGCAGTCTTTTGCCACTGGTCCATAATAATCGAGTGACAAAATCAGTTTGTACATATCATTGGTGATAGTATAAAGCCCACCCATTTGTCTGTTAGGAACTGGCGTATAGACCAATAGACCAGCATTTTTATTTTTATTTTATATTTTTTTCTCTCTGATTGCCATATATGATGAGTCACTGGTACTGTCTCCGTGGGTTTCCTTTTCTAGAGAAACCGGATCGTAGCTTAGGGTATGCACACGATTTCTGTCAAACCACTTGTCCCATTGCTGCTCGTGCTTATCGGTCGCCTCTGCGGCTTTCTGACCGCGCTTGTTAATTGAGTTAACGAGGATGAAGCCCGGTTATTTCGGCGCCTGGAGCATCGGTCAGCATATACAATCGCCACTGGCCCTATGCCAACACTTACAATGGGTGACCACTGCCAGTTTGTTCTGAGTATGAGTCCTAACATATATGGGAATGTCTTCCACGACCGTTCTAAGCTCATGGCATGTGGTCTTAATGTTCGAAATCCTTTCGATGGCAATTTAAGATAGCCGTCACCCGGACTCACTTCTCACGGGGCCGTCCTGCACTATTGTCACCTTGAAAAGAACGAGTCTCGAATGGTGGGGCCAAGACGGTTTACCGCTGGCCTTTGGAACAACGTCCGGTTTTGAATTCGGCTGGATTGCCTCGCGGAACGTATCATTATCGACGCCCATAGTGTACACATGGGACATGACATGGCAGCCCGACTCGACGTGTTCACGGGACTTGCGTTGCAAGCAGGCTGCTTTCAAATTATACGGCATTTTGCTGGGTCGGACATTGCTTTCCTTTTTTGAGGGATCAATCAGAGATTATCATAATTATTTGGTCAATGGCCTGGATCCGCTGTCCATGAGTTCCCGAATCTGGGTCAATCCGGTGAGTATGTAGCACTCTTTTTTAATTAGCACTGAACAGACTTACGGATATTCTTTGACTTGGCAACCTATCATTTAGTCCATGGATCAGCGTGAATAGGCCATTATCCCATTTTTTGTTTATTCTGCCCTCTTACGTGGGTATAAAATGAATCGACACATGCGTCGAACCCGCTGGTCAATACCTGCCGGGTTGATAGAAAAGAGTGCACGAAACATGCAACGTCGAAGACAGCATAACATCTTTTGAGACTTGAGAGTGACAAGAGTTGATTTCAACATCTGAAGTCCCATTATTCTCCATAATCCACTTCGTGGCATTATTAGAACTCCATCCAAGCCAGTGAACTCCAGTATATCCTGGCTTTCAGGGATATGCACCTGGAGGTAACGGGCTGTGTAGATACTGGAATGAGAAGAGAGTAAAAAAAAGGAAGAGTAATAATAGCAATAGGCCTTGCAATCCCCACAACTAATTTACTACTCTAAGAGTCGATATGTAGTATTCACTCCCTCAAATAGTCCAAATATACTGGGGTCCTCATCATGTCCATACATAATCTCCTGCATGGAGTCCAAGTCGACAGTCTCAGGCCAAATGGAATACCAGTCCAGAAACTCCAAGATGCTGTCGAAGATGCAATCTTGAGATTCTTCTTGAGGAACAAGTATATTTTATTGATCTCAGCGGCGTTCAAGGATTGGCTGTAATCCAAGTGGTGCACCCAATATCGGCATAAGTATTCCACTTCAGATGGAAGGGGAAGTTGATTCGTCATATCCAACGGTTCTTCATCAAGGGCCTCAAATAAATAATCCTTAAAGTCCTTTGCCCATTGCAGCAATACATCCATGGCCCAGCTCCCGATGAGCATTTTTCTCATCCACTCGGAATGGATTGCCGTTTGCAGGAGGGTCTATGAGATGGTCTCTGAAAGACAAATGCCGCATTTGAACTTCTCATCAGCAGTTAAAGGTATAAAGAATACAGAGTGGAGAAAGTGGAGGATGGGATTGATGGTTCCCTCGTCTTCGTTGATTATAACGTCAAGAGTCTTGACCGTGAGTGGTGCGGGAAGAACTATCAAGCTCCCAACGACTTTGTGGAAGGTGTCCAACGTTTCTTGGTCATCATCGAATTGACTCAGAATAGGCCAGTACGTCTGATCTAACTGGCTCAGAAACTTTTGGCTCTTGTAATACCGATAAAAAGTCACCAAGGCGTTTCCTTGGGTTCCCCGTACCTTCACCGATGAAGTTGCAAGTGGTTGAAGCAAAAATGAATAATGGAAAAGCATTTTCAGCGAGCTCCTTAATCGGCCCATTTCCAGGCCAGCTAGAATCTAGACAGAAAGCGGGCTTTTGCTGGATGGTTACAAATCTGACACTTATGTAGGACTCCAAATCCCGCTTGAGAGCGGTTGGATCAGCCTTGTCCAATACCAAGACCTTGCGATCATCCGCGATTTCCGAAAAAAATCTTCGTTTGGATGAAAGTCCGGTTGGCTGGTTATAAAAAACTGCAGCTGTACATTTCCAGCTTGCTTTGCCTGTACAAGAAACTTCAACATCGCTGGCATATGTTTCCCATCGCCGCATTCATCCAAGGCGTCAATAACCACAATCAGCCTTTCAACCTCACCTCCCAGTTGAACGCTCAATAATGTTTCAAAAATAAGGCGATTGAATTGAATGCCCATGGCCTTGCTAGGAATCGAACGATCCTCACTCAGATTGTCTTGCACTATCCGGATCATACCTCGCAATAAGACCGTCAGATGGAATGCAAATATAAATTTGCTATCATCGCCACGGTCTGGCTGGCCTCGTTTAATAAAGAAGCTTGCACCAAGCCATCTTTTCTTCGCGAATGATGCGGCCGCAGTTCGGGCAATTGTGGATTTTCCTGTGCCGGCTGCACCGTTAAGCCAGAAGATGTATTTGCTGTCGGGATCGGTCGCCCAGTCGTGAACCTCTTGAAGAATCTCATGCCGAGTACCTTCCAAGCAACGGGTATCATCTTGGTCTGTAAATGAATCGAACGAGGCGCCCTCAGCTTGAGGGAGTGCGTGCATTTGGTCCTTGATCTCCTCAATACCAATTCGCAATCGATCGATCCCAGTCAATATATCATGGGCTTGCTGATCTCTAAGAGTTTTCTCAACCAACTTCATCCACTCGCTTAGGTCTTTTCTGCCTGCTCAATGGCAGACCTGAGTTCTCCGAGCCGTGTTGCGTTGGGCGGCAAAACAGCCTGCGTGATTTTGGAACCTATATTCGACCCTTCAACGTTGACGGCCTCTGCCGTGGTTTTGAATCATCTGTTTGTTGGTCAGTCATAACACGTTGATTTTTATTCCAACGGGAGAGTAGCATACAGTAAGACCAAGCGACATCACTGTCCATGCACTCGACGCATGGCCCGTCGGATCGAAAGCCACCCCAGCACTGGCTATCTCCTTGAAAGACAGCGCGGATCGAAGCACCCTGTGAGCAGTTTCCCGGACATCAAGCTTCTTCCCGTGGTCCAGATTGATAGTGAGACCATGTGCGTGGACCTCGTATTGCCGATATTCCTCTTGCGTACGCGATCACATTCTCCATAATCCCCGTCGTTCCGGATAGATGATCATTTTCGCCAGCCTTATTGAATGAATCGAGCTTGCTTCGGGATTTTTCATCCAAGTTATTGTAGGCAGTTGGCCAGAGGTCCGGTGATTGATCCACGTTCAGATTCTCGTTCTACTTGTCGGAACTTCTACAATCTCCACAGCCTTGTTCACCGGACGATTGTTCTTTGGGAGGCAACTCAGGCTGACTGGAATCCTGCTTTTCATCATATCTCAGACAAGGGCAAAGGATTCGCAACAGTCCGCGTCCCATTTTGCCGGTAACGCCTCCAAAGAGGTGTGTGGGTTTGAGGCAATCGGGATAAAAGATTTCAGCTGGAGATGGTTGGGAGGGGAAGATTAAAAAAATATAAAAAATAAAAAATAAAAAATAAATGCAAAGCACTTGTGCGAAGTACAGCTAATACACTGTTTCGGGTATCTATCGACCTATGAGGCTGATCTGCAAAAGAGCGTATAGGGCAATGAGGCTGAGATAGGTTCAAGATAAAAATATATCCAATGACTCGTTTCAGGTCGTAAAAGAAACAATGTGGCCCAGGGAATATCAAGGCTGCTCATTGGGCAAAAACAGTGCTGAATTAAACCATAGACGGAAAAAGTAGCTTCGAACAATTAAATTCATAGATCAGGTCCAGCCTAGCAAAATCAAAACGTCAAATACCATGCCAGAACTCCGTTGAGCGCTCCAGTATACATATAAAAAGAAAGACCTCGTTCCTGAGGCTTGCACGTAGTCTCGTAACAATTTGAAGAAAACCCAATCAGCTCTTCAGAGCTTCCAGTCGTCCTCGCATCTGTTCAAGCGTAGCTTCCTGGTCCTCGAACACTTCTTCGGCGGCCGGCTCTTCTTCCAGAGGCTTCTCGGGCTTTTGGGCCTGGGAGAGCTTTCCTTGCAAGATCTCCTGCAAGATCTTGTCCACCTCTGCGTCGGCCTCTTCCTCCTCCTCTTCAAGCATATTAGGATCGGTAATTGCATCGTCAACCATTTCTTCGATAATTCCGGCCCGGACCAACTCCGTGGAGAGTTGGTGCATCGTTCCGGATAACTCTGGTAGTTTGACCAGCGTGTTCACATCTTTCATGATACCCGTCGACTTTTTTAGGCTTCCTTGAATCTTGCGGACCGAAAACGCCTCGTTTACCTGCATCTGGACGCTCTGAAGCTGTGCTCGGCTCGTGGTCAAACGGGCATTTTGTTTTCGGATCCGAACGAGTTCTCGCGCGAACGTCTTCAATTCGACCGTGGCTTGTCTTGCCTGCGAGGGATTCCGTTCCGCTCGTCTTGACGCATTCAATATGAATTGTCGTGTCTTGGTGTCGAGGGTCTTGAGCTGCGCAATGTCGCGGTCTAGTTGGCGGGTATTAGAGCGGATAAGTTGATTGCATTTTCTCATCTGTAGTCGAATTCAAAAGTCAGCCTTAGTAGCACGATGTGAGCGTTTATCCATATGAATCACACCTGAGCCTGGGGATCGGGCCCGAAAAAGACCGCCTTAAGGGTCTCCATGTTTCCCACGGTCAATCCGATATTTGTGTCCAATGTATATAAGCAGCCCTTCGCTGCCGATCTTGAGCAATAACCTGTATCCGACTGTATCAAAAGATCACTTCAAAGTCCATGCTCTTCGTAACCAGGCGGGGTACCGAAAACGGGTGGTGGAAAGCGTGTGTGAAAAGGAGTAAACCGCTGAGAATCGTAGTCAACTCGGATTCGTAGAAAAGAAGGCGCAATGTGGCCTTAATATATCTTCTTTCTGGCTTATCGCAGCATTGTCATAACCATTTCATCCACGATCCGTGCCTGGCAGCCACCAAAAGAGAAGGCTTGGGAGTCGGTGGGCTTAGTCATACTGTGGCTTTCAGGTGACGTCTATTGATGCCTGAGGTGTCAGATACTGCAAACAGGGCAAACAGGGCGCGAGGGTTCTCGTACGTTCGATGATCACCCGCTAAGGAAGGCAGGAAAAAGAGAGGGCAGATGGTGACTGCTGCTGGCTCATATTGCTGCTTAAAACATCTCTCTGCGTTGAACGTCATCTTCATCTCTTTCTACACCTTCTAACCACACATCTTCCCTACTACGATTCATAATGCCTGACCTTCCTCAGACACACCCTGAAGGTACGTTTGTCCTCTTGCTTTCCCCGCTTTGGCCGGATGTTTTCATCATCCAGCCGCATCGCACATTGGCCATCTCTACGCCTCGTTACGGATTGATGTGTCGGGTGTGGATGAATTGACATTGCTCACCCGCGACCATGGTTTATTTTAAAATGCACCGTTACTGACTCGCATTTCGATATTTTCAGTCACATGGGCTCAGCGCTCCTCGAGCACTGATGCCGAGCGCAACTACCTCTACGTGGATATCAAGGCTCCCGATGTTGCCAAGTCTGCTGCAGACCTGAAGATCACTTCGAAAAATGTCTCGTTCACTGGTGAATCCAAGAAGGGTGTGAAGTACCACGTGTCGCTCGACTTGTACGCCGAGATCGACCCTGAGAACAGCAAAGTGAACCACAACGACCGTGAAGTTGAGCTGGTCCTGCGCAAGAAGGAGCTGAAGGAAGAATTCTGGCCTCGTCTGCTGGAGGTTAAGCAGAGAGTTCACTTCTTGAAGACTGACTTTGACAAGGTACGGTACTTCCATTGTGGTTTTGGTAAACTGATGCTAACTGGCAGTAGTGGGTCGACGAGGATGAACAGGACGAAGTCCCTGACGAGGACTATGCGAACAACTTCGGTGACTTCGGCGGTGGTGAAGGTGGTCCCGGCGGTCCTGGTGGTCCTGGTGGCCTTGGAAACATTGACTTCTCGAAGCTGGGTGGTCTTGACCCCAGTGCACTTGGTGGCCTTGACCCCAGTGCACTTGCCGGACTTGGTGGACAGCTTGGCGGAGAGGAGGGCGAAGGTGCTGAGGGTGAAGAGGTAAGTCCTATGAGTTCTTGTTCATTCATACGCATCAAAGCTAACACTATACTAGGAGGAAGATATGCCCGAGCTCGAACCCGCCGACGACAAGGGCGAGGCCAAGAGCACCAAGATCCAGGAGGTCTCATAATTTCCTTCGTTCCCGTCCTTTTGCTGTACCTGAATTCCAAAAGAAAAAAGAATCATCATAATCTTGGCGGAATGATTACCGGCGATGCGTGCACTGGATTTCTTTTTGGGCACTGGCTTAGGGTTCATTGCCGGTGTTTATGAAATGTTTCCTTAAAACTGAATGACATGACGAGATGATTAACTGTGTGTCTTCAGCTTTCTCGTAGTTCAATATTTATCCTTATAAGCGTAGTGCGTACTCTATAGAGGTCGTGTGTTCGGATTCCAACTACATCATAGACCACGGACTATGGCCATACGCCATACTCAGTCAAATTCTACGAAATTTATATTAAATGGAAAGAAAAGAAAAGCAGATATGACTATTCCTATAGAATTTTCACTCCTAATGAGGACTAACTGCGTAGGATCGCTGTGATTAAATAATAATCGCATTGGGCACTTCGATTGGCGGACCGACGAACGAGGAAAAAGATCCTGTCCCGCCACAAAGTGCGAAAATGTGGAGTTGCCTCACTTCTTCCTTTTCTTCCTTTCCTCTTCGTACCTCAACTACATACCTCTACTCACTATCTGTCTCGTTCTTTATAGAGCCATTAACTTGGTTTTATCTATCTGGTTGCCACTCCTCAAGGCTGACCAGCGCCCTCTTTTCCGTCGTCATACAACTCGCCCGACCGAGATTGTGTGAGCCCGCCGACCGTCGCTCGCGCGCATTTCTTTTCTCACCTCGATCGGTTTCAAGTGACTTGAGCTCTCGACAAGAGACAAACCGCCATCATGCCTCCCAAGAAGCAACCCGACCAGCCTAAGAAGAAGAAGGCCAACGCGGAGGACAAGGTTCGTTTTGCCCGTCTTTTCTCTCTTCATATCCCTTCATTCGAACGAGAGGGGACGAAATAGAGCGATGGCTAACTACTCTTTTCCACCTAATAGACCTTTGGTATGAAGAATGTATGTACAGAAAACGCCACTGACCTTCAACCACGAACCCGAGACTCGATAAACTAACACACTTCCGCGTGCAGAAAAAAGGTGCTCAGGCCAAGAGACAGATCGAACAAATGAAAGCCCAGGATAAGGCGAACGTGAGACCTGATGATAAGCGAAAGGCAGCTGAAAAGGCTCGCTTTGAAGCCGAGAAGAAGGCCGCAGCCGACGCCAAGAAGGAGTCTGCAGAGCTGTTCAAGCCTGTCCAGGTGCAAAAGGTTCCTTTTGGTGTCGACCCCAAGACCGTTGTCTGTGTTTTCTACAAGCAGGGCAACTGTGAAAAGGGCCGTAAGTGCAAGTTCAGCCATGACTTGAACGCCGAACGTAAGGCTGCCAAGAAGGATCTGTACACCGATTCTCGGGATGTGAAGCAGGATGAGGATGAGGCGAAGAAGAAGGATGCCATGGACGACTGGGACGAAGAGAAGTTGCGTAAGGTCATTACCAGCAAGCACGGAAACCCGCGAAGCACGACTGAGAAGGTCTGCAAATACTTCATCGATGCCGTCGAGAACCAGAAGTACGGATGGTTCTGGACTTGTCCCAATGGTGGTGACAAGTGCATGTACAGACATAGCTTGCCGCCTGGGTATGTTGCCTCCCTTTCCCTGTCGACTTAAAATCATGTCTAATACCGTATAGGTTTGTTCTGAAGACTAAGGAGCAGAGAAAGGAGGAGAAGGCCTTGATGGACAAGTCGCCACTTAACACATTGACCCTGGAAGACTGGCTCGAGTCGGAACGACACAAGCTCACGGGTGACCTCACACCAGTTACCCCCGAGACATTTGCTGCATGGAAGAAGAACCGTCTCAACAAGAAGGCCGCTGAGCACCAGGCCAAGCAGGCCAAGGATGCCACCGGTCGTACTCTGTTCGAGAGCGGGAACTGGAAGACAGAGGAAGAGAGTGAGGATGAGGATGATGATGATGCATTCAACTTTGACTCTCTCCGGGAGGAGACCGAACGAATCCGCGCCGAGAAGGAAGAGGAGCGACTTGGGAAGGTCCACGGGTTTGCTGTGCCCGACGGGAGCGCGGGTTGAGCCCCGTGCGACTCTCGCGAGATCCTATTACTGGGGGCTTTCCAGATCACCCGCACTGGACCGGTGTACCAAAAGCGTATTCCGGACTGTGGGGTGGACCTTTGACGTGCCGGATGACTGCCGTTGTATTGGGGTCGCAAGAGAGAGCCCTGCCCGGTTAACGTTTTGCCGTTTGTCATTCTCTTCTTCATGCTCGGCTGATGAACCTTGTGGTTGATGGGAATGGTCCGGGAACCATGAACATGAAATGATACACAAGGTTGAGACACATCCTGTGTTTTTGGTTTTCTTTAAGCGATGTTCTGTTATATCCAGCTTGTTCCTAAAAGTGTTTGGTAAACTAAATGAACTTTATGATCAAGATGCGACGGTCTATTGGTACTCAGGTTTAAACAGTCAATATGCAGTAGTATATACAAGGCTCTATAACAATGCTTTAGTCCGCAAGATACCCTTCTCAAACATCAAACCTACCACATCCTCCGCAACCCCAACAGACAACTCAAACCCCCTTCCCCCAGCCCCATAAGCATGAACAACCGTCTTCCCATCGACAATTCTCTCAACCTCAATCCTCACACCCCCCTCCCTCGCCGGTCTCCTTCCCACAATATCCCTCATGACGTCAAACTGCCCCTTACTCTCTGCCGTAAACGGGAACCACTTGGCCGCGTTGGAGAGGAGTTTCGCCCGCGTTTCTGGTGAGGGATTGGGATCCCAGTTGTCAGGCTCTTTGGTGCCCCCGATGATTGTACCACCGTCTAGAGGACGAGGGATGCAAAAGGACCAAGTTCCGTCGGAGTTTTGGCGGGTGAGGGTTATTGGGCACGGGTTGCGGACAAGGCAGGTTTGGCCTGTCGAGGTTAGATATTATACTCCATGAAATAAAGTGGGTTTGGATGTTGGCGCACCTCGAATGATAAATGATTTGGGGTCATTAAGCCCCATCCCAGAACAGTTTACCACTGTCTTCACATTCGCGTCGAGGTAAAACGCCTCGTTTAAACCCGCAAGATCGTACGTCATCTTCCGCCCACCATTCAACACAAACCGTCGCAGCAAATGCGCACAGTAAACCGGCGAGTTCACCACAAACGTCTTATACCTCACACCCCATTTCACTCCATCCGGTAACCTACCATCCTGCCCAGATCCCAACTCGCGAAACCCATCCAAATACGACGAATACGCATCCTCAACCCCCTTCCTCTCCAAATACTCCTCCGGCGGATTCTCCAGATACTCAATCCCCTCTACCTCCTTAATTCCCGCAGCAGGTTCCTGGGAAACGAGTTTCTTGAATGCCGCGTAGGTGCGGCGCGCTTGGGCGCTTTCGCGGAGGGCTTGGGGTGTTTTTCCGGGGATTGGGCGGTAGTGCGCACCGGCCCAGGGGGAGGCGTAGTTTAGGGATGTTGTGCTGGGGAAGTCGCGTGCGATTAGGAGGATGGATTGCGTTGGTTGCAGGTGGGTTTGGAGGGTGAGGGCTGTTGTTAGGCCGATGATGCCGGCGCTGAGTTGGTTAGTGGCTGTGGTGGGAAGGGGGTTTATTCCTTTGCATTTGAAGCTTACCCGACTACGACGATTGTTTCTGATGGCATTCTAGTGGTTATTGTTTTGTACAATCGTGGTTGCGAGTGAGTATGGGGTGGAAAGCCGAGGTGATAAGAGGACCTGTCAACCCCGCAAATGGAAAATGATAAGGATCTTTCTTTCTTTTCTTATCCACGGTTGATCACTTCCCAGCCTACCGATAATGCGCCATTTTTGCTCAATATGTGGTGTCCTGATCCGTTCCTGCGCAGCCGAGGATGACATGGGCCCTCCTGTCGATGATCTGGAATGGTACTAATTGATCCGGGCCTGTCAGCATCCCGCCGTTCTTTGATAAGTTGAATTTGCGAGCTAACTCTTCGCAGTCTATAAAGAATGGTCTGAGGGCATTGCCAAAGTCACTGGGGTCGGATATCTCAACACCTTGAATCAACCCGTTGTGCCCATGATCTTCAACGAGTTTTATTGGCAGCCCAATGTTTATATAGACAACTCTGTCCCGTTCCCTAATGGTAGTCCGCACTGTCGCACGTACTTAGTCCATGAAGCGTGCTGGAGGGTCCTGCTCGATCGAACTTTGTATGGCAACCCTTTCACAGATTTTGTGGCCGTCGCACTGGCGCAGCTGTTTTGGGGCGCCTCTCTGTACAGGCAGTACTCCTATATCCGAAGACATGATTACGGAGGATCAACTGAATTCTGGGATACTGAAGGTGATCCAATGGAAGCGATGACACAGGGAGGATATGGGCATTGCGCTGTTGAACCTTCGGGGTTTGTCAATATTGAGGACCTTTTGAGCTGTCTTGGTCCTGAGATTCCAGTCGAAATTCCTGCTACTTCTCCTATAACTTCCACGTCGAGGCTCGAACATGGCTCTGGCCAGTTTGCTAAGCTTCCTGTAGAGGTTATTCACATGCTCTTGACATGGTTGCAGTCAGATGACATCCAGCGCCTGCGTCTAGCATCCCGGCCAGTCGCTTCAGCATCCCATCCGGACCAACTCCCGCAGTTCTTTTGGCATGGCCGATTCTTTCCAGATTTTGAAATGGGGTTCGCAATGCCAATTCGCACAGAATGGTTCCATGACTGGCGGTCTCTTTACTTTAGAGTCAAATGCGGCCTGAAGACGCATAGCTTTGACCGTCTCGTGAATCGAAAGAGGGTGTGGAACTTTATTTGCAAAGAGGAAGATTGGTATCAGAAGCTTTATACAGGCAGCGATAATGAATTAGGTTTGGGTTTGCTCCGATAGTGGTCACGAGCTGCAATAATACGATATACCTGTCCGAAATCTACAACTGGCCGTGGTCAGGATCTATGCCCGGAATCCCTTTGGCACAATCGGTTTATTTCTGGTCCTGAGGTGGGATTTGCAATTGTTCAAGCTAGCCCAAGAACTGGAAGAGAGCAGGGAGTTTGGTTTCCTAGAAACATGAAGTGTACCCCGAAATGTCTCCACAGCTGGCTGTAGAGCTGTTCCGCAGTTGATAAGAACCCTTTGCTTTCTTTCATCCAAGGATATATTCATCATTCCGCCATGGCTCACTACTACTATTGCTCGATATGCGGCTTCCAGGTCCGTTTCAGAGATTGGAATAGTAACGCGAGTCGGGAATGGTATCAGTTGATAAGAGCCGGTTGGTGTTTCTCTTCTTACCTTCGAGTTTATGCGCTAACTCTTAAATAGTGCATATACGTCGCGACCAATCCATTGGTCTTACTGGAGTTGGATATATCAAGATGGACGACGAGGTCATGGCGCCAGGAAATCCGGAGAAGGTCTTTTGGGGCCCTGACTCCGGGAACCTGATTTTGTTCCCTTTGGTTTTTTTTCGGAACAGTCCCACTCCCACGCTCTTGGTCCATGACGCATGCTGGCAGGTCCTGCTAGATAGAGTGCAGTATGGCACTACTCCCAGCAAAGATACCGCCTATGTGATAGCGCAGACATTCTATCCCATCATCTAGCACATGGAAGCCTGGAAGCCTCTGGCAATGCTAGATTTTACCACAGGAACTCACTCCAGGAGCAAAGCAGGTGTCGTGGTGTCGAACCTTCAAGGGTTGAAAACATCCAGGACCTTCTTTGTTATCTCCCTGAGAGTCTGGTGGGAGGTACCGGCATTACTTATAGACCCCCAATATCTTCCACGGGACCCAATCAACACAATAACGACGCATTTTCCAAACTACCCACTGTTTCGTCCATAGCCTTCTGAGTTGGATACCGTCAGACGATATCCAACATTTGCGCCTGGCATCCAGATCCATTACGTCCAGATCCCACCCAGGCTTATTACCGCAATCCTTCTGGGGCAGTCGGTTCATTCCCGATTTCGAAATGGGGTTTGCACTGCCGAAGCGCACTGATGGATATCATGATTGGCGGTTTCTTTATTTTAGGATCAAACGGGGGTGGGGGCATTATCCTGACCGCCTCAAGAATCGGAAGAGAGTATGGGATTTCTTTAGCGAGGAGTATAAGATATCCTACCAGGAGCTTTTTAAGAAAGTCTAGGAGAACCGCTCAGTTGGGTACCGCAATCGGGGCAGGGGACCCGATAAGAGATCTTGCCAACCCCGCAGCTGATAAGAATCCTCCTTCCATCACTCCCACACTAGCAGCCATGGAGCAGGAGCAGGAGCAGGAGCAGGAGCAAGAGCCTCTCTGTCCAATATGCGGCGTTAGAGCCCATTCCATTGCCCCTCGATACTGGACCAACGCACGTATTCCAGAGTGGTTGCAGTCAATCCGGGCCGGTCGGTATCCTCTTCATTGAAACTCCCGTCCAGGTGTTGATTTCTAGCAGTGTATAAAAAACCTGATGACTGTGCTGGTCTCACTGGAGTTGGATATCTCAACTCCCAAGATGAGCTCGTTGCGCCTGAAGACCGAGAAAAGCACATTGCACGCGAAGACCGAGACAAAATCCCTCATGAGGTAGTTTTGTACGTCGGGCCCTCGAGTACGTACGAGACTCCGTCCACTGAATTTGGCCCGCAACTTCCTGCATTCTTGGTCCACGACGAGTGTTGGGAGGTTTTTCTCCAGCGGATATCGTATGGGCGTGATGTTAAGGAGTATCTCACCGATTTGATACAGATATTTTATCGCGTCAGTTACTACAAGGAAGCCTTTGCTTGCCACAGACATGACTTTGGGGACTTTCATAGATTCTGGTCAGGCGATCCCAAGGATTCCGAAGAGATGATGGAGTTGAGTGGACTCGGTTACGTTGAAATCACTCCCGTGGAGTATGACAGTATGGAGGACCTCTTGGCCGATCTTAAAATCGCGTGTAGATTCATGCCGGACGATTGGCCTGCCATAAGTGACGCTGGTAGTGATATTTCCACTGCTGGTGGCCCGATATCTTCCACATATCGTCTACCGGAAAATGGCAATACGGACCCGTTCGCCAAGTTGCCCCCGGAGGTGATTTATACACTCCTGAGCTGGACAGACTCGGATTGTATCTGGCAACTGTCTCTGGCGTCTAGAGCAATCGCATCGAGAGCCCAGACAGATTTGTACCCGCCGTCCTTCTGGTACAGTAGGTTTATGCCTGACTTTGAAATGGGGTTTGCACTGCCAAGAGACACGGAGGGATCTCAAGATTGGTACAGTCTTTACTTGATGATCAAGTGGGTGATTTACGAGCGTTCGCACGATAATCTCAGAAATAGGGAGAGGATTTGGAATTTCTTTTGGAACGAGAAGAGACTGTATCAAAAGGTTTTCAAGGATCGGAGGGATATCCCCACATCTGCTTGAATATCACGATATACGGATGATTGAGGACGTCACAGTGGCGGTGACAGCTTGGGTAGCTCTTGAGATCTACAGCCGGACCGTGATGGCAGGCGTTCTGGGAACGGCTGTCATGCAGTGGTCTCAGTAGAAGTATTTGTATCGGAGTACGCGAGCAGATATCACAAAATTAAAAGTCACATCACGTTCTCAGTGGCCCGTCCTCGTACTTATGCACGTGCATATGGCCGTGATGGTCGTATCGGAAATCGGACTGCGATTGGATCCTACAGATCAATCATGATTTCCCATACAGGGTCCCCTGTTTCGGATGTATTTGAGACTGGCTTGATACTTCCTGACTATCCTCATAACCCCGGGTTTGAAGTGATGTGTCGCGTATAATAGTACATTATTGTAAGGGAGTAGTGTCGGAGTGCCGGACTCATCACCAAAGCTTATTGACCGGTTCCAACTCCGCCCAGTGATTCGCTCCGCTAAGCGCCGCGACGGGGCACGGAAGCCCCCGATAAGTGGTGTAATTGGGCGATGCAGGTGACAAACCCGCAGGTCCAGGTGAAGAAATAACTGGCTTCCCACCAATTAGAGGGTAGAAATGTTGTGCAGAAACTCCAGCGATCGCCCGAAGCGGCAAGGTCTTGTTCCGAAGGAGCTCTTTGATATTCATTGGTGAAGTGCTGTATGGCCTGTTCGCAACAAAATGCCTCCCAAGCCATTGTATTATCATGGTATGGCTGTCATAGTAGCAATGCGTTATTATTATTGTCGCCAGATTCGCAAAACTGGGTAAAGTTGAAATTTATCGCTTCCAATGATAATATTCAGGTAGAATATACTCCGTACTGAAGCGCCTAAGCCGTGTGTGAGAGATCGATCATTTATATTAAAAAAAGTAACTGGTGGACTGAGTATCGTCATTCCATCTCATCTCGTCTCGGATCTTCCGTAGCTCTTTTTCTTTTTTTCTCCTCTTCACATACTCCATACTACTCCTTATTGAACTTGATTCAAAGTTTTGTTTGAAATTAATCTGCTAGTTATATATCGCTCTCGCTTACTCGTTCTGTTTCTCTGGCCAAACTACAACAGATGCCTCGTAACATCGCAGCGTCTCCTTGACAAGGCCTCCAGTGCTGTGTGACGCTGAGAACCTGTCAAGAATTCTTCTCTGTAAGTCGCAGAATTCTTTCCTTTTTTGTGTGAGTTGGTCCCTGAGGACCGTCGCACAGGGTTACTTGGATGTTACCTTGGGCAAACTCGATAGATATTTCTACATCCTCGTAAATTGACTTTTGAGACATTCACGGATCATACCTCATGAGCTTAATATTTTGAAACATGGTCCAGCTAACAAGGAACAGAAGTCAGTCTCTAATTACCCGACCAATGGCCCCTCCGCCGCAAGCACCGGAACGTTCCCTCGAGGCATGTGCCTCTACTGCCTCCCTCTTCCTCTACGCCCAAGGCTCGTCCATCCTCTGCCTCCACCATGATACCCTCGCGCTCGATCGACGGTTCGAGAATCACCAGGAAGATATCGCTTTTATATCGGTGGATAACGTTAGTGAGCGAGGACAGGGACGACTGGTTGTGAGCTACGATGTCGGACAGACTGCTATCGTGTGGGATCTATTCACGGGGACGGAGATTGCAAGGTTTGCAGCTTTTGAGCCGTTAAAGGTGGCTTCTTGGATGCGGAATGGGAATGTTGCTTTTGGTATATTACTCTTGTGTCTGGGTTGGTGTGGATGGTTCTGACAACGTATAGGGAATACGAAAGGCGAGGTTATTCTTTTCGAACCGTCGACTTCGGAACATGTCTTGACTGGTACCATTTCTGAGCCTATTACGACACTGGCGCCGGGTGCTGATTGTCGGACATATGCAATTGGGTATGTGCTCCCCAATCTGGCTGAGGATTTACATTTGGCTGACATTCCAGATACCAAAATGGCACCACCCTACTCGCAACGCTCCACCCTACCTTCAACATCCTACACACACTCACAATCTCCCGCAATCCGTCGCCCTTGGTCAACTTATCGTGGCATGCATCATCATCGAAACAAAAATCGGATATGCTGGCCTCGCAGGCATTGAATGGCGACTTGAAAGTCTGGAGCGTCTCAAAACCCGCCGAAAAAGAACCACCACGAACCATTCGAGTTTTGAAGCGATCGGATACCGCAGCCTCAGGACCACAGTGGATGGCTTGGTCTAAGAATGGAAAGATATTGCAGTATATGAATGGGTATGTTGGGTTCGTTATTCGGTTTGTACTGTGACTAACAAGGCGCAGAGAAGCATGGTCTTGGGATGTCAGGACCAAACACGTTACTTCTGAGCGTATTCCGGCTATCAATGGCGTTCGTGGTATTGCCAATTATGGACCAACGGCCACTTTGTTCACCCTTGGTCCAAACTTCGCAGTGCAGCAGTATGACTTGGAAATCTCCACCATGGTCGCCAATGTGCACCACCCCCCGATGTCTTCAGGAGATGCACAGTTACTACCTTCCCGCTCGCTACAAGATTCGCCGGAAATCAAAGAATCCCCGTACCCATTCGACGGCCGACGCACACCCTCGGACAACGAGCAACCGCACGCAGACCTGGCAAGTCCTGCCTCCTCGCGCAGCAACGCAAGCTCCAAGGCCTCTGGAAGATACCGCATGCCCCTAGCCTCACCACCGAGTAGGTCCGAACAGAGCAACACTCCCGCTTCTACACTTCCATCAAGCAGTGAGAGGAATACGCCACAGCCTTCGCATGGATATGCCCCGTCAATGTCGACGTTGTCTACGAAGAGTTCTCGTGCGGGATCACGATTAAGGAATGAGGTTCAGTTCAGTCCTGCCGACAAGCAGATCGATTTGTTTCCTTTTCTCCGGACGCGCTTGAACGACGTACCGTACGGGCATCATCAGCCTCTAGATGAGACCAATCTTACCCCGGACGGTCTTCGTCAGCGAATGTTGAGCATGGTTTTTGGATGGGAGGGGGATGTCCAGGGGTTGATACAGGATGAGCGTACGTTCTACCTTACCCTTTTCGATTGATGAAAAACTTTCGCTAACACTAATATAGTCAACCGTCACCCCCCAGGGAGCCAGAGCTCGATTCTCTTGGCACAATGGCTCGGTGCATTAGACACGGATGAAATGATATCTATGATTTACTCAGGCCCTGTCTCCATTTCCGACTGGATGATCATGGCCTTCAGCCAGATGAGCGGCCAAGCCCAAGCGAACAAAGTTGGACAGGCCTTCGTGCAGAAGCTTTTAGAAACAGGCGATATTCATACTGCAGCAACGATCCTTCTCGGTCTTGGAGACAAAAATGATGCTATCGAAGTCTACGTCTCTCAGAACTACTTCCTGGAAGCTATCCTCATGACATGCCTTTTGATGCCAACAGACTGGCAACGACAATCGTACCTTGTCCGTCGATGGGGTGAGCATGTCGTTTCCCATTCCCAGCAGCAACTTGCGATTCGATGCTATATGTGCACTGGCGCGGAGCCTTCAGAGCCCTGGACCTCACCAGCAGCCCAGAATGCTGCTACCTTTGCAGAGGGACAACGGTCACCAATGGCATCTCCCGGACCTGCACACCCCGTCTCCCCACCATCTCAGCGAAAGCAAGCAGCCACTCAGAAGGCTATTGCCAAGACTCCTGCTTTGAAATTGATCACCTCATTTGAAAATCCCAAAATGCGCCTTCCGGGATTGAAGTCTGATAACCAGACGCCTACCAACGTACCATGGATCACACCAATTGCAGAGTCTGCTGTTGGCGAGTCGGCTTTGTCACCAGGCGGACTGGCCTCATGGCGAGCGAACAATATGCAGAGCTTGAATCAGGCGGTGGGCTCACGGTCAAATACCCCCGGTTTCAGAGGACGCCTTCCGTCCATTGGAGAAACACCAGTGGATGTCGAGCCGCCTACCTTCCCTCCTACGCCTTTCCGTAGGGGAGAATACTCTACGACATCGGACAGTGAGGACCAGCAACAAGACCAGGGCAAGGAGCAGGAGGAAGAGCCGTCACTGCTGTTACCATCCGCCAGATACGACCCTAATCAAGAGACCAAGTCAACCCCGCAGACCGCCATCCCAGCCAGTTCAGAAAAGTTCGCCAATATCAAGGGCCTCCCGTCCCCAGCGCCAGGCGTGTTCGAGGCACTTCATTCGGAGAGTCGAAATGGGTCGAGAGATCGGAAGCCAGATGGACTGCAGATAAGCCTGTTCCAAGACCAGCTTGAAAGAATGAGCAATAGCAGGAGCCCGTTGTCGTCGTCGAACAGCCTCCAAACCGCAAAGACCCCGAGTACGGGTGGGTACAGCATTGATCAGTTTATCCACAGCTTGGATGAGGCAAATCAATTCTCGAATCTGCAGCAGCATGTGGACGGTCAGAGTACCACTCCAGGATGGAACGAGGATCCGTACAACCAACTGCCACTGTCTCCGCCGCCCATGTCACCAGAGGAAGCAACGCAAGAGGAAAGATACAGGGCCAAGCACAGCAGATCCCAGTCGCGCAATGAGAGCAAAGTGGGGAAACCTAACTCAAGGAACTCCTCACGACGCCGCCACAATCGCTCTACGAGCCGCAACGCAGCTGGCCGCACGAGTGATCGGAATGATCGTGGTCGTAGCTCCGAGAGAGATGGGTCTGGTGCCATGTCTCCGTCTTCTTCATTGCCGATGTCCCCAATCGACGATGCTTTGAGGATTGTTACGAGTGATCGGGAACGGCGCACGCACCAGCGGAGTAATAGCCGTCGTGGGGAGCAAATCCCTGGTCGACGGAGGGATCAATCTGCTGAGCCAGTGAGACCGGGTAGTCGTCAGACTCGCGAGCATGAACCCGCCACGGACGAGGAGTTTTCAACGTCTAACGCCAATGGTATGAGTCAGGAGGAGCAGGGCCTTGGGAATACGGACACATCCGAGCAGGAAACTCGCGAGCTTCCTTTTGTGGTTGGTATATCAGAGCAGCGAAGGAAGGAGCTTGCTGCCGCGGAATTGGAAGCGCGACGATTGTCGCTGGCACGAAACCCGTCTGCGCCCAATATCCCTTTCCCTGGGGATATTCGATTGAATACTCGAAGCCCTCCTGTCGGTCTTCCATTTTCCATTAGTCCTTTTGGTCAGCGTTCGCAGGCGAGACAGAGGGCTCCCTCGATCATGGAGTCTCAGAGTAAACGAAGCAGCTCTGATTCCGGATCTTCTCAACCAGGGCTACCAACAAGCCCATCATCATCATCATCACTGCGACAAGCCAAGTACAACAACGGCACCAGCAACGGTCAAGAAGACAATGCAGCAGATGCCCCTATTCTACTGAGCGCCGCCACTTACCAACCCGAGGAAGAGAGAATCGGCCGCTCCATGTCCGTTCCCATGCCAGAAACCCACCACAGCCCACCAGTCAACGCCAACATGCCTCCAAACATCCCAATGCACCCCAGATACAACCCCAACCTCCCGCGCAGTCGCTCGACAAGCCGGTCCCGTCATATAGGCCATCGACGTGAGAACTCTCGAGAACACGGAAGCCCTGGTAGCTACTTTGGTGGTTCTCCTGTGGCCGTTAGTATCGAGGAAACCCTAGCAAACGCAGACCATCAACCGCCTATCCTTCCAGAACTCCAACACCTCAACACGCCCCCGCCCCCGCCACCTCTTCCTTTCTCTAATTCAGCCTCTGCCTCTCTACGTGAGTCTTCCGGAACAATCGACATCGCTTTCGACAACGAAAATCTGGGCCGCCTGCTTCCTCGCGCAATGACCGCTGGCCCAGCATTTACAAACACGATGGATGTCCGCACTAGCGTCAACGGCAGTGCAAGCGCAAGTCCCGATCGTCGACGAATGTCATTCGACCATCGTCGCGGGAAGAGTGCAAACGAGAGCTTCACCAGCAAGATCCGGAATTTTACTCGCATGCGCAGTAACAGTCGCGGGCTGGAGGGATGGGGAAGTCCGGCTGTTGAGACCGAGTTGCCGTATGAGAGTGTGCAGATGGTTGACAGGATTTGATTTGATCTAATTTGATATCCCTTCGTTCTTTGATTGGTTTCGATTTGAGAAATTTCGGGTTACGTTCGTTTAACTGTTTAATTTGTTATGATTTATGATAAATTGGTTGGCTTGCTTTGCTTTGCTTTGATTTGATTTGGTTCGTTTATGAGATGATACCTTACCTTGATACCTCGAATTTGCATTATACTGTCGTTTTTATACCCTTTATCTCCTAGCCCAGTGTTCTGGATTATTTCATTGACAATACACTCTCTTTTTACCATAATGTGATTAATATAAAGTTATTCAATAGCCGAGTAACCTGCTGAATGGACGGGATCTATACCAAACACCGGGTCCAGAACCCTAACTCCCTTAACTCCGTCATCTGGGAAGCAAATCCTGTGTGAGTATATTACCACTCTACCCCGATCTAGATAGTCTCAATGATATTCCTCATTTCCACACTATAGACATCACAATGTTTTCCAAGCCAACCATAGTCCTGGTGTTCCAGGTGCCTGGACCACCCCAGCATTCTACACCCAACTCTCATCCAATCTCTCAGAGAAAGGTCTCGCCACTGAAACCGTTGCACACCCCTCAGCTGGCGCAGAACCTCCAGCCAAGACTCTCGATGATGACGTCTCAAACCTCCAAAGCACCCTGCAACGACTCGTTGACCCCGGGGAAGATGTCGTTGTTGTCGCGCACTCATACGGCGGTCTTGTTGCCTCCGGCGCAGTGCAGGATCTTGAGAAACCAGTCCGTCAGCAAGAAGGAAAGCAGGGTGGTGTTGTGATTATCGTGTACATGACTGCGTTCGTGGTCAACAAAGGACTAAGTTTGATTAATGTTTGCGGGGGACAACTTCTCCCATGGATTAAATGCGACGTACGTCTCCCTCTTTCTTATCCCTCTCATTCGTATGGCCTTGCTTACTGAAACCAACAGGAAAACTACACCACTCTATCCTTCGACACCCCATACCACAACCTCCCCCAGTCCCAACAATCCCAGTGGACCTCTGCACTAACGCACTCCTGACTCCTCGTTTTCTCTGGAAAGGCAACACACGAGCCATGGCACATTATACCAACCGCGTATATTATGGGTGAAGAGGATGGGATGTTGCCGTTGGCGGTGCAGGAGTATATGGTTGGGGTTGGGGTATTGGGGACGTCTCGTGTGTATCGGTTGAAGGCATCGCATTTTCCGTTTTTGAGTAAGCCCGGGAATGTTGCTGGGATTGTTGGGGGGGTTGGTTGGGGAGGCATGATGGATGTACGTTTTATTGCTGTGTTGGGTTCATTCTGGCACGTTTTAGAAGGCCAACTGGGACCTGTATATACAACATGCTCGATTTTATATTTATCAATAGCTAACGTGTTTGAAGATCTGCAATTCACTTTCTGTCTGACAAGTCATAAGCACTACGGGGTAAATCTATCTGCTCAATGAAACTCGCCAGGACCCTTCCCGAAATATCCTCCTGTGGGGACCTTCAGCCAAGGGACGGAGTTGGCATCATCTGTGTTCGAGCCCACAGTATTTCCCCACCAGTTAAACTCGACCTTGTGATAGCTCAGGGCGAAGAAGATGATGATCGTTGCGAGCGCGGTACCGGTATCCATTGCTGCTTGCAGGAGGTCTGCTACTTGTTAGCTCGATCCGTACCAACGATTAGGGCAGAATACTGACAATTATACCTCGTCCACCACTGAAACGCCTTCTTCCGAATCAAATAATTAAACAAAAACCCAAAAATAAACCAAAGCGAGTACTGCGTCGTATTCGCCGGCGGGATATTCCCCGCCGCATTAAAGAAAATCGGCACATTAACCCACTTAATCCAGCTGTTCGGATGGCGCCGATACACCAACCAAACCAGGACAGTTACCACAGGGCCGATGATGAAAAAGTACATCAGGGCATTGTAAACCTGGCCGCCTTGGAACATCCGCTGGGGTCCGATGGTGCCCCAGATCATGGAGGCGTTGTAGACGACTTTGGAGCCGTTGCAGGTGAAGCGTTGGGTGTTGGATGGGGAGCAGAGGTCGGAGATGTGGCCCATCATCCAGCGGAGGACTATTTTGTTAGCACACTTTGGAAATATTTTTTGCAAAAACGCGGCGAATACTCACCACCAGTCTGCGTCATCGTCGCGAGAACACTTGAATAGACCTGACCAACAAACAGCACCCGCGGCGGGATCTTCATATACTGCCCCAATTTCAAATCCTGCGCAAAGTCCATCCCATGCTTCACCGAGTTATACCCATAGCACTTCACCATCATGTTAGCAATGGGTTTCCCTGGCCACGCATAACCTGCAATCAACTCAGTGATGATGTTCAAAAAGATACGCTGGTTCGTCGTTCCCTCCAGAATCCCCTCGGGAATAATAAGAGCCACACCCATCCCACAGCACACGACGATAAACCCCCAAACCGGCAACCCGGAGTCCCAGTACCGTACGGTAAAGATACCAAGTCCCACGATAACCACGGTCAGCGCGCCGTACCACCAATCTGGGACCTCGGGGTATGAGTGCATCAGACGACGATGGATATCTTCGCCTCCGGCCCGGGAGTTCTTGAACTTAGCCCAGATCTCGCGCCCGTTGTAGAGATACGTGTGCACGACCATGGCGGTGACAGCGGCGAAGGAGAGCCCGTAGGTCAAGGAGTAGGACATGGAAATGTACATTGGCGAGTAGGCTTCGTATTTGCTCTGGACGAAGTTGAGGTTCTCGTCGACAACGCGGGTGATGTTGTACGTTGAGCCTGTGTTGTCGAAGGTACTTGACGAGAGGAGCGGGAGGTATCCGCTGTTCCAGACGTTGGTATAGTATAGGATGGGCGAGAGGAGGAGGTAGAATAGGGCTACCACTGCATATGCGTTGCAGGTGATGTAGAACGGCGTCGTCAGGGGTGACCCCGGTGAGCCGGCGTAGGTAATCTGCGTCCAGTCGAAACTAATCGGTAGCAATCCTAAGCCTGAGTTCATCCCGAAGATCGTATTCACTTTCTGGTTGTGAGGCCAGATCCAGGTGATGAACGCGAACGTGCTCAGACTCGTCCAGATATAGTCCGGGAACCAGAAAATGACAAACGCGAAGAGCGTGAAGTAGCCAAAAAAGCGATATCTCGTCATGGACCAACCATTCGCGGGCGAGTTGTCCTGTTTCGGCTCGTGCAGGGCTCGAAAGAGGACTGTTGACGACAGAGACGAAGGCCAGATCAGGGCTGCGGGATAGACCAGCCATCGACGAGCAAGTCCGGCGAAACCAAAGCCTAGCATTTGGGTGGTTAGGAGGTAGAGGAAGGAGAATCCTGCTCCGTAGTCTCGGTCCCAGTAGACGGGGCTGGTGATGGCGACCAATGAGCCCATGGCATAGGCCGCGCTGGCGCTGATGTTGACGCACTATACTAATTAGAAGACTGAGTGGCAATGATCTTGTAGGGGAGCAACTTACAATCACAATCAATGCATGCTCCTTGACGGTAAACTTCCCTGGGTTGATATCGAAGGAAAACTTCCCCAGCGGAACCCTCCATCGAGGAAGCTTCTCCCATGCTCGACCGATAGGATATACCAGTAATTGAGCGACGACGTATCCGATACTAAGAGAAGGCTATTTTGTTAGCATGCATTCGCATATGGTAGGAAGAGGTACATACATATCGCAGACCGAAGAACTGGTTGACAGCAGCAAACAGCATTACAAATATGGTCGTAAGAGTCCATGATCGGAAGGCTGTTTCGTTAGTACTAATCAATACAGAATTTGTGATAAATACTTACTGCTACAAGCCATGTTAGGATCATCAGTGTTGGAGACACATGCTGCCACCTCGGGAACTATACATGTCAATCAGCCATGATCGCACACCATAAGGCTTGGGACAAGCATACAAGGCGACTGATCGCCATCGACATTCCACTTGAACGCTTCATTTGGAGTCAATTCCTTCTGATTAGGCACAGGCGCTGGTTTGACCGGATTCTCTCCCTCCCATGCTTCAACATCCACCGGCCGAGTCTGAGTCTCAATGGGATCTTTCCTGCTATCTTTTGCAGAAGTCGCCATTGTGGGGTAACACGAGAGACAAGATTAAGGGGACAAAGAAAAAATCCGGCGTTGAGAGGAATGTATTTATGGTTATCAGCATCCCTGTTCAGCTGATGGCGTGCATGTTGCGATAGACCCACGATAAATGGCGACAACCAGTGGGAGGAACACTAAAATGATAGGCTGGTTATTTTGCTGTCAATGCGACCAAGTTCATATATTTTTTTGAAATGCCAGAAAGGCTTATGGTGCTTATCTTGAGCGTTGGGTGTGTTTATTCTCGATATCAATACTCCGTACTAGGGATGATAATGCAGAGGTACGTATACTGGGAACCCCGCTACAATATCTTATCATTTCAAGCAACGTTAGGGCATATTCTCCATGTGCAAACAGGATTAAAGGCATCCATATCTATTTAGTTGAATCTATGCTTGGGTATCTTAATCTATACCGGTTTCGGTTCTGTCTCCGAATCGTCGCCATTCTCAAGGCTCCGGCCATAGTTCGACTTCGGGCCGAATTCATCATCATGCTTATGGGACAACCAAAGAATAATAGTACTGTTATAATGATTAGCCACATCAACACTAAATAACAGGATAGCGGGGTAGACATACCTAGCAATAGTCCCGACAACCCCGGGCCACGCAAGAACGACGGAAGCAACAGCTTTCGGGTTAGTGTAATATCCTAGTCATGTTAGCCGTACTTCCATAAGACTAGGGAATGGCGAATGATGTGTACATACTCAAAGCAGGTTTCTTCATAGACTCCTCCCAGTACTGCCTCGCAGACGCAGCATCCGTCCCCGTGATTTCTGCACTATGCGTGGCCGTGATAATCTACCCATATCAGCATCAACGTGTCGCTCAAACCATCAGTAAATTGCCATACCGTCATCGCGAGAGCTGAAGCCAACATCATAATCGACTCCGCTACCGCACAAAACTTCCACGCCCACCGGATACCCCGATCTTCATGTCTCTCGGGCCAGAAGAGATCAAAGAAGAACGCGCCCCCGAATACCCATGCGACAGAAACCCCCGCCCAGATGTTATACGAAGCGGCACCGATGAAATCGTTGTTGTGCACTTTGACGCCGGGGTGTTGGCCTTGGATTTGGCTTTGTTGGTCGAGGTAGTCTATACAGAGAGCGGATTGGTTAGTATTGTTTTGGGTTGTGAGGGGCAATGGGGAGATGATTTACCGGATAATGCTGCTGTTCCGACGGCCTCTGAGCATACGCAGAGGATCATGGCGATCTGGTAGACGATCATCTTTGTTCGGCGCAGGTGGTAGACGCGGTTGAACATGTTGGAGCTTCCGAACTTGCTCCAATGGATCTCATGGAGATCCAGACCCCAAATGACTGTCATTGTAGTAACAAAGAGACGTAATCAAATGACGATAGATTGGTAGGAGTATATGGTCGGTATTCAATCCCGTGTGTCATGGGTGATATTGTAGAGAAGTGTTAACTTTCAACTCTAATGAAGACAACCCAGGGAACAAAAGATGGTTCAAATAAGGTACAGAGCTTGGCTTCATCTTAACTTATGTATCAATCTAGCTTAATAAAAACATAGTAAAAATGCTGATGGCGTTGCCAGGAGTAAACCTGATTCTGAGACGTGGACATCATCAATGACATCATTCTTCGTATGCGGACGATGTACCTGAGCATACGATATGACTGTAATTTCTACGGAAAATGATGTCTCGGTACTTGATACGGGTAAGTGGACAACTCAACATGTGTTGAATCACATGGATTCCATAATGTACATCCAGTTTAAATCTACATACATATGCCAAGAATAGATCAACTCCATCGCCCCCAACCCTTATTCTTTCCATTCCCCGAATCGTCACTCGACATATTCCGCTCAGAGTCTAGCATCCGCTCAAATTCAGCGCGTGCCTGTTCTTTTTCCCGCTGTCTTTCCGTGTCCTGACCGCCGCTGCTATTGCTCTGGTTCTGTGTGTTCCACCCCTCAGACTGCCCGCGGTAGTATTCTTGGCCTTGGGGGTTGGATACCCCCTTGGAATTCTGTTGGCGAATTCGTTCCCATGCGCCGCGCTGAAATATGGGTTGAGAAGGTTGGGAGGCTGTAGTATTGTTGCGGGGATTTTGATATTCGGGTGCCGTAGGACTAGCGTCGTCAAAAAAGTCGGATACAGAGTCTTGCTCCTTCCTTCCACCGTACCAGCTACTGCTGGTCGACTCCGTCGAGGTCGGACGATCGTAGGAACGGGAGGGAGTCGTAGGCTCCGCGTTGTTTCCGTACATCGCGCTATAATCCTGCTGCTCGTGACTTTCTGTAGGCCCACCACTCGCTTGGTCCGGTACCATCTCACTCGATTGTTGCGGTTCTTGCGGTTGCGACGTCATCCGTTGCTGGTTCTGCCGATACCTATCCTGTGCAGCATCTACTTTCCGCTTCCGTACCTCCTCTGGTTTCTGCTGCTTCACCTCCTTCACGAAATTCACCAATCTCGGATCCGACATTGTCGCAACAGTATCATTATAGACCGCATAAATACTCGACATAGTTGCCCCCGTCAGCGTCCAAAAGAACAACTTAAACACCGAAGCCGCCGCCACCGACCGAAACGCCGTAGGATCCGCCTTCGCAAACCTCGTAACTCCCTGCACCAATTGTTTTGCACTAGGCAATTTCCCCTCCTCTGCACCAGGCACCATCGCCTTATAATGGTCCGTCTTCCGCGCCTGATTATACATCCTTGCCATAGCAAGCCCACTAGCAAGCGGTGCTCCAATCCGTCCATGGTATAAACTGCGACTGCTGTGCGTGACAAAGGCGTCCATTTCGTCCTGTGTGGGCGGACGTTGAACTAGCACACGGGCATTCTCCACGCGCTCTGTGAGTGTATTGACCAGGGTGCGTTGCCAGTTCCAATTCCCGGCGAAACCGAAGTAGAGGGTAAAGAGGTCGGGTGTGACGATTGCTTCGGGCTTGATTTGGTAGTGGGTTATGGAGGAGTTGGCGTTATTCCGGATGGCATTCTGGCCATCCTGCTGAGAGGACGTATCGTACGCCTGCGGAGAGGCGTCGTCGAGGACCATGTTGCGTCGTGTACAGAGTAAAGAGTGAACTGGGATGCCGAATTCGTGGTGAGGGACAAGCTTGTGACGTTGTGCTTAGTCATTACAATATTTGCCAGCTAACTAACTAATGTACCCGGTACATGGAGCAATGTACGGAGCATTTTATTCCTACAGGAAACTGATTCTATCCACCGGACATGCTCCAAAGATAGTAGGATTTGAATTTTGTCGTGCATATTATGCTGTCAGCCTGGCTAATTCAGCTTTGATTCACCAGTCACCAGGGAATGTTCGATAACCCGATGATAACTCTCCGACATACTCTGCAGTGAGCCATGATCAGCTCGTTATCCAAGTGGAACTTGGCTGAACGTTTGTGGAAGCCATGAATTACTCTCCACATATACGCTTCTGGTTCACTTTGACGCCTGTTCATTTACTTGCTGATACCCAAGTGTTGGCAAAAATCAAGGACCGAATAGCCCAGTCCGTTTCTTTCCAGTCCGTTTCTTTCCAGTCCGTTTCTTTCCAGTCCGTTTCTTTCCAGTCCGTTTCTTTCCAAACAGATACAGAACATCAAATCTCAAATCACGTATACGCTATGAATCAGTATATAAACTGTGTGAAAATGCACTGGATGCCCATTAGTAACAGCTCGGCCACCTGCTGATATCGAGAGGCGCCGCGTCGTGGATTTTTCGTGGTGAGGGACAAGCTTCTGACGTTGTAGTCATATCGTTTCTTACAGGAGTTTCTTTACTCAAGATTGTACGGATTCAGTTGATTCTAATGATTGATGCTATCTACTAAATCTGCTCAAAAGACAAATTACGAATGCGATAATACGTGTCTACACACTGTCAGTCTGGATAGTCTCAACGGCAATATCACGACTCACCTGTCGTCGGTCCAGGAGACCCTGAAGAGCCGTCCATTTGCAGGTTGATAATCCTGTCTTGTCAGCTTGTCATTCTTTTATGCCCTGTATCATGGATACTCACAAATGCAATGGCTCTCCGACGTACTCCGCGCCGTATTGAGTTGTGACTAGCTCATCGTCCAGATAGAAGTTGACCGAGATATTGGAGCCATCTTCGTCGCGAACTTCGATTTTGACGGCGTGGAAGTCATCCGGGGAGGGATAGTCGATGTCCAGAGATTGTACTTCAGATGATGTCTGATGAAGGGAGTCAGCATGGATGTTCAAGTAGTTGCATGGCTATGGAGTCTCACATTGAACGTGTTGAAACTGATATCACCGGATCCTATGGACCGTCAGTTCTCTCATCATTGTTGGTAATTGGAGAAATAAATGAACAGGGACAACCTTTCCATTCGGCAAGATCAATCTCTGGTGGCCATGAATTCGCCCCGTTCAACCAAAACGCCGGCCAAGTACCTTGAGCAGTAGGCGCCTGGAATTCAGCCTGGATATCGAACCCGGACCCAGCCTCAACGGTAAATGTCTCGGTTGAATGTACCGCACCGGAGAGATAATTAATTTCCTGGCCACCACTAGTCGGATCTTGGCCTGTGACCGGTCTGGCAAGGAGGGTCAAAGTACCGGGTGTGTCGATCAAGATGTACTCATGGTCGGAGGAGTTGCCAATCATCCGGGCGGATCCATTGTGGTCTGAACCCCAGGGATAGAGGTAAGAGAAATATTTTTCGAGAGAGATGTAGGAGTCGAAGCAGGTGGGGGGAATTAGACTGGCTCCCTGGGTCAGAGCAGCGAGGCTGAGCAGGAAGAGGGGATGCATGTTGGAATGCGTCTGGATATTCCGAGGTTGAACAAAGATTCATGCATTTTTTGCGACTTGGGTTTTTATATATGTAGTGTCGGGCTTTCTCTCTTGCCCCCCTGCCGATCTAATATCTTGATGTTCAGCATGAAACATTCCCCTCAGTGCAATAAGTGAAACCCCTCAGTGTCCAAATTACCCGCCAGAGGATACATCAACACCACTACTCCATACTATGTAGTGGTATGAAATCCTACAGTTCGGCTAATTGTTATTTGTGGCTGTACCTGAGTCAACTCCCAACAGGAAAGAATCTTCTTCTGGAGAATAATACAAGGTGCATTCTCAGCCTTATTCCCATAATCTCAACATTTTGTACATCGTACTTGATGGCTCCAACAGATCAACTGGGATCCTCAATTGGATATGTCCCGCCCTACGAGTGCTTGTAACAAAACCCTCTATTCCGAGGAAATCCCCGCGAATCCGGATGTGATACGTGCATTCTTTTTATCCGATATCAACAAGGCTGACAGCAAGTCACTAAGGAAGAATTGTTGTATGCTCGCTATACCTCATTGCATGAATCGTTCGTTCTGATTGCTTGCAGGTTGTCATCGCCTTCTTGTTGTCCACATGGCTGACATTGAAAGAAAGACGCTTCGAGAGATCCAAAGTACCAAGTCCCACTGTCCATGTCAGGAGCTTCGAACGTGTCTACCCAGGGAGCCGAGGGCGATGGATCAGCCCCAGGGAATTATAATATGAAAAGTACACACGACATAAATTCCCATGACATTGAGCAGAGCCATGGTGCTAAGTCAATTACACTTCAGTTTTACAGTGATAGGGAAGTCAATCTCAGATTTGTACAAGAAAATAAAAACATAAATACACAGTTGCTCTCTGCTCCATTCCTTTACAACTAAATACAGGAGAGAATCAAGCGGTATGTAGACAAAAGTCACCATTAACTCCATCTGAATGCTTCTTCAGTTAGCTGCTAATATCATCACATCGCCACTCACTGGAATCGTATGGCGTTCTCCTGCAATAGTCAAAGACACCTCCATCTCCAGCGTGTGACTATGCCTGATATTATATGTGACTAGATCAGGTTGGATATACGGATATGGCACAGAAGCAAGACGTCGATTTCCAGCTTTTAACCCATTCGAACGGAGAACTAGCTGAAACATACTGCCGATATTGACTGGTCCATTATCGCGAGTTTTGTCAATCGAAAACTCAATGGGGACATCAAGGTCCCGAAAAGCCCTTTCCAGATTCAGATTGTGGTTGACTGAATGGGCATCGCTCTTAGTGAGAAGTTTCCTGGCGTCGCGTGGTGCGAGGAGAGTAGTCGTGGACTTGATAGACATCTTGACCCAGTTGAGCCGGACCCTCATCCCGGCATTTTGCACGCCGATGCTGCTGGTCATTCCCTGCTGGGATGGTGGTACGATGTTCAGGGTAAGTGGTATGGGCGATCGGTTGTCCAGCTGGATGACGCGAGGCAAACCGATCTCAACGCTATAGTGTGCTCTGGGTACCTTGGACGAGCCCAGGAGCCTCTGTGTCTTTTGCCTGAATGTTCGATCCGCGCGCTCCATCCCTGGTAGCAGCCGCTGGCTCCGGAATATCTGGTCGATTGTGTGTCGCTGGAGGTCGCAATCGGGAAAGACAATCGGGGCTTGGGGCCGCATTATGATGGGGACCGTAGCCCTATCGAAATTATACGAGCCCCGCTGGTGATATTGTAGCCGAGCTTCGAGATAGTACTCCACGCATCCTTCGGAAGAGTGATTCCAGTCGTTATTACATGTGATGAATGTCCCGGGCAACGTGTGCTGTGCAATACCATATTTGTCCTGCGGCAAGAAACCCTCTTTGTTGTAATGGCCTCCCAGCGCTGAATCGGCCGGCTTCATCGGAATGGGCAGCGAGAAGGACCAAGAGGACTCATCTTTGCCGTTGCTGCTGTCTTTGGGGACATGCAAGGGTCCTTCAAAGAGTACTTGCGTCGTCGTCGTGCTAAAAAGGTACCAGTGCGCACGGTAGTAGCCGCGGCTGCTGCTGCCATTTGGTGTGATTTTGGTCCTCACGTGTCCTACCAGCGACAATTTCACGGTGGCTTGCGGGGCGACAATGTGCGAACGACGCAGGACTGTGCCGATGACCGTGTCCCCGGGGGCAAATGTCCATCCAGGGGGTGATGCCAGGTCAATCTGGAGGTCCGCGTTGCCGGTTTCTTTGGTTCGTGGCATGGTGTTTCTAAGATGAGAATTCCATACTGGTTCGTATAGACCATCCGAAGGTCTTTATATAATGAATGAGACTTGGCGCACATGACACAGCCCTGTAGCACCCGGTTAGGCGGCATTATTCATTATTGGTGAGTTATAGATACGAGATCTACGGAGATACATTGCAAGTGGCTATGTACGATATATATGAGGCAGCAGATTTATTGCTATCTGTTGCTCAAGTTACTCGCTCAGAAGTCTTCTACGGTCTTCTCCGCATGGTCATCTCACCACTTCTCCACATATGGCCGGAGATCCAACTCGAACCCAAATGTTGTCCGTGGCTGTGTATGCAGGTGCCAGTAAGAATCGGCAATCTAATAACATTAGCATCCTTTTGTGGCACATGAGTCAGGTTCCCACTTACAGCCACAGGGTCAATCTTGGCATCTTCATGCTCAAAGGTCCAGCTCTTCGTCCGGGGGATATCAATGACACCATCGAGGATGACATGCGCCACATGTACGCCTTGTGGACCAAACTCCCGAGCCAGGGACTGGGCTAACGCTCTCAGTGCAAACTTGCCCGAGGCAAAGGCCGAGAATGTTGCTGAGCCTTTCAGACTGGCGGTTGCTCCGGTGAATACCAGCGTTGGTGGATGTTTCAACGATGCCTCCTTAGCCTTGAGGAGGAGTGGAAGAGTATTCTGGGCGAAGTTAAAGCCTCCTTTTCTAGTACCTGTCAGTATGGTAAGTGGTACGTTGTAGGTAGAAAAACCAACCCTTGACTCTCATATCCTGTGGTAAACTCCTTCTCCGTCAACTCCAAGAAGGGCTTCCGGACGAACCCTCCACCGGGATTGAATACAGCCGCAGCCAACGGAGAATCCGCATACTGCTGCGAGATCTTGTCAAAAGCGGCCCGGACGCTCTGCGAATTCGACAAGTCCGCACTGAAACCCGCGGCCTGGCCGCCGTTGGAGTTGATCTCGTTAACCACTGGCTCAAAGTTGGCGGGGTTGCGAGCTAGCAGGACAACCGAGTATACTTGGGCGAATTTGCGGGCAATAGAGGCGCCCTATAGTTCGTTAGTGGTTTGATATCGGGTGAATACTTTAGGAATGGGACATACCGTGCCCGGACCGACACCTGCAATGATTGCGAATGCTTTGGAGGCCATTTTGAACAGTAATGAGGAAGATGAGATCTGTCTTGCAGTGGAATAGTTCTTGGAGAGCAATAAGTACTCCGCACGTGCTTAGAAATGCAATGATGCGATGATGTCACCCCTGAAATTGCTCATTTTGGCGTCAAAATGCCAATTCGCAATCTAGAACAGATTCCCCTAGCCATGTGAAAGAGAACAATGTACGGAGTATAGGGATTGCTCGGGGTTACTGTACGGTGGTATTGCTGCTTTGGGCCAAGGTATCGATACTATTGGCCTCAGGCACTAAGGCGGTTATCATTATCGCAATTTTTCTTTTATCGCATCGAGTTTTGACCATCCCTCTGTTTACATCCATTCAAAACCGTTTTTCTACATGTTAGCACCATAATATAGTGTCCTAATATCAGTCGCCATGTCCGAAACCCCCGGGGGAGACCCCCTCCTCAGCGAACTCTGCACAATTTGGTGATTACCATCCATATTCCTATCTATCGTCGCATCGTTCACTGACCAGAAAAACCTATGAACAGCCACATTAACCCTCCAAAATATCGCTGCCCCCGATGCTCAACCCGAACATGCTCCCTTCCCTGCTCTCGCCGCCACAAGACCTGGTCCCAATGCTCCGGTGTCCGCGATCCAGCCGCCTACCTCCGCCGCAACGAGCTCGCGACTCCCTCCGCATTCGATCGCGATTTCAACTTCATCACGGGAATTGAGCGGAGCATGGAACGTGCGGATAGAGATGCAGAAAATCGTGGGGTTACTGTCGACCACCAAGCAGAGGGGGGAGAGGTGCAGGGAGATGGGAGTCGGAAGAGGAAGAGGCCGAACGAGGTATTGGTTAAAGGGGAGGCTGGATTTTTGCGTGGGGCGCAGAGTAGCGAGGTCAATGTTATCAGGGCACCCAAGGGGATGACGAGGAATAAGTTGAATACCTCGAGGTGGCATCCAAAGTATGTTTTCCTGGGTTTTGGTTTGGATGTGTTGCGCTGACTGGTCGAAGACACAAATGCTTAATCTGGACGATGGAATGGATTGCCCCTGATGGTGAAAAGAAGATTCGAACCTGCTTGGAGTCGTGTCGTGTCGCGGAGGCTTATGATAGATTTTATCCTCTTCCGAAAGAGGAGCGCAACAAGGACCAAGTTCAGGATCAGGGTCAGCCACCGGAGCAGGAGCAGGTGCAAGAGCAGGAGCAGGTGCAAGAGCAGGAGCAGGTGCAAGAGCAGGAGCAGG